TTTAACCTTATAAGTAATAATAAGGCTAACTTTAACTTTAATTAAGGAAAAAGGAGTTTATAATGATTTATACATTAATTTAAGATAATATAATAAAAGTACTTCTTAAAATATAAGCAAAGCATTTAAAGCAATATTAAGGATATTATTAATAAGCTTTTTATTAAGTATAATAAGCATAATATAAAAATGGTTTAACTTAAATAAAGAATAAGAAAGATAAAATGCATTTTATTTTATTAAATGCAAGAAAATAATATTAGCAATATTTTTATAGCATTTTTATATATTATTAAAATAATAAGGTTGTTTTATTTTAAGGGAATCTTTAATTTAAGTATAGGAATAAATATTAATATGGGTTTAAGCTTTTTATTATTTTTTTGTAAAGATAAGTTATAAAGAAATTATTTTAAAGGATTGGTAATAATATTAGCTTTAATAAAGTTAAAAATAAGAGAAATTAAAAACTTTTTATATAATGAATATATCCTTAAGAGCGTTCGCTAAGTTATTTTTCTTATTTTAATTTTAAACTAAGATTTAATTTAAAACCATTACTTATATTAAGTAAATTCTATATTAAACTATGAAATTATTAAATATTATTAAGAACTTCTTAAGAAAGGGTTTTAGGTTCTTTATTAATATTCATAATATATACTTATAAAGGGGGTTATAAAATACTATTTTAATAGTTTTATAAAGAGAAATGTTTATAAGTAAAGCGGTTTAGCTTATTTAACTTATTATAAGTAGTTTAATTAAAACGATTTTTATACCTTTTATTTTTATTAATTATAAGATTATTAATTATTTTTTTAATTAAAAGCAAAATGTTATGCATTGCTTTATATTTATAGCTAAGGCTATATAAATATATTAAATTATATAAATAGCTAGGGCTATAATTATAGGTTTGCTTATAAGCATTATAATAAAGGTAAGAAACTTATTCTTAATCATTATATTATGGGAAATAGTTAAATTATTTAAGTTTTTTATAATAATTATTATTTTTTTAAAGGGCGGTAAGCTATTCCTATAGCTTATAAATTTTATAACTTTAAGCTTCCTTCGCTTTTTTATTTTTTTATTATTTTTAATAAATATTATATTTATTTTAATTAATAAGCTACTTAAAATCTTTAAGCTTATTATGCTAAGTTTATAAAGTAATTACTATATAACTTAAGATTTAATTTAATATAAATTTAATAAACTTAGGTATTTTTATTTAACTTTTTAGCTTTATTATAAAGATAAATCTTATTATTAATATATTTATATAAAGATAAAGCATCCTCCTTATTAAAAAAGTAGGATATCTTATTTACTTTAATTATAAGGTTATTATAATCCTTATAAAAGCGTTAATAAAGCTTAGCTTTTTATAAACCTAAGTTATTAATAAGATCTTTTTATTTATATTTAATTAATAATATAAATTAATAAATATTATTTAAATTTAAATTTAAGATAAGTTTAATAAAAAGGTTAGTAAAAATTATAACTTTATTATAAGTTTTTATAAAGTATTAAATATAAGCAATATATGCATTTACTTTAAAGCTATAAAACTTAAATATCTTTAGCTTTAAATATAAACTATTTTTATAAATTAATATAAATATTTAATTTAAACTATTTTGCTAAGTATAATGATTTTAGCTATAATAAAAGCGATCTTAAGGGTAAAAAGTTTTTTATTAAGGAAAGCGTTTTTAGCGGGGGTATTAATAGCAATTATTAATTTCATTCTTTATATTTAATTTAAAGGGAATATTATAAATAAAGCATTAATTAAAAGAGCTATAATTTTTAGCTAATAAATAAAGGGAGTTATAGCAATGCTTATAATAAGGGGAGTAAATAAGCTAGCTGCTTATATTTTATTTATTTTTATAATTCTTTAGCTTAAGAAAGACTTATTAAGAATTAAAGATAAAATAATTAATTAATATAAAAAAGGCTTTTAAAAAGGAAATAATATTTATAAATTTTATAAAGAAATGGTAAGCTGCTATTACTTAATTTTAATATTTTACTTTATTAAAGTTCTTTATAATATATTAAACTTAAGCGGAAAGTTAATTTAATATAATAAAATAAAGTTTTAAGTATATTCTTAAAGCTATATTTTGCTTAATAATATAAATAATAGCTGCATTAAAGAGATAATTGCCTTAAGTATATAGAGGTATTTATATAAGAGGAGTTAGGAGCTAAATATGCGCAGGGCGTTTAGCGAATTTAGGATAAAACTCCTTAAAGTAATTCTTAAATCTTAATAAATAAATATGGTTTTAAAATAATTTTATTTTAATTATTTTACTAACTTATTTTAATAAAAGAGTTTTATATTCTTTATTTTAATTAACTTTAATTAAAGAAAATGGGTTAATATTAAACTTATTTTAATTAAGGAATTAATTATAGGGAATAGCTAGCTTTTAAAATTAAGAAATTCTTAAGGAATCTTAAGGCAAAGAATTAAAAAAAGGTTATTAAATTAAGTTAAGAAAGTTAATAAAGCTTAATAAGGCTTAATTAATACTTTATACCTTCTTAAGTTATATTTTATTAAAAAAGAAGTTATAATTTAATGCCTTAATTACTATAGATTATACTTAAAGTTCTTTTTAAGTAAAAGCAAGGGTTAGTATTAATTATATAGGAATAAAAAAAGCTTTTTAAGTTAATTTTAATGCGTTAATAAGTTTAAGAGGTTAGTTTGGTTTTAATTAAGGCAATTTAATAGCAATAAAATGTTTTTTTATATTTTAAGAAGGCTTATTTCTTGCCTTGCTTATAAAGTTATTTATAAGGAGGTTTTAAATTAAAGTTAAGAGTTATTTAATTAAGGAGTTTTAATGGCTAAAAGTTTATTAAAGCTGCTAAGCTAATAAATATTATGGCTTAATAAGTATAAGGCTTATTAATAATTATTTAAAGCGTTATTAATAATGTTTAAGGTTTTTAATTAATTAGGCTAAGGTTGGTAAGGTTATTAAATTAATTATATGCTAAGGGAATATAATTATTTAAATAATTATAAGTAGTTAATATTAAATTAATAATTAAATCTTAGTATAAAAGCAATAAAAAGTTAAATTAAGTTATAATTATTATATAATAAAATATATAAGGGCTTTTAAAACTAAATTAGGGAATTAAATAAGGTTGCTAATAGCTAATTTAATTAAAGTATCTTGCAAAGTATGTATATGTGTTGAGAGAAGCTAATGCTAAGCGGGCTATGGAAGGTGTGGTGTATTAGAAGAGAGGGGAGTGCTTAGTCATCCCCCAACAATTCAGACTATTTTCGGCCTCAAGTCCTGATCCAGACTTGCCTCCTGCTATGTTATAATTCACTCTCGGCGGCCCCGGCGTAAAAACATCTGCCCGCACCGAGCCTACCTTGTTTCTAATCGCAGGCCTTGATAGCAGGATCCTGCGTGTCCCGGCTTTAATCGAACGCAGATTATTCGTGCATCGGTGAAGCTCGATGCGCGTCATGTTCATCATCAGCATCGACCAATTACCTGTCAAGTCTTGACGCTTGCTATGTCATTTGAACCCTCTCTCCAACCAGGGCAGACTGAATTTCATTTAAATAGAAACTTTAGTGATAGTGACGACTTGCGTTGATGATTATATTACCCCTATAAGCTGTAAAACAGGACTGACTGGTCTGGACAAATCGGCCAGGTCAAAAGGCGGTACTAGCTGGATTCAGGGCGCGGACCGCCAAACTCTGTTTCGGAAGTTTGCTGGGGTGCCTTGGTCGATAGCCAAGCACCCATAGAAACACTGCAGAATCTAGGTATTACCCCAGAGTATAAAACATTGGCAGGGCCCCTGTCGCACCACCAGCACAACCACAACCACATACTACACAGGAGAGAAAGGAGGACCCCTGGCAACTCAAGGGACTGGCCATGATTCCCATACAGGCCCGGGCGCTTAATTCGGGAGACCCGGGCGGCCTACACAATATTCCTAAATGTGGAATACCCCCGAAACTCACGTGCGCGTCGAAACCTTGTCCAACAAAGATGCAGAATGACGGACTCGGTCCACTTTCTCGGATGCCTTGCCGTGCCTCAGCCAGCATGACGACGATCCACGACATCTGAGCAGTTCGGAGCCGCACGATCAATTGTTTCGCGGGGTTCTTGGCTCGGAAATGGCACACGGGCCAGAAACCACGATTGAAACAGACTCTCCCACGCGGGCTGGCCTGCTTCCTCTTGCAAGCTTGCTTTTTGACGGGTGTGCAGGCATGGGCCTTGCCGTCTCATCTGAACGTTGCGATGCGACAGCTGCCTTTACTCTCCGAACGCCCCCCTTTCGCACGCACGACATTCAGGACGGATTGAGGGCTGCCCATTGCTTCTGCTTGTTTTATAATCTCAAAAGCCGTCCCGTCAGAATTTGGGGCCAGAAACATAATGCCGGCCACGGCATTGGCTTCCACAAATGGCATGTCAAATCATCCGCTGTTGGTTTTTGAGGAGTCAGCGTACGCCCACCCAGCTTCTACAGTACGCCCACCCAGCTTCCAGCGTTGGCCCACCCAGTACAAGGAAATTAACTGCATACGCTATAAAATATTGGTACTGCGGGGTTATTAATAAAGCATAGCTATAGCTATTCCAAAGGGGTTTCATAGCTACCCCAGAGGGGTCCCATAGCTACCCCTTTATTTGCAACTTAAAAGTTACTTTTGCCCTCTACGCCCTCTGCGCCCTCTGCGCCCTCTGCGCGCTCTACGCCCTCTGCGCGCTCTGGGGGGCTCTGGGGGCTCTGGGCGCTCTGGGGGCTCTGGGGGCTCTGGGGGCTCTGGGGGCTCTGGGGCCCTCGGGGCGCTCTGGGGGCTCAGGGGCGCTCTGGGGGCTCAGGGGCGCTCTGGGCGCTCTAAGGGCTCTAAGCGCTCTGGGGCGCTCTAGGCTTTTTTAGGCTTGTATTTTTAAAGTATTGCTTAAATTGGAAAATAGCTACCCTGGCTTGTTAAGAACCCCGCAGTACTTGCATTTTAGTGCGGATGCAGCTAATTTTCTTTGTACTGGGTGGGCCAACGCTGGAAGCTGGGTGGGCGTACTGTAGAAGCTGGGTGGGCGTACGCTGACTCGTTTTTGAGGATATCGAAATCTGCCGCCGCCGCCGCCGGGAGGGACGGAGGGACGGAGGGGCCGGTGTGAGAGCTGCGTCTCTTCTCTTATGCTCCTCCGAAGTGTACCAAGCTTCGTTGTCTGCCTCGTGTCTGCCTCGCCCGTGCCCCCCGCGCCTGCGTTCATTTACTCCGTCCACGACGGGCGGCACATGCATGAGCTGAACCACGGCAGAGACGACGTGATGCAGCGAGCATCCGGAGGAGCCGCTGGCAGCAAACGCTGCAGTGGATTGGCCGTGCAGGATAATGCATACCGGCGGGAGTAGGCTCAAAATCTAAGTACCGAGGCCTACAGCAAATTTCTGTCGGCTCTTCACGCTTCTCCATGCTGATATGGGACCGAATCCCGTGCGCTGTGGATTCCTGGGGAAGCCGACACAGCAAGGCCTGTGAGCAAAATGCTTCTTCGCCGAAGTCTGATCACCAAAGCGAACTACCATGTTGCTATTTGTCGTCTCCAGCATGGTCCAATGTGATGATTGATGAATTGCATCTTGGTCTTAACCATTTCTGGGCGGCTTCCCCGTTTCCTTGCTACTTTGAGTAGACTTGTAGAGAAAAGATGAGGCAGATGGAATATGCTTATGATCTGTGGGCGACGTGGTTTCAAAACAAGCCGAGGACCTTGACATCATCTCCTTCGTGTCAGTTGACTCTCGGCGCAGTCCAAATCAGTGCGAGACGGCCGCGATACTGGGCAAGCAACAGTTTGGAACACGAGGAGTTCATCAACACTAGCTGAAATCCATTTGCCACCTGTTTATGGAAAACCGATACGAATTCTCGTGAGGGTCACACTATTGACGCTCCTAGTGATGGCGCTGGCCCCTTGGTTCATGTCAGCCCTACATTCTCCCAGGAATTCACCCACAAGAGCTTAGGTCGTGCCACGTCACTCCGTAGTGATTTGTGTGGAAAAAGCGAACGCTTAATCCGTCAGCGGATTAAGCCTTATATCCTTTAATAATTTGATCCCCTCTGCCCCTGTGTAGCTTTAGGCTAAGGTTCATTTCCTGGAAGGCCTAGATGCACCTCACTGGCTTGGGACCCGGGGATGCATGATTACAACATGTCCTACTGAGGACGATCATGAAATCAGAGCTCATCATCGAGGCTAAAGTCCAACTAAGATGCGACCCTGGGTGAACCGTAACTATCCGGTCTTTGCAATACAACCCTTGGCCTCCTACTCACAGCTCCCTAGAGTTGCAAATTACGTGTCTTGTCTACTATTTTTTGCAATGTTGACCTGGCCCGAGTGGGAAGCTCTATTTCTATTCCCTTACTAGTTTGGGGCGCCGGGACATGTACACCTGAGGGACCCCGAGCGCAAGCAACGACTGATAGAGTGCAGGAGCTTGTGTGCCTCCATGTGTCTCGTGGCTCAAGCTGTAGATATTTATATCGCAAGAATGCGGGGCCGAAATGACATACGTCTGATCTAGCTGAGCAGATTGGAAGAATTAATACATCTGGCGTTTCGAGAAACGACACTCTCGTGAATAAGGAAGACATGCGGTGAGCCAAGCGAAGGCCTGTTGACCGACGGCCTTGAGCCGAGGTGAAGCAGCTGAAAGTGCCCGGGAGCTTCTCAGCCCGAGCCATGCACGCGCAACAAACCTTGACAACAACATTGTTCAATTTGACGGGAAAGACATGCATGTCCAATATGCCCGAGAAGTGGAACATTGAGCAGATGCTTCTTAATTACTGAGAACAATCTACGAAGGGCAAATCCCTAGTACCAAAGCGGTGCAAGCACGTGGCTTCCGACTTCATATTTCCCACTTAACTCGATGAAAAATATCAGGGTTGCTCTTAATTGATGCTTACCCTGGTGTCCTTAACTTTGCTGCCACGGCGATACCCAAGAGGGCTATGCCGCGAGTATGGTCGACCAAAGTCGCTACGTGAGCAACGAGGTGTCTAAGTAGTTATGTCTGTACATACGAACAAGGTGATAAAGCTCATCTAGTCTATTCTACGTGGCCCAAATCACAACCGAACCAGCGAGATTGCGAGAAACCCACACGCGAACAAGCCAGCTACCGCAGCAAAGGGAATTCCCGTCCACTCGTCCCCGAGGCTGAGACCCCACCTGAACGTTAAAGCAAGCAGCGGGCCTGCCACGAGTCCTCCGATCGACTGCATGCTGGCAAGGGCGGAATAAAGCAGTCCTGCTTCATCCTGGTGGCAGAAGGTAGTCACGAGACTGCGTGCTGCCGGCCCGAACCCGGAGCCCAGGGCGAATATAGCAATGCCCATCGCCGCCAGCACCACCGCAGGAGATGACTAGAGATCCCAACGTAAAGAGAGCGACCGATACTCGATTGATGAGGAGGTCTTTCCCCGGCGCGCTCATCCCGCGCCTAGTCAGAAGCCTGTTGAGAGCCGGAAGACCGACCAGGAGCAGCACGAGGTTGATGGCAGCTCGTAGGGTGATCAGAAGGCTTGCCTACCCGAGGAGACAATAGTCAGTATATTTGAATAGTGACGTGCTCTGAAGTACGGTGAAGCGGTCGCACCTTTTCATATGTCCAGTTGAATCTTTTCCGTATAAACTGCAAGAGGAAACTCGTGGACTGGCGCCCTAGAGCCGAAACAAAGAATGCCAAGAGAACAGCGACCACGTTACGCTTAATGAGAGGTCGGAACCTTGAAGCAAGAAGCTCCTGTTGCTAGTAATGAAGCCGTATCTGAAGGCCCTGATTGTTCTTCATCCTCACCCTCACCCTCACCTGCCTCGCATGAAGACGTCTCTGCCTCAGGTGCCGACTTTGGTAGAGTCTCTGGCAAAGATAGCAGAGGGACCGTGCCGCCGAGCAATGTCAAGCCACTGTACATGAAGTATGGTATCCATGGGTCCCTCGAAATGAGCAAGGCGCTCAGCGGTGTAGCCACGAGTTCCGAGAGGAGGCCGCACGCGGTCAGGAGGAAGAAAAGGCTAGCTCTCTGCTGCGGCAGGGCGACGTCGGCCACGACGAGGAAGATCATCGAGCCGCAAACAGCATCGCCGCCGCCCATCAAGAGAGCGGCCGAGGACAGCCAGATAAATCGCGGGGTTATCAGGTCCGGGTACCAGAGAACAGCCTTGGAGACGACATCCTGCACGAGGGCGCCGAGTATCGCCAGCAGGAGGACGGGCCGGCGGCCGTACCTGTCGGCGAGGATGCCGAACGGGATGGCGACGACGAGGCCGGGCAGGCGGTTGAACGTGTTGAGCATCTGGGTGACGGTCGCGAGCTCGGACTGCACGGGGGCTGCGGTGCAGTCGTGGGCGCCTGCGGTGGTGGCGGCGTCGGTATAGTGGCGGCTGCAGATGATGCCCTCGAGAATCTTGGTTTGAGGCGGCTCCAGGAGGAAGCCGGCCAGGTCCACCAGGATCACCATGATGAATGTTGTGGTGACAACACGGCGCTGGTAGGCCGCGTCAGCGTCACCGCCGCCGCGGCTGGGACCCAACAGAGGCCTCTCTTCACCGTCTGCACTCGTCATCTTTGGTGAGCCCGTGTCCGTGGAGTGTGAACGGAGCACGGAATGCCGTTGGGTAAGTTTTTACGGGACCCTGGTTAACCATACTGCATTTTCATTTTGGGTCTCAGGATTTCGCATCCCTTGGCCAGACCGATTGTGCAGGGACTAGGAGGAGCAGGCCAAGCCTGATGCGGGAGGTAGACGAAACCGCAGGCACAGCCGTGTGGTGCCAAAATTCCCTGAGAGTAAGCCATGCATATCATCCTTCCGGCCCCACCTTTCTACAGCTTGCAGTTATACCAACATCCTCACAAACTTGACCAATACGTGCTATGCCTATGGCATAGTATACTCTTCACTTTTCCTCTGAACGGAACCTTCGACCTGATCTATACTGTGCTTGAATGAGATCATTGCACTTGAGGCCTGTGAACCCGAGCAGAGATCATCTAAAATGATCTTAAAGGACTCAGCAGTTGGAAATTGAAGGCATTTGTTGCCATCTATGATACAAGAAAAAAACAAGAATTGTCTTCAAGTTATTCCATGATTTTAAGGTATTGTGAAGACGGACCACAGTCACGTATGCCTTAATCAAGAGGGGGGGGGGCGAGCAAAGAAAAGTCACGATCGGTGTACTGGGGCAAGAAAAGTGATAGCAATGGAATAACTTGAATAAAGACCGGAGGAAAGAAATCGGGCACATCGAATCTACAGCATCAGGCCAGCCTGACGGTTTGCGTGCCAACCTGGTCCCAAGACTGTCTTCCACCCAAGTGACGAGCCACGGTGAAGAACAAGCCCGGCCTTGTGCACTCTCCCGGGGTGGCGGTCGGAAGAACCAACAGGCCATGGATCATCTCCGGGTTGTACACGCGGCGGCCCTGGAGTCCAGGTCGTTTTAATGCCGGCTGGATATGAACACCATCGACAGCAGATCGGTTGGACCGTTCGAGCTTTGTGCCAGTTTCTGGTTCCTCTGGGCCATTGACACCGCCAACATCGACCAAGCGTGTGGGACCATACAATGGCGTTGACGGTCACAATGTCTTGAAAGTACCACCGAGGAGTTGATGTGTATTCCACAGGCCTGGCTCAGAGAGAACTTGCCCTGCGAATGGCTTCCGGCGTATACGTAGCCACCTTGCACATGGGGTCTTGAATAGTAAAATGCTTTGTAGATCTATGGAATACTTCTTCAGATCCTGATCAGGATCCGGGGTCCGACTTGCGATGCTCACATTTCCCAGTTCGAATGAAAACTTGGACACTTCGAGTCGGTGATAAATGTCACGATGATCTCGATGCTTCTTCTTCTTCTTCGCGCAGACGCCTCATCCTCCTATGCTTCTCAAGAAACTTTTGTCTCCATTCTGCCATGGTTTTCTCATCCGAGCCCGAATAAATAGACTCCTCCGTGTCCTGATAAAAGTCTCGGAACTCGAAGTATTTATTCGCTTCGGCTGATCTCCACGGTCCTCCATAGTTACTCTCCTCAATCCACTCCTCTAAAGGTGGATACGGTGACTTATCGAATACCACACGCAGTCCAAACCATATTGCTGGATCATCTTGTGGAGGACCGAATTGTTTTCCATCCCAGTATAACCAGTCAGGCATTGTGAATCTACCCTTGGCCAGCTCCACTTTATAGGTCTTTGGTTGAAAAGCAGCATCGACGAGATTCGCCTCGTTGACGTATTCCGGGGAAATGTGTGTAAACATCGGTAGAAAGCGCTTCGTGAGAGTTATCTCAACATCAAGACTGACTCGAAAATCAGTGTTCATGTCGATTTTCCGCTCCAAAACCGTGGAACAATCCCCCAAAGGTTTCCAAGCAATCTCGGCGGCAATCAAAACCCTGTGTTCAATACCGCACACCAACTTAAGGCTTGTTAGTCAATGCCAATCAAGGATACCGGCGGCAAGGTGGATCAAATTACCTTTCCTGTACCATCCCCCTCAAATTTGATGCCACATCCCAGGAAAATGGGCCATGTCCACCAGTCTGAGCAGAAGACAGACCTCACTGTTGTCTCCGTGGCCATGTGGAAAATTTCTGGTCTTTTGTTCTTGGCACTGAAGGACTAAGAACTAGAGACGGGGCCGGTACGATGTGGGAGGGAGACGGATGTAAAGGGAGAAAGTTGAGATACAGCAAATTCGCTTGTTGGCACGTGTACATGTGTTTCATACGTCGGAAGAGGGCTGGGTATTTGAGCAGAACCAAACACTGGAGACTTGACATGGGGAAATGAAGTGGACCGATCGGCGGCAGCCTGAATGCAGCCTAGCAGATGGGGCTCTGCCTGGTGACTCTGGTGTCTGTTGCAGTGGCTGATTCTCTTAGATGCACTATGGACATCGCATTGTGTTCTGCCAAAGGCCCTAGTGTGCGAGGGTTGACTTGATACTCATGTGCCCCAGATCAGATACTGTCATCCGTGGGTTGGGCGCTTGGGTGGAGAGTCCATGATGAATGCGGATATGTTGCAGTGCTGTATTGACTTCACCCAGAGAACAGGCTTGGACATTGCCATGCCATGTCCATTTATACAGAGAAATGTCATGAGGCCCATTGAAATGTTTAGATGGTTTCAGTTGGCTGATCATTAGCTTCTCAAGGGCACACTTCACTACAGTGATATCAACCACTGGAAGAATGGTTTTCTGACCACCCCTGAGACGTTTCGAAGTCTTGAACATTTTGGGGAATTCCCCTTCTCTGTCTGGATGCGCAACAAGGCCATGCTCGGCTGGATGCACGGCTCCTGAATCGTCATCAACCGCGGCGTGGAGAACGCAACGACCTGGGACCATTTCTGGTTCGTGTGCAACGTATGTGACTGAATCTATCTACCCATTTTGCAGACTTTTCCATTGGGTACGAAACACGAGCACTAAGAAACGAACACTGCGCAGGCTTTGGCTAAAGGGTACGAATCTTTTGGAAACAACGCAGGAGGTGGCACCGAGGCATCCTGTCTATCCCTGGAGTCATTGCGCAAGTATCGCTGGTGATGGGACTTGTTGGAGAGCTAGTCGCTTTAGCAATGTAAGCCTGCCTCATTCCCTTCCCTTCTTGATTTGTGTCTCACAGAAACTTGATGCTTACTTCATCCTCTGATTGATACAGACCATTTATGCTCTATGGCGTGGAAGCCTTGCAATGCTAGATCTAAACACAAGATCCTGGTCAAACTGTCCTGTTTCTGGAGGCTAGTACCGGCATGTGGCCTTCCAAGGGCTGTGTTATACGTCATGCTTGCTTCCGGTCTTCTGATAGCCAGAGTCTCTCATCTGCATGCTTATTAATGAAATGGGTGAGATATGATAAAGATCCAACCTTATCCAAGACCTCAGAAGCACTGCCTACCATATTTATGCATTGAGGGCCATGGTCTATCGGAACAACGTAAAACCGGGAATTATCTAGGTATCAGGTGGAGTTGAACACCAATGGATCTCAAGGGGGTTTCTGTCTGATGTATCAAGTATCTGTACAGCTGTACTGTGAGTGTTCAAGCAACAGACCTGGCGTCTCGACTGTGGTCTGCACAATCCGAGTCTACTTTGACTGCACTGGAAGAAGCAACATCAGTGCTGCTCTACCACAGGTTGAAACTTTTTCATTCAGAGACGTGTACCAGCGCACTTGCTTGTGCAGGTAGATTTGGCAATACGGAATAGGAACAACGGTGTGACGTGCGATGCATGGCGTCTCACAAACACGCGGGCGCTTGTGATGTCAAGCATTGAGTTTGCTCCCTACACCTTCTATACAAAACAGGGTGATTCAAGGCAGTCAGCCAACATGGTGCTGGTAAGCTTAGACAGGTGCCAAGAATCGTGTGAGCAGTCTACTCCTGCCCAAGCTATACAGTGCCTGGTTTGGGTCGGATCGATCACGTCAAAGCAAACGGGAATAATACCACGATGTGCCCCCCTCCTTAGAATTTTTCCCATGCCAACTTCGATCAGTGAACCTATCAACAGCAATAGCGCCTCAGAAAATGCGGCGATGCGGCGCAGCATGCGTTGTCCCATCTCCAGCCGGAGCCGCCCAATTTACGCGCGGAGCATGCAGTCTTGGGGCACCTGGCACATGAAACTCTGGCCCTCACATACAGCCTCGAGAGAACTCGAGAGCCAACATGCCTGACCATCAAGAGACCTGCACTCTGATAAGTTTCACAGAAGATGAGTGGCTGGCTCATCGCCGAGCACACCAACGATTGTTTGACCAGGTCGCAGCGATGGAGGCTTCGCAACTTGACACGTCTCAAATTCCACAGAATCGTGTCATCTTGCCTGGGCTGTAACTATTCTGCTCAAATTCATGTGCCACTTCTTCACCGATTGATTAGACTAAAGCAAGAACTGTTGGCTGCAGCTTCCAGGATCCTCAAACATGAGCAGCCAGTTTGACCAAATATTCCATTCAGAGTGTGGGAGAAGCCAGAAATGAAGCATCATTCAACATAGCTGAGAATGGAAAGGTGAAGTGGGCGGGTTGTGACAGACTAGAGGCTCACAACATATAAGGTTGAGGCTCCTCCGCGGAGGATGAATGCGAGCATGGTCTGAGGTCACAAGTTCAATACCACAATTGAGCCGATCAAACCACTCTTTCGAGGACTCGTCAAAACGCCAGCAGTCATCAAAACCCAAATCTACTATATAGTTTGCTCTTTGGGCTCTTGCAATACATCATCAGCACCTACATGCACTACCTTCTATCGAGTCTTCTTCATATCTCTAGCACATTTCAACCATTCATCATGAGTCTCGCTATGAACACTTCAGCTTCCGTGCCAAGCGGAGATGCGTCTTCTAGAGATGTCGCTCTTGATACAGAGGCGATAGAGCAGCTCAACAGTCCACACGCCAAGGTTTTGCTCGACATGATCGACAGTCTCCGGGAACTCCGAGTCGGCGAGATTGTCCAACTGCCTCAGATCATCGTGGTCGGCGACCAATCTTCCGGGAAAAGCTCTGTTCTTGAGGCCATTTCCGGGATAAACTTCCCAGTCAATAGTGACCTGTGTACGCGATTCGCAACGGAACTCGTTATGCGGAGGCATCCTGAAACCAAAATCACGGTCAGCATCCAGAAAGCAATGAGGCCAGCCGCCGCTGGACACGATGGCGAGCAGGAAGAGTCTCTTCCCTTCCACAAATCGAGCTTGGATAAGGACGCTCTGCCGGATATTATCAGCGAGGCTCGAGAGCGTATGGGTATTAGAACTGGTTCAAAGCGGTTCTCCAAGGACATCCTTCGCGTGGTGGTTGCTGGGCCCGATGCCCCCGAGCTCACTCTTGTGGATCTTCCCGGCATTTTTCACTCTCCGACCTCAGAACAAACACTGGAAGACAAAGAGCTTGTCAACGAGCTAATTGAAAAATACATGCAAGAGAGCAAAAGCATCATACTGGTGGTGGTTGCAGCAAACAACCAGCTAGCGAACCAGTCGGTGTTGAGCCGAGCCAAGCAACACGACCCACACAACAAACGCATTGTCGGTGTGATCACCAAACCGGACCTAGTCGACGGTTATGCCAATGAGAAAAAGTATCTCGATCTCTGCAGGGGACTTGAGACGGCCCACAAGCTATCGCTCGGCTGGCATGTCTTGCGCAACAGCTCGGAACAGGCAAGACGCGATGTCTCTCATGACAGAGACCGCGAAGAGCAACTCTTCTTCCAGAGAGGTGTCTGGGCTTCTCTTCCTCCTGCGAACAGAGGAATAGGAAGCCTTCGGAATAAGCTCAGCAAAGTGCTTCTTGAGCACATCAGGGAAAGCTTGCCGGGCCTCATCCGAGAGATTGAGAACAGTCTCAGCGCACGTGAGGAGGAGCTGCTGCAGCTCGGGAAACCCAGGTCCACTCTAGAAGAGATGCGATCATATTTGATGGGTATAGCGGAAGAATTTCAGCGTTTGGCTCGCGATGCTGTTGATGGTAGATATGGAGATCAATTCTTTGGCGACCTGTCTGAAGTCGACCGGAAGCTACGAGCTCGGCTTCGGCAGATGAATCGCGCCTTTGATGATACCATGATGAGCAAGGGTTCTACTTACAACATCGTCTGGAACATCGAAAACGACTCAAACGACCACACAGGCGACGACCATCACTCAGATGACGACCGCTCTGAGAACGGCCATTCGGACGGCGACAGCTCAGACGATGACGACGAAGAAGTTCCCGATCATTTGCAACGACTGATCGAATCATACCAGGGGAACTTCTCAGATCCTCTTTCGATCACGAGGTCAAATCTCACAGATGAGCTTGAGAACCTGGCATCTTTGAACCAGGGCAAGGAGCTTCCTGGGGTCCCAAACGCGGAACTTGGTTTCCAGTTTTTCAAGGAACAGGCAAAGCCCTGGCGGCAGATTGCTGAATTCCATTTGGATCAAGTCCAGGTCACCAGCAAAGCATTCGTGGACTGCCTCTTTGGACGTGTCATCGGAGGAGATCATGGTACCACTGAAGCCATACTGAAAGGTTGCGCGGACCCCTTTTTCGACAAAAAGAGCACTCTGCTCGTGGACAAACTACAGGAACTCCTGCGGCCATACACAACCGGTTATGGCCTTCCACTTGAGAGAGAGTTTCGGAAGAGAACCTTGCGGCACAACTCTCAGCATTTTCTAATGGCGCTGGAGATCGAAAGTCCCGAACTCTTCCAAGTCGGTGGAAAGGCAAGGTTACGTCGCGAAGATATCTTAGAAAGTATTGCCAAAGCAGAGAGCCTGTATCGAGGTGAGTTCGGCACAGATCAGGTTATTGACATGATGAAGGTTCACTACGAAGTAAGTTCTGCGATTATTACATGCCATTTCAATTATGTGCTAAATTCAGCTTCCCAGATGTCACGCAGCACTTTCATTGAGAATGTCATAAACCTCGCAGTGGAGAACTGCCTCATATGCGACATTCCAAGCATTATGACACCAATGGGAGTCAGTCGAATGACTGAAGAGACACTGAGGGGCTTGGCATCCGAGTCTGACGAAATCTTGTCGAAGAGAGAGGTCCTCCAAGAACAGACGAGATTACTACGAGAAGGTCTTCAAATATGCCAACAACACAGACGCAGGGTGTTGGCAGGTACATAAGTTGTCCGTTTCCAATCCTACCCTTGCTCATCTCTGACCATCAGCACGTGCAGCGCCTCCAACGTTCACAGGTGTGTCTACTCCGGAGCGACAGAGGCTGCCAAGTTCAGGTAAGTTTTCATGTCTCTATGCATGTCCAAATATCATCAAGTTCACAATTGACGACCTTCCAGCTCCATCCACACTGCAGGTGAGCAGCAATAGTCGGGCAGGACCACTATTTCCAAGTAATAACGCCCAGCACACAGGCATCATCCCCCGGACACTTCTCGGCTGTAGCCAGCCCGTTTTCTAACATATCATCGATTGTGACACCATCACCAACCCCAGACTCTCGAGCAAAGGGTCGCGCATTGGCCTCAAGCTCAACCAAGAATGGCAGAAGCAGCATCAATTCAGTCACAGGGGACACCTCGGCTTCAGCGTCTCACCAGCCGAGGTCCCCCAAGCACAAAGAGCGCTGGCAGACCTACCGTGAAAGGTCTGGGAGTATCAGCAGTGAGCTATAGGCCTCGCCTCGAGCCCTCAAGCTAGCAGAACACTGGTAAGTACCTGAGTACTCGGCAGAATGGAGTCTCGCCAAAGCTCAACTGGAAGGTCCAGGCCGTATAAATTGCTGATTTAAGGTTGAAGGTCGGAATAAAGGTCTGACGAGAATAGACGACCATTTTACTCGTCAGCACATGGAAGCAAATTGAGGACTAGGATAATACACAAGATTGGGTTTATGTTTTGCTGCGTGGTGGTATCATCCAGGACCAAGAATGTGTATTTCAGCAAGATCTGTGACAAACGGATGTATGATTATTGTACTTTGCAATTTGAATGATTTCTCGAGGTGCTCCAGCGCTACGATTTAAGGTAACGGTATGAGCCTTCTGAAACACACGTCGACCTGAACAGGATATGCTTTGGGGTGGCATAGAAGCCCTCCTGATTTTGATCTACCTTTCAACCTTGCAATGGACCCCTGCTATTGCCTAGTGTGTCTCCTGGCCGCTTAAAACAGCTTTCTCATTCGGCTCGCTTCTGCGATAGACAGATCCAGTGGCTGCATCCCTCTTCTGCAGATAGATAGCGAGTGACAGTGTCAACGCCGCGCATACAATAAACGCAACGGTCGTGGAGTTTCCCACCAGGAAATGCGGTGCGTATGTTGTGTTGTATGTCAACAATGGGATCCACGCGTTGAAGGCATATCTATGACTTGTGTCAGTGTTGTGCTGAAATTGCAGTCCAGGCCAAGGTGAAAAGTGTTCTAAGAAATCCAACTCACGCTACCGAGTTAGTTGAACCAAGGATGATCTTTCTTTCCAGGCTGTCCCCGGCCCAGTGCTCATTGACCATCGTCTGTCGAAAATTAGGTCGTGCCTTGAAATGTGTCATCAACATCATGGTAAACGTACGAGGAATACAGGGCCTGAGCCTTGCGCAAAGCTAAAATTTCCAAAGTCAGTAACACTTCCAAGCAGATATCCAGACCTAAGGACTGACCCAGTGAGGTAGAAAGACGCCCATTTAAGACCAAACGGCACGCCATCCCAAATGGCCAAGTTCATGGCAGCGAAGACGCAGACCGCCAACGAGAAGTAGACGATCGGTGCGCGGACCTGTAACGAGTCGCTGGTCCAGCCATAGCACAGGGTGGTTACGATGGTGATTGCGTTTAGGACCGTGGGATACGTGTTTATCTCTGGCACGGTGTAGCTGCAACAGTGTTAGAGCTGGTGAAGCTGATAGGCATCGAATGGACCAGCGCTTACCGGTTAAGGCTCTTCCGCCACAGGTTCATGTAGCTTCCAATGTTCTCGCTGCAAATGAAGAATCTAATGTGCTCGTCAGATTCCCGTCGCCGAACATTTTGAGCACTTGTTCTCACGTGTAGTAAGTCGTGTAGACCCAAAAATGCCACTTCTTGAGAATGCGCTTCGCCTCTCGCCACGTGAATGGCTCCTCGAGCTGCTTGCCTGCCCGCTTCATTCGGTCGAGGGCGAGCAGCTTCTCCTTGGCAGTCAGCCAATGCACGCGGGTGTTGCTGGGAAGATCTGGTAGAGCATAGTAGGCTAGATACGTCAGTTACAAGACGACTACTCCAATTAAATGAGGTATAAAGGCCTTACCCCATAGAGCCATTGGCAGCGTTATTACCCCATCGAAAATGAATAGCCAACGCCAACCCGACAATCCATGCTCACCGTCCATGCCGGTGTAAAGAGCAGCTTGCTGTTTTATATGTCAGAGAAACACTTCAACGGACTAAGCTTGCCGGACACGAACCAGACATCCACTGAACATCGAGCACACGAAAGCGCTGGCAAAGAATATGCAGATCCTCCTGCGCAGTGACTTCTTTTCCACCGGGGATTCCCCACCGCTTGAAGAAGAGGACCCAACAGGCGATTCCGACGCCGAGACGACGGCCAGTTGGTCATTTGAGTCTTTCATGGTGAGGATCGCAGGCAAGAAGCACAAAACAATAATCGAGGCGAAAGAAAAGTAGTCTATTCAGAATTTGCTCCGGCCTCCCTTCCAACTGCACGCAGAGACAGAAGCTGGTATTTGAACGGCCCGAGGCCTGCCGATAGGCAGGGAAAGATTGCAGAATTCGGCCTCCCGCCACGGGCATCCTCATGATACCATCGATAAGAATGCCTCGCTTCTAAAGTCGACGTCCGTAGTTCGCAGCACCCACGGCATGTCGGTGCCGCTGATTGGTGCGTTGCGCTTTCGAGCTTGGCTCGTCTTGTGTGGAGGCCATGACACCATCTGAGGGGTTGCATTGGGATGTCGACAGTTGGTGATCAACCAGAATTGTTGGCTTTCACGAATGAGACGCAAATAAATGTGTTCCCGGCTTGGGTATATTGAAACCATTGCGAAAGTAAACCAAAGTTGCCCAGATCTCATGATGTCTCCTGCCCGGACAGCAGCAGGCCTCCCTGCTTACGAATATCCCAAGGGGACTGAGGAGAAACGTATGTATCTGTCTGTGAAGGAATATTACAAATGTGTAAGCGACTAACGAATGTGTTACGTCATAGTGGAGTATGCGGATCTAGAGGCTCTCGACATCTCGAAGCTCGACCAGCCAGGCGGGAAGCAGGCCCTGGCCGAGCAGGTCCTCAGCTTCATCAACAAGAATGGTTCGCTGCGGTGCGATTCTGTCACCTGAAAAGGGCGCCAACTAACAGAACCTCACGGCCAGGCTTTTTCTACGTCGTCGGCCACGGCTTCACAGACGAACAAGTCCGGCGGCAGTACGCCCTCTGCCAGGCAGTCCTCGACCTCCCGCTAGAGGAGAAGCTCAAGTACCAGTGCAACACGGCGGCCGGCGACTTCAGGGGCTACAAGCCGCAGTCGACGGGCAAGCTGGCGGCGCGGGACAACGATGAGCGGTACAACATCCCCAAGTTCACGCCGGAGCACGAGCGGCCCCACCCGCAGCCGATCCTCGACCACTGGGAGGAGATCCGCGGCTTCTCGCGCAGGGCGCACGACGCGCTGCTGCTCCCGCTGCTGCGGCTGTTCGCGGCGGTGCTGGAGCTCGGGGACGAGGACTTCTTTGTGCGGCGGCACCGCTACGAGGCCGAGGGGCTCGAGTACCTGCGGTACATGCGGTACTTCCCCCGCTCGAGGGAGGAGGACGCCGCGGCGGGGGATATCTGGGCCAAGGGGCACACTGACTACAACACGCTGACGTTTCTGTTCCACCAACCTGTCGCGGGCCTGCAGGTGCAAACGCCGGAGGGGCAGTGGAAGTACGTCAGGTCGCCGCGGGATGCGGTCATTGTCAACATCGCCGACGCGCTCGAGTTCCTGAGCGGCGGGTATCTGAAAAGCACTGTGCACCGCGTCGTGCGGCCGCCTGAGGACCAGGCGGACCGGCCGCGGCTGAGCCTGATCTACTTCGCGAGGCCAGAGGCGAACATAATCCTTGAGCCGGTGGACAGCCCGCTGCTGAAGCGCATCGGGCTTGGGGAGAGGAGTGAGAAGGAGAAGTTTGCGCGCAAGGTGACTGCTGAAGGTACGTGGTGTAAGTATGGTTCGTTGACGAACTGTGTGATTGCTGACCAGGTATTCGTGGGTTGCAGAATGGGCGCGCGCACGCGTCGCCAAAGACCATCGGTTCCGCACCGGGGTCGTGGACCAGCGGGAAAAGGAGATCATTGCTGGGGTGGCTCAAACGTATTACGACTAGATTGACGAATAAGAATGCGCAACGAGGAGACCAAGTGAAGATTTCCAACCGTGTACGTGGTCCGCAACAGCATTGGTCATGTGGCCTGTTTGCATATCGTCAGAAGAGAAGCGTGAACTCACTCCTGATGTTATTCTGTCACTGTATCATCTCGGCCAAGAGTTGTTCTCAGTCTAGTAACAGTCTCTGAGACAAGTGTTCATCAGGCCCCGTCCCATCCCCAATCTCATCCAGGGCACTACGTGTCGTGCTGAGACGGACCTCGGAGCCAGGTAACCTGCTCAACTTCTCCCGAGCCATCGCCTCCTCCTCATCATTTACAAGCCCCATGACCTCGACCACCAGCGGTGGACGGGAAACCCAGTCAAGCGAGGAGTAGGCATTAGCCTCGACGTCAGCCACCCCCGGGGGCTGCCCTACATGTAAGAAGCGGTCCAGCACCCACCCGACCCTGCGGCAGCACCCAACCGCGCAGTAGCACTCCTCAAAGGCCAGGGCCAGGCGGTCCAGGGTCATGCGCTTGATGCAGTCGATGCGCTCGACCCAGTCGATCTCGAGGTCGAAGTTCTTCTGCCCGTGGAGGGCCCGCAGCGCCTCCCCCGGCGCGAGCGCCCCCGCGTCGACGGAGCTCTTGATGGCGTAGCTCCTGTACAGGTTCGCGTAGTCGTCGCCCGGGTGGTCCCGCATGTCGAAGGTATAGCTCACGTCGCGGAGCGGCGCGTTGTTCGTGCGGCTCCCCAGGTCGCGAGTGAAATCCTCCTCGCTGGACCGTCCGAGAGTATCGAGCAGGTTGCAGTATGCAGGACGCCGGAACCGACCGGCGGGGAAGATGAACTGGTTCCTGCCGAAGAAGATCCGCGCAGCCTCGTCGTGCACTGTCCGGCTCACCCCTTGGACCAGGCCGAGTACTCTTGGCGCACGTTGACCGTCCCCCATCGCAACAAGTTCCTGCTCGAGCCCCTTATACCGCAGGTAATAAAACCCATCGTTTGTTCTGTAGTGCTTGACGGGTTCCAGGTCTCCCGCCACGCCCCCGCTGTTCGGTACGATGACCTTGCCTTTGCAGAGCGCATGGCTGTAAATCAAGTCGCGGATTTCAGACGGAAGGTCCATGAACCGATGGAACTCGTCGCGACGCGCTTTCCTGCACATCTTGGCCATGCTGCGAAGCTGACAGGACAGAGCGGTTAGAGATGAAGTTGTGAAGTTCAAATGAGCGGGGATGTCGTAACATGTCAAAGGGACCCACGCCTCCAGGGTTAAACCCTGCGGGGCCTTGGGCACCCAAGGCATCACTGCACGCAGTATGAGGAAGACCATACTCCATCCCTTCCCGCTACGACCAAACTAACTTCTCTATTGGCAACGTCCCAGTGCAATTTCCCAGACGAAATTGTATTCACTACAGTATTGACCACTTATTATTATCGAGTTCGGAAAGAGGAGATCAACCAGAAGCCTAGTATTCAAGTAAAAGACCGCAGTAACGGCCAGTATGCAAAAGGAAATTCAGTCAGGCAACACAGACTCGGATAAAGTAGTTAGACCATTCCTACTTAGAGGAGAAATATAGAGCCCTGCTGCAGATGAAAAGAGAAAAGAAAGAAGCACTTGAGAAGTGAAGGGAAAGGAAAAAGACGAAGAGAAAGAGAAGAGGAGAAGGCTCATTTGACGAAGAATTGTAGGCGGTGATGTTCTCAAGCGTCAACCGAGCACAGGGATGCACAAACGGACGACAGGGTCTTGTCTAAAAGGTCTGTTCAGACGTATTTGTATAGCTAAACCCGAAAATCTCCATGTCACGTAAGCATTTCCAATCTAGTCTCAATCTTATTCCGTATCCCAAGTGTAAGTCAGGCATGACATCGAAGCACCAATGTCAAAATCAAACGCCCATCCAGTCACAGCAGCCGCGATATCACAAGAGACGAAAAGCAAGTTAGGTAGCCAAGTACCCGTGTCATGTTTGTGTGTGGGTGACCCCGAGAAAACCAGAATCCATTTCAACTCCCAGGTGTATGTGTGTTGTGTGTGAAGCATCACTCATCATCCCCCATCGAAAAGAGAATCGATGGAGAAAGAAACCCAAAAGGGGAGCGCCCCAGGAGCCCCCCACATCCGCCCGCTGTACCACACCATATTTTTTGATCTATCAGTCTTTCGTCGGCGGAAGAAAGTTTAAAAGAGAAAGCAGAAAAGTAGGGAAAAGCTCCTTGATCCAATTCCCATCCAATTCTATCCAGAACCCAACGCGGATACTAGCCTAAAAAAGGTGTCTTTTTTAAAAAATGCAGAAAACGAGGGAGACGGCCTGGCGCCTCCCAAGGGGGAATCATCTTTATTGTCTGAGGTCGCTGTAAAAGGCAACGCAACAGAACAGGAAAGCAGAGAAAAGTGGTACCTTGAACCCCAGTGTGTGAGGGAGAGGAAGAGGGTTCAAGGCGTTTAGAAGCTGAAACGCCGACGTTGTTTTTGTTGTTGTGGTGGTGGTGTCGTACCCGACAGATCCTCGCGCTTCACTTCCCACCAAGAGCAAGAATGAATTGTATGTCTCCTAAGGGTCGGCCGCCTTCAGTCCCTCGGGTCGTAGATCCTGCTCTTGATGTACTTGGTCAGGGCGACATCGCCCCACTCCTCCCACTCGTTCCACTGCGCCTCGGGCAGGGCGCTGACGCCCTCCCGCCTGGCGGCCTTCATCACCTCGCGAGCAACGATGATGCTGGCCTCGCGGACGCGCTCGATGCGTGGGTAGATGAGACCCTTGTGGATCTCCTCGGCGTTCAGGGAGCCAGCCAGAGCGGCGGCGGACTCGTAAATCATGGTGTCGGTGACCCTTGTTGCCTTGGCGAGGATGGCACCCAGACCGATACCGGGGAAGACGTAGACGTTGTTACCCTGGTTGGGGTGGTATGTGATGGCCTGGTCCGCAGTCTTCACGGTGTATGAGCTAAATGGCGAGCCGGAGGCAAAGATGACACTGCCCTCGGTCCAGTTGATGGCCTGCTCGAAGGTGCACTCCGCCTTGGTGAGAGGGTTGGAGAGAGGGAACAGGATGGGCCTGCGGCCAAGGCCGCCAGAGTCGACGGACGCCTTGAGCGCACGCACCACGCTCTCGGTGAAGACGCCGAAGGTAGCTGTCAGGCCAACAAGGGCGGATGGCTTGACGTACTCGATGACCTCCTCGAGCGTGCGGAACTGGTGGCCGCCGTTGTCTGTACGAGCGAAGTACTTCTTGTGCTCAGCCAGCCTGTCGCCACGGTCCTTGGTGACAAGGCCCTTGGTGTCGACAAGCCAGAACTTCTCCTTGGCGGCCTGTTCCGAGAGACCACGGCGAGTGTAGTACTCAACGAGCTGCTTGGCGACACCAACACCTGCAGATCCAGCGCCCATGAAGACGAGTCGCTGCTCTTCTAATGGGACTCCAGAGAGGCTTGCAGCACCGATATATCTGGAAGGACCGTGTTAGTCACAATTTACCAAATAGTAGGCGGGGAAAAGCGGCTTACCCAGCCAGCACGACAGCACCAGTTCCCTGGATGTCGTCGTTGAAGCACTTGTACTGGTTACGGTAACGGTCGAGGTAGTTGAAAGCCTTCTCAGACTCGAAGTCCTCGAATTGCACAACCATTTCTGGGTAGACCTCCTTCGCGGCGGCCATGAACTCATCGGCAAAAGCCTGCTGCTCAGCAACGGATGGGCGCTTCTGGCGGAGGCCGAGGTAGAGCTCATCCTTCAGGTTGGTCTCGTTGTTGGTACCGCAGTCCAGAACGATAGGCAGGGTCTTGCTAGGGTGGATACCGGCGGCCGCAGTGTAAAGAGCGAGCTTGCCAATGGGGATACCAATGCCGTTGAAACCCAGGTCACCAAGACCAAGGATACGCGAGCCATCAGTGACGACGCAGATCTCAGGGGCTGGGTAAGGCCAGTTCTTCAGGATGGTCTTGATAGACTTTCGCTGCTTAATCGAAATGTACAAGGCCTCTGGGCGGGTGTAAAGGGTTGAGTACTGCAGGCAGACATCACCAATAGTAGGCGTGTAAACGAGCGGCATCATCTCCTTGCCGTGGTCCATAAGCAGGCGGTAAAAGAGATCGGCATTTTGGTCCTTGACCGATGACAGATACAGGTACTTGTCAACATTGGTCTGGCGGGAGCGAATCATGCGGAGAGCACGCTGGCATCCCTTCTGGAGGTCCTCAATCTGATGAGGGATCAGACCGGTGAGGTTCTTCTTGGCACGGTCTTCTGGTTGGAAGGCAAGACCTGTACATAATTTAGTATAAGATGGTCTTGGTGGTTGGGATTGCTACTGACCCTTGTTCCACAGCGGCTCCCGGAGGACCTGGTAGCCAGTAGCCTGGTACTCTGAGATGTACTCGGTCTGGCGGGTTTGTTGGACCTCTCCGTATGTGTCTTGCCTGTAGCCACGCAGCTGGTCGAGCTGCTGGGCCTTCATGGCCTCTTCGATGCCTTGGATATCGACGGAAGACATTGGGTTAAATATTGATATCCTTCTTGAGGATACTGACATACGCTTGGAAATAGAAGTGAGGGAGGTGCGACCAGTCGAGGAGGACGGAGAAGCAGACCGAGGTGTTGATATATCTGAACTGGAGGAGGAGTAAGGATAGGGAACCGAAGCCATTGGCATGGGGATCGCTCTGAGGAGTGTTTGTGTGAGCGAGGAGAGGAGGAAAAAGGTAGAAAAGGCGAAGTTGACGGCAACTTTTGTAAGCGGGCGAGAGGGTGTGGTCGACTTGGGGGTCGAGGATTCCGAGGAGGGCTGATGGAGCAGTCGGGTACAGAGCGGGTACGATGATTTGACCAACTGCGGCGACGGGTCTGGATGAACAGGGTTGGCAAGGTTGTCGGTATTAGTGTTATTAGGAGATCGGGCCTGAATACGACCTAGGCGGCAGCTGGATGCAGCAGAGGCAGAGGCAGATGCAGAAGCAGATGCAGCACGCGAGCAGGATGGGGCTTGATTAGCTGAGAACGGGACCACACGGCGACGGACTGCTGGAGACAGTGGCAGCCGTCGGGCGGAGACAAATACTCCTTTTAAGGCCATCGACAACGCCATGAATGTAGAGTGACTTGAATTTTGGCTTGTGAGGAGGATTGGCCCTTGCAGGGTCGGAAGAATGAGGAAACGCCCGGGCAGGGTCTGTAACAAGTTGTGCAGCCCTGGTGTCAGGCGGTTTCAACTTGTGCCGTGCGTTCCAGCAAGACAGACCCCAAAAGGAGATGGCCCAGGCTCTTGTCGCCCGAGACAGGCCTCTCTTATTCCCTTTTGGATATTGGCCACGACTCTGGCAAGAATGCAAAAGAGTCAGCGACTTCTCCACGCGGCCGACGGCCTCGGACCAAGACGAGAACCTCCGCAATTACTCACGGTTTTTTCCTCTTTTCCCCGCGTGGCAACCCACAGGATTGGCAGGCTGTACGTAAAACCTGGCGGGGTGACAAGCCCGGCCGAGTCGTGTGCGTTACCTGGGGGGCGGGTTTGACTTGGTGCCCAAGAGTTGGCGCAGCAAGAATACCGGCACCTCAGTCTCGATCAGGGGGTGGCCGCCCCGACGGGACAGGATTCGAGGGTTGTTGGTCGGGTGGGAGGCGGATCAGCTCTGTTCTGGGCCAAGCTGGTCTGGGGGATTCGAGTGGCACACACAGCTGGGTATTTTTGGGCAGGATCCGTCGAGAATAACTCCCCTCGATCAAGAGAGCCAGCGTGTGCCCTTTTTTCCTCTGGGCTTATGGATCATGGTTTCTGGTTTTGTTCTCCCTGATATGCTTTTCTCGTTCTACAGGCCAACCTTAATTCTTATGGTAAGCTGACGAGTCGTCGTGGCCGATGGTCGGCGTGAATACGGGCGCGGCCAGCCAGTCACTCAGTCAACATGATCACGAAAAAGAGACATGCATGGAGACGGCCATGTCTGATACAGTGACTACGGTGCCGGGGGTGGATTTCGGGGTAGCTTGGCCGTCTGCGCCCAGAGCTGTCGAGCCAAATCGTTGGGAACTGGGGCTTCGCTCGCCGACAAACTCAACTGAATGAAGTGAACTCAACTCAGCGCTGTCGATCCAATCCTCGTCTCCCCGGTTCTGCACGAAAACGAGTGGGGGCCTGGGTCTGGGTTCAAGGCTGGGGGGCAGGGACCAGGGGGCAGGGGCCAAGGGGCACGGGCAGGGACCGGGGCAAGCTTGAGGCACGCCGCTTCCCTGTCAGGGTTTGCCAATGTCGGGGTGCCGCTCCTCCTCCTCGTAGTCTGGGCCCGGGTGCCAGGGCCCAGGGGGGCTGTCCAGTCCTTTCCTTTCCCGCAGGCCGGACTCCTCCACTCTTGACTGCATGCCTTCTTTTGGCGCTGACGGCCACGTTCAACAGCTGCAGAGTGGTGTAGCTGGCAGCTTCGAGCTGGGCTGAAGTGCTGAGGAATCCCGATCTATTCTCATTTCCCGAGCGTGCCCTACCATTTTCTCGGGTGTGCCAACCGACGAGAGAGAGGCTAGGAAAGCAGGCAGCAAGGGGAGAGGGGACCTGCCTCTTGCTCTGAGTTATGATAGTCAGGCAGTTCGGAGTAGTCTGCTCCAAGGGCAGATGGCCAGGAGACCGCCGCCAATTGCGGCTCGTGTAATGATCCATCACTCATCATACTTTCCCGTGTCGAGCAGAGAAAAAACTGGAAACACGGTTTCGGGGTCACTGTGACCTTTGACGCGGCTCGCGGCGTCTCCGCCCGGCCAATGGTTCCCCCACATTCAATCAATCAATTGATGTCGTCGACATCAATAGCAACTTGAAGAAGTGGAATGGCGAATGAGCAAGGGCCCCCCCCCCCGCTCGACGGTCGGTCCCAGTCCGCAGGAAGAGCCCACTTTACGAAAAAGATCTGGGTGCTGACGAACCTTGTAATTCCAGACAACATCAGATTTGGGCACGACCTGATGATTTCCTGGGGCAGTGGGAAGATTTGCCATCTATTGCCGGCCTCGCGGTCTTATGCACGGCATCATACCGCTCGGGAATATTCAGCGATCAAATAGCCGCATGAGTCCACCGTATCTGGGCTCCTCTTTATTTGAGCCTCATCAGCCGCAGTGGCTACGAAACATCACCTTCTGGTCTGCTGTTTCTGCCGTCACCTCCTCCTCCTCCTCCTCAGAGTGTCCCGTCCGAGCTCCTTCCAGAACTTTTTTCCTGATCGGCTTGGCAAGCACGCGGTGCCGGGGTACCAGGGTACATTGCAGGGGGGCCCGCTGACGTGCCTTCCGAGTCTTCCCGACTGCGACATGGAACAAGCGCCTGAAGCTGCAGCCCACGCCGGCCTCGCCAGGCCTTCCCGAGTCTAGCTTCTGGATCGGGAAAGGTCACCCTGTTTCCCCATCCCCATCAAATTGCGCGCCCGGCCGTGGAGCCGCCCAGCCAGCCCAAGTCCAGCTTGGTCGGTTTCAGGGTCCTCGTTAGTCTTACTTTACAGTACGTGTACACGGTAGACGTGTACTCATCACCGGCAATCTCTAGCCTTCTGCTCACCGAAAGCGGGCGCCGGGCACGGTGAGGGCTGGGTGAGATGTGATGAGGGTTGACGAGGGGGTGACGGAGCATACGACACATGCATTTTTTGTGCCACCTCCTTCTCCTTGCCGCACCTCTCGGCTCGTATCAGCAGCACAGGCAGAAGCAGAAAACTATGGTGCAGCAATATGGGAGCATGAAGGCCGTGAAACCAGCACTCTTATCACGATTCACCTGCGTCTGATGTGCGCAGCGGGTGCTGGTGGTTCCCTCACACCCCCCCCAGTCCCCACTTGTCTCAAACGGTCGCCAACGATCCAGTTCCGTTGGTCTATCGGTCTGATAACACTCAGACCCGGGCGCTCGTACACGATCGATTTCCACTGGCCAAGCTTTTGGCATGGTCTTGGAAAAGCTTCGCTTGGGAGCATCGAGCGCATTGACACCGGTCGGGGAGCGGCGTTACACACATGGCGGCGACTACATCAGATTATCCCGTGCCCCCACAGGCTGTTTTATCCTTTGGACAGTGCGGTCCTGACTGAAATAGGTGCAATAATTACAATGTCTGCAAGTCAACAAACAACATGTCGCGTGGACAGTAAGTAGTACGGGCCGTCTGATCTCCAGTCCCGCCTCCCGCGCAGCCGGCCGTCGACCACGGGCCGTTCGAGCTAGCTCGCATCGGCAGTAGGGTGAATCCTTTCCTGGGATGGCAATCGCGAAACCTTGGGCTCGCGCCAGTCTCAACGTTTCCTAGCTCAACGCGACTCGTTGACACATGCTCGAGCCCTAACTCGTCGTGCCTCGTAGTTGTAGTATACTTCTTCATTAGCGCTGATAGCTGCAACACTGCTACTTGTAGACTACCGCCCATCTGCAGCACTTCCGACCTGTCACCGCAACAACATGCACTGATTCCAGACCGGTGCTCGCGGACGATTCAAGGGTCGTGCTACCGCTCATGTTGCTGTGATAAACCATCATGCGCATCAAATCACTCCATAGACTACCTAAGCATGCTTTGAGGTAACATCACAGCCTTCGTTGAGATGTCACACCCCACATCTCACTAGCCACTGCAACACCAGATCTGCCGGTATTCCCAAGCGCACACTTATTACACGCACGCTACTGACATTCATACATGGCCGCCATTCCAAGCCTAGCCCTCCTGCCTGCTGGGGTCCATCCGGCTGTCATGCACGCATGGAAAAGCCCAGGCGATAGTGCGGGCACGCGACAAGCCATCGGCGCCTCCCCAACGAAATCTAGGCACCATGCACCCGACCCCGACCACACACACACACACACACACACACACACACACACACACATCCGTACCGAGTCCGACCGCCTTCCCGGACCTTGGCGCCGCGGCGGAGTACAGTCATCCTCTGTGCGCCGAAAGGTCGCCAGGCCCCTGGGAAAAGAAAACAAGGCAACCTCCGGCGTTGCGAGCTTGCTCGGACGGACTAGTTACTTACTCCCCTTTCGGATGCCCAAAGGCAAGGGAGGGGTGTGTGCCTCGGTCACCGATCGGGGAGTTATGCTCGATTGTCGGACATTCGGTTTGTTGGCCGAGGCGGCTACCCCAGATTTTCCCCGCGGAGTGTCTTTGTGTGTTCTGGCTAGTTTGTTCGGGATCTACTGGTAGTGTTGAGTTTATTTGCCCGAAGCTATCACGGGTTTGCGGCCGGTGATGGTTTCGTGGGGTGCGAGTGCGCAAAAGCATATACGCAATGCGGGATGGGCTTTAACCTGGATGAGCAGTCTGGACAGGGTTTGATGCTGCATGACGAGCCGCAAGAGGATGTAGAGTGACTTCTTCTCTTGACTGTAATAAACTTATTCTCGATATATCTTGTCCTTCGTTGCAGACCCGGGTCCGTTCAATAATCCCCCTGCTAGCCAAGCCCGAGAATGGCCTCGACGCGTAATCATGAGGTTGCAAGTGCTGATACCAAGCTGATTATGGCGAGACCATGCTAATGCACACTTATCTTGCATTTGTATTCATTGTGCTATCTGTTATCTGATCATAAGGATGATGGTCTACATGTCATCTACGAAATGCAAGGCTGAAATCGTTCATCTTACTTGTCTCAACAGAAACCAACTTCCCGTCACCTTCCTTGGTCGCCTTATTTCTCAACTAGCAGGAACAATCTGAAGATTCAGACGTCCACTCTGACTCTTCATCCGACCAGAACGAAGACGACGTGGTCGAGCTCGTATCGGAGTCCCAGTCGGACAGGTAGTCGTCGCACAGGTCGTCATAGTATTTTCTCTTCATGGTGAGGTCTTGACTTCTTCACTCCTACTTCTACCTTATCTTCTTTGGCTTTTGCGAACCTATTTGAAAGTCTGTTTTGTCAATGAGATCAAGACTGATCCATAATGATAGCGGCCGAAATGTGACATATTTTAAAGCCCTGGGAGGCAGAGAAATCTAGATAGGTCCCTGAAAGTGTCAAACATACATACTGGCTGGAAGCGTCAGTCAGTCATGAGTGTGTCGGATTTCCTAGGTGACTGGTTACTGTGCTGAACTCAGAACAGCTGTATAGTCACTTTTAGAAAATAAAATCATGCCGGTAAGACTGGCTTCCGCTGCAAAGATAACAGTGTTCGCTCCAAGGTATTATCTGAGGCTGGCTACCTTTTGAATTGAACACGGAGATTTGCACCCGCAAAAACGGAGGGTACACCGGTACATCAACTCACGCCATAGCTACAGCTAATCGGAACATATCACCCAGGCCTAATCCACACACCCACACCTAATACCTATACGCCTAACTTGAATAGATGTGCAAATTGGGCGTATAAGTTGGGGGTATTGGGTGTTGGGTGTGGGTGTGGGTGTGGGTACTAGGTGTAGATGCTGGGTATGGGTGCTGGGTGCTGGGTGTGTGAACTCTTGCGTGGTTTAGAGATGGCGATGTATCGGTGTACCCTCCATTTTTGCAGGTGCAAATCTCCGTTTTCTTCGAATTCATTCAGTCATGAGGCAGCAACATACAACGATCAACGTCCCGGTCACTGGATTTCGGCTAATCAGTTGAAAGAGCTTGCATTTTTGCTACCACTTGTCCCATCCATTTCGGTCTCAAACAACAAAGCGTGCAACTTTTCGCATCACCAATTGCAAGACGCTGGCCCAATTATGGATTAGACTATTCTTCCAATATTTGCCGTGTATCACTGGTGGTTTCCTCGACAGATGGGGTATTTTGCTTGATCAGTTCCTCCCATGTAATTCCTATCCACTTCTGAATATTTCTTGGACCTGGAAGTTCGCTCAATGGTTTCCCCTTCCTAATTCGAACTGCTGTACGCGCACCTTTTTTCACCAGAAGCTCCATGAATTTGGCTGCCTCTCGGTGAGTCTGTTTGGCAGCAGTATAAATCGGACATTGCGACCCAGTGCTCGTGTCATGAAGGCCGTCGACGGCAGCGCCGTTTGCTAAGAAGAACTCTGCGATCGCGATTGAACAACAACGTTCTCCCAGTTGTGTGAGCAGGTAACTTGAATGCTCTGAGAGTTGAGGTTGGATCCTCTCGAAACACTCCAGTGCCAGGATCTCTGCCTGCGTGTCGGGCTTTCTGGGTATAACTGCTACGAGGAGTGTCTTGAAATTCGAAATCTTGAAAGTACCCACTGAATCATCCATCACGAGTAAGTTAGACGATACCATCTCCACGAGGTCTGCACGTCTTGTCTGGCCCACGGCTTTCAGCACTTGCACGCCACGTCTGATGCCGTTGGGTGTAGGTTGGTACCACTCGTGGAAGAGATTGCAAGACTGCCCAAACACATCGTAATTTCCATGATCAATTGAAGCCATGAATATGTCTGGGCATAGTAGCAATCTGGGATCTCCGTAGTAGAAATCTTGTTGCGTGAGCTCACCGAGCAAGTGCTTGATAATAGCGTCGGATGATCGTCCCTTGTAAGCGCTCAATAGCAGGTCGTATGTGAATCTCCGTACTGCATCTTCTTCTACTAGGATCATAGACAGATCATTTTCTTGAACTGCGTCGATGAGAATGGCCTTCAATTCTTCTTCGCTCGATGCATTCGTCCGTCCCTGCGTGATGCGGGGCACAGCGTGCAGGTTTTGGTTATGAGCATTGGCCAAATGTGCCTCCAAATCTGTCTCTTTTGCGAACCCAAGAGTGGCAAAAGCACATTCAGAGTGTTCACATTTGAAAGGCCGAATGTGTCTCTGTATATGCTTAACTCTCCTGGATATGGTGTCAAATCCGACCCTGTACAACGGGCATCCCGGCCTGCCACACTTGTAAATACTGTTCCCGTATATGTTCTTCAGTTCCTGACAGGTACAGTCAGGTCGATGCTTGGCTGTCTCACAAAGCATGGATTCGAGCATGTGGCGGAATCTTGCCTCAGTCTCTGTGAATGTGAATGGGTCCATGAAATTCCAGTCTTCATCTGTTCAAACACATTAACGTGGCTTCAAGTGGCATAACAATATTGAGAAATCACGATCGCTTACCATCGTCGAAGCTAACATCTCTCTTACGTATTTTTGAAAAGGAGTGAGCGCTGCCAAGCATGCGCTTGATCTTCTCTTCAGCCGAGTTCATATTTTGCAACCTGCTCGCGTCGTGGGACTCGGATACGATAGCCTCGCCTACGAAACTCGGATTGACTCTCACGTCGATAAGGCGATTCATATCCTTCATTAACCTTTGATACTCTTGCTTTTCGACTTTCTCGATATGATGAAGCCAGTGATTGCAGACGTAGGCGAAGAGAACAAATGCACCGGATCGAACGTGTAGGCCCAATGTGTTGTCGTCGATGTCCACATCAAAACAGCCAGAACTCAAATAGCTAATGCACATTGATGCTACGCACGCATTTGCTGCAGGTTCGGTGAGATAATAGTTGCTCTGGGCGCTGAGAAGATATCTGAGCGAGTGTTAGCACCAAAGTGTCCAATTGGTTTCCAGTTGATGCCCAAAATGAGCGTTTGCAGACGCATACTCCCGAGCACTGAAATGGACGAAGCGAAACTGTCCATCAATTTCCTCAATAATTGGACCACACCGGTCCAGTATGTTCAGGAACAATCCCTTGCATCCTTTGGATGGATCCCTCCCGTGGGCGGTGTAGACGGCAAGTTGAATCTCGTTCTTGCTGAGCGGCACTACAGAGCAAGTGATAAGTGCCAGAATCTGCCGAGCATCGTCGCGTTGGCGTGATTGCAGACCATCTGTGATTCTGGAAAGGATTCTGTCGTATCTGTGTGCGTATTAGTCTATGCTATATAGAGGTTGACTTGAGGGACTGACGCCTCGTTGAGGCCCTCCGGTAGATTTTCCACAGCTTCTTTAATGAAATCAAGATCTCCAAGTAGAACGATGCTATCGCAGACAAGCCGTGCGTACAGGAACATTCCTAGATAGTCAGTTAATTTCGACATCTCACAATTGACTCATAGGATAAAGTGAGCGGGAGAGAAGGAATGGAAAGTATGGGGAGCGAGACTTGTTCTCGTCAAGCTAAGGTTGACCTCCTTCGATGGTTCGGAAGTATATGGGGGCAACATGGGTCGATATCGATGTAGTTACCTTCGGATCTTGCTGCGATTGCTTTCATCTGGTTTGAGATCTCCTGTGCAAGGCCGGGTTCAGCGAGCCTGGCATCCGACACCAAGGAGGAGGCTCGAATGTTGACGTATGCCTCAATATCATGGCTGTTGTAATCATGGACCCGAATAGGCTTGGATTCTTCCGAGATCAGGTTTGAAATGTCGTCTTCGGGTCTGCTGCTGATAAGGACCTTCACATTAGTCTTCGCTTGGAGAATTTCGAGTATTGTCCGTAGAAGTTGAAGCCGCTCAACTTGCAGCATCTCATCGAGCCCGTCGATAGCGATGAAGGCTGTTGGTACTGCATCCAAGAACTGGCTGAAGAGTTCTTTGACGAAGCCAAGGTCGCTCTTAAGACGGCGGTAGTGTTGCTTGTAGGCCAAGATCAGGGGTGCCTGCAAACCGCCATTGTCAAGGGCCATCTGCCAGATGAATGAGTGCAATAATTGGATTGTAGAAATACTTTCTCGGGACTGGTAGTCCAAGAAAGCAAACACCATTGGATCGCCCTTGTCTGCAATGTGCTCAACAACTGAGGAAGATAGGAACGTCTTGCCTTGAGTCGTGGGAAGTCAGTGCCAATAGGTTACTGAGCGGAATTAATTCCAATACGGCTTACCAGCTCCAGGTATCCCCTGTAACCACAGCAGCCTTGTCATTTTATCAGAAGGGTCAATCCAGCTTTTGTGTTCTTCCTGGTCCAATAACCAGTCACCCGACCGAACTACCCGACAAGCTTTCAGTCGTTGCAGGTCTCGGTCGTAAAGCACCGGATTGAGAGAAGATTTGATGGCCTCAAAGTCCTGGCGTTGTCGAAACTCATGCTGCCTTTCAAATTCCTCAAAAGCTCTTTGGCGGGCTGCATGTGCTTCAACCACATGAGCCAATGTTATTGAATCGTCCATGAGTAGTTTGTGTTCCTTAACGTTTTCTATGATCACCCTGATACGTTCAGCTGATTTTGGCCATAGCGCATCGAAGAATGATTTCCATCCTGTGGAAATGATGTGTTATTCTACTGAGCCACCTATCAAAGAAGGTGAGGTAGCAGTTAAAAGCATGCTTCTATATACCTGTGTGGCGGAAGAACTCCATAAATGTGGAGTACAGATCCAAAATATCCTGGTAGAATAGGCATAGCACTTGTTGAATCGGCTTATTGCCCCGGAACAGTTGTGTGTACTTTTCGAAGGCCGGGAGGGAGTGACCGATCTGAGCCATCACGTTGACTAGATTGTCGAAGCTTTTGTTATAGGTGATCGATGTCTGGTTGAGAGTCATGTTAGCTTGGTCTTCACGCGCATCGCCAAATCGGGTCCAGGTACTCACAAGCAGGAGGAATTTGATAGGGCCCTAGATGAGAATCTTTGTGAGCAACTCTACTCAATTAGCCTGAGATATCATACGTACCCATATTAGTGCCAGTATATCGGGTTTCACGGTGACAAACGTCTCGATGACTTCCCCATAGTGTCTTAAGCACTCGAGAAAAGGTTGAATCTTGCCGAGGTTTCGTCTCATTCTCGTGCTGGCCTGTGCTGCTTGTATTTGCTCGGCAGCCTTGTATACCTCGTTGATTGTAGTGAATTCTTCAAAGCTGGCTGGTATTCCTTTAGGAAGCCGGGAGAGGAACTCCTTTTTGGCGCTTTCGAACGCATCAACGAGGGCGTGAGAAGCCATCCTGGTCTCAGTTGAAGGGATGTTGCAGAAGGGAATCTGGGAGGGATTGGAAAATGGCTGCAAGACCCTGATGTTCGGGATCTCAGCTTTTGCCTAGACGGAGCCTGATGGCGAGATGCTCAAATTTCCCTACTTGAATTGGGTGTGTTGCACACTCGCTGCGCCTGCATGTCTACGTTCACTCATGCACGGCGCAGTACGTTGTGCATGCGGGGCCATCTTGGGCCACGTAGCCATCGTTGACTGGTACAACGCCGGCTGTAGGGGGTAAGGCGGTGGCAGGGCAAGGTTTGGGCTGAAATAGGCACCGAATTGGAGCAAGTTGGTCGCCCAACGCAATCGTGGCGGGTTTATTTGGTGACACATGGAGATTAATCACCATCAACCTGTCGGCAGGATCAAGGTCTTCATTTCTACCTACTGCAACAACAGTAGAGTCAAAATCATAGGCTAGCGAGTCAACTTGTAACGAGTATATATTTATATCTTGGACGGCCAAAGCCGAAGTCCACGCAGGGAGGTTGCAGTGGTATGCACCTCGTATTTCTCGCAACAGGAGCAGTGATGTACCTCGACACCTAATTATGCAGCCAAGCATGTGCAATTTGGTAGCGCTTATACATTGGGAACACAAGCAACACAGCCATCATGAAGATCATCTGCGTAAGTAGAATAATTATTGTTGCATCAAGCCCGCCTCGTACATTTTCTTCACTCAAGTCAATATCCATGTGTCACTTCGAGGTCACAGGGTTTTCCTACAATCAACCGCAAGGACCGAGCTACTATCAGAGCGAAAAGGAAGCTTGAACTACAGAGAGGCCATTTTTCAAGTTGCCGCCTGGTAAGTCACAGCACTGTCTATCGTCCCCTCGACATGAATGATGGTGTCGAGTTCTCCCGCCACGCCACCGGCATGGAAGGTCCGAGGGTTAAGAGGAGGAAGCTGGAACAAACAGAGTGTGCAGCTCAGGGCTCTGCCACAGACGCACTGGCAGGCATACTACCAGAGTCCACAGGGCTAGTTGATCACAGGCACGACGTGTGCTTTGGAATGGTGAGTTTTGTGTCCCGCACTCCCATCCCATTTCATCCATACCTATTGACCTTCCAAGATCAAAATCGAGGTGAAAACCATGAAGCCGGATGCTTTGGGAGGCGACGGCGAGGATTTCGTCGAGATCTCACTCAATATTGAGGAGGACCAGCTTATCGCTCGCAACATAGGGACCCAAAAATACGGAGGTTTGTTTGGGCGGCAACATCAATCAACACTTATCCTTAGAGAGCTCTATGGACGCCACAATGCAACACTCCGAGCCTGGCTAATCCGCAACGATGCTTCGACGCGGAAAAAGCCTGTATACGAGCTATTCATAGTCATCTACGGCATGTTCAGCCAAAAAGATGCCATCGGTAACGCATTGGACGGCGCAGAACTGTTTCTCCAGGATCCCCCAGACCAAATAAGAGGCGATCACTCTGTGCAATATTTCAACCCTCATCGCCTGTACAACCCAGCGCTCAGTGATGGTGGGAACTTACCTCACGAGCATGCAGCTGGTGTTCCAGTCAAGGTTATGAAACAGCAGAAAATCCTCTGTGAAACAGATCTTTTAAAGCCAAGAATTCGAGAGGTCATGGATTCGGCATGTGGCCCTCAGTATTTCATTGCAAGGCAACAGAGCCCACGTGTTCGCACCAGACTTAAGCAGTAAGTTCAACATATATATTAGATAAATTATTCGTATTAACGAGGCAGACATCAACTGAAAGCATTTTCAATGATGGTTGAAAAGGAAAATGGAGACGTCGACAATCACACCTTTGGGTCTGTATGGAAAACCATAAACTCACATGACTCCGTCAAGTATGAGCTTTTATAGCCACCTACACAGCGTTCTACTTCATAAAGTACTGACCTAATTGTGCTTCTGTCACCAGATACAAGAACACTGTCACTGGATCTGTGCAGACCGACTTTCCAAAACTCTGCTACGGTGGTATTCTTGCCGATGTATGTCTCTTTACCGCTTTACAAGCTGCTGGATGTACTCAAGCAATATATAGGATATGGGCCTGGGAAAGACGCTTACGGCTATTTCCCTGATTGCAGCGTCGAAAGACTCATTCGATATTAGTGTGGATGGCTCTTTATTGCCCCATACGACTCTGATTGTGACACCATTGTCCCGTGAGTGCTAGGCTTTTTAACACTATGATACCAAACTAACCAAATATCAGTGCTTCAGACGTGGGAGGAGCAGATATTGAAGTAGGTCACTCCAACAGAAGAAAAGTTGAAGCCGCCCTAACTAGGTACCAGTCACGTCCATCCGGGGCAACTATCGTACCACAAATATTATGGAGCTTCCAAGGGCGACATCTCATCACTCAAGGAATACGATGTTGTCTTGACAACTTATGACACTGTGTCAAACGAGAGGTCGAAAAAGAGGACTGATACTGTTGCGGGCCTCGGTCTCGGATCTACTGAGTGGCTACGTGTGATTCTCGACGAAGGTAAGACAGCATTCGCCGAGATTGATTTATGGACCAATATTCAACGGGAACTGATTATAATTTCTTACGGTATAGCCCATGTGATTCGAAATCGGTCTACGAAACGGTTTCGAGCCATCCACGCCCTGCAAGCTCGCTTCCGCTGGTGTCTCACAGGGACACCGATCTTCAACCGAGTCGAAGACCTGGGCTCCTTGATGGGATTCCTTGGGGTTCATCCATTTGATTCGTCCTCCACATTCAACTCCCGGATCTCAAATCCTGTGGTTAAGGGAACGCTGAATGGGCTGGAGACACTGCGGAAGCTCGTATATGCTACAGCCTTGAGGAGAACCAAAGACTCGGTCCATGACGAATTGAGCCTCCCTGAGCGAAGAGTTGTCCAAGAGCTAGTACATTTGACCGGAGAAGAGCGAAAGAATTACAGTGTGCTCAAATCCAGTTACGCCTCCATCCTCCACGAAGATGATGGGGTGGTTGTTCCCCGCCGCTTTACAGCTTCCATCATGCAGACAATAGCGCGGCTACGACAATTCTGTGACCATGGGCTCGATCTACTGCCGAGGAAAGTCCACCAACTGTTTGATGATCGCACGACTACGGAGAGGGTTTCGCGTAATCTCTTCGACGCATTGGAAGCTTGTGCTGTTTGTCGAACCCCAGTCAACGAAGACAGCCCGAATCAGGAATCTCTTGATTGTGGACATTATATGTGCTCCCGGTGCCAGAAACAGAGTTCAGATGAGGAGATACTGGTCGACATTGTGTGCAAGCTCTGCGATCAAGATACGGCAAAATCAGGTTCAAGCAGTCCGTACCCAAGCGTGCAATTCACTGCAGCCACGAGCAATTACATGCCATCGTCAAAAGTTCAGGCATTGCTTCAAAACCTGATTTCAGAGCGTCAAAGTTGTCCCTATCAACCAATTAAGAGGTGAGCCAACCTCCCAACCTCCCTGATATTTTCAGCCACCTTTCCGCTTACAATGTTGATAGCGTTGTCTTCTCTTGCTGGACCAAGATGCTCGATTTGATACAAAAGGCCTTGATTATCCAAGGCCTGGACTTTGTGAGGATCGATGGTAGCAAGACAGAAAAAGCACGCAGGGAGGCCATCGCGAGATTCAGAGGCGATCATAGTTGTGGGATCCTCTTGGCCACCATTGGAAGTGCTGGTGTTGGGTAAGTAGTGGCAAAGCTCGCTCACGTACGAAGAGAAGGACTGCGGGAAGGAATTCTATCTGCACTCGGGTTCCCATTACTCGCTGTGTTTACTAATACCAGCTTGGTAGACTTGATCTCACTGTCGCCAGTCGTGTCCATATCATCGAGCCTCAATGGACCCAAACCGCCGAGAATCAAGCCATAGATCGCGTCCATCGACTAGGCCAGACTCAGGATGTCATTGCCACACGCTATATTGTGAAGGATAGCATCGAGGAGGTAAGGTTTGACGATGCTAGAAAATCTTGCAGAGCTAAAATCATCCCAGTACGTCTTGACAGTACAAGATAGGAAGGCTACCGTCATGCGTCAGGCATTCGAGATCGATGGCGTGGAAAACGCGATGAGCGCACGAGAAAGGCTCCTTAAGGTACGTACAAACCCAAGCTTGCATCTTGTGAGCGATTGCTGACTGCTATAAGTATCTTGCGTAAACACCATGAGTGGTCGACAACTTTACCCTACAGCAAGCCCGTCGTCTTCGACAGGGGCTAGATTGCGCCAGGTCGTCTGAGATTTGGCAGTTGAATGTGATCCTTGGGATTCTCACAACTGTCAGTTTAAGAACACAGAGATTCGCACCCGCAAAAACGGAGGGCACACCGGTACACCACTCCAGAACACATCACCCACACACCCACACACCCACACACCCACACACCCACACACCCAGACACCCAGCACCCAACACCTACACACCTACACACCTATACACCCAACACCTAACACCTACACACCCAACACCTACATACCTAATTCACATACCCAATTTATATAGTTAATTTATATACTTAAGGCTGATTAGATGTGGTAATTGTGTATGTAAATTAGGTGTTAGGTATGTGAACTGGGCGTTAGTGTTTGGTGTGGCCGATGACTCAAATTGTGAATTCTCACATAATGGTGCTGGCGATGTACCGGTGTACCCTCTATTTTTGCAGGTGCGAATCTCTGATTTCCAGTTTAAACTGTGATATGTTGGTGGCAGTCCATGTGCATTTGCGCCCACATCAGGTGCTGAAAAGAAAGTAGGGCAGAAGCCAAACACAGACTCGGTATCGCCTTAATGACCTGATTGGGCTGCAATACTTTCGTGCCGCCTTGGGAATCCCCTCCTGGTTTTCAGCGCATGCAGGTAAGCGCGTGTTGGAGCCCCAGAACCGTTCTTTCAGAACTTGTGCGGCTTCTGAGGTCGTCAGTACTACTAAACATTGACAAAAGCATATCTGCATTTGGACTTTGCCACATCAATTACTTCCTCATCTGCCGAACACACGATGGATGGTGAGGAAAGATCAGCGCCAGAAATGCTCTCCGAGTTCCAAAATTGGCTCGCAGCTGCAGTAAGCATACTCCCAAGTTAGCACCTTGGCTGCACGCGCTGACATGTTCAAGCGATAAACCGGCACGCAAACTCCAATGGGCTCTCCCCGGTAGCAAGTAAATCGGGTAGCGAGGATACCACCACAGATGCGCAGCACAGACGGCCCCAACATCATCTCAGCCGCACCTCAGAGCTGTCTGACGCCTGCAAGTAGGGCTCTCTGACAGCTTTTGAGGCGACACAGTTTTCTCTTGTCGTTGAGTCGTCTTGATTGCAGAGACGTATAATGAGCCAGCTTGCTGTTGAGGAGTTGGTATAAATGGTTCCATGAAGCCAGAAATGCCACCATTTTGCGAAGAGCGGCTTCTAAAGTTCTTCTCGAGCACTGTTTCATACTGACAACTCCTGGCCCTACTTTTTCCTCGGCCCCATCCCCGACACTCATTCCACATATGCTTTACATGCTTGTCCGGCTTTGGTCAGCTACGCAATCTTTTTCAGAAGCATTCCAGTGATTCGATCATTTCATCGTTTTCCGGCCTCTAATATACATAGGTCAACTTCTACAGCATGGCGACCCTAAGGCTGGAGCGGAGCTGCATCGACAGTGCAAAATTCGGTACATTTAGGCACCTGGATAAATTGGTCACGAGGAAGTGTAATGGGTGCGACACTTACACTGGATCGGACTCAAGGCAACCTCCTCATTGCCTTTACGGCTATCTTCATCGGCATTGTAACGGATCGTCTGTGGCGTATTGCTTGTTACGTCTTCTACAAAAGCTATTCCACCTCTAAGCCTCGAGACACACTTCACCACCAGCGTCAAGTAATATTGCGAAACTCAGAATCCGCGGCATCGGCGCTTTGGGCGATTATATAGCTCACCTGGGCATGGTATAATGCCACCGACCGACCCATCACCCGGCTACTGCCCACCCTTTTAACTACGGTCTTCTGTGTAGTCGCTTTCGCAGTTGCGGGAGGTTACTCATCACAGATCTCTTCCGCACTTAAGAATGAAGTCCTTTTAGACGGTACAAACTGCGGCATTATAGACCTCCCAACGACTACCGATTTGATGAGCACCAGAATGTTATACATCTCGAGAAAGGTTGATAATGCAGCAAATTAGTAAGTTGAAAGGAGTTTGGTTAGGGAGCTGCTGCTGACTTTTGATTTCCTGCCTAGCGCCCAGCAGTGTTACACAGTCAATCTCGGAGTATTTGACTGCACGTATTTTGTTAAGAATAATCTCCCTAGCAAGGTTGATAACAGGGCTCCTTGTCCCTTTCCTGGGGGGATTTGCCGCAGTGAATCATTAAATATTCTTCTGAACTCTGGCTATATCGATAGTGTGAAAGACCAGGGTATAAACAGCCCCCAAGATGAGAGCATTCAATTCAGGACTGTCCTCCACTGCGCACCGCTGGAAACGCAGGGCTACGTCAGCAACGAGGCCACGCCCTCCAACAACTACACAAACTATCACTATGGTCCCCTCATGGATGGGTCCACGGATGGGTCCGGTCTAGAATACCAGAACGCAACCATCACAGTGGAGAGTGCATATTCCCAATATGCCAAGCAAGAAGAGAACCCTTGGAGATTCCCGCGCAACTTGCTTCTCGGGTAAGTAGCCCATTTCTGATTCCCTGCCCGATAAATGACGAAAGGCTTAAGTCCTGGATTAACGAGTCTTGATAGTCTCCAATATGCTTTCATGGAGTCTGGCGCTGTTTCAGCGGACAGGTCGACTTTCTCGCCAATTCCTGCACTCGCCCGATCGGATGGAGACACAATGCTAGTTTCCCTCTCCGGGAATGGGGTCAGGTTCTTTAAGTCGACCCCTGATCCATGGTATCGAGGGACAGTCCCAGGAGAACAGGTATCGTACGTCGGTCAGAAGGACTCGGCTACAGTGTACCAACCAGAGGAGGCTGCCTCAACGCTTGGCTGTGTTCAACAGTACCAGTTCTGCAACCCATCTCTCCCAGAGGATAGGCGATGTGGGCCGTTAGCAAGTGTATCTGATTCAATCTTGGAATCATTGACCCTGTTCAATGTAACAGAAGAGGAGTTTCGTACCAGCCAGTTTACGAGCCATCGGCTGGGGTCGAGATTTCAATGGCTGCTGATGCAGTTGAGGTATTCCGTCGTCGGTATTAATCGAATACTGATCACCCTCGGACCCAGGGCTCTGGAATCACACAAATACTTCAGCAGCGGGTTAATAGGAGAGCTGCCAGACGACCAGTGGCAAATCGATGTCTCCCACTGGTTCGCAATATATCTGGCTTCTATACAGGCCGAAGTCGTCAATACTGCGATGGGACCGACCGATCCTACTCTCAGCCAGTATACTATTCGTCCACCAAACAAACATATTCAAGGATTATGCCAGAGCCAGGTACGTATCCTAAGACCCTGCCTGAGTCACAATACAATCAATAGTATTAACATAGCTCCAAACAGAAAATACTCAGCACTGAGTATATATCTTTTAGCTTGTTCGGGCTATACTTTGCCTACATCTCAGGCATCCTTATCTTTACAATATCTTATTTGCTGGAACCAATCTTTTCCTGTCTCTATCACCGACGCAAGTACGGAGAATACACCTACCTTGAATGGGCAGCTACAGAGACGCTCCAACTTCAGCGTGCAAGCTACCAAGGCATAGGATCCGGGACATGGTTCGGCCACACAAAGGCCATTCCCATGACCAGAAGGGGCGAGACGCTGGGGAACCTGCCAATGTCTTATTCCGAGCCGAGAAGTGGCCCTGCTAGCATCGCAGGCTCTTCCAAGTCGTTGTACGGGTAATCGCTGCCTAGGTGTCAACAGCAGAACTCTGCAGCCTGATGGATGGCCAGTGGAATTGGCGAGCCGTGTTTCGTTGGCCAAACCGTTGTTTAGATCTGGTTCGTTGATTGTGAGCACTGATGCTGCAGCAGAGAGGTTGTCTGGGGCTGGGTATATCTGCGGCTCGAATCCAATGTTATTTTTACATAACCCTCGTCCCGGTATGGGAAGACTAAGAAATAACAGTACTGCCTTCATGCTCAAAATTTCGTCCACTTGCTCTATTAATACAGAACTAACATATAAAAACATTCCAAGACCGACCCGACAGCCGAGCCTCTTCCGAGAAGAAAAGGGGCTACGGTCGGAACTGATCCTCCCCCACTCTCCCGGGTGGGACCTAAATCATGTGCTCAGGTGCTGCACTGCCCTGCTCCGAGCAAACTGATCTGCCAGCTAGTCAAAATCTGCTCATGAACGAAGACTGTGGTCAGTCGATCGCTTCAGAAGTACCAATCGGGGGCAAAAGGTTGGAGGACAGAGAGGTCTTCGCAAGCATGCGCCACGGATCAAGAATGGACAAAAGTTTGGCGTAGATGGAACCTTACACTAGAAACTAGACTGTAGAAACTCACGCCGTATGATCATGTCCCTTGAAAGGTTTCTGGGCTCACATTGTAGGCTGAAAATGATCGAGTCATCTTATTATTAGTGACGAAATCTTTAAACGTGCGCCATGGCCCGGCAAGGCTGGCCTGCACCCACTTTTTAAGAATAAAACAGGCATCCCCATAACGAACGGCGCAGTACTCCACCCGTTGGAACCATGAAGCGATGATCTTTTAGATAAAAGACCGTGGCTTGGTGGGCGGCGCATTTGATTGCGGTCGTGGCGACGCGTCACGGCTCGGAGCAAAAAGAGCAGTGAACTCGGATTTCCAACAAAGGGACTTATGTATACTGGATTTGTTTCTCTTCAGAGGGGCATTGATAGAAACAACCTCTGCACCCGCCGAAATGCATCTCATTCGCTGAGTGTTTCACACACGTTCTTTTTGAGTTGCAATATCCTTGCACCATGCGTTCGTTCCTCCCCGCCCTCCTTGTTGGGACAGCCTCAGCAGGTCTCCTGCCGCCCTCGAAAGTGGTCCGGCAGGAATCTGGTGCACCCACTGTGACACTCGACTACTGTACTTTGACCCCTGCTGCAAGCAACACGACGGCAGGATTGTACAAGTACCAGAACATCCGCTTCGCGGCCGTGCCCACCGGTGACCTGCGCTTCGCAGCTCCGGAGTGGCCTCCAGTCGAGACCGAGATAAACGATGGGTCACTCGCCGACTCCGATGTCGACTGTGCCAGCAGCGAAGACTGCTTGTACATGGATATCTACGTGCCTGCCAATACCGCGAACAAGTCTCTTCCCGTGTTTGTGTGGACGTATGGCGGTGGTTTCACCGGCGGCAGCAAGTCGGAGAACACGCCTGAGGGCCTGGTAAGTTGGCAAGAAGCCCAGAAATGTAATACGCTCTAACAACCATTTTTCAAGTTCGATCTGAGCGGCTATTTTATATTCGTCTCCTACAACTACAGGCTGGGCATAATTGGTCTCGCCAACGGCCCGACCTTGCTGCACCAGGGTGGCACGAGCAACACCGGTCTCTGGGATGTGCAGCATGCTTTCCAATGGGTCAACAAGTACATCGCCAAATTTGGCGCAAACCCCGACAAGATCACAGCCATGGGTTTGTCCGCCGGAGGTTCGCAGGTCCTCTTCGAGATGACCCGGTTTGCCGGTCACGCGGAACAGCTTTTCAAGCAGGCATACGTCATGTCTCCTGGCTTCGTTCCCGGCGCAGGCCACGAGCACGCCGAGGCCTTCTTCCTCAACGTGTCTTCCTCCGTTGGATGCGACGGCGGCGACTTGACCTGTCTGCGCTCTGTCAACTTTACCACCCTCCAAGACGCGGCCGACACCCTGGTCGACACCTACACTTTCCAGCTGCAGCCTCGCGTTGACGGTGACTTCGTCGCCGACACGTACGAGGCCCAGTTCTACCAGACCCGCTTCAACTTCACCGGCCCGGCAGTCATCACCACGAGGAGCACGAGGCGAACAGCCAGGCTTGGTCCGGCGTCAACACCACCGAGGACGTATCGACGTACCTGCGCATTTTCTTCCCCGCCATCACAGACGCCCAGGTGGAGGAGGCTCTCGCCTTGTACCCTGAGGACGACTATGAGAGCCCCGGCCTTCGATTCTCTGACATGAAGCAGCACTTCGATCTCACTGCCCACAACATGGCTTTCACGCATGCTATGTCGAACGAGACATGGAACGGCATGGTCCAGATCGACCAGTCTACCCACGGCACTGACCAGAGCTATTACTGGTACAGCACCTGGACCCTCTCCTCAGACTCTACCACCACCACGACAAACTCCTCCAGCTCTGCTGGTGGTGGCGGTGGCGGCTTCGGTGGCAGCTCCTCCGTGGACACCGCGACCGCCATCAAGATGCAGAAGTATCTGTTGTCTTTCGTCCTCACCGGCAATCCCAACACTCAGTGGCCCGAGGATAAGCTGGAGTGGCCCCTGTACAGCGAGGGCGGACAGGACCTCGTCTTCAACACGTCTGGGTTGTACACCCAGGCTTCCGACTTGGAGAACGCAAAGGTTGCGTTCTGGAACAAGGCTCTTTGGTACTGAGGATGTCACTCAGTTATTGAATCGTTGCATGGCGAAACGGCGTTGGTTTGTGGTTTCATGTGATTAGAAACAGGGGCAATATTAACCAGCTGTCGACTCACAAAGCCATTTAAAATAAGACCCAATCACAGTTCCCTCCGCGCTCTTCTTGACTCAGTTTTGCGCCTTGCCGAACCTCTGGTTGAGTCTGTCTCGCAAATTGTCAGCCGTTGCCGATGTGAAGTGAATGGTCCCACGACCAAGTCATTGAACACTGCATGCAGCATAGAAAAATTGCAGTGCAGCCAATTACTGTCTCTGTAGTCGACTGAAATTACACATTGAGATTGTTGTACATTATTGTAAGCTGCACAAAGAAGCCCGGGTTATAAGCCATATGCGTGGCTGTCACTCGGGTGAAAGGTGACGACAGCATAAGGTTCAGCTGAGGTCTTGGCAGGGGCTGTGAATGGCGTATTTCTACAGCACCTCAAAGACATCATGTTTCAGTAATGCTCGTCCCGTCCCGACTCAATTCGCTGAACAAGGCGAAATTCTCGGATGGGCCGGTAAAACCTAGGCGAGGACGATCTCGAAATAGGATGGGCGCACCCAAGACGTTGCAGGATCTGGAGGATCCAGGATCATCACCGCGGCATCTGCCTCCTTGTTCCTTGGACGCGTGAGCCCGCACCACATTCGGCTTAACCAAGGGGCGTTCTAGCCGCAAACATGCTTTATTGGCACGCATAGTGGGTTTGATTCAAACGAAAGCATCACGGTCTTGGGTCTTGGAAGCTCGGCGGCTTAGTTTGCCCCGTCCAAATTAACCTTCCTGCCTGATTCCCCCATGCTCCTTAGACACGTCTCGAATCCCGAGACAATGGCAGCGCCTGACTGTTTTTTGTTTCTTCTTCTTTCCAACTCTGCAGCTTGTAGTTTTGTTGCACAGCGAACGCCTCTCAAATTTCGAGAATAACGCCACCTGCGCGGCACCTCCACATGTTCTGACTAGAACGGCTGAGTCGTTGGGCCTTTCATCCGTCAAGTCTTCAGCGCCACAAGCACAGACAGCGAGCGGCATGGCGGGCAAATCGCCTTCCTCGTCGGCAATCCGGCAGTTCTGGAACCGGAGAACGACAACCGCCGTAGCCTTCGCGATAGTCTTATTATTTTGCTGGACTCTAGGCCCTGCGTCCATAGTAAGCCCTACTATTATTCCATTCCATTTCTTTCTAGGTCGTCACCATTAATGCCTCTGTCCAGCAACAACTGAGAACCGCAGCTCTCCAACACTCGAACCAGAGACCAGGCGCCGGCCAATCTGTCCAGCCCGGAGGCGCAATCGCAGCAGCCCCCGAGGTGTCTGGATATAAGGAAGATGTGGACTTTCCCGGGTCGTTCGAGGGGAACGTCGCGCTACTAATGGAGGAGGACCCGATGGCAATCTCGAACTTCGCCTCGGTATTGCTACACTTCCGCGGCATGCTCGGCCCAAACTGGGAGGTCGTGATCCTCACGCGCAAGGGCTGGAAGATCCCAGACAGCCTGGTCCTGCGCCAGTTCCTCAGCGACGGCAGGATCAAAGTGCGCTTCCTGCCCGACGGCGTCTCGTTCCCGACGCACCCGTCCGTGTCCGTGTTCCTCACGGACCCCTGGCTGTGGGAGACGTTCGAGAAGGTCAACCGGGTCCTGATGTTCCAGGCCGACAGCATCCTGTGCAGCAACTCCAAGGCCCGCGTCGACGACTTCCTCGAGTGGGACTTTATCGGCGCCCCCGTGCTCCCGGCCTATGTGGACTCGAAGCGGCCGGACGCGCGCTCCTTCAACGGCGGCCTCTCGATCCGCAACCCTCGCGTCTTTGCCGAGATCGCCCGCGACCCTAATCTGAACTTCACCGCGGACCTGACCTCGGGACCATACAAAGAACTTCCCAATAACATGCGCTTCGAGGACCACTGGTTCATGTGGAGGATCGACGAGCGGCCGGACCTGGAGGCGCGGATCCCGCCGCCCGAGGTCGCCGGGCAGTTCTCGGTCGAGACGTGGTACTTCGACCACCCGCTGGGCTATCACCAGCCGCACAGGTGGCAGGCGGAGCGATACTCTGAGATTGTGGACTGGTGCCCTGAGGTTGGGATTATATTCAATCAGGAGGCGCCTGATCAGAGGTGGAATTGATTACTCAGAGCACCCGCAAAATATTTAGATGAATTCGTATAGACTGCATAACGTCCGCGTATTATTCAACAGTCACGCTTTGAACCGCGTCATCAGCATTCCATTTAGAACATGGAGATTCGCACCTGCAAAAACGGAGGGTACACCGGTACATCACCACCTCACCCATACCCAAAACCCATACCCAAAACCCATACACAAAACCCATACCCAAAACCCATACCCAAAACCCATACCCAAAACCCATACCCAACACCCATATACCCATATATCTATTGCCCATACATCTAGCACCCATATATCTAATACCCACACCTATATCTACACTCTTACTTATACTTACACCTAACACCTAATATTTATATAGCTAATTTACAAGGTTAATATTAGAAAAAATTAATATATACGTTTTATATTTAATTCAACTTAGGTATATAGGTATTAAATATAGGTAAATAAATTAGACTTAGGTGACATGCTTTGATAGCTATGGCTATGGCATAAGTTGATGTACTGGTATACCCTAAGTTTTTGCAGGTGCGAATCTCCGTATTCTTCATGTCACTCGTCGTAGAAAGTCACGGCACGATACGGAACAAGAGCGAGTCAAGCTAGCTTGCGATCAAGCAAGCAAATTGCATGTGGCTTGTAAAAGAATTCGTACATACGCTCCAGAAGCTAAAGGGGATTGCCTGAATCCCAGTCCTGATCCGCAATGAAGGTCTAGACAGTAATGACTCCAGCCCGTGTTCAACCAAGCCTCGTCCTTTTCCGAACGACGAATGTAATTCGCCACGCCATCCCATGCCCGCCCTTGTACAGTAAAGCACAATCCGTGCCAAGTATATATCCCAGTCAAACCGAAAAGCATAAGCAACCAGAGAATACATGCTTGATGAAGAGAAACAGACAAGGGTAAAAGTAACACGTGACGCCGCTGTACACCTAGTAAAGCAGCTCACCACTAGCCACCATCCTCTTGAACTTATCATCAGGCTCGTGGAACCTGTAATCCTCACCACGGCACACCCGGTCAACCTCCTCCCTGACAAAGGGATACACATCCTTCCACGCGTTGCGGCCCATCCAGCAGTCGAGGTGCCCGTAGCCAGGGACGACTCGGCGGCGGTACTCAATACCATCACCGTCATGGGGCCCCCCTTCGCCCTGCATGCCGTTGGCGAGCCCACCAGCCCGCGTCCCGAAAGTGTCACAGAGGATCTCGTACGTCCTCTCCGTGGACTCGGGGCTGAGCACCGCATTGTCGCGGCCGACGAAGAGCAGGAAGGGCACACCCCGCAGACGGGCGATGTTCTCCCGCGTGGTCAGCACCTCATACAGCGGGTGGTCCCCCATCACATGGCCGGCCGCGCCCATGCGCATGAGCAGGTGCAGCAGCGTCATGTTGACCCCGCCAAAGAAGCGGTCGATCTGGCGGTGCGTCGCCTCGTTGAGGTTCTTGTGGTTCCAGCACCGGCCAAAGGTCAGGCTGATGCGGTGGCAGCTGGCGCTGTTGCAGATCTCGCGGCGCGCGTCGGGCATGAAGCGCAGCGCCTGGTTGAGCGCCCGCTGCACCAGGCTGTCCTCGCGGCTCGTCGAGCAGCTGAACCAGGACCCCGCCAGCAGCTTGTACACCCTGTCCAGCGGCCACGGCCCCGCGGTCGCCTTGATCATGTTCATCGTGTTCCAGATCGGGTTCATGAACACCTGCGAGCACGTCACGCCGCGGATCCACGCAGACGGGATCGTGCCGTCCAGCAGGCCCGACGCGAAGGCGACGCTGCCCATGCAGTGCGCGATGGTGTAGATCTTGGGCGGCTGGAACTTCTTGACCTCGTCCGAGTCCTTGGGCAGCTTGTTCCTCTCTGCGTACTCGTCCCGGTTGATCTTGCGGATGTGCTCCAGGCACGCCTTGATGTCCAGCCGCGTCTTGAATGTGGTGTAGTCTCTCTCTGCGACCATGAGCTGACCGATCCTGTGGACAGTCACGAACACGCGGTATCCCGCTCGTGTGAAGTAGTTGATTGCGTTGTAGGGGATTGTCGGGAGCGCGAAGATCTGATGGTCTACGCTTGCGCCAGGAATCATAAAGAGATCAATCACGCCGCCCACGGGGGTGTGCGTCGCGTTCCACATGTGCATCTTGGTGCACACGTTGTCTGAGGCAAAGATGTTGAAAGATTTGTTGGGTATGGTGTTGTTGATGTAGCCGCTGTAGGTGGTTGACGGGTACTGCAGGGCTGTCAAGGGAGCCAGGAAGAGGGACATGGACCTGCGAGTGAAGAAGGTCATGAAGCTGGCCACGCTCCAGACCTTCTGCAGGACTGACGAGCCAGTAGGCGTCATGGTCATGAGCTCCGACAAGAAGTCGCCGGGTTGTATGTGCATCATGCCCTTGGCCACGACTTGCAACTTGCGCCAGGCATCTTCGTCATGCTCTTCGTTCCTGGTTGGGGCGAGTCGCTTGCTGACGGTACAGTACAGTGTCGTTGTCGACCGCCAGAACTGCCACGGCGCGAGGGCAACGGAAGAGTCGACAACCTTGTAACCGTGGAAGTGGAGTAGTTCGCCATTGATGCCGGTCATGTCGAAGTCGTATGTCAGATTACGCGTGCCTGGGGCCTTCATGTCGAGTTTGAAGAGGTTGAACTCGCCTCTCTGCACCATGAAGGGAGACCCGGGGATCGTCGGGCAGACAAAGGTACCAGTGAGCATGCCACGGTGGGAAGGGTCGCGTATGATGCTCTTGGTGTTGAATGCCTGAACACTCAAAAAGAACCTAGCGCTCTCACACAGGCTCTTGGCCGTTCGATAAGCCAATTCATAGTTGGGCCTCTTGTCTTCTTTCATCCCGTCCTCGTCGTGGTGGATGAATCCTGACATGACCTCTGTGAAGCCGAAACCGCTGGCTCTGATGGCATCCGCCCTGCTGATGACATGGGCAGCGTCGTTGACGTTGTCGATCTCGGAGCGCGCAAGCGCCATTTCCTCCATGGTCTTTCTGCGGCGTCGTTTGGGGCTGTGTGCTGGGTCGCCAAAGAGATTCAGGATTCCATTGTCCCGGCGGTCAATCTCCAGGCCACGCTTCTGACAGTACGCTTCAATCGAGCGCTCGGCAAGCGCCGTGATGGTCGCAAATGGGTTTGCCCCAAGTGCGGCAGGGATTACAGCTGCATCCATAACAACCAGGCCCTCGTGGGTCTCATTGCTGTCCATGTCCTTGCCCACAAAGACCTCGCCGTGATGGTTGGTCACACCCGTCATTGGCGTGCCGTCACGGGCCATGCTCGCACCGCCAATGGGGTGCACTGTGACTTGTTGCTGGCCCAGCAGCGCGAAGAAGGGGTTTTGCACGAGCGTTCCGCCGACGGCTTTGGTGGCCTTGGCTAGGATATCATTGAGCTTTTTCACATGGTCGCTTCGTCCAACGCCGAGGAACTCAAGCTCAGGTTTGTCATCCTTGAGGGTCAGCATGGCCTGGTTGCTGTCGTGGGACATGATGAGGTAGACCTGCGTCCTCTCTATTGCGCCGTTCCTGAAATAGGGTCCGAGTAGCCGGCTTCCCCAGCGAGCCAGTTTGGCATGAGCTTGGTCAAGCAAAGTCTCCTCATTAGAGAGGCTACCAGGCATCAAGTCCAGCATGGCCTGCATGAAGGGGGCGAGTGCTTTTGGGATGGTCCCTTCTTCTATCACATAACCATCCAGAGGATTGTCATGGCCATCGCGGTTGTCAATGATCCCTGTGATACAGGGTCCAACCGGATTCTGTGGCGAAGGGGATGGCCTGCCAACACCGTTGACATTTTCATCCGTGTTGTATCTGTGATAACAGGTCAACCATGCTGTGCCTTCTCCAGTAGTAGCCAGACAAGATCCAAGAAAAGGAGGCGTATCACGGTTCAAGCTTACCCGAATGCCAGGATGTCCCCGTTCCCACTCATGTTCTGCCCGACTTGCTGGCTCATACTCAGGCCCAGCTGCTTGCTCCGCAACAGTATCTCCGTGGTTCCAATCGCGCCGCCGCCCAGGAAGACAGCGTGCTTGGCGTGAACCCACATCAGATCGCCGTGCAGATTTGCGCGGAAGTGACCCCGGTTGCGCCCGTGCCAGGCGAAATAGACGTTATAGCCACCGCGCTGTGGGGAGCACTTCTCAATGTATCGGACCTCACATTCACAGAACATCTCGGCTCCCCAGTTCCAGGCGTCGGCGAGGTAGGTCACCAGCGTTGTCGTTTTTGACCCGTCGTTGACGCCAGTGACATCCTGGCCGGTCAGGGCCGACGGGACCATCTCCACTCCACAGCTGTTGGGCCCGTTCCGGAAGCGGGTTGTCTGCCTGACACGGGAGAACTTGTCGGCCATTCCGAGGTATTCGGCTTGCTTCTTGAGCAAGTTTAGTTTTGGCAGCATGGGCCAGTCAGCTGGATATGGCTTCGGGTCGAGGACCTTTTTTGCCTTCTCATAGTCTGCAAGATGTGGAATCAGTCATTTTTATTCTCTTGTGTGCTTTGGAAGAGTGTCTCTTACATTCGTCAAGGCACTCAGGATTTTCTCGGATCTCTTTCGGCCATGCTTTCATCCTCAAGGCATCGTGGTTTGCTTCCAGAAAGACATTGGCATTGATCAAGCTGGTGCCACCGAGGCCTGGATGCGCGTTAGTTAGTTTACGGTGGAGTGTGGGAATATCAGGGGCTAATCACTCACCATTGCCTACAACGGCATGCTGTCCTCTACCGAGGATCAAGTGGTACATGCCCGTGGGATCGCCGCCATCGACCGCAATGCCATCACCAAGGCCCTGGGGCGCGAGGTTTCCAGACCAGTGCAGCTCATCGGCAGCCTCTCTTGTCCCGCTGGGGTACTCGCCAGGCCACTTCTCCCGTCCCCGCTCCAGCACACAGACGCTCTCGCCCGCTCTCGCCAGCCGAGACGCTGCCACGGCGCCTCCATAGCCGGACCCTATGACCACAGTGTCGTAGCTCCTGCGTAGAAGCTCAACAGGCCGTGATAGTCGAGGGTACTGGTGCTCTATGCGGCTGTCGTCGGTGTATGTCTGGATACTGGCGTGCGCGCGTGATCTTGGGCCTCCAGCTTCGCCCTCGTGAGGGCCATAGGAAGGGATGGGGCCGCTGACTCCCGGCTCAGGGGTATCGCCCTCTGCGTGCACCGAATGGAGTGACGGGGAGCGGGGCCAAGTCCCCCCTCTCATAGGCGATAGGCGGGGAAATGATTCTGATCTTGATCTGAAGTCATCGTGGCCGTCGAAGCCTCTGTGTTCTGAGAAACTAGAGGCGTTGTGTGGTGTTGAGGCAACACTGTTGGTGCCATTGGTGCTACAACCGTTCAAATATGGGCCATCGGGAGGCATCTGAACAGGACCGCCTTGGTTAAGGTCTCGTTGTGGTTCCTTGCCCCCGTGGCGGGGACGAAACCTCAATTCTCCGTCTGTGTCTGACATGGTTTTGTTGTTTATCTCGCGTGTAGATGGATCCTATAACGATCACTTGAGGGCTGGGGTATATGTATCTATATAGTGAGGTGAGTGTGATGAGATGCGCTTGAACCTCAGATAAGCGCTGTCGATACCGCGTACCGGCACGGAAACAAAGACGAGGTTGATTATGACTTGCTAGGACGAAATGCCTAGTCTCACGAGTACAGGACAAAGCAGACGGGTATCATGAGGAGAGTGAACAGAGAGAGAGGACTAGTCATGGCTTCATCGACTAGGAGATATATAGCTTCTATGGCCTAGTGGTGTTGAATGGGGGGGGGGGACGAGATGTGAACCCCGACTCATCCTTGTAAGATGTAATCGTAAGGTAGCATGGGTTTGGGATAGCGTGGGGAGGCTGAAGGTACCTGGCGGGGCCGATCGGAGAGAAAACATGGCTGCCGGGCAGTGATGGACAGGCATATGATCCAAAGAAAGCCACCCGCATGCACGCAGACGAGAAGAACTGTCGTTGGAGAGGTGACGGGGGACATGGATCGGCTGAAGACCAGGGCGTTCATCAAAGGTGGGCGATGAGGTCCTGCACAAGCGCGGTACCTCCGTACCCCGGGTGTCTGTCGACGGCCTCTCGTTCAACGGTAAACGGCTCGTCTCGTTTGCAGGGCCAATGCTGGCCTCAGGCGCAGCTGACTGGTTTCCGCTTTTGATGTTAGCCCCGGCTTAGACTGATGCCTTGCTGCAGATCTTTGAGGCAGGAAGGTAAAATTATCCCCGGAGACGCCACAAGCCCTAGCTCCGCACGAATCCTCATTGGTCATGTTGCTAACGTCGAGCCACTATTGAAGGATGGTGTAGACCCGAATCAGTGATCGATCCCAGAAGCTGCAGGCGATGAAAATGTAAAAATTTGGCCTCGAGGACAGATAGCCCTGCGCAGACAGGCCCAAGATGCCCAGATCTTTCACATGGAGCAATCTGCTCGTGGGTCTCGGCGGATCCTTGGCCCCGCATCAGCAACGATACTGCGATCCGTCTGCCTGTGCGATGATGTTGCGGCCTATTCCCTGCCTCCTCGTCCGCACATCATAGGACCTGCGTGTGAGAGGGATGACGCCCAATGATTGTGGTCTCCGTGTCCACTGTCAACTTCAGATTGATGACCGATAACGTCTCGAGAACCGAAGCCAAGATTAGGGCGGAAGGCCATCCTGCCAGGGCCCCCAATGAAGGGGGCATGGCCTCGATGTCAAGGACGCCACACAGCAGGAAGCCGTTCTCGATCGCCGCCAGTGTGTGGTGGTGGTGGTGGTTGGAGAAGCTAGAGCCGTTTATTTTTTTTAGGCGACTCAGGTCCTACCGAGGCTTGGGGCGGTGCACCGAAGTGGGCAGCACACATGTTCAGGGAGACGTCGGTGTGGTGGTATCTCTATCGATCCTCCGGCCCTGGACAAAGCCATTGAGGGCTGCGAAGTGAAGGTGAGGCCATTTTTTCTGACCTGGGAGGTCGTCATCTGTGTCAGGATTGAGCGGAGTGCTGAGGCTGTTACGCAGAAGCGCCAATCTCACCAATGAAAGCAGCCACTCGAACATGGTGTAGTGGGGGTGTGCGAGGTTAGTGATGAGGTGAGATTGGTCAGGCCCCATTGTTGACCCCAGCCCAGACTCTCAGCATGGGGCCGGAATGACCTTTCCAGAGGCTGAATTGAATTGAGCGTTGAGCGTCGCCGCTCATGTGCTGATCGGCTGTGCATGGTCGAATAGGTGACGGGTAACTGTATTGGCATCTCTACGAGGCGAGCGAGGGCGGGATAAAAGACCCCATTATCGCGACCGGGATTGATCTTCGTGAGGCTTGCAGGGAATGCGAGACAGCAGTGCTATTGGGCGGGATGCGACGGAATGCCGGTCGTCTTCTCTCGCCCGGCTTTAGCTAGACGTGATGGATGGTGCACATCCTCTTTTGGGACTGGAGCTATCGCGGCCGTTGATGTCTCTCCGCCAGGGCAAGATCAGTGTCCGATTGCTCGACCGCCCTCCTAGCTAGCAATGAAGTCGGGCCGGAATGGGGCTGAGGTGGTTGGTGGTGGCCCGAGAGGGTCGAAAGTGGTCAGCCCCTCCGGAGGAGGAATGAGCTACGCACGGGAGGAGCTCCCAATGGAAGCGGCAGGACTGCTCGTATGTCGGGACCCCTAGCATTCAGCGCCCGCCGCTAGTTAGGCCACGCCTCGAGGTTGCTGTGAAGCTGCGAACGCTCGGCTGGGGGGTTCGGGGGCTCGTCGAGGACTCGACGGCTGGGTACGTCTGCCGTGTCTCGAGCCCGTTGCAGGCCAACGCCAATGCACTATTGTGGCATCATGACGGATGTCCAGCCGCGGTGTGGGTGTGGTCAGAGAGAGGGTCAAGACGCCGTCACGCCGCGGGCTAGGCGATGCAGGACAAGGTGCAGAGCTGCAATGGCAGGTTCCATGCATATTCCTTCGACTGACACAGCCGAGGTGTGCCGTGACTGGAGACGAAATAGATTGCCGACCGCTTGTGCCATCCAATGGAAGCCCCAGGACGGGCTGTCAGAGGCAGACACCTCGGGCATCAGGTAAGGCTGGGTGCAGGCAGACAGGTGTCTGCCTGCCTGACGAGGTGTGGGCCGTGGACAGACAGATCTCGGTGTGTGTCGCCACGGGCGATTTCTCCATGGCCAGCCGGTCGGCTCTCGTCATGTGTTGTTGTCGCACGAGCCAGGAACACACACGGAAGAAGCCGCATCCCAGGGCTGAAGGAACATGGCAAGTGGAGCGTTCAGACGAAAATGCTGAAACACCTGATGGTCAATGTCGAATAGCGTCGGGGCCGTGTTGAAGAGGTTGTCGGCGCTCTCGAGTTGCACCGGCAGTCTCCCCACCTGTCAAAAATAGGCCCGCTGGCTTTCCGGGGGCTTGTCCAACCCTGGAAATGCATCACCAACATGCAGCGTGCCACCAGAGAGTTCCAAATATATACTCTCAATTGCACAGGCAGAGTTTTCTTCTTCAAATGTGTTTTCGATCAAGGACTTTTCCGTCCCGTGTCACATGCAGTCGTCATCGTGGCTTACCAATGGTCTGTCCCATTCAGGTGTGCTCAGCTGACGCTTAACCCTGGATTCGGAAGGGGGCTGGTAGGGGGGGACGGTGGAGTGGAGGGGGGCCTCACAGCCGAGACATCAGCAGCCTCAATCTGAAGACCTGCAGCGAAGGATGTCTGCCCACAAATGACAACATACAAAGCTCTCAGGTTTAAGCTTATAGATACAATAGAACTCAGATTTGTGTTCGGAGTCAAGAAGCAATCTGTTCTGCTGGAAATGGAGACAAATTGCACGCTCAGGTCGGGCGGTCTTCTACTTTCCCCCCTCGTCGGCGGGTTTGCACTCCAGGTAGATGAACGATCTTTGACCTACAAATATGTATGTAGTTGGAAAATCTAGGAGCCTCATCCCATTTGAATGCGTTACTTGATTCTGGAACATCCAGTTTCGGGCCGGGCCTCTTTAGACCAGGACCATCGCAGGCCCCGGCCCCAACAGCCCTATCGAGCCAACAGTCTTTAAGCACATCTGACGAGAAGCAGAATCTTGTTGGTCCGCATGGGTTCTATGCCAGAAATTTGATCGAATCTTTTAGCAATTATCGCGCCGTGTATTTAGTGGAAAAGGACGAGTTGTTGGTCCCAGTGAGGGCTGAGCAAGGCCCTAGGGCAAATCGCCTACTGGAGTAGTTCCTGAACATATCAACATAACGGTTTTGCTGAATACCAAGTAAATAACAGCTTGAACACATATATGAAAATGACTCAAACATTAGAAGTAAAAAAATTGCAAGTTAGGGCAAATGCAGCAGAGACAACCTTCATATGCCCTTGGCGCCTTGATGCAAGATCGCAATGGGGCTCTAGGATCCGTCCGCAAGCAACCAGAATATAGATCTCAAAGGTGCATAGGAAGAGCGCTCACGAGCGGCTCGTAATCATGTCAAGGTCATTATTCTACTTATTGTTTCAATTCCTGCCGTGCCAGTCAGGCAACAGAGCTCACGTCAAATTCAAGCTTTAAGACATTTACTTGGCACAAGAGCATAGCCACTCTCAATAGAATAAATCCTCGCTTTCTATCGTAGTGGCTGGACAGCCTACTAGTAGTGAACTAGTGAGGTTGCATAGCCCTGTCAGCCTACACACTATGCTACATAGGTAGTTGTGATTGCTTCTCTTGACTGACTCCTTGAAAGACACCATGGAAAGGCCAGCATACTGCACAACGGCTGAAGGAGACATACCTAGGTACCTTCACAATCAATATAGGAATGTATTACAAGTATTTTGATGAAGGTTAAATTGTACTGTGAAATGCATTCAGATTTTCCAATAGTTTCTCTGGTAAGGCATTCCAAATGGTGCCCACCTTAGTTTGAGCCTCTCTTTCCAGCTCAGCGAAATGAAGATAGTCAGCAATTTAGGCGCCGATTAGGTGCTGATGCTTTGCAATGTTACTTATGATTCCCATGAGATATTGCTTCGACATTCCGTTTAAAACGGGGAATTCAGCTTGATACCAGCACTGTACTTCAACAACACTCTGAAGTAAGCTGGTCAAAACGATCAGAAGACAGCAAAAATACTGATGTGACAATTATGAAAGAGTAATGAAATGGCTTACTCATGGCTGAAAACTGTTGTCACACTCTTTTTTGCACCATTTGCTGTCCAGGACCTTATAGGTAGCCAAGTCATCGTACCCGAGTAACCAACTCATCGTGCCCCCCAATGATGTCAACCGTCGATCCCCACATCGGCACCGGAGCACAGCACTCTATGATAAGCGGATCCGCAGCTCCGACCTCAGAACCCAACATCGCGTCCCCTTCATCGCCCTAATTTAATCTCATCTGTAGACTTCACCACCCAAAAAATGACGCCCCAGGTTCCAGGCGACCCAGCCATACTCGAGCCCTTGGACAAGCTCGCAGACGCCTCCAAGAGGTCGACCATCATATTCCTCCATGGCCTAGGCGATGACGGCCACGGCACCGGATACGGCCTCGCCCAGCAGTTCCAGAGGTACCAGAAGCTGCGCTACACGAGATGGGTCTTGCCCACGGCCACTATCGACCCGGAAGTTGGTCAGCGGTGCTGGTACAAGCCGCACGAACTCCCCTCCGCGCTCAAGCCGCGCGTGCCCGGACGGGAGGACGACGGTGCGGGGGTGGACGCGACCGAGGACGAGGAGGGGATCTTGAAGGCGGTGGCTTATGTCGATGAGCTCGTCAAGGGTGAGGTGGACAGGGGTGTCGAGCCGGGGAAGATCGCGGTCGGGGGGTTCAGCCAGGGGTGTGCGGTTTCGATGGTCTGGGGGTTGAAGGGTGAGTGGAGGGACAAGGTCGCCGGTGTGTTCGGGCTGAGTGGCTACTTTCCAAATATCAATGCCGTGTCCGAGGCTGGGAAGGCATCAGAGGGCGAAGGACAGCATGCCCCGAACTGGTTCTTCGGCCATGGCATAGGCGACAGCCTTGTCTCTGTCGGCTTGTTCGCGGACGGGCAGAAGCGGCTGCAGCAGTACGTCCAGGAAGAGAACATCGAGGGCCACGTCTATCAAGACCTGGGTCATGACGTCGGGACCTCGGAGGTTCGTGACCTATGGCTCTGGTTCAAGCAGGTTTTGAACGACGACAGCTAGGCACTACAACACCTACGCGGAAAGCAAATGGTCACGTTCGTACTTTGAGGATCGTAGCGGTTCGACTGGATTAGATTGGAGCCATTAGAGACTTTCACAATTCAAGATTACTTGTTGCCCCCGCCAACACTGACCCGCAGTTTGGACCGCGTCCGCCCTACTTGTGAGACCCCCGTCACACCTAAAAGGCCACCAGCTACTCCTAGCTGCCTCAGCCCTTCTTGGAGTCGGCTTGTCGATAGCTTTCCAGGATCTCGTTGCCCTCCTCAATCCCCTCAGGATCCATCGACAGACCGTGAGAAGCTTGGAAGTTTGGTCGATCGCCCCAAGACTCATTGATTATCTGGTAATTGGAACTGGAAGAACCACTCTTGTCTGGCCCTGCGGCCGCTGAACCCGAAGAGGATGACTTGGAGTCCCCGGAACCGGAACCAGAGCCCGTGTTGCTGGGGGCTGATGATGATGGCATTTTGGTTGAGGTTTCTTTGGTGAAGTGGGAACTCTGACCCCGGTGATTGGGGCACGATCAAAATTGTGTCTCCTGCAGAAGCCCTTCTTCCGTCGATATCTGGATATGACCAGAGATGGAACTCCTGTTGTGAGCATTTGAAGGTACTGGAAAGTGCCTTATATACCCACGTGTACTGTAACCTGAAGTCATGTTCTCTTGTGAGTCAACAGTAGTTGTTCCAAAGTTTGCATGCGACGGGCAAACTCAACTACATACGATGGCAATTATTCACGCTTCGTAGCATTGTTGTGCATAAGTTGCTCTTGGTGCGGTCAGCTTTAAGATGCTCTACAATCACAATCATCAAGCTAGGACCTCCGTAATCAGTCATATAAAACAACCTACCCAGCTGCTGAATGAGTAATATCGCGTAAAACCAGGTGAGGTTCGTGAATCAACAAATGCACCTTATCAAATCCAACCTTGTAATGTTGTCTTCCTGAAGTCCCCCACCTCGGGTGCCAACAAAAGTATTCCCTACATTTCTAGATCTCTATGGACACCTTCTAATTGCAATACACGTCTCAAGAGTGAGAACACATTCGCCTGATGTTCAAATTGATACTAAATACATTAAGATGCATCATGGTGATAAAAGAAACTAACATCAAGTAGCCGTCTTTGCACGTTAGACGCGATTTCATTTGGAGAGCATGCACTGGCATGGAAACACGTCTTGGCCTCCAGGATCAAACTCCTAGATGAAGCAGCTACAGCTGTTTATAAGAGATCAACCAGCCGACTGTTCGAACTCATCGTCGGGAAGACGACCGCGCAGTTTTCCGAACCAAAATATGTTACCAGTCATATGGCATAGTGGTCATTCACACGCAGCATGAACATCTCAAAAGGCGTGGCTTAGCCCAACCATTGCCAGCCAAGAATTGGTATCAGTCTCCTCCTTCTACGGTCTTTTGAGGAAACTCACGCTTGCGTCTCAAGTATCTATCTTACGGATTCAAGCTTCAAAGGGCTAGAAATTAGGAATGAGGGACTCAAATGTGAAGCCGACGATCACATGCATGCGGGCTTACGCGTTGCTCCCAAGTCCTCCGCTGTATCAAGGTATCTTACGGGGCGAAATTAATTGGGAGAAATCATCAGTTCCAGCTCATTTTTAGGTCAAACTATGTCATAGGAAACTTTCTGCTACAGGAGATCCAAAAGTTTCAGTATCGTTTTCGCGGGTAAATTGTTGTGTGATGCTTCTGTGATGTAGATAAGTGCTGTAGAGAATTGCTCAATTTCGAGAGTAGTTCAACAAGACCGTGCTTAGTGCCTAATGTTTAGCCGATCTTGGGTCACGCGAATAACATCAACATCCTGTTTCTCGCAATAAATCGGTACTTGCATAGTTCGGTATTTTCAAAAGTTGCCTCGAATGGTTCCTGCGTAGTCTCTTATTCAGGGCCTTGGAACCTCTCGCGCTCCTTCATTTTCACAACTGAAGTCTTTCACTCCTTCCTTTCCACGATACGAGTCCCGTCAACAACAAATCTTGGAAACCACCACCCAAACACAATATCTTTCTCTGCTCACCTATACTCGATTCAACTTAGTGGGGGAATTTCTTGGAATTCACTGCCGCCACTCAACACGACACAGCAATCTTCGGTCAAAAGAACAGCCAATACGGAGAATCAGAACCACAACTCGCAATCCACAATGCAGCCCAAAATGGCCGGCAGAGTAGACGGTGCCATCCAGGAGTGCCTCTGCGCTTACGTTAAGTTTTGCGTGTGCACTGGTACATACGAGTGCTTCAAGTTCTGCTTTGTCTTCAAGGAAAACCATGCCACCTCCGAAAGCGATGCCGTCGAGCAGTCTGGTGCCGTCGAGCAATCCGGTGCTGTCGAGATGTATACGTCCGGTGAGACCCAGGAAGACGACGCCACCGGGGAAGACATCGACATCCGAGAACACCCTTGCGTAGGGAAGTGCCGAATAGAAGACACCAGCACTGCACTTCTCAGGTGTGGAATGTTCGCGCTCGAATTCAGCACCTCCTCGCAGCTTGGCACGCGAATGACGGAGTTGGAATTCTGGCGTGCCTACAACAGCCAGCAGATGCAAGATTCCAATGCGCGACTCAATCGGGGGAACCGCGATAACTTCTATGACGACCAGCTCGCCATGGTACTGCGCATCTGGGGCCGCGACCACGGCCGGGACAACCTCCAGCTCGGCGTGGTCGTCGAGGGCCTTGACACCGCCTATATCATGGGTGATGATGATAAGATCGTGATGGTTTCTTCGGAGGAGGATATGGAGAACGAGCGTGACTTCACGACTGTCTGGATCCACAACGACAACGCGCAGGATCTTCGTGGGGGGCAAATTAACCACTACTCCGGTATCACGGTTCTCGCGCGAAACGAGGAGCCAAATGATGGCTCGGAGGAATGAAGCAGCTCCGAGGAAGGTAGTGATATGGAGATGGGAGACAACGCGGAGACGGGGCAGGAAAGGGGGGAAGAGAGAAGCATGGGGAAAGATAGTGATCCAGAGATGCGGGGCGACGCATAGAGTGGGCAAGAGGCAGAACAAGGGAGGTCTAGGGAAGATTTGGAACGCGAGGGTTCATGGGTTCTAGTCGAGAAGTGCGAGCCCAAAGGGGAAGATTCGCAAGACAGGGGCAGACGGATTTGGCTCTTTCAAAGTCGCTAGGCAATGGGTGGCTTTGGTGGGCATGGTCGACTGAATTGATTGGAACTGACTGGAGGACAGGGTAGTTCTGGTTGCGAAGACAGTGACAAATGGATTTAACGACCCGAGTGCTAACTTTTCATATACTCTCTTTGGATAGTCGTAAATATAATGAAACATCAGGCGATAAATCATGAGATCACTTCTTGGGGTTTTCGTTCGTATCCCGGGCTCATCTTGCTTTATCCCGGACATCCTCATCTACACTATTTCCGACTATTTGGTCGAGGTGCAGCCGTAAAACTCGCCATCCTTGCTGTCGCCCTCGAATGGGTGATCACCATCACACCCATACCCGGTAGCTCGCATTGCGGTGTGACACCAAGGGCTACAACGATGGATGATGCGGCGACTAAGACGCCTTAGAATTCCATTTTGTTTCGCGGTGTCTGTGTGCGTACGAGAATTGGAAATATCTTTTGTGTACTCTGGATGCATACGTGTGAAATAGGGCGCTTCGTTTTGAGTTTCCCGAGGAATGTTGTGGAAAGCCGTAGACTTGTCCTGCTCACCTCCGCTCGTCATGCTTGCTGGGCTTTGCTACACAGCCAGCCCACCACGCCCAAGTGAGTAGGCGGCATCGGATCATTGGAAACAAAATTGATGGCGTCCTACTGGCTCTTAAATAGGGGGCTCGCTATGCTAGCGATTCCGCTTACCTGGGCACAATGCGTTCCCTAGAAAGCACCTGGAAACTGCGGTGAGCTCACTTCATTCTCAATGAAAATCAAAGAGAAACAGCTTTTGGTTGAACCGGATTGCCATCCATTACTCTTTTCCCAAGAGTCTTGCTAGACCACCGGCCTGCCTGCCCTACCGATCTACAGGAGGCCATTGTGCCTTCTACTAACGAAGTTGTTGCAGTCGTTTGGCCCTGAGTGATGAGCGCTGCGTTAAATAGAAGCAATTAGAGCAAGTTGAGTTATCTCGCTCATTGAGACACTCCTCAGCTCTCGTGGCTGGTATCCTTGACTTGCATCTTCCTAGAGCGCCGCTTTTACAACGCTGCACAGACCTGCCCATGAGGGATTCTTAGACCGGAAATAACATATAGGCTGGCTGGAATGATGATGAATAACTGCAAGCATATTCTTACGTGTCCGTATAATGTTTCTTGGGTCACCTGCCTGTACCGCAAAGTTGCTAAGCTGAAGCAGGGGGTTACCGTGGCAGAACGGAGAACCGCTCGGTCTCCATTTTTGGTACAGAGTCCTGGGTCTTTGAGAGAGCGTGGAGGGAACTGGCATGTTCGCCCACTCCGTGAGAGATTGTTCCACAGTGAATCTGACCCAAACAGTCTCAAAGTGAATTTGGGTCCATGTGGACTGCTTGGTACAGGGTGAGCGCCGAGATGATCCTCCAGGAGCCAAGGCGATCATCTTAGAGGGCAAGGGGCCTGCCCAAAATAACACGGATGCCAGGGCAATAACACAGCCCAACCCCTCTATCGATTGCGCTGCAGAGCATCATTTCGCATTTGGCTCTTCTCCCCGACCAGGTCTGGCAGTCAACAGGGACTCGTCTGTTCAACCCGACTCCAGAGGCAAGAAAACTCAATTGGAGAAGGCGAGCAGCGCGTCTGTTTCACAGCAACCAGGCCGATGCTTGGCCTACGACCCAGGTTGAAGGCCCGGCCGTCACTGGTGGAGCTCCTGGTTCGCTCTAACAGAGACGCAGCAGGTCCCACACCAGCCTCTGTTAGTGGTGACAGGCGAGGGAACACGGCCTCAGCCTCAACGACATCACCACTGCAATTGCCAGCCGAGCTCGACCTTGACCGGGAGGTCCAGATAGCTTCTGAGCTGCCTCTGCCAGACACTCCGTCAACGCCAATCCTGCCGCCGCAATCCACACACTCCACGCCATCCTCACCCTCACCCTCCACCCCCTCAACACCCGCCCCGATACGTCGAGTTCCTACCATCGCCCTGCAAGAGTCCACACCGCCAGCTAAACAGAACCCCAAACACTCGGTCACGCCGCCCAACATGCCTCCGGTAAGCCAAGCTGCCCTACAATCTAGAATTCGCTCAGGTGCAGCGACACCCGCCCGCCGCGCCGCCCAGGCTGACCAGAGCTGCCTCGCCATCTAGAAAGCCCAACAAGATGGCGCCAAGGAGGGTGAACACTATGGTAAGAGCTCCTCGAAGCTGTCCTGCAGTGCTGCGTCGTGCTGTCTCAGGCTGACCTGCTATCTTACAGGCAAGATTTACTCCATCTCCGGGTACGTAACGACATCCCCAGACCGAGCTGCGTCACCGCACGTCCCTTGCGAGTCCGACTGCTAACACGATGGACAATCCAGGCCCGTCGTGGTTGCCGAGGACATGATTGGTGTTGCTATGTACGAGTTGGTATGACACAACAACGACGAGACCCTTCTGGGTAAGGAAGACAGCAAGGCTCACGGTACACAGGTGAAAGTCGGCCACGACCAACTAGTGGGAGAAGTCATCCGAATCAACGGCGACCAGGCCACCATTCAGGTCTACGAGGAGACAGGTTCGACGCCCACAACCTTTCTGCCTGTATGGCTGCACATGGAATGCTGACACGAGAAACGAACAGCCGGTGTGACGGTTGGCGACCCCGTCCTGCGAACCGGAAAGCCCCTCTCCGTCGAGCTGGGCCCGGGCCTGCTCAACAACATCTACGATGGTATCCAAAGACCCCTCGAGAAGATCGCCGGCGCCGCCCAGAGCATCTACATCCCCCGCGGCGTCGCCGTCCCCGCCCTCGACCGCACCAAGAAGTGGGAGTTCGAGCCCCAGATGAAGGTCGGCGACCACATCGCGGGCGGTGACGTCTGGGGTATCGTCTACGAGAACTCGTTCATCTCCAAGCACAAGATCATCTTCCCCCCGCGCGGCCGCGGCACCATCACCAAGGTCGCCTCCAAGGGCGAGTACACCGTCGACGAGAAGATCCTCGAGGTCGAGTTCGACGGCAAGAAGTCCGAGTACGGCATGATGCAGACATGGCCCGTCCGTGTGCCCCGTCCCACCACCGAGAAGAAGTCCTCCGACGGGCCCTTCATCGTCGGCCAGCGTGTGCTCGACGCCCTCTTCCCCTCGGTCCAGGGTGGTACCGTTGCCATCCCAGGTGCTTTCGGATGTGGCAAGACCGTCATTTCGCAATCCGTGTCCAAGTTCTCCAACTCGGATGTGATTGTGTATGTGGGTTGTGTAAGTACAAGTCTTCTTCTTATATACTTCCCCGTCTTTTATGTTTCAGAGTGTTCTACATTCGTCACTTTCGGCTCCGTAACAGGTGACTAACACACACCAGGGCGAGCGAGGCAACGAGATGGCCGAAGTCTTGAAGGATTTCCCCGAGCTGTCCATCGAGGTTGAAGGCCGCAAGGAGCCCATCATGAAGCGTACGACCTTGATTGCAAACACTTCCAACATGCCTGTCGCCGCTCGTGAGGCTTCCATCTACACTGGTATCACGGTCGCCGAGTACTTCCGTGACCAGGGTATGAACGTTGCCATGATGGCCGACTCCTCGTCCCGTTGGGCAGAGGCTCTTCGTGAAATTTCCGGACGTCTGGGAGAAATGCCCGCTGATCAAGGTTTCCCCGCCTACCTCAGTGCCAAGCTGGCCTCCTTCTACGAACGTGCCGGCAAGGTCCAGTCGCTTGGATCACCCGAGCGTGAGGGCTCCGTCTCTATCGTGGGTGCTGTCTCACCGCCCGGTGGTGATTTCTCCGATCCCGTGACGTCTTCCACCCTCGGTATCGTACAGGTGTTCTGGGGTCTCGACAAGAAGCTCGCGCAACGGAAGCACTTCCCGTCCATCAACACGTCCGCCTCGTACTCCAAGTACACCACTGTCCTCGACAAGTGGTATGAGAAGTCCTACCCCGACTTCCCTCGGCTGCGTGACCGCATCAAGCAGCTGCTGTCTGACTCCGAGGAACTGGACCAAGTCGTCCAGCTGGTCGGCAAGTCTGCGCTCTCCGACCCTGACAAGATCACGCTGGATATTGCCACGCTCCTGAAGGAGGACTTCCTCCAGCAGAACGGATACTCCGACTACGATCAGTTCTGCCCCATCTGGAAGACCGAGTGGATGATGAAGCTCATGGTCGGCTTCCACGACGAGGCCCAGAAGGCGATTGCCCAGGGCCAGAGCTGGGCCAAGGTTAAGGAGGCTACTCAGGAACTGCAATCCGAGCTGAGGAGTCTGAAGTTTGAGTTGCCTACTGACGGCGAGGAAGTCGTCACCAAGAAGGTATGTTCAATATTGCTCGCTCCCTCCCTCGTATTCAACCCGCACAGGACGCATACTGATGTTAATATCTTCACAGTACGAGAAAATACAGCAGGACCTGCTCGACAAGTTCGCCTCTGTGATGGATGACTAAGGGTCCAGAACTATAGTGGTTGGCCTGTGTACAGTTCTTGTGTTACGAGCAGGTGGGGGATAGGAAAGCAGCGTTTGCATGTCTCAAGTGATGTCGAGAAGAAGGTCGCCAAGATGAGGTCGTCATTTTGCATGCATGGTTCCGTTCCCGGTGCGAGCATAGGTATACGTTGGCGGTGGCGGCTTTTCACATATAGTCAGATCAAATGCATACATCGTTCAGTACTTGGCTTGTGTCTCACTCTCTGCCGTTCTTTGTATCTTGGGTTGACGCACCTATTTATGAGTACTCTGGGGAGAGCATCACAGAACAATGGCATCTTCGGTGACGGAATGGCAGTTTCTCGGAGAGACACACGGGCCTCGTTGTTAGCCTTGCCAAAAAAAACTACTGTGAACTCATTTTTGCACACCTCAAATCATCTGCGTTACGTGTTGGTCCGCGATGAATATCGCGCTACTGTGGTGTTGGACACAGCGGCCGTGGAATCGGAAGCGCTTCAGTTGTCGTGCATCGGCAGAGGAACATGAGACGGGGGGTCATACTGTATGAAGAGAGCACCCGGCCAAGTCCCGGCGTCCCAAATACGGGAAGGAATGTATGCGCTTGTTCTGAGAGACATGAGGAAGTATCCATATTCTCAGCTCACCGTTCAATATGTAAAGTAACTCTCCCCAGATCCTTCAGTGTCACGTACCAAAGTTCTCACATAGAACAAAACATCGAGCAATGCTTTTACTGATTTTACACTATGCTACTATATTTATTTTTCTTCTCATTCCTTCATGATGGGTCATTATCATTATACCATATTGACACACCGTTCTGGGCCCACTCCCCAGGTTTTTGGGCGGCTTCTGAGATGCAGCCGTACTCGTCGACCCGGCCTGCCCCCGGCCCTCGAGGCCAGGTAGTAGGTATCCTCTGGTATATACAGCCGAAACACCTAGGTTTTCAGCTTCCTACCCCAATGTTCCCTCTTATTTCCACAGCCTGGTCCATGATGTGTACCCAAGCCATATGCTATTGTCCGAGCCCTTTTCTAATGACCTTTTACATCCTCGGGCGCCTTGCTTGATGAGGCGCGCTTTCTAGGTATCATCCCTTCCAGCATGTACAATTCGAGATTTTTCTCCAAGCCTGCGAGGGATCCGGTATTGTATCCGGACCGATGGGCAGGTTTGTGTGCTTTCCCAAGCCACTTCTCAAGCTTTTGAATATCATCCTCCACTTGGAGACACAACTCTCGTTTCTTATCCTTTTGAATTGTATCCCGCCCTAACATGCCTTGTTCTTAAGAGGAGTCACAGGCTCCCCGAGGCTCCTCAGCTTGTTGAGAACACTCAGCGACAGCTCCTCCAGCTTTAGTGCTGATGGCGAAGGGGAGACGGGAGGCTCGCAGTCGCTCGATGCCGCGGTCTCGTTCTTGCTGTGGGCGGGACAGTAATTAGTCTTGGGCGCTTGAGTAAGCAACCAGGAAGCAAACCAGACGAAGGGGGGCGGCGAGATTGGAGGGTGGAGGGCGTCTCACAGTGGCGGGTCGTTTTCGTCGCCCTTTTCAGGGATTGGCGTGATCATGTCGCCGTTGACGGTCGTGCCGCTCCATCGGGGCGAGGAAGACACCGGGCTGTCCCAGTTCGACCAGTCGCTGTCGTCGAATGAATCCACGCTGAGGGGCGTCCAGGAGAAGTGTTTCGTGCGCTTGGAGTTGGTCCGTCTTGGCCGTCCTAGGTTGGCCGTATCCGATTCTTTGAGGGGGTCCATGAACCGCGACGTGGGAGTGGGGGTAACGTCGCTGAATGCGCTACTCAGGCGCGGCCGCGCAGGGGTGACGGAAGCTCGGATCGTGTCACCATCCTTGTCGCTGTCACTCATTCTGTTGGAACCCCTACGTTGAATCCCTCCCCCGTTGATGGGCTCATCTCCAACAGCAACCTGGCGCAAATCATCCACGAAAGTCCACAGGCCTGCTTTGAAGTCCTCCGCCATCTGCTTCACGCCGTTGTTGGAATTGGGACTCGCCGAGCGAGGCGCCCAAGACGCGCGCTTGTTCAGCTGAGCCACCGTGATGGGCGATGACCGGCCAAGATGTTGAAGGTGAGGCTCGGAATCCTTTACTGGCGGTTTATGAGCGTCTAGCGGGTCGTCAAGGTCGAGTAGATGGAATTCCTGCGGCTTCGTGGGTGACAGAAGAGACAGAGCCCGAGTGTGCCCGCCGCGGATGACGCGCCGTCTGCCCGAGTTAGGCGTGCCCTCCTTGTTGAGCTGCTGGCTCATCATCATCGTCCTCCTCCGGTCCAGCTCGATACTCCGCCGCGTAGCCTCAACATCATCAGTAGCAGGTGAGTTGTGCACAGAATGGGTTGATCGCAACGGTTCTCCATTGACCATGGCGTTGCGTTTTCTGACCGAGTCGAACGCGCCCCACTGCTTCTTGAGTCGTGTCAATTCCGCCTCCGCGTTTTTCAGGTCTTCGCGGATTTCCAATACACGTCTCTCTTGGGCAGCAATGGCGTGAATGAAGTCGTTGGCATCTGTGGGGGACCGAACAAGAGGAGTGTCCTTGGGAGTTGGGGGAAAGGAAGGGGCATTCGTGTTGATCGGAGTTGGACGTGACGGAGAGTTTGACGGCGGTGCGATTGGCAAGGTCAGTGAGAGTCTGTTTGAGTTCCGAGACGTCGTGGACAGTGAGCGTGTAGATCGCGCGCCAAATGAGGGTGCGGGCGACCACAAGACATCATCTACTGGCGGCGGCGGCATCGTTTCTGGTACCGAGGCCCTTGAGCTTTGTCTTTTGTGACCGGACAAGGTTCTCGAATGAACGACTTGCTGAGGTGTGACCTCGTCCATTTTGGCGGGAGACACGCGACGGACGGTGGTCAAAGAACTCTTAAGAGGCTGCTCGCAGAGAGGGCGCCCGTGCAAAGACGTCGAGGGACTGTGGATCGAAGAGAAGGGTGACACGTGCTGGATGGGGCGGTTGCGACGTCTCCTGGTGCTGATAATCTTATCCAAATGACTGGACGGAGCGCGATGAGCGCGCCGATGGCGTTGCCTGAGGACGAAAGCCTTGCACTCAAGACGGCTCAAGCGCTGGTCGTACAAAAGAGTGTTGGAACAAGCTGTAAGAAAGCAAATTGCAAAGAGAGGAGCGGTCATGGGCAAGAATCGAAGATTTGTTCCAGACTCAGGGGCATCGGGTTGGCCAGGTCAATCCCCAGCCAAGCTACAATCATTGGGTGGTATTGCCTCGCTTGACCCTGTTCCTGGAGCCCCGGGGCTAGCAGCTTGAGCCAGGGAAATCTCCCGGGCTGAAGAGTGGACCGCGGGCTGCGTCTGCGACGTAAGTGCGAGTGGAAGCGGTAAAGTCAGTCGACCGGGCTGGCGAGGGGACGTTGGTGAGCTGTGCGCCTCTGCATCCGGTGGTTGCGATTGACAGCAGTGGGTTCTGTTAATCTTTGGGCGCTGCTCGGAATGAGTGTTGAAGCATGGGCTCGTGGGCTCGGTGACCCTGGCAGAGGGACGGGTATATGAGTCCAGTGGGATTCCAATAACGTGGCAATCTCCGGCGGGCCTGTAGAGGGTGTCTGCTCGGGCGGACCCCCAAAGAATGTTGCCCGCGCTGACAGCGGGCTGTTTGTTGGCTTTGACCGGGCCTGGCTGGCGAGCCGAAAGTTCGAAATGAAGGACAGTGGATTGGCGGAGTGGAGACAACAATGCGGTAAAGGGGGGAGGCGTGGGTAAGGGGTGGAGGAGAGTGGGCAAAGCCCAGTTGACGTGCAGAATCGCGGTCGAGGTCGAGGCCGAGGCAGGGCAAGGGAATGGACAGTCCTGGAAAGTGACAGACGAAGCGAGCTGGTGGAGAGGAGCGAAAGAAGAAGGCTGTCCCATCAGCACGGGTGGCGGGCGCACCTGTCTGGTTATTATGTGCAGTGAGTCTTCAAGGCCGCATGATGGTGCGAGACTCATTTCCCTCCATGTAAATGTTTGTGTCCAGCAGGACTTTGGACCCTTGCACTGATCTGAGGATCCACTTTTGCAAGTGTCAGGGCAACGGCGCTGGGGCCATCAAACATCGCTCAACCGATGATGAAGCCAAGAAGACGAGGAAATACATCAGACAAAAGAAAAAAAAGCAATGTGAGCTGAATTTCTCCTGAAACTAGGTAAATGGCAAGTATCTAGACGAAAATGTCGAAGTTGGGAGGCTATATTTACAAAATGGGATACTTATTAGAATGCACACCAGGGAAGAGAAAAGGCACAACGGCCGTCATTGCCGGCTTCCAAGGCAGGAGAGCACCTGGCAGTATCCAGGTCCAGGCAGGCCCATAGTATTTGCAGTGTTCCTTCCTTCCCTGCTGTCGGACGACAGCTGGCGATAGAGAGAGCAGGATTGACTGGTAAACAGACGACTGGACGAACACGTCAACAAGGCCGTCAATGCAGAGAAACATCGAACACGAACATGGCCCCGAAAACACCGAACGATGCAGGGTTGCCCTCAGAGCTGCTTCCCTGTCTGGACTCCAAACGAGCCAGCTTCTTCCCCGCAGAAGTCCGATCGAACAATTCTAGCAGTTGGACCAGCCAAACGAGGGTTAGGGGTGGTCTATGCCACGTGCTTTCGCGTTCCGGAGTTGGAAAGCGCGGACCAAGAGTCGCGCCAGGCTAATGGGGGGTGATCTAGTAAGCGCGATCAGGCGCGGTTTCGGCTCTGACGACGGACAAGTCTTCATTCTCTCCTTTTCCGTCTCTTGTCGGCATTCGGTCCCAATGTGCCCCATCACCAACTTGTATTGGAAGAAACACCAGTATCTGGCTGTGTCGCGTTTTCCGAAGCGGATTCACACCTTTCGCCTGCAACCCGAACCCCGCTGGCCGACCGTGACAATCGATCGCTATGAACGGTCATTGCCCACGATGCGGTCGCGGGAGCAAGCTCAAAATGCGCTCTCTGGTGAGGCTGAGAGCCAGGACACCCAAGAAGTAATGGGGCAATATCACCAACAGTTCGGCGTCGGCTTCACGAGCAGTTCCCCGACCCAGCCAATACCAGCCGACGAGGTGCAGGCCGAGATCCAGCGATGTCCGAGACCACCCAAAGTCCATCAGAAGTTCGCAGGAGCAAATGTCTCCGCACAACCTTCGACGTCCTCATCAAAGCCGAACGCAAATGCACCAAAGACAGGAGCGAACACAGATGCAAAAGTAAAGGCAAATGCAAAATCGCGGGGTAAATCGGCCAAAGAGGACCCCGCCACGGCTGGCAGCTGCAAGGGGGTCAAGGGCAAGGGTCGGGATACCGATGCTGGTAGCAGTGCAGCGAAGCGACCAGGGGGCGTTGGGACCAAGTCGAACGCGTCCAACAGTCGCGCCTCTTCTCCGTCTCATCGTACAACACCTGCCCACTCACCCAAACAAGCGACACCTTCTGAGGCTGCTGGGGTCTTTGATCCCGACCCTGGGTCTCGCAGTGGTGACGATCATGTTCATCAGCAGCATGAAGACACTGTCATTCCTTTGACTTCCCAGACAGGATCCCCGAGCGGAACAGTCAATCCAGCACAACTGACTGCGCTCAATGACGATGCTAACGGCGTGGCACCATCCTCAGCCAAGCAACCAAAGCCACGACGGCGCAAAATGGATCCGTCTCAATCCCCAACCCAGTCGAATGATGGGCGCAGCTACGAGCAGTACATCTCTCGCGGGGACGACTTGATTCCGACAGACCCCGTTGAGAAGCCCGACCTGGCCTCACAACAAACCTCCCACTCTGGTGATGGGGACAGAACCCTGCAAGAAGATGACACCGGTGCGGTCAACTTTCGCAACATTGACGAATACAATGACAACTTCTCCGCCCCAGACTCGCTTGGAACAGGCAGACCGTCTCACGGCTCCGCTGATCATTTCGCACGAAACCCAGAGACTCCAGCGCCGCATAAGAATCCGTTCGCTGGAAGCAAGGCGCATTTGCTACCTGCCTCGCAAATGTTTGGCCAAACTCAAGTCTCGTCGGCGTATAAGGTGATCAGCCCGACGTCCTCGCGGCCATCGCCCGACAACTTCCAACCGCAGAACTCCATCTCCCCAAACCTTTTCATCTCGTCGCCGTTGAAGAACCTAGGTGCAGGGCTGCAACCACTCCACGGTGGCGTCTCAAGTCCCCAACTATCCATCCCTTATGATACCTCGCCACAGCATCAAAGCGACGAACCGGTCGAGTTGACCGGCGCCGCCGTCGATTCTACGCCTTTGCACCTAGCGCGCACCTTTCCGAGAGGCCGGGCGGAAGAGTACGAACCATTGTATACATCTCAACAAGAATACGAGGCGTCCTCTCAGCAAGCTCTTGAAAACGAATCAGATGGTAACGCAAGTGAGGACGATGTAATGCGCAGGCATTACAAGGCAATGTTCAAGAAAGCCAAGGTGGAGAAGAGGCTCGAATCTATTAAGTACGAACGCCAGTCTCCTCTGGAGGACGCTGTGGTGCCTTCCACAAATACTAGGCAAGGTGAAGACCAGAAGACAGACTCACAAAACTACCTTGATCAATGTGAGGGCCGGGCCGACGACTACTCTCAGATTACTGTGGAGGACTCACAGGACCGTGTGGTGATTTCTATTGGTGGAGATCCTGACAGCCAAAATGCGGTGATCGGCGATTCTCAAGATGGTGTCATAACACGGTCTGTCGAGCATGCAGCTAATGTGTCGAGCAACGATGCGGTAGTGATGGCAACATTGCCCAACACAGCACGAAGCGCTACTAGATCTCCTGTTATGAACGCAGACAACTCGCCCAAATCACCACCACGAAGCAATGGCAAAGGAGAGGGTGGCAGGGACCCTGTTCCAGAGACGAGTCCTGCTATACCGCAGCCAAGACCTTTCGGTAAAATGCAGCCATTGTCGTCGTCTGGCGAAATGTCGAAGCAAGAATCTTTCACTGCTCTCTTGCGCAGTAGCTTTCGAGAAAGTTCGTCGTCGGACAGCCGTCAAACACCCGATTCTATGCCTGCAGAGAGACGAACTCGTTCATCTTCAGGGGCCCGGAAACCTGCTGCACGCCGCGATAGGACGGATCTGGACACCCCGGATCCTGCACCTCAAGTTGCAGTCAGAAACCAGGCGTCAAGAGGCTCTGTGGACCAAGGTGTGGTAGAGGTAGCTGAGACGAGTCCTATTGCTGAGTCTCGTCCACCCGTCCCGGCCTTGAACACAAGGGCAAGGCTCCGTGCTTCACGTAACCGAAGCCACAACACAAGCCCGACGGCTCCCGGTAGCTCAGGCTCTTCTCTGAGTGCATTGGCCACGACGCCCAATGTCTCCAGCAAGACAACTCCTCTGACGGAGGACTCACCAGGTGTCGCAGGTGACACGACGACTTCACTAACTGCTGAGCCCCATACATCTCCCAGCGTCGCTAAGGCCGGCCGTAATAAAGGTAAAGGAGCGGCAATGAAGCCGAAACCTGCTGCAGCTGCCCCAAGGAATCTCCGCACGTCGACGAGGCGATCCGCCACATCATTTGGCCGGGATGCTTCCGTGTCAACAGACGAACTGGCAAGATCACCGCCATCGTCAGTACCGACTACTTTCGAGCAGAGTGCGATGCTATCCAGGCTTGGCAGAAGCTCACTGAGAGAGTCTCCAGTCTCTCGAGAGTCTAGTCGTGGCGGTGGAGCGAATTTGTTTGCAGGGATGACTTTCGCTATCTCATTCCAAGCCAAACACCCAGGGGAGAAGGACAGTACCTACAACTCGAGGATGGGTCTCTCGACAAAAGTGGGCGATCAGATCAGGCAGGGAGGCGGGAAGCTTCTGCCTAATGGGTTTGAACAGCTTTTTGAGTTCGGACCGATAAAGAACGCCGAAGTGGCTTCTTCGACGCCCCAGCCGGACGAGGAAATCAAGCTCACCGCCACTGCGAGAGCAACCGGATTCACAGCCCTGATTTCGGATGGCCATTCGCGCAAAGTCAAATACATGCAGGCGCTTGCGCTTGGCCTACCTTGTATCCACCCTCGGTGGATTACAACTTGCACTGAGAAACAGAAGCTGGTTGATTGGTCCGATTACCTTCTGTGCGCGGGAAATTCATCGTTTCTTGGGGAAGCGATAAGGTCGCGCAACCTGCCGACCTACGACGCGGCGTCGGCGAAGCTGGGTGAGGTGATCGACAGCCGACCACAACTATTACGTGGATCGCGGATTCTTATTGTGCTGCGGAAGCAGGACGAGGGCACGAAGATGGCGTACGTCTTCCTCTCACGTGTTCTAGGAGCGTCTTTGTCCAGGGTCTACACTATCGACGAGGCTCGGAGGCAGCTCAAGGCCAGTGAGGATGCAGGCCACCCATATGATTGGGTCTATATTGAGGAAAAGATGGCTGGTAGTGCTGCTCTCTTCGCAGAGGATACAAGCTCAACCTCCACAGCACGGGCTGCCAGCAAGAAGCGGAAGCGGAAGAGCGCGGCCGACGCGGCGAATCCGCCGCCGAAAAGGATCCGGACCTTGAGCAATGAGCTCGTCATCCAGAGTCTCATCCTTGGGAGGCTAATTGGGGAAGACGAAGACATTGTATGAGGTTCTTGCGCACCAGTGCATCACATAGTCTGGAGCGAGGTTACCGGCTTGTCAGTGCCGTGATTAATAATGTTTGACGATGAGATACTGTATGATAGGAAAATTGTTGGGCACAGTACGGAAAAAGGACGTGGCAAAGACGGCCACCAAATACGGCTTCCGTCTGGAGTGAAAGGTCACAATTGTCATCTTGAACAAAAAGGGGTGGGAAAGTGTAGAAGGAACTCTACAGGGCCCATAGCCATGGCTTAAGATACCTACGAGCATCTGACGCGGATGCCAAAACTGACGTTTTTGATGTGGACGCAATCAACATGGCCTTGCTGCCTTTGCTTTTCTGTGTGTGGAAACATATCGGTTTCCAAGGGGACTGCCTTGCCATTTTTTCCAATTTTGGTGGTAGATCGGTTTCCATCGACGGCCGCTTACTGGACCCGTCGTGAGATGTCACACCGGACGACCACTTACTCATTCTTTGTCTCTTTCTTACGTTGTCCCTACAATTTCTCTTCCAGCAAGCCGGAAACCCGGAAGGCCGGGAATGGTGTCTCTCTTTAGAAGGTCTAGGTGTTCCAGCCCCTCATGGTGGCACGCTGACGGTGCAGCTGGGCAGTCAAGGGGCAGTCAACCCGCCGAGACACTGATGCTGATTTAATAGTGACAAGTTTTTGCAATAGGAATGATGGCGTGTGTTCACTGTTCTCATATTCCACAGTAATTATCGCCTATATGAAAAAACAAGGCGTCCATGTGTCCCACGGAGTGGGAGGCGTCCATCAACCACTGACCGCGGGGCAAAATTGCCCCATCCCGCAGACAGCAAAAAAAAAAAAAAAAAAAAAAAAAAAAAAAGCCAGCCATATTTTCTTAGTAACGCCTGTAAGACTCCTGTGGCCGCCGCCGCCACCGATAAGTGAGGCTCACCCGGCGGACTTTTAAGGAAGGGGGTCCTCTATTTGGCCCGGCCCTGATGCGGGGGATTGGTACACCGTAAAACGCCTTCGCCGGAACACATTCAGAGCATTGATAACCCGCTCCCCGTTCCCGTTCCCTGCAGGCTTGCTTTGATTTCCGTTGACATAAGAGAGAGAGAGAGAGAGATGACAGTTAAAAGGAAAAAGGATCGAATTAATTTCTTCGTGGATGTGTGAACGGACTGAGCCGAATGAATGTGACTCATTGATCGGGTCTGGTCGGTTTGGTTGATTTGATGTGGTTGAGTGTCGTTGTCGGTAGGCGCTGTCATGAGGAGTCACGGCGCTTCAGGCTGATGCGTAACCGCCTAGGGGATGTGGACGAGGAAGACGACGAGGACGATGATGAGACCCGGGAAGCCTCACGCTCGCGTGCCTCCTGGTTCTTGTACCAGCGCATCTTGTCGGCCGAGATGCGGATGAAGAGCTTCCTAGGCTGGTCGGCGCCGGCGTTGTGTCGGCTCGAGGGCCGGGGCGAGGTGACGCGGGCCATCTTGTGTGTGTGAGAAGATGGGTCCTTGGGTTGGTTGGTTGGTGTCTTGGAATCGACGTGTTGGTTGTCGAGGAAAAGAGCTGCCCGCGTAAGCCTCCTGGTGAGGTCTTGGGAGCTGGTTGCGTTGGTTATTGTATCTATGGTGGATTGTTAGCTAGGATTCCAGGAAGTCGACGTTGGCTTAATCATTAGGCAATGCCATTTGTTTTCTGTTTCGTCTGGGGCATTTTCCGGACATGTGAATCGTCGATGATGGAAACGACCGGATTGGGTTTCACCCGGGTACATGGAGTTTGTGGTAACATGCGCTCGGCGAGAAAGTCCGCCGGGGTGATGATGGTAATGAGATGGGATGATATGCAGAGGGCACTGACGCGAGGACCCGACCAGGGGTTTGCTTGGAGATTGTAAGGCGCGCGGGTGGTTTGACGTGAACGACACTGACTCTTGCTCAAACGCCTCGAGACGAGTCGGCCAGATTGACTGGGGGATTGATTTCTGGCGTCAAGAGGAGTCGGGACCAAGATTGCTTGACTGGGTGTCTTCAAAGTTGGCTGAAAGGGAGAGGCAGGGCGAGATATAGGGAAGGGTTTCCCTTTGCAGGCAGCTCGATTGCGGTGGTTACTGCTGCTGGGTAACAAGTACCTAGTCGCCCCTTTTCGCTCGCCGTCCTTCGCGGTGTGTCTGTGTGGGTAATGTGTGATTCCAAGACGTCTGCCACGTGGGAATGAGAGACAAAGCGAGGCAAATCGGTGCTGATGACAGGTGAACTGCGTGGGCAAGAAGATGATCAGTCTGTGCTACAGTTTTGGCCCGGGGCATATTTCCTGACATGCTTTGCTGACCTGACTTACGGGTTCGAGGGCCGTGGCGAGAGAGCAGTCAATGTGCGATCCCTCTGGGAGGATTTCGGGCGCCGAACTGGGATGGTGTGGTTTGGGGGTTCTCTGGGCGGGAGCGACGAAAGCAGCGCTGGAGAGCAGCTTGCGAAAGACAAGGCCGGCGCGGAACGGCTGACGGCGCTATTATAGCTCGGGGAGGAGGGCGAGGAATGAGGAATGATGGGATGATTCAGGCTCGGGCTAAGCTCAGGTACAGATCTAAGTCCGGGTTCTTGAAAAGAATAATGGGAATTCGGGGGGAGCAAGGCAGCCTCCAGCTCACTGATAAGGCGTTTTCTGGAAAAAAAAAAAAGGGATATCTATATTTCTGTCTACCCTCAAGGTTGCTGCAGCACGGACACTGGGGAGACGGAGATTGGCAATGAATGGAGATTCTGATTCTAGGCTTCTGCAGTCAGGGCCCTCGAAAGCTGGACCTGCGGAGCAACCAGGGCTTCAAAGAATGCCCGAGGCAGTCGGCACTTTGCTACACATGGTGCTGCCACTGCTTGTCGGCTTGCCATGAGTTGGTTGTGTGTGGGTGGATGAACGAGCGAGTGAGAACTGCTGCCGCCCCTTTCCTGTCACACTTGCAGTTGCAGTTGCAGCAGCGAGGCCGGCCTTTGTGGCCTCGTAAGGCTGAGCCTCAGCCTGCGGTGTGTGGCCGGCAGGGTCGAGGCTTAGGCGGCCTATGAGGCTCGTCCTCTTTGCGGCGGGTGGATGATCAAAGAGAGCAAGGTGAAACCAAAAGCGGAGAAGCACCCACGGCTGGCAGCTGTTTCCCTTTGAGGCTCAAGGCAAGCTGCACGCTTATTACACGGGACAGTAGACGTCCAAGGTTCCAAGGTTGTTATTGTAGGCTCCTTGGCAAGGGTCGTGGGGCCTCAGGGCCGGTCCAGACGTTCCTTCCTTTGACCAGCACGTGGAGTCGGGGGACCGACACTGCTGGGCGTCTGACTTCCAAACCTTGGCTGCGGCGCTGCTGCTATGATCTGCCCAGGTACGGACCGTTGCAGTGCGCAATGAGTCGTGTGGCCAGGAAAGTAGATTTTTACTGTGGTAGGGAGATACCTAGGCATTCATTCCGGACGTTGAGAAGCACCTGCTGCTGCAGCACATCAAAGTGCACTTTATAATACACACATGGGCACAGCAGCAAATCACCGTTTCTCCGTCCGGAGCACTGCTCCCGGCAATAAAACGGCGGGACGGATACGGCACTTGGCTCACCTGCAGCCAGCGCTAACAGCAATTGGGCCACGTCCAACACGGGAGAATCTCAAACCAGCCCGTCTGGGACGCGGGCCGGCACCCAGCTCGAGCCAGTCCTGATGTTTCAGGATCAGGACCACGGCCGGTGACAGCTAATAAGCCCTGGGGGTGGACGACTTATCCCCTTTTCCTCTCGCAGCCTGGCCTGGTCGAGATCGAGGCAAGTCAGGCCTGACAATCGGGTCAAGCCCAGGCTTTGCCCATGCTATTGGCATTAGGTACATACGGTCCTGACGGTACGGCAAGGGGCCTTTGGGTCGAAGGCCAACCCCCTGGTCAAGGAATGCAACTGGAAACAGGAACACATCTCACATCTCAAACATCCATCCTCGAGACTTGAGGCTCTTCTCTCATTTAGCGTGGGATCTATGTGCCTTTCTATACCCTTGCTCCCCTCCTCCTTGAACCCAACCGTCCCTCTCTTCTCTACCGCCTCTCGCTCACGGTGAACGCTCAACGCTCAACGAGCACGGTCATTCCATCCTGCAGTGCGCCTTGCTGTTGTCCTGTCTGTCCTTGGTCGTGGCTCGTTCTTCTGTCAGACCTAGTCTATCATATTGCACTGGCTGACTGGGCTGTCTTGTGTCTCATCAGTCACACACAGCGCCAACAAGACCTGGGATTCGACTTGGAACACCAGAGAACTGACCGGCCAATCAGTCGCTCCAGGCCAGCCTAACCGCCGAGACTGGGCACCCAGTGAGCAAGCAGCTTGAATGGTTCCTGAGCAAGCAGCCAGCCAGAAGCCAGCCAGCCGTGTAATACGATCGCAGTAATTCCTAACGTCTATTGCTGGGCCCCCCTTTACCAGGACCCCACAGCTCCTCCTTCCCCTCCATCAGTTGATCTCCGTCCCCTGCACCCTGCAGCCTACCGTCCAGCCAGCTCTCCATTCCGTGTGTTGGCGGCCGTGGCGACCTCGACCGGACCTGCAGACCACTCCACACACCACTTGCCTACCGTACCCGGACGAGCACTAACACCGTCGTGCCTCTCTCGCTTATTACGCACCTCACACCATCCTGCATCCTGCAACCACTCTGTTTCCCTTCTGCGACCGCCCAGCTCCCCCGGCACTTCTCCGCCCACTCGACTACAGCGACGACGACAAAGACCACCCCTCGGACCAGGAACGTCGACGCCCATCAACGCGGCCCGCATACGCCCTGTCCTGACCTCTCTTTGTTGCCCAGTCTTCTCCCAGCCGGCGACACCTCCCACCCCTACCCTTCCAACCCGACCGCAACATCCTCTCAGCTCCTTCCCGGAACACCTGCAACCATGGCTTCAAGACCGAGTTTGAGCATGTTCACCCGCGGGCTCTCCAACCTGTCCCAGTCCTCGGACCCGAGCTCGCCCAACGTCAACTCCCCCGCCGAGCAGCGGGCCGACTCCAAGCTGGGCTTCCTCAAGGCGATGCGCCCTCTGCCCACCCAGCACTACTGGAACGTCTACTTTGACAGGTGCGCCCTCTTCAACCTCTGCCCCCCTTCTGGTTCACCAAAAGCTAATCTGGGCCCATCCGTGCAGACAACAAAAAGAGCAGAAGAAGACAGATGATGGCCAGGAGTACCAGGCGCAGCTCGAGCAGCTCGGCTCCCAGATCGAGTCTGTCCAGGACTTCTGGCGCTATGCCAACAACACCCCTGTCGACCAGATCAAGATGCGCGAGTCCCTCTACCTGTTCAAACAGGGCTTTAAGCCCATATGGGAGGACAGGCGCAACATCCTCGGCGGCAGTTGGACCTTCCGTGTGGGCAAGAACATCGGTCCCGATTTCTGGACCCGCGTACAGCTGATGGCCATTGGCGAGCAGCTCCAGGCTGCTCTGGAAGAGGGTAAGCGCTGTCGAGAACATGGGCGCGAATGCTACAATGTAGGAAGCTGACGGAACATGACAATTCTAGGTGACCAACTCTGCGGTGTCGGCCTCTCCGTCCGATTCAACTCGCACCTCATCACCATCTGGCACCGCGACTCGTCAAAACAGAAGTCCATCGACGGCATCATCGATTGCGTGCTAACCGACATGCCGGCGGAGTTGCGCCCCAAGGCGGACAACTACTTCTACAAGAGGCACTGCGACCACCCGGGCTTCAACCCACCTCCGGAGCTGAAGGTGGTGCTTGACTCCCACAACGCGCGGATAGAAGCTGCCAAGGCGGCGGCTGAGAAGTATATCGCTGAGAAGACGGGCCAGTCGACCCCGTCAACAGCCACAGAAGACTCCAAGGAGTCGGCAGAGGACAGTGCCCCAGCGGTCGCAATCTCTGGGGCTGCGGCTGCTGAGCCTATGCAAGCATGAAATTATTGATGTGTATGACGATTTCTTTGGCCTGATATTACCCATTCATTCAGAAGCCAACATAGGGACACGGCATTTTGGATCACGAAATTGGATTCATCCACATTTACCAGAGCACAACACAAACGAGCTCAACCGTGGGAGGACTGCATCTTTAAGGCGTTACTCGAATTATCTCAACCCACGTCAAATAGCATCAACACAACCAAAGAATATCATGAACGTAGCATACCATAGGTAGCATAACGCGGCCATCGTCACGGTGAGTGAGTGAGCGGGCGGCTCAGGAGGGGAGAGGTCGAGCTTGGACCTGTGCGTGGACAGAGAGTTTGGTGGGTTCGCGGGGGTCACCTCAATTGGCTTATTACTCGATCCAAGAATCAGATGAATCGAATGAGCTACATCAACCAGGCATAGCTGTTTCGTCTGATGTCTGAACTGCAGCATGGGTCCCTGTGAGAGTCGCGCTTCCGATGTTAAGAGCCTACCCCCGGCCACAAGGTGCTGTGGTATGATGACCGGCAATCGAAACAGATTCTCCGTTTCCCTCGCCCGGCCCTGGCCCGACCTCGGCACTCTTAAGGTTGGTTGGGTTGGAAAATACGCGTAGCCTTGCACTTCATGTGCGTTTGAGACGCAATGGAGTGATTACGTAGGTAGAGAGCGCTCCACAATTTGGGCAGATGATCTCGATGAGCGCCATCAGGACAACTCTGAAGCTTGGAGAGTGACGAGCAGTAGTCTGTCTACATGGATGGAACGAGCAGGCCTAACACAGCACATAGACTGCACAGCGGAAAGCTAGCGAGTCGCCTTGCTGCAGGAACCAGAATGGCAGGTCCAGGTATCCATGGCTTCGCCCTCTCAGGCTGAGCCGCAGGGCCGGACCAGTCCCCAAAGACCACCACCACCCAGCGGCCGGGCGGGAGCTAGTATCGACCAAGGGAAAGTGCAACGCCCGGCGTGTTATTGTCGCGCGCCCTCCCTTATTAGCAAAAAAAGCCCGGCCAAAACAGGAGGAACGCGCAAGCGAAAGTCTGGAACCTTCATCTCGGAAATGCCCACCTGCACCACCCGGCGGAGAGGAGATGTGCCCTTGTCGTGACAGTCTCGTCTGATGTTCATTTCAAGGACGAGGCTCACTTACACTCGCTGTCTACCCTAACCCCAGAACCCACTTTGCTCGCGATGGCCACCCAGATTAATGGCGGGGAGGGACCCCAGCAACAGCAGCAGCAGCAGCAGCAGCAGCAGCAACGACGTCAACAACCACCACAGAACCGTCAACAGCAGCACCAAGCAGCCCTCAGTCAGACCTGGCCACAGCTGATCGAGTCGACAAGGGAGATAGACGAGCGCATCGGACGAACGCCCACATCGGCCATGGTAAGCTTAGCTCTCCCACTGCCACGCCCTCACTATTCCAGCCTACCATTGCCAGGCAATATAATATCCACACCCCTCCCCCCCCCAACCCCCAGGCTTCAAATCCAGTCCGCTGCTCTCCCTCCCCCGGACCCAACTAACACAAGTCCCGTGCGCCCAGAACAAAGACGCCCACTTCACCTCCCTCCACCTGCACCGCGCGCGCGACGCCGACCTCCTCGAGGCCTTCGCCAAGGACCGCCTCCCCGCCGACGACATCTACGTGCCCGCGCACCACCAGCCCGTCAACCCAGAGGACGAGGACGACGTCGTGCCCGACCAGCACGCCGCCTTCGGCATCCAGAAGGCCACCGCGCTGCGCCGCGAGCCCGCCTGGCGCGACTTCGGCCTCGCGGAGCTCATGGCCAAGGGGCCCGAGGCGGGGGCCTGGAAGGGCGGCGGTCCTGGCGGGAGGGGGAAGGGGGCCGGTGGTGCTGGGGCTGCTGGGAAGAAGGGCGCTGGGGGTGGTAATCGGTTGCCTAGGTGAGGGTGTTGTGTCTTGGTTTGCGACAGTCAGGCAGGAAGGCGGTCCAGACTAGCCTACTAGGAGGTCTGTCGACTCTATCCCATGCGCTCAAGAGAAACCGGGCTTACTGCGGGACGGCGTTCTGCTGGTCTGGGGGCTTGAATTTGTAGATCTGATACCCGCGATACCAGTCGTCACAGGCGATGGTACTCGCCCAATTGCGATATGCGAGGCTTAATGCATCTTTTTCTTCTTCTATCCCGGCACCAAGAAGGCGTCCCAACGTGATCGTGCCCCGTGTCTTGTTCGAGCCTTTCCAAAACACTGACCGCCGAGCCGCAAAATCCTCTTCCGGGTTCCCCATATTCCCCAACGCCAGGCCATGCAAGATGTAATAACACGTAGAAGCCGTGACCACCGTCACGGCAATGCTCACCCTCACTGAAAGCGTTTCGCGCCGTATTTTCTCCTTTCAATGACCTCACTTGGCCACACCAAGATACGCCTCCCTCTCAAGCACCTCCCCAGAAAACTTGACCAGGAACACCGTCTTGCCAGGCCACATCTCCTGCACCGCACCCGCCGCAGCCGCCCCAGCCCCAGCATCACCGGCGCCTCCCGCCCCCTCGCCGCCCGCGGCGTGCTGGCCCCCGACGCTGTGGGCGGTGACGCGCGCGGGGAACCCGGCGCCGTCGCAGACGCCCTCGATCATACCCGCGACGTAGGCGGCGCAGTTGAGCTGGGACATCTCGCGGGGCACGCTGACGTAGGCGTTGACGAGGGGCTCGTTGTCGATGATCATGTACTCGTCGGGGGTGTCCGGGTTGCTCGAGCGCTGGATCTGGTCGGCCTGGCGGCCGAAGAGGTGCGTCCACAGCTGGATCTTGATGAGGTGCAGCAGGGTGATGATGTCGCGCGGGCGGGCCTGCTGCCGGGGCGGCTCGCGGTAGAGGAGGAGGTCGAGGAGCTTAAGGCCTATCGGGTGGCCCTGGACGTTGAGCCTGTTGGGGCGCGGGCGTTGTTGGTTAGCTGCTTGACTTTGGGATGTAGGGTGGTTGGCTGAAGGCCAGGAGCCGGGAGATGGGCGAGGAGGATCCGGTGAGCGTACCTCTTTTCTAGGTCCTGGATGCCCGTCACCCGTCGCTGCGCATAGCTGACCATCTCGGAGAAGAGGTACGCGAAGCTGGACTGGCTGAGCTCCGAGGTGCGCGACCGGTTCAATGGGCGGTGGTAGATCGTCTTGCCGCTCGTGGGGTACCGCAGCCCGCTGCCCGGCGGAGGCAGGGCATCTTTGCTTGCTGCTGACTTGTGCGTTGGTATGCTGGACATTGTGTGGCTTTGTGTGCGTCCTCTCTCTTATTTTGCGTTGTTCAGGAGCCGTGCGCGATTCAATGGTGGGCTTCAAGGTGTTGCTGGTATCTCAGTACCTGGGTAGTGGTGGTGGGTTGCATGTGGTAAGTCAATCGGTACAGCTGTGTCAGGGGTTCGGAGCCTTATCCATGATAAGGACGGGGGAGAAGGGGGGGTGGTGTGTCTGGATACCTCAGCCTAAGCAACTCGCCCAACTTCGGATTGGTTTGGTATCAATGTCTCAGCACCACCGCTCTCATAACAAATATATGGTTTCTAATTACTGTAGAGGTATCTATTACGCCTTGCTGAGTCGCTTGGTCAGTATACAACAAAAATACTACACTTTATGTCAACGACATGCTCTTTACGAACAATTCTACTGGCCCCAACCGGCCCTAAATACGGCTTCATCCTCGCTATCATGCAGCACTGCCCACGGCAGCAGGCTGCTCCTCGGCTGTGCCATTGCCTGCTTTTTGCGCCTCACCCTCTCCAATAGCAAGCTTCTCCTTGACAGCATCGGCGGCATCGTCGACGACGCTGTTCACGCCCTTGTCCGTGGCGCCCTTGAGGTACAGCTCCGACTCCCCGATGACGCTGCCGCCCTCGACCCACCTCTTCTTCTCGGCCTCCTTCCTCGCCTCGCAAAGCTTCAGCAGCGCCGGCCAGTAGACCGCGTGGTCGTACTCGAACTTGAGCCCGCCGTCGCTGAACTCGGTCCACAGCTGCTCCGCGGGCACGTACTGCTTCATGTCCTCGTTGAACTTCATCTTCTCCTTGGTGACGGGGTCCAGGAACGGCTTGATGAGCTTGAAGAACCCGTTGACCAGGAACGGCACGTTGATGATCAGCGCCTTGCCCAGCCGCTCCGGGTAGTGCGTCTGCAGGATGTTCAGCACCTCCTTGGACTGGCTCATCGGCGGCGCCGTGTAGGACCGGGTGGCAGAGGTCTTGAAGTTGATGAGCAGTGCGAGCATCTCCTGGCCCGGCGGCATGAGCTCGATGGTGCGCTCCAGCATGAAGACGAGGTGCTCGACCTGGCGGTGGCTGGGCTCAGTGTTCTGGCGGTTCGGTATCAGGTACTGGCATGGGTGGCCGTCCTTGTCGTATCCCAGGATAAGCTGCTTGCCCGTCTCGTTCTCAGGCGAGATGTGGTCCGGCGTCAGCTTCTCGTAGACGCCGAACTCGCGCCGCCAGAGGAGTGTGGCTATCAGGCGCTTCTCGGAATGCTCCTTGGCCCACTTTGTGGCGCGGAGGTAGCGGAGAAGGCATTCTCTCGTGAGCCAGCGCTTCTCATCCTCTGTGAGATCCTTGGGCGCATCTTTAGGCACGGTGACGCCGGAGTCCGGTTGGGACCAGTGCTTGACCTGGTTAAGAAGCCATTCATACTTCTGAAGCTGGTCGTCGGTAAGTTCAGTGGCCGGCTTGGCCTTAATTGAGTCGAGAGGGTGCTCTATAGGCGTTTTCAAGACGGTGGTATCTGCTGAGTCTGCCATTTTGAATTGTGATACTGAACTAGCCGCGAAAGAAGACAATACGGGCGCCGTGAGCTTGGCCGGTAGTTACGAATGGAAATCAAACGAGTGCAGGAGGACGGTCCGGACGAGTGACAGTTTCCGACTGCGTCTCGAGATTTCACCAACACGGGCAGGGAAGTATTATGTTGGCACAGCAGGTTGGCTGTCAGGCTGTCATTAAAGGGGTTCAAAGGAATCAATGTGACCTGTCGGTGAATGACCCGAGCCTTGTGGAATCTCATCCCGGGTCTTCGGGGCGGGCCACTAAATCTCGCCTGATCTTGGTAGCGGCTTGGCCGCAGTCAGCGCACGCTATCGATAAGATCTCAGTGCTCCAGGGTCTGCTGTACTCTGAGGACCCCTGCTCAATTAAAGCTGTTTTCCAAAGCGCGTCAGGACGCGTCTCCCAAATCTCGTCCACTGTAAGAGGGGCCGAGAGATATTGGGCCTGCACCACAACGACCCCGAAAACACGTCAAACCTGCCCCATTGTCACAAAAAGAGAGACAGTGACCTTCATCCAACCACGGCAAGGAGACAGCATCACCATGGCAGACCCAGCAGTGTCAGAGCTCAACGAGCTCTTCGGAGCCGGGGACAAGGGCTTGGGGCAGGACGTTGTCGTCGAGATGCAGTCCATCATGAGGCTGCATAACTTGGCACCTCAAGACCTCTTCTTCAAGTGGGAATCATATTGCATCAAAATGGACATAGAAGCGACACAGCCGTCTTATGAGAAGATGAGAAGCTTCAAGCAGGACCTACAGGATGCTCTGGAGAAAAGCACCCGGACTCAGTCCCACGCCAGACCAGATAAGCATCGAGTCGGTGCTACTCCGAGGGGAGGTGCCAAGGGTGGAGATGTATTTGGCATGTGAGTTGTGTCTCAAAGAATGAGCCTTCATATTGTACTGACAGGAACCAGGATCGACGGCCTGTTGCCAAACACCCCTGCGGCACGCAAGAGCGCCATTAAGAAAAAGGAGACGCCAACGTCTCGCATCAAGTCAGAACATGCCGCGAGCTCACCGGATCAAAGGACCACGGCCAACTTGAAAGACCAGCTGGATTCCATGGGGGCCATGCCGTAAGGTCTCCCTGCTGTGTGTTTTTGACTAGACACACTTCGCTAATTTGTGCCAATAGCCCTTCGTCCTTCAATGACCGTTCGAATCCGGGCGAGGTTCTGGAGGTTCTGAACAGCGAGCTCCCGGCTGCAGAGCCACCAATTGCCCCCTTCGGAGAGTCTCGCGTCAAATTGACCGCCGGATCAGACCTAAAGAAGCTGGGTTACAAGCCACTGGGCATGAAATTATCAGAAGCATCCGAGATTCTGGACGACCGGATAGACGACTTTCTGAATATCGTAATGGATCACCACAAGCTGGACCCGTCTGCTTTCGGCAGTGCCGCATCTCAAAGTACCACCGAGATCGTAGCAGTCGGCCGGATCGCTTCGGACTCTTCAGAAGGCAAGCTCAACGCCGCCTCCCTAGTTCTCGAGACCTCAAGGAGGACGGGTGGTGGCCTGCGGGTACCCTTGAGCATGGAGAAGATTCAGAATTACCAATTCTTCCCAGGCCAGATTGTTGCCTTGCGAGGAAGCAATGCATCGGGGCACAATTTCACCGTAAAGGAAATCCTTGAAGTCCCTCTCCTGGGCAACGCGGCGTCGACACCGGCAGCCTTGCAAGCCCACCGCGACAAGCTCGTCGGTGGCCCCGACGCAATGGAAATGGACAGTGAACCTCTGCCCCTAAATGTTCTATACGCATCCGGCCCATATACTGCAGATGACAACCTGGACTTCGAGCCGCTTCACCAGCTTTGTACCGTGGCAGCCGACACATACGCCGACGCTCTGGTTCTGACGGGTCCTTTCATCGATATCGATCACCCACTCATCGCATCAGGCGACTTCGACCTGCCGGAGGAGGCCAACATCGATCCAGACCTGGCGACCATGGCCAGCGTGTTCAAATACATGATAGCTCCCGTCCTCAACCGGCTCGTCGCCGCCAACCCCACAGTGACAGTCATCCTCGTCCCTTCAACGCGAGACGTCATCGACAAGCACGTCTCGTGGCCGCAGGACTCGTTCCCGAAGAAGGACCTCGGCCTCCACAAGACGGCCGTCAAGATCGTGGGCAACCCCATGACCCTCTCCATCAACGAGATGGTCCTCGGCGTGTCGTCACAGGACGTGCTGTGGGACCTCAGGGGCGAGGAGTGCACGAGCCGGCCGCCGCCCGTGCCGGACCTTCTGGCGAGGCTGTCGAGGTACCTGATCGAGCAGCGCCACTACTTCCCCGTCTTCCCTCCCTCGGACCGGAGCAAGTACCCCAAGACGGGCGCCGAGGACGGGAGACCCGTGGGACCGATGCTGGATGTGAGCTACCTCAAGCTGGGCGAGATGGTCGGTGTCAGGCCGGACGTGCTGGTCGTGCCGAGCGCGCTGCCGCCTTTTGCGAAGGTATGTCCCTGAACACCATGCCACAGTTACTGAATGATTCTCGTGGAGCGTGTGACTAACTGAAAATACGCAGGTTGTTGAAAGTGTTCTTGTAATCAATCCCGGCTTCCTTTCCAAGCGCCGAGGCGCGGGCACGTATGCTCGGATGACCTTGTACCCGCCGTCGCTATCGGATATTGAGGGGGCAGGCGGAAGCATGTTGGGACACAAGATCTTTGACAGAGCGAGGGTGGAAATTACCAGGATATAGATCAGGTCAGATCGTGTTTGTTAAATAATGCATGAGGGCAGGCAGGAGTTTTGATTTCTCGTTGCGTTAGGGCTAATCGCCAATGTTATATTATTCCTCAACGCGGTGCACTGTTGTGAGCGTAGAATGTCACAACGGTACTGTCGTCTAGACCGACCATATCCGGGCGGTACGTGCCTGTCTAAGGGCTGAGTTCGGTGTGGGCAGTAGAATTGGACTGCCGTTGGGAGCCTTGCGTTCATCTTGCAGCGGCTTCCTATGTTCAATCGGCTGTTATGATCAAGGTCTGCCCAGTCTGCGTGCGCACTTGGTGCCGCATGAGACGAGGCCGCCGGTTCTTCGACCTCCCAGGCAACGATGTTGTGGGTGTGTCGCCTGGACGGCTTGCTCGATAGTCGGTCTACCTAGAGTCTACTCTCCTCCGCTTGTCATCATCACGGCGGTCCCTCTCTCTGGAGTATTCTCTCTTCCTGTCTCTGTGGTCATCACGGTCTCGCCTCGGCGACCTCGACCTGGACCGCCTCCGGCCCAAGGGCATGGCATTTGCCCCCTTCCCACCATAGTCACCGCCCCGATCCCCTTCCCTCTCCCCGTCCCGGTACTGGTCCCACTCGCTCCTCTGCCGCCTGGGGTCGTCGAACCGGCCCCACGCGCCCGTGTCCTCGCTCTTCAGGTCCTTGTACTTGGTGGCGCCCTTCTTGCCCAGCTTGGTCATGTCGCGCATCTGCAGCGCCTGCGGCAGCAGCTCGCGGTTGCGCACGTCGTCGGCGAAGCGCGCGCCCATGATGTCGCGCTTGTCGAGCCCCTGCGCGGCCGCCTCGTCCTGGTAGAAGGCGCCCTTGTGGAAGTACCGCTGCATGTAGCCCATCTTGCCGCGCGACTCCTTCTCCTCGCGCTGCCGCGACACCAGCGCCTCGTCCTCGGCCGCCCGCTCCGCCTCGGTCAGGTTCTGCCGCCGCTCCTTCTCCGCGATCTCGGCCTCCTTGGCCTCGATCGCCTCGCGCGCCCGCTTCAGCCGCTTCAGCTCCCGCAGCTTCCACGCCGCGTACTCGGCCGCCGGGTCCAGGTCGTCCGTGTCGTCTACCTCCTCCTCGCCCGACCGCTCGTCGTCATCCCAGTGCTTCTTGCCCGCCGCTTTCGCGGCTATGTCCTTTTGGATTTGTTCCTCGACCAGCGCGTCCGCCTCGGCGCGCCGCTTGGCTTCCTCCTCTTCTTCCTTCTTTGCGGGGTCCTCTTCTTGTTTCGTGCGGTTCGCTTTTGATATGAATTTGGGCCGCACCATTAATCGCCTTGGGGACTCCTCCTCTGAGCTGCTCTCTTCCTCTGACGAGGACCCATCCTCGCTGCCGCTTTTCTCTTCCTCACCATCCTCGCTGCCTCCGTCCTCGTCCTCTGTGACAAAGCCCTCCTCTTTGGCCTTTCGCTCGATCTCGGCGCGCTGTTTCGCTGCTGCTAGTTTCTTGGCCTCCTCGCTTGCCTTGTTGCTGCTGTTATATGTGCTGATGATGCGCCCCGCGCTGGGCACTTTCGGTGGCGGCGCGATGCTGCGCTTCTTTGGAGGTTCGGGCTTGGCTTCTTGTTCAGCGCCGCTGTCGTCCGAGTCGGAGGATGATGAGCCCCCTGCTGCTTTGCCAGCGAAATGTCGTCCCGGCCTGACGGGGTTCGCAGTCATGCGTTTTGGAGGCATCTTCGGAGTGGTGATATGGGTGAAGCGGGTGAGTGGTGAGGACTGTGGTTGAAGCTTGAGGTTTGATGTAGAATGCTGTCGTCCAAGGGTGGGAGCAGGGTTCCGAACAGTAGGCACGCAGGTACCTAGGTACCTGGGCACCTGGCACCACACCGTTGTTAGCGTGCCACTGACGAGCCTCCCACTTACAGGTCTGTGTGCCACGGTGACCCCAATCTCGATGTACATGCAAGATCTTGCGTCTGCCTCAAAAAGAATTCTGCTTAGTACCTAGGTATACAGTTTAGTTACTCGAGTAGACAACGGTATAGCAATCAGAAGTACAAATAGATAGCATGCACCCGCTCCCTGATCAAAAAATGAGAGGCCCTTTCAGCCCTGCTCCAAACATGGCGAGCACATGTCCTTTTACTCTTGAACTGCCAACCGTGGAGTGCACTTTGATGATATGTATGCATGCTTTGTGCACACATCCTCAAACACTCCGGTGCCATTATGAAGTTTACATTTGTTTGCCCAGCCTCCATAAGAATTCCTACCCGCTGCACCGGGAAGAGGCTCCGATTCATTAGGAAGGAACTCCGCCACACGCACTGTATGCCTGGTCTTGGCGGTCTCATACACTTCGTAAGTCCCTGAAAACCAAAGGAGTGTAGCTCCGTCAAAATCAGGGAATCGACTTTGCACATAGGACGTGAAAGCTAGCGACTCCCTCGCCATGAAGGGGCAATGGACGAATAAGGATCGCACTGTATCTTATGTGGCCAAGGCTCTGCTTGGAGATGCGGTAGTCTCGATCATAGTCTTTGATGAATAGTATTATATCCTGGTAGAGTTTGAATTTAACACCGTCGAGCTTCCCAGTCGTGATGCCTCTCAGAAAATTGCAAATTGTTCGAAATGTGACTGTTCTGGAGATAGTGGTGCGCTGCCCCGTGGCTCGTGTGCTTGTTGAGCGGACATTACGGAGCTCGCGTGGTATGTCAGACCTAGCTGTGACGTCCGAGAAGTGATGGACAGTGGCCGTTTCTCCTGCTCAGGGTGTGTATCCATGGTGTCACTGAAGCATGTGTATTGGCTGCCGCCACCCACGCGGATTCCCCCCCTTGGCCTGACTGAAATGTCAGAACGTGACACAACCGAACTGTCTCTGATTGCAAGCTTAGTTACCTTCTCGTGGTTCTGACCTGCCTCTACTTGAGCTCTGTAAGCAGATCCGCCGTCATCCTTCCGCTTCACGCCAATTTCATATCTTTCATCGGGTTTTCGTGGTCCCCGGATCATCAGCAGTCATTGACAGGATTTCCCCACAAACGGGAAGGGAAAAGTGAAACTAGGCCTCAGAATGGATGAAGTCTTGAACTTTAGTAGTTTGGAGGTGTATTGAACAAAATTTCTGGCCAGTGGGCTGAAGCTTAGTAGCATTGTAAATTGAGGGTTGGTGTTGACACTACAAACACGCACGGGACAGTCATGCTGACACCTTGATGTTCAAGGAATGTGGGATATACGTGACAGAGCAGACCGTTGGAGACCGCAGAACATCGAAACGGACAGGCAGCCAACCTGAAAAGCAAATGCTGCTGAAACGGGCTTGGTCTATGTGTAATCAGTGAAAGCATGCCGTATGCTACTAAAGCTTCACGGATGCTAAGAAAGAAGGTAACGTTGAATTTTACCCTTTGCCGACTAGATTGTAGAAATCACTGACCTAGCGTTAGAACATAGCGGATGCTCAGTCAGTCTCTATCAGAGGTGGGTGTGCGGAGTGAACGGGCCAATCATATTTAGTATTTGCAGGCTTCTAAAGTCGGCAGAGCAGCGTAGTCAAGAGACTGATTCTTGAGGTTCTCCCTCATTCTCTCCTTCTACCTTAACTTTCGCCAGATTCTGTACAGGAGCCTCCCGCGAGCTCACTCGCAGCTCGGGAGAGCAATTAACGACCTTCCCAATCCTCTTAAGCCTCACTCTCTTTTGTCACTGACAGTCTCGGTATCCGAAGTGTGCACCCTGTCGGTTGCCATTCACTATTGGCACAGAAAGACTCAGTTTCTACGAAGTGACATACCATTTTGGTGAGAACCTCGAGAGACTTCCTCCATGCAAAGAGTATCTAGGGCTATTTCCCAGCTACAAAGTCTTTCCCAACTTAGATCGAGATTCATGCCCATTGCGAAGCGGAGGTTGTCAGCATTGGCACCCGCCCAAATTCTGGCACAGCGCGTCTCAAGCATATAGTGTCAAAGTGGAGTTCATCCAGCGAGTAGAGGCATTCCAAGGAAAAGAACTGCCGATAGTGAGCTGCCGCCGCAGAATCTTGGCTTTGCAAGCTACAAGGCACCTAACCTGAAAAATGTGCCCGGCGGCAATTTCAAGGCCAAGATCAAGCGCTGGGTACACAACATCGATAGCCTTATGCAAAATGCAGAACGCTGACAAACCCCAGTCACCAGATTCCGGCGGTTTGATGCCACTTAATTGATACTTCTGTCGGATTTCCGGCATTCCCAGCGCTGTCGGGTTTCCGGGAGCCTTATGCTCGAGTTGAAATGCGCCAATTACCATCAAGAAGGGTCGGATCCTACGAAACCACCAGATAACACCAGAATGTGATTAATCAATCAATCAACCCAGCATGTCAGCACAATCCTTCCAGTACAGCATATGACCTTTTTTTGGAAGCCCTGCGGCAAAACATAACACCTTTTTGGGGCCAAGTTCACGGCTCGGGATCAATCTTGCAATTCGTCGCGCATGGCAGGCTTGGCAGCCTCACTGTGCTTGTATATCGACTCAGCCTTGTGGACTGCAACATGCTGTTGATGTAGACAGACATGTGATGGATGTGTGTAACTCGCCGAACGAAGTCAATTTACACTTTGAAAGTCCTTTTGCAATACATTGGCAGCCAATGGTCTGGGCACCCATACCAAATTACAACACCGAGTCTCTACTCCTTCCCTATTCATCAATCCATCCATCGAAGGAGTCACGCCAGAAAGAAGTTGATAGGGATAATGATATGCCGGTTGGAGCCGGCTTCTTGGAACACATCACATTCTGGGCTCTTCTCCTGGACAAGTATAAAATGGTCAGAACATCTCCTCTACTTCACTTAAATGAAACAACCTCAACGTTCACTCTCAGTCCTCTGCACTTTTCCTCATCATTGATCCCAAATACCATCAAGAAGAAAGTTTTCACAAGCCTCTACAATTTCATCATGCAGTTCAAGCACATCACCGCGGTCTTTTTGGCCAGCCTCATCGGCGCTCAGAGCGCAGCCATCATCTCCCGTGATCAGATATCACAAGAAGAGCAGGAACCGGAACAAGCGCTTGTCCTGCTCAGCAGTGAGAGCATCCCAGCTGGCAACCTTACCATCTGGGGTGTGCTCGACAACGGCATCCCAGCCACACCCGACATTGTTGACGACGTCGCCTCTCCGCATGTCGACCGCCGGTGCGGCAGCAACCAGGTTACGTGCCACACCTCGCATCAGGCCTACACCACTGTCTGCTCAGCACTGATTGGCACCTTGGGAGGTTCTGGGGTGGGCACCGCGCCGCGCTCCATTTGTCTAAGCCAGTCGGGAAACCAGTGCTGCATTAGTTGGGGCAATCCGGTGCCATCGCTGGTACAGAGCAATCTGTACAACGCCGCCAACAGCGCTCGTAATAGGTGCGGTTCCAGCGGCCTTGTATCAGCCATCGTCGCAGATACCAATCTGCATGGTATTTGCACCAACCAGTGTCTCTCCAACAGACCTGACGGTTGCCCCAGTGCATGAAGTCATGCGTATTTAATGATGACTGTTTTGTGGGGGACCAGAAGTTAGTTGAAGAACGATTTGGTGTTGAAAGATATGGAGGCAACTTGTGGTGCTGGTATTGGATTAGTTGTGCGTGGTTGGTGGAAAATTCTGATATTAGTGCTTTACAACAATTCTTTTTTTTTTTTTTTTTTTTTTTTTTTTTTTTTTTTTGGGTTGGATTTCACACAAACACATCACAAATTCCTTCTACTGATATTGAAGCAGTGGCTGCGACGCCCAGCACCCCACACACTTCACTTCGGGCCGAGAATGGCAGACATAAATGGGCCCAGATAGACCCCTTCCATCAGAATACATCACTCAAGCATTCTTTTCTATCTGAACAAGCAACTTGTGATACTTCTGGCTTCACACATATCCCGTGCCGGCGTAGCGGACTCGCGAGAGAAGCTTGATACGCATGATATTTGCCAAAGCCACACGTTAGTTTGCATATTTTCGGGCAATCTTTCTAAGCCCCCCACTCCGTGAGACATCCCATAAATGATCTATGCATCTAATTGTCGGACACCTCGCCACTCCTGCTGCTATCTTCAGATGAACGACTAGACGACCCGCTTGTACTCGCACTTGACGAAGGCGCAGGCGATGGAGACCGAGAGTCAGAATGTACGCTTGCAAGTTCAAATTCCGGACCAGTCACTCCAAACTCATGGTCCGCCGGGTGTATCTTGTCCTTCGAGTTGAAGCACTTGTAGCAGAGGTCGTAGTCCGGGCATGTCTTGCAGTTGTACTCCAGCCCACGGCAAAGCTAAAGGGTATTAATCACGGCATTTCAAGGTGGAGGAGGTGACAATGGGCAAGTTCTCTTGCTTACAAGATGGCAGAAGCTGCAGAGTATTGTGGTTGAGCGTGAGCGTTTCAAGTTGTTGATGGCCAAATCAGGCATATCACCGAGTTCGTTCGGACCTGTCGATTCTTGACCACCGCTTCGTGGTCGGTCTTCTGAACTAGGAGCGAGGAGCTCCAGGACTTCTTGATCACATCCGTGATACCAGGCGATGTCTGCAGGTGTGTACTCTTTCCCGGGAAGGCGAGACCTTACGGACCGATCTGCGCCCCGATGGAGTAATTCCTTGATCATTTTGAGATGGCCTGGCTGGGCGCCCTCATCGGCAATCGCCCTTGCTGCCCAGCATAGTGGCGTCCATCCATCCAAATCGGCATCATCGATAGCATCATTTCCAGTGGTTTCCGGTAGATTGTCCAGGAGTGCTGTGTTGCCACCCTGTGCAGCCCAGCTTAAGACGCTCCGTCCGATCTTGTCCTTACTGGTAGCCTTTCCACCACTGTCCATGATGAAGGAGGCCATTTCTTTTCTGCCACGCGCAGCAGCAATGTGAAGTGGTGTCCTACCAGAAATATCACTGCCAGCAAAATTTGAACCTCTCGCGGCTAGGATTCGTAGGTGAGCTACCTCGCCTCCCCAAGCCGCGGCCCCTGAGATGCTTCCGAACAAGCTGTTTGACGCCTCGACATTGGCGCCAGCTCCAAGAAGGATGTGAATCAACTTTGTCTTACAATCATCACCCTCCCCAGAATCGTCCCCAGACGCAGGAAACATGAATACCGATGAAAGTGGTGTACCACCGCTGCCTTGTACCGACAGATTCACATCTGCTCCCCTGTCTATCAAATATTCAACAATCTCCACCAGACCTGAACTGCAGGCAGCGTGCAGCGGACCGCCGAAGAAAGGGGATATGATCGTCGTGTCGGCATTCTTTGACAGGAGATACTTGGCTGCCTCTGCGTGTCCGTACATGAGTGCCTCGACCAGGGGTGTCGAATCAAAGCGATCCTTGACGTTAACTTCGGACCCTGCGCGGACCAGCAGCTTGATGTTTTCAAGCGGCATCGACTCTTCGATATAGTGAAGTGGCGTTCTGCCGTCGTCGGTTCTCAAATCCAGTGTGGGTCTAAATTCAAGGAGGGCTCCCAGAGCGTTACTGTTGACCCCTTGGTGTACAAGAGTGAATCCAGTACTGAATCGACGATTGACATTTGCACCAGCATCGGCCAGAATTCTGACGATATTTGCATGGCCGTTGACAATCGCACGTTCCAGCGGCTCCCACCCGTCTATCAACTCGTCCGGTGGATCGATTTGAGCTTTGTGCTGAAGCAGCAGGTTGACGACTTCTGTGTGATTGCCTACCACCGCTGCAACCAGCGCCGAATTCTTACGTTCGCGGTATTTGTTTGGGTCAGCTCCATTCTCCAACAGGATTCTCACCAGCTCCTCGTTGTGGTCACTGCAACGAGCAGCATAGATCAGTGGAGTACAGCCATTGGCCGTCTCGGCGTTCACTTCAACGTTCTTTTGGTCCAGCAGCACCCGTAGCATCTCCACATCACACTCTTGTACCGAGATGTGTATAGGAAGACAACCGTCCCGTCCAGGTAGATTCACATCAGCTCCGTGCTGCAGGAGATACCTGACAATAGAGTGCTTGTGTTGACGATGTGACCAGCATGAACGTGCTAACGCAGTTGTTCCTTCTCGAGTGGCCGCGTTTATTTCTGCTCCTTTCTCCAGGAGCAGTTTAACAATGTCAAAGCTCGATTCGGAATCAGGACTGTTCATTGCATGAACTAGAATGGGTAATGGGTTCAACAAGGAATTCGGACTCGCCCCATGCTCCAGCAGGAGTTGGCATATTTCGAACGACCCATTTGCGACGGCATACCAGAGAGGGGTGCCTGAGGGCCCAAAGATATCTGGGTCTGCGTTGGCCCCGAGCAAAGCACGCACGCAGCCCACGTTCTGTTCCTGGACTGCGCAGGTGAGGGGGGACCATCCAGGTTCGTCCTGATTTCCTGAAGCCTTCAAGTTTGGGTTTGCTCCCAAGCCCAACAAGGCTTCCAGCGCTTTTGTATTACCCCAGAGACAGGCAACATATACTGGTACGCAGAAGTTCGTGTTTTGGACATTCAGATCAACGCCGTGGTGTTTTAGAAGCGTCACCATGTCCTGGTGTCCGTAATATGCCGCCAGATGGAGTGCCGTAACCCCACCGGCCTCACGATTCGGGCTCGCGCCGTGGTCTAGTAACAAAGTGGCGGCTGCCAATTTGTTACTGATAATAGCTTCAAACAGCGGCATCAGAGGGTACGGCTCTTCACTGGTCCTGTCTTTTTCGTCGGCAGGGCATCCCAGTTCTAGAAGTTGTTCAAGGACGTCACTGAGTCCGAGCCCACTTGCACGCACCACTTGTGCTCCTTGATCTTTCCACGGAAAGCCTGGGTATTCTTTGCGTATGTGATCGATCAATTCCGTCCAGGCCGTTCCATCACCCCATGCGCCAGCACAAGTAAGTGCGTTGTTGAGAGTGTCGGTTGAATGTTGCCTTTGACATAGCAGTTTTGCCATGTTCTGCGAGCAGCCATTGGCATATGCCTCGCCCAGTCCATCCGAGATTTCCTTGTCACCCACGCGACACTTCTCAGCCAAACCAACCAGACCTCGACCTGCTAGGATAGGATAGAGGGTTTCGAATGGCTGTGGACTCCTCGTGATGGGGTTTGCAAGCGACCAATATCCTTTGGACCAGTTGGTCACAGCACCAGATGTGATAAATGCAGCCACATCTTCCTTCGGATCATATCCATGCGACGCATGAGAAACATGATGTATCCAAAATTGAACAGCATACTCTTGCAGACCAGTGTGGTGATATCTTCTAGCTTGGAGGGTCTCCTCATTGAGTGAGCCACCATAAAGCCTCTCAAGACTCTGTTGCACGGCGGGAGTGGCCAAGTAAGCCAAACAAGTTCTGCCAATAACGGCATGTGGGTTTCTTTCCAAGGAATCCCAGAGATGCGGTCCCTCTGACTGATTTTTTGACTTTGCCATGAGCAATTCTCGAATACGATGCGTGGACAGGGTCGCTGTGTTGTTCTCAAAGACGAGAATACCTATCAACCAAGCTTGCAACTTCTCGAGGGTTTCATCAGCCTCCTTGCCGGAAGATTGCGAGACATCAGCACCCGAGACGCCTGATCCAAGAGTGACAGCGGTTGCAAGCTCCAAGTGTGTAAGTGGCCGTGTGGCGTGGAGAATCCAGGTTAGCGCTCGTAAAGTGAGCTCGCGATCTGGAACATCATCCAGAATCTTTTCGACGACGGATTCAAGACTGGCTCTATCTGTGCTGCCTATTATGTCCCGGACAGATCGCTGCGGTGGCCATTGTTTATTAAAGCTGATCTGTTTGATGACAAGATCACGGACGTCTGAATCCAAACCTGCGATGGCTTGCAAGTCCTGGTCCACCCGCTTCTCGTTCGCTGCTTCTCGAGCTGATGCGTCAAGGTAGACGGAAGGCAAGTCGCTAAGCTCCTGGGCCAGAGCTTCTGGCTGGGTATTGGTAACGACAACTTTCCAATGCCACTCTCGAGTCTGTGAAACATAGAGGAAGAAATCCAGGAAGGCCTTTCTTGACACGGGTTCGCACTCGTCAAAATTGGCGAGAACGCATGAAATGTTTGGGACTTGACTCCAATGCCGACAAAACTGGAACAATCGAAATGCGTCCGTGTAGTGCCAGCCACGACTAGTCCGGCATTGCTCAAGTTCTATGTTTAAAGCGTTCATGGACCGCAATGGCGAATGTCCCATTATCTGAGCAAGGAATGTGGCCATCATGTCTAATGCGTCATCTTTCCGGACGTCATACCGGTCAAAGGAGAAGTAGAGGGCAATCTGTCGACTCCGTGGAGGGTTAAGCTTGTCAAGATCGTAGAACACGTACTCCGATGCCAGTCGTGCGTCTGGACCGCCGTTGAGATACAGCAGCTCTGGCTTCTGCTGATTTCGCCATGATTGATACTTTTTGTTGTCACTGATCCATGCATATGGATGATCCAAACCATCGCTTGTCCTAAGGGGAAGCACTGGCGAAGCAAGAGAGAGCAAGAGCCGTTCATCGCGAAAGCGATTTTCGTCAACGGCGACAACTGTCAAGCTTTTAGTTGTGCGTAATATGCCATGGTGTTGGTTCAAGGTTGCTCACAAGGAATTGTATGGTCGGTACATTTTCTAATTCGACCGCAGTCATCATCTAAGTTCAGGCCACCGGCGACGCGGAACTCAAAAGGGGATCCCAAGGTGCCACAGAACTTGTCAAAAACCTATATTCATCAGTATGAAAGGCCTTCTCAGTCTTTTGTCATTCACGTTCTGAAAATTTCGAGATTGATTGTTTGAAGCGTACCTCGTCAATGTCACCGCTGCCAGCTTCCGAGAAGATACTGATTGTGTAGGACCGAAACATTTGCTTGGAGAGAAAATACGAATCATTGATTGCCATGATGGCTTTGGCGAGACTTTTGGTTGCGCTTGTTGGCGTACGCAATACTGGGCTTTTTAGTTCTGTCCGGCGATACATGAACCTGGAAAGTCTTTGTTCCATGTCCATGGCATCCGACGCCCTGTGGGGGCAGCCGTAGAAAATCTGACAGTTTTAAGCAAGCATGCCATGACCTTGAGATGAGACAGCACTTACCAGAAGACGCGCAGTATCGGATATAACCCCATATGCACGCGGATTGAGTTGAGCGTGCGCGAGTGCCTGTTAGATTATCAGTAATATATACTTTGAGCGGTGGGGTAGATCTTAGTACACCTACATGTTTGACTATAATTCCCCCAATATCATGAGCTATGAACATCAGGCGCCGCATCTAACAACCATCAGTGCATAACTTCGATAAAGTTGATCCAGTTGAATCCTGACCTGCGACGATGATTCCTTCATTTCTTTGATGTCGTCCAAAAGCTTCATTGCGACATTTTTAATCACTTCATGCGCGCCAGTATCACTCAACATACTCATGGGGTCATATCCAAAAGACATGACCTTTCGACATTGGTCAGAGCCCTGGTCATGTACCCAGGAGGAGTTTCCGGACCCAGGGTTTTTCCAGGGAGGCCTTCGAGCGCCCCAAAATCCGTGGATGACAACAACGCTTCGCTCGCGTGTCAGTCTCTAATCTGGATTCTTTCAAGCAAGTTATCTTGTCACTCACTCGAACAAGTCTGCGACTAAAGTTTGAGGCCCTGAGATGCTGTCTTGTCGACCATCCCAAAGCGTGACAAGCCCCTGGGCATCATATTCTGGCGGTTTCTCACCCTGCATGTACTCTAGCACGTCCTCCCATTGCTTCTTGGCTTCATCGACGCCCTTGACGTCTTCGAAGATATCGGTCTGGTGGGCAGATTCTGGAGAGGCATCCTCGCCATGCCACGAGGCGTGGTCGGGCTCTTTGCCGACATGACTGATGGGTTTGATTTCTTCTTCAGCGGCATTCCCCCCCTGCATGCGATGTTCTTGGTCAACTTCATCGATGGAGCCTTGATACGAGGATGTATCGGTAGAGGACAAGTCCGAATGCGCTTCCGGTCCGTCTGCCATTATCGACTAGGACTGAGTCAACTGGCGCGGGCAAACCGACGATAGCTTCTCACGCTGGCGCGAAACTGGATTGGTACAAAGCTCAGCTGAAGTGTCTCTACCTCATCACCGACACTCTTCAAGGGCCCCAGAGGTTGGATTGCAAGATCCCCTCACAACGCAGTGTCGAGTGCCAAGAGTGGCGCAACATCATTTGCTTAGTTCTCATGCACCGCACCGTTTGCGGCAGTTTGCGGGAGCGTTTGCCTCGTCGCCCCTACGAGAGGCGACGAATGCACCCGAGAAAACCTCCCAATGAGGATCCGTGTTTCTGGTCATCCGCACTGCCTGTGCAACATCGGTAGAGATGAGACAGCCACCGAAGAATATCTGCCAATAAATAGACGCGTCCCTTATCAGTCGACCAGAAGCCCCTGTACTGTCGGAAGAGGCTCACGCAGTCATACGGAGGCATCTCCCAATGAACAGACGTATTTGTTGATCAATTTCGGAAACCTCCTGCACAGCCTACAGTGCATGTCACGATGCCAAGCTGCACTGTCTACAGAATAGATTAGCATCTTTGCGTACCTAGGGACAAGAAAATATGCACATGGAGAATTCCAGCATCAATAAATTTCCGCAACCGGTAAAACCGAAACTAGCATCTAAGATGTGAGACCTAGTCAACGATTCAAGAGATCTTCACCATGTCTTCCTATCTGGCGGCGGAGTGCCTGCCATCTTTTGAACTTGAACTCGGTGAGCGGGGCGACGAAGGAAGCAGTTTTCGCACGCAGAACGACGTCTCTGATCCCCTCCAACGCTCGAACATCACAGAGCGGAAGGGCGTCATCGATATCCGCTGCACTGGGGCGGATGTCATTCACGGCTATTTGCAGAATGGGAAAGCTCCAGCAACCCTTCTAGTCTACGAGTTTCAATTCGACCCTCGGAAGATATCCCGGCGCATTACTACGGTGGACATGGAGTTCAGGTTTGGCTCAGAGTTCGGAAAGGAGCCCGAGGTCCTCAAAGTCTCCCCGAAGGGACGTATGACTCTGGTGCCCACAACACAAACCGAGACAACGACCGTTGGAGGCGATACCAAGGCAGGCGGAAATGTGTTTGGGGCCGAGTTCGGCTCCAGCTGGAAGTGGGAAAAAGTCATAAGCCGTGAGAGCAGAGACGCTACCACCATAGTGGGCTCTATGGACATCCAAGGCCGCAACTACGGACCCTCTAACGCCGTGTCGTGGACTATCATGGAAAACGCATCAGAGGGTACCGGAGTGCCGGCACACGTCAGGACAGCAGTGCTCTTGTCAAGAGGCGATGATGAAGAGCTATTCTACAGCATGTTCAAGATTAAGGCTCAGGTAGACTTGGTGAGCAAATTCACCCGGCTCTTCGGCTCGACGCCTAGAGACGACCCTATTCTCTACGATACGACACTGCCACCCACGAACAATCTGCGAGAATATGACTTGAACTCCCTCGGGGATGTCGATATGCTGGAATTGAGCACCATGGGATTCACAAATGATAGTCAGGTATCTAATTGAATTCTGCGGTCTAGTTTGGTTTAGTATCAGACAAGGCTCAAATACAACTTTAGAACTCCTTGCTGAATGGGCCTACCCGTAAACATGAATCGGAAGATGATGTCAACAAATCGCCGAATTCAGAATCAGATCAGGCCACTCTACTCCACAGGACGTTGTACGAGCCCTTTCTACCGCATCCAAGCACCACCGCAGTCAAGCAGCCCCGCACTTCAAGTTGTTCAAGGGCGGCTCGCCGTCACATTCTGTCCAGGGCGCACAATTGTTGCAGGGCGCATCGGGTAGTACGGCTAGCATTCAAGGCGATGACATGGCCGGCTTGAACTATGAATTCGTAATCAACATTATTCTGAAATCTTCTTTAATAGATGAGATCCGGCCATTTGTTGATTACTAATACCCTCCTTGCTCTTCTTTTCTTTTCGCGAGATATCGTGTGCGTTGTGCTATACAGAAGAATTAAGCATGTACTTAAGCAGCGGTATCGCGCGAAGAAAGTTTGTTTTGCCCGCACTGTATACTGCCTCGTTTTCCATTCCGGCGGCAACGGGCTGTCTCTGGTTGGTTGAATTGCGACTGTCTGCAGCAAACCTGCTCACCGGGGTAGTAATACGAGTCTCAGCCTCAATCAATTTCCAGACCGGCCGCATCTCACATTTCAACCCCTAGGGGGCTGAATTATGGGCCATTGCTGAATCAGGTTAATAAATATAATGTGGCGTTGTTTGTACCACAACACCCAGGAGGTACACCATCTCACCACAAAGTGGTTCTGACCGAACGGTAGAATGGTCGACCTGTGTGACAGAATCATGAGCACCCAAACCTGAGGCTTTCAAGCACGCAGTTTATTGTTGCAGATGTCTTGAAACACCCATCTAAACTGTTTCAGTCTTTTATACTCACTTGAAAATGAGCATTTCAAACTTTGACTCGGGCTTCGGGATCTTGGGCGAGCGAGACCGGCAAGACGACTTCAATGAGACCACAGCGATGGATGACAGCTCCGGTTCAAGTAGCGAGGAATCGGATTCTGACGATGGTGAAGACAAAAGTGCCAGCAGCAATCTTCTCAAGATTCTAGACGATCTCAAGTCCGGCGCTAATGCTAGCAAGGAGCGCAAGGCTATGTCTGGCACTCTCGACCTCTCGAATGAAACTGACCTCAAAGAGTTCCTGAGACAGAAAAGAACGTACCTGGCGAAGAAAACCACCAAAAACATGACACTGCTTCACCTGATCGCCGAACGTCCAAGAAATGACATGCCAGACATGAAGAACTTGAAGGGCCTCGTCAGCGCACTAGTCAAGCTAGAAGATAACCTTCTAGCAGAACGTGACCATAATGACAAGACGCCACTGTTCTTGGCTATCACGAACAAAAACCGCAGATTGGCAAGGGTAATGTGCGAGGCCCACCATGATATCAACAGTATCCTAGGGATAGGGAAAACGAACAACGCCCGATCGACCAACTGTATTCACGAAGCCATCAAAAATAAATCATCCCCTCGTGATGAAAAGTTTCTCGTGGATCTAATCAGCAAAGCTAAAGCGGACACCCTCTGTGCCATGGACGAGGAGGGACTCACACCACTCCACTTGGCAGTGGAATACGAACGATGCGATGAGACCCAGCTGAAAATCGTCCAAGCTCTGGTGAAGGAAGGCGAGAAAGCCCTGGACAAGACATATCAACATGAAGAAAAAGGCCCACTCTCACCTTACTTACACCATCTGCATACCTGCGAGGAATCAAAACAACGGGAGGCAAACGTGTCAGAAACGAAAAGGAGATCAGAGAAGACGGATGCCGAGTCTAGTCATAGGAGAGACCGTCTTGGACGCAAAGACCACTTCAAGGAGTTGAAGGGAGGGCTGCCAAGAGAGAGGCCAAGAGACCATTCGGTATCGCGAGGGCTACATTCTCTTCAACAGTCAGAAATGGCATCAGCAACAGAGTCAGAAGTACCCACGGGAAAGAACGGTCCCGAACTTTCGATCGCAAACCAGGGCAGGGAAGATACTTCAGCACAGCCCAAAGTCGACAGCAGAAGCCAAGAAGTCGCTTCAATATCCAAAGAAAAGGACAAAGAGAGGTCGTCAGCGAAGAGAAACCACAAATCAAAGTTGAACCCAACGGCGACAAGTGCATCTGACATCGAGCGCTTCTTGAAGCTGCAATACCTACGGCGGAAGACCCACGATGACGCGGCAAGACTGCTCTACGGAGCCAAACAAGGTGATTTTAACAGGTTCTATGGTGTTCAATTCTGTCCAAGCTGACGGTCCCAACAGAGAAACAAATATACTTCGATCTGTTTGGGACATCGCCAGAGATCAGCAAGGACGGACTAGTACAAGGGCTTTTTCATCTTCGACTCGAAGACATTTTACAATATGTCGCAATTCCCAGGGTCTTCATTGAAGATGAACCGCCGGTGAAACTGAAGCCTGGCCAGCTGCCGCTGAAACCTGACGGGAGTGGCCGTACTGACATGAAGTCTCTGTTCAAATGGCTCAAGGACGATAAGAAAGTAAAAACCATTTTGAAGGTCATTGTGGACGACCTCAAGGAGCCAGCGCACAGCGATGAGGCTATCGAAGAATGTCTAGACGGAATGGGCGTAGAGACATGGGACTGGAGGAAGTTTGATCTGTCTCCAGATGTCATAGAGAAGGTGGCGCCAAAGGTCTGTGTGGTGCATTTGTACTGGAGTGGCAATAACGCTGTCCTGAGGGGGTGGAGCGCTCCAGATGGGCTCAAAAAGCTCAAAGGTCTTGAAAGAGTTCATCTCCACGTGCATCAGGTAGGCTTTTAGCCTCTATCCACAACGGAACAGTTTTCTTCCTTAGCTGACATGGTATACTACAAGGGACTGGAAACTCGCAATCGAATCAGGCAAAACGTGGCGAAGTTTAAGAAAGACGTCGAAAGCGGTACCCAGATCACAGTCCAAGACAATAAGATGGGGGATGATGCGACCGACAACCCATCCAAAGGGATGGTCACAGTTCGTGACCCGCACGAGAGGCATAAGTGGGTGGTCAGTATGGAAGAGTTCGCGGATTTCCTACAGGCAGCTGAGAGAAACGCTGAGCTGACTGTGAAAACTCCAATCACAATTGCCATCATTGATGATGGAGTGGATATCAACGACCCGAATCTACACTTGAGGGTTCAGGGTGGACGCAGTTTTTGCCGTCGAGACGAGAAACAAAATCTCAACAATCCGTACTATGTATCACCGGGCGGGCATGGTACTGCGATGGCTAGACTCATTTGCAAGATCTGTCCGAACGTCAAGCTGCATATCTTGAGGCTGGATGAGTTCGACAGCGGCCAAGGCAAGCGAACAATCACAGCTGTTAGTGCTGCAAAGGTACATAAGGCCCCACTCCAAGCACCGGCAATGGCTTACCAATCGTTCCATGCAGGCCGTCTCTGCCGCCGTGGAAGAGAAGGTAGACATCATATCTATGTCCTGGACCATCGAGGAGACAGACAAGAATGAGCCTGGCATCAGAGAACTGAATAAAGCCATTGGCTCCGCCGCTGAGCAGAATATCCTTATGTTCTGTGCGGCAGCAGACCAGGGTAAACATCCGTTTTCCCAGCGTTCCATTTTGGACGTGCGTTAGGTAGCTAATACAACATGACAGGTGCCGCAATTGATAGGACCTACCCAGCCGCCAGCCCCACGAAGCAGCTGTTCAAGATAGGGGCAGCCGAGGCGGCAGGTGGTACCTACAAGTGGGTTGGCGACCTTTCTCATGTCGATTTCATTTTCCCGGGACACCAGGTAGTGACGGAGCGACATGACGATCCCCGCGTGAAGAGCTACACTGCACTGACTGGTTCATCTGTGGCCACGGCCCTGGCTTCGGCTCTAGCGGCCGTGATCCTTTACACCGTACAAATAGGTGGGATCCGGCGGGATGAAAAGATTCGCCGTGGAATCGGGCTGCCAGACAGTGGTCTGATAAACAGATACAAAGTGCTCAAAGACCATAACAAAATGCGGGAAGCTTTCCAGCAGATCGGCACTACCAAGGAGAGCGATCATAAGTATATCAAAGTGTGGGAACGCTTTGAGCGGAAGGTCAAGAGAGCAGAGTCAGATGGAGCACCCAAGGATAAGTACATTAATTACATTATGGAACTAGCAGATCAGCTTATGTTGCAGATATAAGTAATGGTTGAATGGAAAAACACACATGCACAGAGCTGTGGTTCAGAGTAGGCCAGCCACCTTACAGTGCACACCAGGAAGATATGTTCATACGCAGACATCGCTAGTCTACGGACAAGCTCAGTACACCTCCTATCTGCAACAAACTCTATGCCCTGCACCTCCAGACCTTCGAACCTCAAAGTCTGTCCCATTCTGTGGCTTCGCCATTGTCTTCTCGTCTCCCATCTCCTATGCTAGCGGAAGATTTACCAACACGCTCGCTCCATAATTGCGGCACGATTCGATACGGTGTTAACAAGAAGGCGACAAGAACCAAACTGATTTTGTGTGGAATCTCATGTCTGATCTGTATTCTGTACCCAGGCAAGCACAAAGGGCTCTCCGTTGCGACTTAAGTGAATTCTCAAATCTGGCTACTGCTTTCCAACAGAATACAATCAAACCCAGGCACTTGGGCCAACCATCATTACGAGCGTAACTGATACCAAGGCACGGGATGATTATGGTGAGGATGGGAGAACAATATTCATGATCTGGGCCAAAAGCTGTCACCAGTTTCTTGAAGAAGACGAATTGCATACAATGGTTTCTCTCGTAGACTCTGCACCAGAAGAATATTGTCGGAGGATACTAGCATGCTGAAGTTGAGTGGATCGACCGCACGGAGGTATTAGGCACACGTCCCTGAGATAATCCAGCAAGATGGAATCAACGGATCTTACTACATCAAGTCATTTCCTGGAGGTCGCACCAATCGGTCTGGGGATCAGTAACATAAGAACAATAAAGTAGTGAACGATGAATCTGTTTTTAAAAGGGTTGGGGAAGAGGTAGGTGGTTCCCAGGATCTTCTCCTTGGCTGGCCTCATTTCTCCTGATCAAAGTCATAGCTGTTTCCGAACTCCCTTTGCAAGTAAGACCCGAGAACCTTTTCGTTCTTCACCCAATCCACCGGAATTTCCAGCTGCGACTCCAACCCAGCCAGCAGATCCCTCACGTCCCTCCCGAACTGCAGCCTCATCGGGTTGCGATACCACGGCGCAAAGTGAATCATGGCAAGCATGACCCTTACCTCGTCGCTCATATTGGGCATCCCAGCATGCCAGAGCCGCAGATCCCTCAACACGATGCTCCCCTTCCTGACCGTCGGCTGCGACGGGCCCCTCACGCCACGTCTCTCAGCCAGAAGATCTTCTTTGATCCGCCCGCTGGCCCGCTCGCCGTGCTTGCCCTCCTGAGCAGAGATGTCGGCAGTGTGCGTGCCGAGCCAGAGCTCCGTGGCCCCGTTTTCAGGCGTCATGGCCACGAGAGGGATGTTGACGACCAGTGCGAAGGGGTGCGAGGGGTGATCAAAGTCGGCGTCTGAGTGCACGGGCTGCCGCTGGGGCGAGGCACCGGGGAGAGGCGGCATCGCGGAGTTCGCGGAGCAGAAGGTCCATTTTGGACGTGGGCCGAGGACTGTCGATGTGATTTGGGTTGCGATGGGGTCTGTCACCTTCATCAACACTGATTCTTCCATGATTAAAAGGGCAAAAAGGGGACCGACTTGTGAAGATGGATTTGTAGAAGTACTCGGCTACTGGCGGAGGGTCTTGTTGTAAGTTGCCCTGGTTGTAGTTGAAGGGCCCCTTGTCGCCGAGGGATTGCAGGTAACGCGCATCCTTGGCCATCTTCTCATTGAGGGCATCCAAGTCCTCGTGGGGCACCACATCCTCGACGACTACGAGCCCATCGGTGTGCAAACTGCGGACAGCGAGCTCAAGGTTGCGCGGCGCAAGAACCTTGTTGCGCAACTCGGCCTCTGAAGGGCGGATGACGAACGGTTGAGTTGGCTGCGGTTGGCGTGTAAGTGATGCCAAACCCCTGCGGCCGCAGCTCAGAGAGGAAACGGCGCGCTGGCGGAACAGAAAGTTCGAGGGTTGTGCAATTGCTCTCATGATGCCTGCTCGAGAAAGCCTGCTGAACGAACATGATGAGAATCTGTGTCTTCCCCATGCATTTATGTACTTGGAGTCAGTGATAGGTTCCGCGCAGTTATCCCAATCCCGAGCTCGGGTTTGCTTCACCCCGCTAGCCTCCAAAGCCGAGCTCGGGATATATTTCCCCTCTGAGCCTGTCTCCATCTGATCCCTAAAGGCTTCCCTAGATCTCCGCAAGTGGCTTATCAACTTGATTGTAATTCGCTGTTTTCTTGAGAATCTGCTGGAAACGGTTTACTCCATGCGACTTGGAGGTCTGAGATGAGTCGTTGGACCGGCCAGCCGGTTGATCTCTTACACGCCATAAGACGACGGATGACCTCTTGCTGCGAGCCTTCGTCACGTATGAATCTTGCACCTGCATCCATGTTGGTTAGATGTTGCTAGCGAGAAATTGAGTTACCTACAGAATGCAATTGGGCCAAATGCGTTGACCAGGACTGGAGGCGTGTTTGTCGTGAAAGCGTTTCCACAAAGGTCGAGCCCACAGTTTTCTAGGATTTTTGTCCTCGTATCCCCAATATTCTGTCTGCCGTTTCGTAAAGTTTTCAGTAACTGAACATTCTCTGGTGTTGCTTTGGTGCAAAGTATGGCCACGCAGACCAGCTCGTAATGAAGCGTAGACGCTATCCCCACTTCAGCTCCCGATCTCATCTTTGGTGAAACTCGAACCTACCATGACATTCTCTGAGCATTCTAATGGACGGAAGAGAAAGACCAAGGCCTCGATCCTGTCGTGCGTATGGTCTGAAACGAACTGGCAGACTTAGAGACCAACTGCGAAGCATATCGAAAAGAACAACCCAAGCCTGCTCTGTTATTGCGCTTGAGAAACAAGCATTGATGATGCGGCCAAGAATGAGCGACAAAGTGTTCAGGTAGCTCTGATCTGTATTGTGCTCGCTCGGCAAGGGCATTTGATCTAGGTCAATCTTGAGAGGACATTGCTGAAACAAGCTGAAAGTAATGTCTTCACGGAGGTAGTTCCAAAATCCTGCAGTCCTAAGACCGGATCCCAGATAGTCTATGAGGGGGCTTCGATAAGCTGCCAGTGAGTAGGCACCTCGAAGGTGCCTATTTGGGTCGACCTCTTCTACGCAAAGTCAGCTCCGTCACGACCGTCTCATGTTGATGAGCCATGCGTACCACTGAGGATCTCATATGAGCGAAGGAGACAGACGGAAGCGAGTGCTAACCCCTGCGTATCGACCTCGCAATGCTCTTCATCTTTCAGCTCGATCAAGATACGAATGCAATGACCATGGTAAAACTCAGCTGCTGCCTTCGCGGAAGGCGCAGTCGTCTGGCTGATGTGCACTGCAGCAAGAGCCAGAATCGCAGCAAATGGCAGTGAGTTCTCTAAGGCGATCTCAGGCAGCTTTGTCCCGAATAATTGACAACTATCGCTGAGATCATACCAGGGGGCGAGAACAGTGATGTAGTGTTGAAAGTAGCGCGCGACTGAAGGATACAGTAGGGCCTCTCGTGGCTTTCCAGGCGAGGGAAACGTCTCAGGGCCCGAGGATTCTGAAAGCTTGATCAGTTGGCTGTCATGTCAACATTTCAAAGTCACTGACCTGCACGCTCAGCTTCGGTCTCATCTCCCGTGCTCTTATTGTGAAAAAATGGAGGAGCTCTACTGCGGTCGCAATATCGCTTTGCCTTGGAGCATCGGTGGCAAATCGGACTTGCTTCGTCGCCTAGCCTCATGTAAGAAGGGGCGACGCTGCTATGGATCCATACGCTTACACTTGACCTTTCGCACTCGACAGGTGTTGCTGGATTTCCGGAAAAGGCTTGTTAGCATGATCGCTCACTCGAAGAATACGGGATGGGAGTTCCAACCATGCTATCTCAATGTCAGTCCGTTCTTTGTTTCGTCATCAAGCAGAGCGGATGTCTCACCTGTAGGATTGAAAATACGAGGCATCGTGGCCGTGCGACGACGATTATTAATTAAAAACTAAGTATCGAGCCGTGTCCACAAGCGAGGCCCTTGATAGCCACTGTGAAAAGGCGCTTCGGGATTTTCAGATGCGGGAACGTACAAGGAAAAGTCCAAAAAAAGTATCTGATGATAACACATTTTCTGTCCGGAAGTCGGCATTATCAACCCGACCCTAGGAAACCATTCGGCAGCCGCCGCGGTGACCCCACCACCTCGGGCCACAGCATCAGAGCGCGCCCCGGCACTCGTACGTCCCCTAAGCACTAACATGGCCAAGCCTCAAAGATTCACTATAGTGCCTCATCGCTCGCATTCTCTTGAGGCTCGCTGGCCTCATCTTCAGACGAGCTGGCCTCATCTTTCTCTTCCATCTACTGCAGTTAGCATATTGGATCGATCTTAGCTCATGCAGATTATTTATTTACCATTTCATTGAACAATTTCTGTAAACTCCAGTCAGCTTTATGTGAATATGTCGTGACCATTGATTTATATAGGTGCTTACAGAGGCTTCTCCTCCCTTTGTGCCGGGAGTTTTGTCCTTTTTCTTGGCTTTCTAGAATATGTTAGACTTCATTTATATGCTTACTGGGCAGTGGATGGCAAAACGCACCTTGGACAGCTTCTAGCGCCGTACTAGGTGTCTGTGCAACGAAGCAATTCAACTTACGACGGCCAATTTAACGGATTTCTAGGTAAGTAAAGACTCAAGTCAGTCATCCCAAATAGAAGAAGATAGAAGATGCGTTGAAGCTAACTTTCATCCTCTCTCTGGCAGCCTAGATATACCTACCAGGGGGAGGGGGGGTTCTTGTTTAGATGCTGCAAGCAAGTCGAAAGGAAAGCAACATGATAATGACATGCAAATAATATTTTAAGAATATGTTTTTATGTGTGTCTTGCATTATTTACTCATTATTGATATGTAGTTGTTTTTAATATAAGGTTGCTCTTAATATGCTGTGATATGATGTTAACCCTTAACATAGGGGGTAAAAAAAAAACCTTTTTTTCCCTTATCCCCAATCCAATTACTTATTTATTCTTTGTTAGCTTAACTATTTATTATGGAAGTATTTATGGAATTATGAAAATATCTAAAAATAGAAATAAATTTAAAGTTAATAAGATTTAAACCAAAGCTCTTAATATAAAATTATAATAATATTAGCTGACATAAAGTCGATATTAATATAAAGGCAATATTGATATAGAGTTATTAATATTAACATAATTTGGAGCCTTGATATAATTTACTGTTAATAGTATTTTAATAGCCTTTTACTAGTATTTTGCTAGAATTACGAAATTTTGATTAAATGTCAAAACATGAGTGCATGGCGTGACCCAGTCAAAAACCCCCCTCCCCCCTGGTAGGTAGTCAATCATGCTGATCTCATCATCGAAAGCTATCTCAACATACCTGAATCTGCTTCTCGAGTAACTGTATTCATCATCACAGATAATATCAGCATCATAATGCCTTTTTGCCTGCTTTGAATAGACACTTACGGCAATGGTGGATTCCTCGTCCTGGTTCAGAATTCGTCAGTTGCCAGGTTCACTTTTCGTGGCAGTGTTTGGCTGGAACTCATTTTACTCACTTGGGATTTGGCCATGTGGTTCTGGAAACATGGGTTCAGCCTGAGTGACTTCAGTAGCGGCCAATGTTCATTTCCGTGACAAGGAATACATGCCTCCGACTTTTTGTGGTGGTACTGAGAATTGAGGTCAGCGTATGACAAGAATAATCTTCTTGGGCATGTGTCTACTCACGACAGAGATACCAATTGTGGCAGCAATGGTGCTGCCTGCTGCTGGTCGGCACCAGCACTTCTCCTCAGGGTGGCCACGCTTGCCACAATGACGACAGGTCTTATCTAAAGTCATCTTATTGATCATTTCAGGGAGCGTAACCGCTCAAGTATGACCTGAGGAGTAGTAATCAGTTGGGACTACTTACAGGGGTGGTCGGAGCGGACTGGTCTGTTTTGAGGTTAGTTTTGAAGCCCAACTTAAACGGGGACCACAAGGGTAGACTTACGCTTCTGCACGAGGTTTTTGACTGGAGTTTTGAGCGTCCAATTGAAAGAAATCAAAGTCGGGCCGCAATACTTACAGCTGGGAGTTGGTTGGTCTGCCAGGGTCTCAGCGAACCGGAACATATGTGACACAAAAATATTCAAGATGATACTTACGGTAGTTGGCTGCGGCAACGGCAGCCTTCTTGGCGTGCTGCTTGTCTGAACATGCCGTATTAGCAAGATGATGGTGATTTCGGGCTTGCTCGGCCGTTATGTATCACGACACGGGCGAGTAATGAGCCAAAAATGCGTGACGGCTCGAAAGATATGGGTTGCTGTTCTCATTTAACTCACAGTTGTTTGAGCTCCCCACTGTATTTGGTCAGTTCGTGGACGTCATTCAGTGAGAAATGCAAGAACAGAGTTTCTGATCACTTACTGGTTCCGGCGGGTGGGTTGGTAGGCTAGCTAGTTGTCTCTCTGTCTTTTTAAATGAAATCAGTATATCAAACAACTGCCAATATTTACCCTCGGGTATTCTATGCCAGATGTAGACACATATATGGGGGATTTCGGTGGTTGAAAAGATCAGAATAGAGACGGCCTTGGCAGTCGACAACAATGAAACACTGAATGTTGATTCATTGCTCTCACACAGACAGGCACGCGGATCCGGACATCGAGAAGCACTTGCCAACTATTGGGCCGTATTCCAAGGTCTCCCGGGCTTTACCTCCGGGATTTATCTATGTGAGGCATCCTCAAGCGAGTGTTGTTAGGCAAGTACACATTATCCAGTGATAAGGCACGCACCTACCCAGGTCTTCTCCCATTCATTTCGTGGAAATCTGGATCGGCTGGTCCCAGATCTGCCTACCATGTGGTGCCACCATGTGGCTTGGGAGGGCGTGGCTTCTACAGCACACGTGATGGCTCGGCTAGCGCGTTGCAAAAACATCCCTTCACGAGTAAACAACCTGCCATCGCGGTCTTCCTCAACACCCAGCTACAACACACCAGCATTCAACCCAGTTTGAACGATACTATTCGCAATCATCACGACTTTCTTCACGTGGATTATCTACGTGGATCTATTAATCCCGCGTCTCCTCACATACCAACTCACGATGACGAACGCTCTTACAGCCTCGGGCAGGGCCCAAATCAACATGGCTGTAACAGTGAACTTAACACTGTTTGTGGCCTGCATGGGTGCACTTCTCTGGGACGGCCTGGGTAAGAATGAGAAGAAGAATAAAGATATCATCAATATCTTCTTCGCTATCGGCTGCGTTTCCAGCGCTGCCGGCCTCATGCTTGGTTTTTAAGCTCACACTGGGGACTACATCAACGCGTCGAGTTTCGAGGTCCTGCGAGGTCAGATCATCGCGTGCCCATTCCTCACCATCATTGCGATGCTAGGAGCTATGCTGGTCTTGTTTTTCACCCCGTCGGAGAGCGGGACGGCCTAGAAAGCCGGTACCGTCCTCGCATGCCTCTGTGCGGCTGTCATCATATTGACAGTAAGCACAAGGTATGACCTCAAGAATTACGCGCTGCAGGAAGATATCGAGCACGCAACTCCGAACACCGAGCCTCATTCAGATCGTTCGGCCCCTCAACTCCCCCCCCCCCCCGTTAGTATCGGCCGAGACAACTCGCACAGGCGCAACGATCCACCCGTTGCAACTGAAGACCACTGGCAGCGGCCGATCCCAGACCCGCAGAATGAATTCGAAGATATCAAACTTCGAGGACTCGGTTTTAGGGCACCGCAAGGCTAGTGATATTTGGGGAAAGACACACAGTCATCAGGGCCATGGAGGTTGGCACCTGTGGGTTGACAGCTGCTGTCTTGGAACAACGTTGGCTGCAAGAACGTACCATCGATGATGGCTGTGCGAGGCGGACCATTGACCACGCATTGTGCCATATTCTGGCCGTAAGAACGGACCACTAATACTGGCTATTCGAGGCGGACCAGCGGACATGCGGTGGATCATTTAAATGTATAGACGAATGGACAATTGATAATGGTCATTCAAGATAGACTATTAGAATTTAGAGTTGACTACACGGTTGGACTATATTCTAGCCACCGGTAGTCAATATTCGATTTGCGAAGGCTGGGTTGATCGGTGGTATCGTTTATAGACCACGTTGCACCCATGGCAATAAAAACGTTGTTCCCCTCAATGCGGCTTCAAATAATTGTGACATCTGGCCCCTATACCCATTATGACCCTCTCATTCTTCCTACCACGAAGTCGAGAACCGGAGCACTTATATCCTGGCTTGGTACAGGGATAAAAACTCCAAACAGTCCTTGCTCTTACTATTCTCATATGGACAACCACCAAGGATTTGTCAACCGCATCTCTTCCACTCTTTCCGGGTATTGCTATTTCTTGGCCTGGTATCTTGGGTCCTCCCCATGCATGATCTGAGATACTAAGTCAGTTGCGACTCATCTCAATTTGAATGGAACAGGGCATGTGCTGAAGCGTCCATCCGGCCTGTGAAGCGGAAAGGGGCCACCTATGCGACCTCTGCTCGCCCTGCTTGGTATGTGTATATTTTCAGGTGATGAGCCATGAAACAGCCGGCTACATCTGCACGAAATCTGTCAAGTCCATTGACACTTACGCCAGTGGCGTCTCAAGTGTCATTGGAATCTCAATGCACAAGTCATGCTACAGGGTTTGATACATAGCAACTGAAATTGTCCTTATGTCTTCTTCGTCCGGTTCTGAATGTACCATCTACATATAATGATGAATAATTCCTTATCGTTGTTGCCTGCCTGTATCTATTCCCTTTAAAATAACTCATGCTGTGGAGTCTGTCAGTGTTGGTTGTCATAAATCACATAATCGCCTCGAGCTGAGTCTGACAAACATCATTTTTCAATCCTATGTCTGAGGCATCCATCACGTTCTAGCAACTTATCAGGCGAGGCGGATCTAATAGACTCTGGTCTTGGAACTCAATTGAGCTTCAACGTTGGAGAAGGATTGAGACGCCGTGAATTTCCAATCTGCAATACCTAGTCTCTCCGCTTTGTAGTCACCAACTCGACGGCGATGGTTTCCTTCGCCTTGGGCCTTGTCTGGTCTTGAATGATGGGATGGGCAGAAGAAAACTAAGATGTGTGATTGCATGGAGGTACTTATGTCTTGTAGACATAATTAATGCGATATATCGATAGACTCAGGGCTCAACTTCTTCTCAGATTGGTGTGCCAGCAGCTGCAGACCTTAGTCCGGGACTGCTGAAGTCTCAAACAACCCATCTGTTAATTAACAGACTCAATCTTACGCCTTCAGAAATAATTTGTGAAGCCACTGCTATCAATCTTCGCTTGATCATTTTGCTGCGGCAGACGAAGCGTGATTACCTTCCAACAGACAATAGTACTCAAATTTGGAACCAAACCTCTCTCCAAATATCCACAACCGTTGGCAAGAAAGAATCAGATTGGTCCTGGATCGCCGTATACAGGATTTTCCCATCTCGCCCTGTCATGATAATGCGAAGGTTCCAATGGTGATCAGGGGGGGTGCTAATGAGGCGAACCTTGGTTTGCAGATTTTCCTGTCCCGGATAAAATGGAGGCCTTGGGGAAGTTGAACGAGGGCCGGCGAGGTGGCGAGGTCTGCATCCGACCTCGTTCTCCAGGCATTGACGTAGTCGTTAACAGTCTGCGCGTATGTTGGCATCTTGCGAGGTGCCATGTATGCGGCAATGCAATCTGTAAGGTGGTGAAGGTGGTGCAGTAGCTGATCTGGTCTGGTTGATTTCTGAAGTTTTTCGCGCTTGATTCGGAGGTAGCCTGGCAAAGCAGGATTGGATTGAATGATAAAAGTTTCCAACCTTTTTTTTTTTTTTTGGTCTTGTCCAGATAGTTATAGACCATTCAAAATTGTAAACGGAACTGTATAAGGCGGTGTCAGTAATTGTGGGGTTATATGTCATTGTTGGCGTATTTTGTTCCCAATTTCCGACCACGCCATGCAGCACTAACGACAAGCTACCATCTCAAGAGTGGGAACTAAGTCAGGCGCTGCTGCTAGCCGGTCTCATGCCGGAAATTAGAGCAATGTAGTTAGACTGCTGAGCTGAGGCTTCTTGCACATAAGTATCGAGAATAGAACAGCCACTATATCAAAGGCTAGCAAGTGCAGAAAGACTGGCTATACTTAATATGGAGAACTTCAAGCAAGTCGCCAGTTATACAACGAGAATTCCGAGTAATTGCAATGGATTCTTAAAAGCATTTAGTAGGTCAGCATACAGCTAGCAGACGTCAACATGTATTTTTACGGAGCTGGAGTCCATACGGAACGTGCCCCTGAGTACTTCTTACTCCGGATGTCCTCACTTACACAGGACTTAGCCGCATCCACCTCACTCTCATCTCTCTCGGCTCTACATCGAAAACTTTTTGTCCACGTTCCCTCCAAGCACCACCTTCTCAGCACGGGTAATTCTGGGAAATCAACTGTATGTAGAGGATACGAAACATCTAGAAATGAGCCGCAAACGCCTCTACCGCAACTCGGCTTCCATCATTGGAAACACTAACGCCCCACTGTACGGGTAATTGAATAGAAGCAAGGGTTACACATACATCTTTGAGATAATAAACCCAGAGGAAGACAAACATCATATCAAACGACCTTAAAATGTTCATCAGTTCATACCGTCACACGGTTCTTGTTGTCCACACCGTCCCAACTTGCCTCGAATTTTGAAAATTATTCCGAGCCACTACTTTGCGTCAGGACTTGATTCGTCTCCCGAAATCATCCACCAATTCAACTTTTTGGTGCAGTGACTGGTGGCTTTGACTGACTCCCAAGGTTGCGGTTTGTCACCAACTGCGTACGTCAGTAGTGGCCGCACGAAGCTGTTCCCCTCCACTCAATTCGAGTGCATGCAATTGATCCTTCCCATCACCAGATTCTTGAGCCCTCCACATCGCACCCTCTAGACCTGGCCTTATCGGCGACACCAAAATCTTGCACTTAAGTCTATCGTGTGAAGTCACCGCGCCCGGGCTGTCTTCATTGTCGAGACCCATGTCCGACGGAAAACAGTCTGGGCTCTCCGAGCCCAGCCACGCAGTGGAGAGTGCACACCTTGCTCATCACGAGCTACCCGATGACATGTCGATCCAATACGAGGGGACACTTGACCACGCACCGACAACTTCTCACGGCACCTATCTGGACGGGATAAACGAAGGCCTCGAGCCATTGGAAGAATATCAAGAAGGCGGATACCATCCCGTCCATCTCGGCGACACGCTCAGCACATCTGGCCGGTACCGCGTCATTCACAAGCTAGGCCATGGCGGCTTCGGAACCGTGTGGCTCTGCCGGGACCTGAAGGATCCCGGATACGTCGCCGTCAAGGTTATGGCTGGAGATGTAGCTCCAGAGACAGACCTCACGTTGACTCGCTTAGATCGCTCCGCTCCAGGCGCCGAACACATTTCCATACCGCTGGATGCATTCTCAATCACAGGACCAAATGGGTCACAACAATGCATCGTGCTCCCAGTTCTGGGCCCTTGTGTCTCACCTCGTCTCTGGTTGAGTTTGAAGAACCCCGCGCCTGTCCTTCGCGGAATGGCTTATCAGAGCGCTCTGGCTATGAGCTTATTGCATAAGCGGGGCCTCTGCCATGGAGGTAATTATTAACCGCATCACTATCTGTGACACCACCAGAAACTAACACTATCTTAGACTTCCGACCAGCCAATATCCTGGTGAAGCTGGCCAACCTCAACCAGCTGTCTGAGAATGAATTGCTCTCCATTTTGGGCCAGCCTCAGAAAACCCATGTGCGCACCGAGTCTGGTGAGGATCTCCCAGAATCCTCACCACGCTACCTAGTAATTCCCACCGACACCTCTCATCTCAGTGACGAGTATCTGACCGACAAAATTTGCGTCATCGACTTCGGCGAATCTTTCCCAATATCATTGCCTCCGGCCGAACTGGGCATCCCCGAGAATTACCTTCCGCCCGAGATTATTCTAGACCAAGGGAACGCCGTTTCCAAAGCCTGTGACATATGGGCGCTTGGTTGCACCTTGTTTGAGATCCGGGAACAGCTTGCTCTCTTCTACATGATCTTCGACAAGGATGAGCTGCTGGCGGAGATTGTGCGGTTCTTCGGAAAACCGCCCAAGGAGTGGTGGGACAGGTGGGAGGCGCGGCAGGAATCCTTCGACGAGCAGGGAACGTGGCTCCGACGTGGGGATGATGAGGAGTGGTCACTTGAGGTGGCGTTGAGCAAGCCTATTGAGACATTCCTTCCGGGCGTGGATAACAAACAAGAGGTGCAGAAGTCGTTGGTCACCCACAAGGCGGAACAGGAACTGATGGCGGATCTTCTGTACAAGCTGTTTCGCTACGAACCGCAGAAACGCCTGTCGGCCGAGGAGGTTTTGGCGCATGAATGGTTCAAGATGCGACTTAATGTTCTTGACTGCAACCCAAACAAGTCGTCACAGATCAGCAATCTTGGGAAGGAGTTTTGGGGGACTAGAATACGACCTTTCGTTGCACTATGTATTTCTGTTGAGGGTGAGCACGTGGCCGCGGGGGAAAAGACGACAACATGCAAGACTTTGCACAAGAGGAATCTCAGATGTCAGTATGCCAACTCTGCTATAGCACATTTCTTTCAGCCGGTGAAGCCTCAACGGCAGCCTTTTTCAGTGTCCTCGCGAGCGACATTGACTTTTCTTCCTTATGTCACAAATGCTGTGCACAAGATTAAACCCCGTTGAGTGAGACCCATCAGGTAAAGGGGTGGCACAAACAAGCAGAGAAATTACTTGGGCACATCTTTAAGCCTGCCCACACGTAGTATTAGAAGGCAGCCCCGGAAAGCTCGGTTATAGTACTCAAATAAGTATCGACGGAAGCAGACTCGGACTGCTTTCCTGCTCTATTGATCAACTGTTTTAAAACGTACTTCTCAGCTTTGAGCTTGAAATCAGCATTTGAGACTTCAGCCCTAGATGTACATTTATTAAGCGTGCCTCGTCTTGAAATAATCGGTGCAACGAACCAGACCCTCCGATTTTGTGCACGCCCATCCACTATGCAATTACTCCCACTAGGCAGGTGTACTTCTGCGGCTCATGACTCCTGTGGGAATGGTCGACGTAGAACGTACAGTCCCCAAATTTAGCGCATATGTGCGGAAGGATCTGTGAGAGCACACTGCCTGGCTTTTAGGTTGGTGATAAGGAACCATTACTGACAAAGACCACGAGCACCGCAGCGTATCTATGTCTAATTAGCATGACAGCTCCTCAAAATTTGGCAACCAGCACAAGATTTTCTTCTTTTTTGGCAAGTGTACGTTGGCCTCGGTACGAGTGGTGAACTTACGCTGCCGTAGCTGCGAAAATCTCAGCACGCCTTGCATTGGTGATCAGGCTGATTATCACAGCGAAAAGGGAAGTAAATAGTACCACCATTGCGAGCTTTGCCGCTGCGTTTCTCAAAAAAATAGAGACTGAGAATGGGGCCGAGCAAGAAAGACGCCGCGGCAGCTATTGTTACGAGCGTGACTATCATATTCACCGTGGATTCGTTAAAACGGCTGTAGTAGTTGCCGTCACTGGCCAACTCTTTCTATGTAGAGTATTAGCTTGTCAACCCCCGAAAACAGAGTACAAGAATGCCAAAGCAGATAAGGAGGGATTTGACGTACATTTCCAATTAGGTGTCGTCTCAGAAAGTCCGACAGGAAATCAAACTCCGCTCGTGACTTCAAAGACACGAGATCGTCCTGGTCATCCAGGAACTTCTTTGCTTTCCCAAAAAGAATGTGTGTTGGCACCTGGAAGTAGTGTCTCAAGGCAACCAAGACTCGTTCCTGGGGTTGTCTGAGATGTGCGATTTTACTTTGCAAGAGCAAGGCCTCATCTGGATACTGGGTGTCAGCTGCACACTCTCGAAACACAAAAGTCTCTTCACTTACGATATTCCTTGATCTTGGCCCTTAGGTCCCGTACTAACTGCATCTTAACCCTTGCGTCCTGCCTAAATCTGGGGTCACCCTCTGTAGCCTGTTTGACGAATGTCTCCCATCTCCTGGCCGTCTCTTGAAGATCTAGATCGCTACCATTAGTTACAGCGTCTTGGTGCATTCTTTCGACCCTATTCTCGAGGTTTAAGATCTCGCTCTGCAAGTATAAAAGATTTAGGGCCGCCAGCTTGTCAAATTTCCGGAACACTAAAGTCTCGTTATCGACATCGCGCGCCAACCACTCCGCGGCAGCGGTGTAGCCTCCTCTCCGCTTCTCTTGCAGAGTCAGTTCAATATCTGTAGACATCAGGTGAGTAAAAGGTCGTGCTGTTTCTGTTTTTGGCAAGTGAACCATCGAGGCGGGGCCAGAGCAGTGAAATGGCAAAGACAATCAGAGGGGTTGGAACGCCGCGTAGTCTGCCTTGGCACATACATACTGCCAGTGTTGCACAGCTGCGCCTCTTCCGGGGTTGGGACCCATCATAGTGCATGATGCAGAGGCATTCTCCACTGCTCACCAGTCGTTGCGCCGACTTTACAGGCCTTCGACACGCGCTGACGCCCAGTGGTAAGGCAGTGCCGAGGCGTGGTAAACAATGAGGAAGGCCTCCCGTGTTTCTCTCTCGACACAATTCATATCTTCTGTTCCTTGTCTCTCAACTTTAAGTCGTCCTCCTGCCTGAGTTTAACAACAGTTTGTCCACATTTTGTCGCGTCCTGGGCCTCATAAGAAGCAACCTCAATCTCTGGCCCGCGATGGTGCGTCTCCGTACAGGGTTCCGTACATACTCTCACGGTATCCTGGTGCGTGGATTCCACAAATTCTCTGAAAGAAGAAAGCCCATTGTGCTTTCAAAATGGCCTCCGGAAAGTTCTGAGGACGACCAGGATGAGAACGAGCCAGCCTCCGAGAAGGTCGTGTCATCTACCGACCATGACGTAACGGCATCTGAAGACAATCGCCCATGGCCCAAGCAGCATCGATTTATCCTCCGAAGAAGACGATTTATTAGGTTCCGGAGATGATAAAGAACCCCCCAAGAGTATCATCGATTTATCATTCGAAGATGATGAGCCATCAGACTCTAGAGATGACCAAGCACCCCCAAAGCAGATCATCAATTTATCGTCTGAAGATGATGAATCATCAGACTCTGGAAATAATGAAGCATCCTCTGAGGAGGACATCAACTCATCTTCGGAAGATTATGCAACATCAGTATGGAAGAAGTGGTTAATGATTCATAACGGAGACTCTGGAGATGATGAAGCATCCCCTAAGCAGATAATCGATATATCATCCGAAGATGATGAACCACCGGACTCTGGATATGATGAGGCAACCCCGGAGAAGTACGTCGAGTTATCTTCGGAAGACGAAATGTCGGGCTCTGAAGACGATGAGCCACCCCCTGTGAACAATCAGGAAGCTCGAGGGAACACAGAGCCACCGGATGCGCAAATTCAACCTTGGGAGCCAGCGAATTCTTTCAGTCACAGACGCTTGGTTGCAAAAGGATCAATCAACGGCAAGAATTTGGATGCACTCGCAGATTCGGGAGCTAGTTTCAATGTCATCTGCCAGGAGCTGGCGGGTACACTAGGTCTTACTATCGACCAGACCTCTGCCGTCTCGGTGTGTCTACCGAGTGGCGCGATGATTCGCACGCTGGGAAGAGTTTCCGGGGTTTTCAACTTCTCCGAAGAGGAGAATTCGTACCCGCTCTTGTGCATGGTCCGGGAGAAATGCGTTCACCCTCTGGTCCTGGGATCCCTTTTCTTACGAGTAACTCAGACCTTAACGAAGTATACCAGCCGCATCAAGAATGTTTTTTTCCAACATTCTTGGCTTCAATTTCCTCGCTGTTCTAGAGGCGGAACATTACCTACTGGATGGATATCTCAACGGCCAAGCCGCCGACATCGTCCCGGACACAGGCTCTGACATTATGGTTCTGTCTCTTCTGTTTGCAAAACAACTTGGACTCACAGTCCACAACGGGCCTGAGCATAGGATCAAAGTTCAATTCATTGACGGATCTGAGGCTTATACCATTGGAAGGGTGCGAGGTGTGAAATGGAGGTTTCAGCGATATCTCGACTGGGGCAAGCACACACTGCGCAGGGATGGATACGAGTTCCACATCATTCAGAATCTACCTGTCGACGTGATCGTCAGCAACGACTTCATTGCTAAAGTCGGGGTGTTCAAAAATCACACGCACCGTCTCGTGTCACGGGAACCAGAGAAAGCCCACAGAGGCATGTACGGCATCCGATATATCGAGTCGAAGCGTGCGCACAAAAAGGAGCAGAGTAGGTTGGAGTCTGCCGCTACATTCCAGAAAAATCCGTGGGCTGGTTCATTGATCATTTTATAGCAGTGAGTTGCGGCCAATCTTCCTCCGCAGAGACGGAGGAAAGCGAACTCCACCGCCGAGACGCGGCCGAGGAGGACATCGAAGAGCTCCTCCTGACGGACCCAGTCGCAGCGGAGTCCAGACGGCTAGAGGAGCAGGAGAGGAGGCGCGCTCAGGACCGGCACAAGAGGCGTTATGACGAAGTTCGACTGGCCTCCATTCCACAGACAGCAACCATCAATACTGGACGCATCGCGCTACCGGCCCAACATTCAAGCACCGACTTCTCATTGCACAATACGAGCTTGACTCGGCAATCGGCTCACGTCTTATACCAATCACAGGCAGGTGCCGCAACGGCCGCGAGTTTCGATGTAGAGTCGGGTCGACCGCAGGCAAAACGGCGTCGTCTTGAACTTCCAAGGTGGCTCATTGGGTCTCGCTGACACGAGTCGCAAGAAGGCAGGCTTCATCAGTAGAAATCCAGGCAGCAACTAACGTACCACGATCCCAAGCATGGGGATAGCTTGCAGTTTGACCAATGCTTGCATGCATTCATTTCACTAGATTGATTTTCAGTAGTTTCAGTGCATTCTGGCCGTTTGGAAGGGTATCTGCCAGTAAGGTCGAGAATGGTGTATCCAACGAATTCACCACAGTACCGGTAGAGTCTGGGTCAGGGAAGCACCAACGGCTGGCACGTGCAGCTGCACAAGGTTTCAATGGTTCCAGTCAAGTATTGCTTCACCCAATCATTTCCTCCTTCATTTGGTCGGTCACTCCGTCAATGCCAACAAAAGCAGACACAAATGGTCGTCAATACCAACCTATTGTTGAATCCAGGAAGCCACTATATGAGGCCTCTACCACGCTCAGGGGGCGTGGGTGCATCCATTTTCCCTGTAGCTTCACCTAGCCATCATTGAATTCTTTCGTCAAAACATCTCATCCGTCAACCACAACCAGCATTGGGACCTGCAGTCAACCCATTTCCCATCAGTTTGGCCTGTCTACACGAAATCACCACCACCCTCGAGACTTACACAAACATTCCTCCTCAATCAGTCCTCCGGGCCCCACAACCGGTCCACACCCTCCCTGACCCAGGCCCGACCTGCAAAGCCTGTAGCTCTCAACCACCTCGCGTCTAGGTCCTCCTGTGAAGCCACTGCAAGAAACAACACAACATGTGCGCCACCTGCAGCTGAGTCATAATATCGTTTGAGTTAGTGTTGATAACCGCATGCTGATTATTGGATTGACAGGGACACCCTCGACAAGATCATGATAGGAATGGCCGCAGGAATGACCGCTGCCATGCTCTGGGCTCCTGAGGTCCGCGACTTGACGACCTCCCCGGCTGGCATGACCGAAACTACGTTGGAGATGAAGTTTTTCAGGGATGGAAACATTTTTTACATGGAGTTTTCGGGGATGGAAACACTTTTGACATGAAGTTTTAGAGACGACCTTCGTGAGGTTTCGATGGTTTAGCCTCGGTATATTGCAGTCAACATGCGAGATCGAAGTACTCGTCATACCGAGTCCTGGGCGGCATGGTTTTGATATCCAGTGCAGAGACTAGAAGCTTAGAGGACAATCACTGCTTCTCTCAGTTCCACTCAATTCAGAACTCTTGCCTTTCAACGTCTCCAGGGGTTAAAACTGTTACAGAGATGCTTCCCACTGAAGGGGAGACAAACGGTGGAGCTTTCCAAATGGACGTCATGGATAGAGCGAAGGGCCTGGGAAGCCCCTTCAGAATGTGGACTGTAAGATTAGGGGCCGTATTCCGGAGCAGTGCAAGATACAGCTGACCGTCTTCCAGCCAGAGGCGTGCAGCTGTCCAGATGAACTCGCGGGCTGTCTTGCCGATATTGACAAACGGGAGGTCCGCACTGTGCCTACTCAAAGAATAGCAGCATATCATCATCCACAACACTGTATCATGCAGTAATGGTACAGAATAATTGGATGCTACATCGCTCCAGTAGCTGGTTGCAGTGTAATAAGTCATCAGGGGCAATACACTCGCACCTGATGAACCATCTCCTTTCTTTCGTCTTTCGACCTGCCCTACTCCAGGTCTGGCTTTCAGTCTTTTTCCAGATCCACAAAAGTCTTACGACTCATCTGGCACAAACATCGTGATTGAGACAAAATGTCTGGCCTTGAGCCCGTCGCTGCTTTGGGCGTGGCTTGCCCAGTCATTCACCGCAACCCAAAAAGTCGACGCCATGGTGCCCACTGTGGTCAACCCCACAGTAAGGTGACAGACAGTTCAGCATCATCGTCAAGTCCCACGGCTAACCGGCAGTAGCACTGGCCTCAGAACTTGCTCCAAATCAGGGTACCTGTGTGGGTCAATTTCCCAACTTCATGGTCCTCGCTCTATCACTACATCCCTGAGCCCGGATCAATTGCAGGCTCTGTTCCGAGGTGAGCGACAGGTGAGCCCAAAGTGATCAATCACCGAGCGGCGCAACCCCTTGTTCAACTTTCCGGTGGATAGAAGCCGATGCGCACATTAGACCCTGGATTTAGCCTTCTTAGACTGTAAACAATAGCCTTATTTGAGTTATGAGATAGGGGTCATCCGTGTCTTCAAAAGCCACAATACACAACAGCATTCATTATCATGTCATCCACATAACAAGGAAACCACCATGCTAGTAAGTATGTCGATGCTAAGTTACTTTACACATGGCCTGATGAGCCCAATTCTGAAAGTCACTGTTGACTTTCTCGCTCAGCACGCCAAGCGTCCAACTCTTTTATGGACCAAGCGGTGTGTGGGTGCTCCGGTCCCAGTACTTGACAGCGAAGTTGGGCGCACGAGTCTATCAAGGCGATAGCCTCAGCGATACGTCCTTGACGGTGCCAGGTGAGAGCTAGGTTTGCCATACTGATCAGTGTGTCAGGATGAGCAGGCCCTAGTGTCCGCTTGCGATTCTCCAGCACTTCCATGTCCAGCTTCTCAGCCTCTTCAAATCTGGCTTGATCCCAAAACAAACCCGCCATGTTGAACATACTTTGGACCGTATTGGGATGGTCAGACCCAAGTTCCTGCTTACTCATCTCCGTCGCCTGCGCAAACAACCTCTCGGACTCTTCCAGTTTGCCTAGCTTCCCAAGTGTTAACCCTAGGTTGTTCATACTCGTGAGTGTGTCACGATGGGCATGCCCCAGTGTCCGCTTGCGAGTCTCCAGCACTTCCACGTTCAGCTCCTCGGACTCTTCATATCGGCCCATTTTGTAAAGCGTCAGCGCTAGGTTGAATATACTGCTGAGCGTCCTGGGATGCTCACGGCCAAGCACCTTCTCCCTCAGCTCTGCTGTCTCCCGTTCCACCTGCTCAGACTCCATGTTCTTGTTCTGTTCGGATAATGAAGCCCCCAGCTGGTGCATACTATCCAAAGTATGAGGATGCTCGCGGCCCAGCACTTTCTCCCTCCGTTCCAGCGACTCCCGATCTATCTGCTCGGCGTCCTCGTATTTCATCTGGCCGAATAGTAAGAGCGACAGTCGGCTCATACGTTCCAAGGTATCGGGATGCTCGCGACCCAGCGTCTTCTCACTCTGCTCTACTGCCTCCCGGTAACTCCGCTCGACCTCGTTATACTTTTCGGGATCAGTGCACCACTTACCCACCTCAAAGTCATCAGAGCTTGCCTCATCTTCGGTAGTCTGCTGGACTTCGTGTTGAGCCTGGCCAATTTCACTACTAAGGTCATCGTCATCGTCGAAGGGTTGGAAGGCTTGGAGTATGCCCTCGGTCGTCTCAACCCCGTGTGGTGTGCTTGAGCAACCACTTTCCGAAGGATGCCCTGTCACTTGAGCTTCGCTGGCATCTATATCGCTGTGAAGCTCGAAACCGCCCTCAAAGTCATCATCGCGAGAACCCTCCTCTTCCACTCTATTTGCTCTATCCGAGTCCGCGTTGGAGCCGTCATCGTCGTTGATAACAGACCTGGGCAAAGAAAAACGGGCAAATCTTTCCAAATGTAGCGCAATGTGGCTTTCCATTGCTCTGGTTGTATCCAGCTCCACCATGCAGATGGGACAGGCCCGACCTAGGATATCGGAAACTGATTCACTGGCTTGGATGATGCGGATTGAAGATGCTTCACCGCTAATCGATCCTCTATGCTGTCCTTGGAGATGGCGTTTATATGGTTCCAGCGTCTTGAAGACTTGGTCTGAGTGCTCTAGACACCTCCAAACCTTGCGGTGTTCCGAATTCTCATGCTGCACCCAGTCCTGCCGGCTGTCATATAGCTGCGTTGGGTTCTTACAGTCCTCGTATGTGCAGATGTAAGGGCGCAGATCGTGTATGAGATGAGCTTTCCACGCTTTATCGGCCAGGATTTCCTTGGGACACAAGAAGAAGCAGTAAGGACACTCGAAGAACTTGTCCGAGGGTGTATTGCGCGACCTCTTCGGCGCCGGAGGGAAGTCAACAGGCGCATGGGCGGCTTGCCGTGTTGACGGGGCATATTCCGAGAGGGTCCAGCTCGAGAGGTTATCCGATACCTCGAGACGTGCGACGTCAAGTCTGGTGGCAGTCGTAACAGACGTAACAGCACCTGGGGTGTACTCTCCAGCTCGGTGTGGCTGTGCAGTTCGAAATTGCGTCTTTTGAGCCTGGTACGATTTTGTGTGTTTATCGAGTTTGTCCCGGTGTCTGGCCCAATACGCAAATTGCTGTCGGCGGCGACCATTTGCCTGCGCAATGCGTTCGATAAGGTAAGAATTGACACCAGTCCTTTGCCGCTCTTGTTCCTGGATTAAGACAGTCCTGATTGGCTCCCACACTGCATCGTCGTTTTCTCCTGATGGCCCTCCAGGTGGCTCCGCAGGATGATTTTCTTCACAAGCCCTGACCTTTCGATACTCTAGGAATATCGAAGAGACGTAGTCCAAATCAGCTTCCTTAATAGCTTCAAGAAAATCGACTCCAGTATCCTCGTCTATCTGTCGGTAGTTGGTAGCCCTGGAAGATCCAAGTCGGGTGGAAGGGTTTCGTATTTTCGTGGACACCTTGAAGAGTCTGTTGATAGGATCTCGTACGCCGTCTAACAGGAGTTCCATTTCGATTTCTTCTCCTTCTTCTCCGTCTTCGTCTTCACCCTCATCTCTCGTTCTTTCTGTTTCTGAATGTTTTCCGCTACTTTCATCCATCCCAGATGCACCCTCTTGGCTGACGCCGGAACACAATTGGAACACTGTTTCACTTTTGTGAATAACTTGGTTCTCAAACCAAAATGAAGAGGCCTTACCGTCATCCAGCGAGTTGATCAGGTCCTGCATGAATCTGCGAAGTGTCTGCGCCAGCCTCTCGGCTTCCCGAACACGGTAGTCCAGAGAGCCATGGCCCGCAACGAAGAGTCCCATGTTTGCAGCCCAGAGTTCGAATCTCTCTGATTCCGCTACCAATAGATCATCGGGCCATGCAGTATCAGCGCTCTCTTTGAGAGCCTTCTCGACTTTGCGAAAGAGGTCCACAGCGTTGGAACCTAGATCTGCAAGGGCCACAATGCCAGACATTTCATCTATAGGAGTTGAACTTCTAATTGAGAACAAGCGATTTGGACGAACTGCGCATGCAAAACTATCATACGAGGAAGTGAGAAGAATGCTGATTTCCTTTTCCTCGGTGATGTTAGGCAGACAGGCAAAGGCAGCTCTCCCCGCACTTTGCGTAACCCTCTCTGAGTCGTACGAAAATAAGCGAGCGAATGCCATTCAAATCGAGGCTACACTGATCATCAAGTGTGGCGCTGCATGTCAGCAAGGGGCAAAAAGCGGAGTAGTGGTGGCAATACTGGCTGATGCGTGAACGTTGTTCTTGCGATTTCTCAGTTCAGCGCAGGGTCCGCTCATGCTATGAAAAGTTTTGTCAGATATCTCGTCTGCTGTACGCGCTACTATCATGTCGGGCATTGAAGTCGCAGGTCTCGTCCTCGGGGCCCTCCCTCTCGTTCTCAAATCCGTGGATGCTTACCGAGACGGCTTCCGCAGGTTTGGCAAAGCCTTCAACAAGCGCAAGCATGTCGAGAAGCTGGCTCGCGCACTGCTTCTTCAACAACGGACTCTAGAAGAACTTATCAAGTCGGTCGTTTTAGCGAGCGGTTGCGAAGATGCGCTGGCCCTGGATGATGACCCGGTTGACTATCTTAAAAATCCTGATGTTCAGGAGCAAGTGAAAGAATATCCCGGCCCAAAAAGCACCAGTTTCCTCGTTTATGAGCTTGAGGTCAACAGCGTGGCTGTAGGGAAGGTTGCTAGGCGTATATCAGGCCTTGTGCCTGGAGGTCAGGTAAAGGTCACTGCGAACTTCACTACGAGAACCAGTTCTGACACCACCGCAGGGGCCGAAAGATGACCTCATCGCCATCATCGAGGCCAACCATGCCAAGCCAAGTTTGAAGGCTGATCTTACTCCGAGGATTAAGCTGGTACTTGGTATCACTGATATGAACGACATGATCCAGGAGATTGACAAGGGCAGTGATGCACTCGATCGCTTCTCGAGACTTACCTTGTCGAACCGCCAGTCGATGAACAGCAACTCGTCCGGAAACTCTCTGAAGCTGGCGAAGGCATTCAGACAGATACGCAACTTATCAGAAGGTCTTTATAATGCCGTTCTGGACGGGTTCCGAGACGAGTGCCACGAGAGTCACGAGGCAAGGCTTTATCTCGATGACCACATCGATACTGCTCATCGATTACTTCACAGGCGCGGTGCGGTAGACCCTGCTGCTCCACGGATGATGTTTGATTTGGCTTTTCATGCGAAGGGGCAGAAGAGCGACACGCTGTACTACGAAACAGTTGTCCAAGTCTTTGACGACTATAAAATTGACAATGTATATCCGGAGACCACTCCAGAGGACTTGGTGAAAGCCGTGGTCACTTTTAGCGTGACCGACGCTCCATCAACCTTCAAGCCCAAAGTGGCTACGATCAGCAGCATCTGCGAAACAATCAAGGAGGCCCGTGGAATGAAGTCTAGCCTTTCTTTCGCATTGCTGGGAAACAGGCAGATGGGTACATTTCCGGACCAGAAAGCCATGCCTGGAACGCGGACGCTCTGTCAAGTGGACCACAGGGACTGCATATCCCTAAGCCAAACACTGAAGACATCATCGACCCTTCCGTTGAAACCTCGGATGCAGCTCTCTCTACGGTTGGCATCCAGCCTCCTGCAACTCCTCAGCACACCATGGCTTACACAAGCGTGGTGTAAACACACAGTCTTCTTCCTCCCGCACGAGAATCTATCCGACCCGACAAGTCACGCAAAACAAACTGCCCAGGTGGATCTCAACCGGCCCTTCGTTGCTTGTAGTTTCGGCGGCGAGTGTCCACTCGTGCCTCCCACGCAACCAAAGGCAGCACTGCTGGAGCTAGGCATTCTATTACTGGAGATATGGCACGGAATGACTTTGGAGTCACGCTTTGGGCTGGATGATTCCGGTTCACAATCACAATCGACGACATACTACGAACGTCTGGTGAAAGCTTTGGAGTGGCAGGACGACGGGACAAACCCGATGCTAGGCCTCTATGGGCAGGCGGTTTCGCAGTGCCTGACTGGAAACAACCTGTCGGCTGGAAAATTGGTTGATTGGGAGGATTCGAAGCTCTGGAGGTCAGTTTGCAGTGATATCATAGAGCCGCTTGCGAAGTTGTGTAAGAATTTCTGATTTAGAGACTATCTTTGATCTACTGTAGTAATAATATGCTCAAGAACATGTCAAATTTCCCCCTTAGTACATTGCGAGGCACAATGGTGACCCCATCCGGTCTTTGGTTGACAGATCGGAAGGCATCTTCTTGTGGCTCATCCTTGCGACAAAGAGCATCAACAAGGGTCTAGAATACGGAGACAACGCCGACATATTCGAGCCAAGAATTCGCAATTTGCCAGGAGATCGGATCAGTTTGTCTAAAGACATATGGAAAGGGGCTAGGAAAGACGATCCTCTAGCAGATAGACAGACTGTGGCACTCTATTTCAGACTTTTGTTGACACCTCGAGAGAGGCTCTCTCTTCCTGCCATCCTTTGACAGCTTCGGGATACTCTTGTTCGTGCTAGCTTCAACATCGACGGCCGACTATATACTCCAAGCTGGTGATCAGACGCCCAAACGCGTCTCAAATGATGCCATGTTGGAGAGGTGCAGGAAAGTAGAGAGAAAAGTGGATGACTACTGCTTTGGGCTCGTAGAGGTTGGTTCAGGATCATTTCCTGTTAGGCGGCCTCGGATTGCAGGGATGTATGGACGTTATTACGGCGACCTCATTCCTCTCGCAGATTCAAGCAGCATTTTGCGCTTCATACATCGAACTGCTCAAGACTTCCTTGTAGACACAGAAGGGGGCAAAGAGATACTGGACTTCAGCACATCGTCGAAAATGTCCTTGAGATTCGAACCATCAAGGCCTGTTTAGCAGAGATTCAACTCTTCCTCCTTGATTACGACTATGAAGACTTAGGTCCGAGCTTAGCTGAAACACATCTGCCTATTATACGATGTTTGCGCCTCACCCACCGAAATACAGACGACTGGGTGGCTGGAGATTGGCGCAATCACTCCACTAATTTGAGGTGCTATGCAAGGCTGGCAAAACTTTTGTCGGCTCCCATTACCAGGGAGCATGTCTTTGTAAGGGCGAGGACTTCCTCAAAGTGTTGACCAACAGCTGTGACGACGAACGTATCCTCTGCGAAGTCAGGGACGGAAATTCAAGCAAAGACAAGAAGTCAGAGATCCTCTTGAATGCATGCAATACCTTTGAAAACACTCAGGCTTGGTTCCATCAATGGGATTACTTCGTTGGGGAATCAGTCCAAATGCTATTGAGGGAGGGTGCCAACCCTAACTACATGGGCGTCATCTTCTATCCGGATTCATGGCACTGGCCATTCGCAGAGATCGAGACACCCTTCACACAATATTTGGAAAAAGTATTGCTATTCATCAAATATAATCGTCTGAGGTCAGAAGACCTACTCACTGTCCTCAAGACCCTATGGACCTAATTGTATTATGATGCCAGCCTTGGCGAGATGGTTACGCTTTTCTTCGACCTCAAGCATTATGTCATTTCGGACAGCGAGGACTCCGACCTTGAGGAACGTGATTTGTCAGACCACAAGGGGAAGGTATGCATATTGGACGCTTTCCCTGTTTCACAGACCCGTTATCGTGAAAGATTTGGGATATGCAAGGTCACGACCTTTACTATTCGATGGCACTTTACATTTAGGTCTCGTTCAAAGCTTCATGCTTTTCTAAGTGTTTTTGTGAAGTCCTGTGTTTGCCATCTCTTGATCCAATACTTCATCACATGTACCTCGCAGAGTTGGTTGACTCTGGTGAAGATGTCATGCTCCTCACGTCGTGCCCAGATAGCATCATCTCGACTCCCGGGGTGCCCGTCCACATAATGACTCTATTCTTTCACCATAGTCTTCCTCTTTCATCTGTTGACTGTAATCAAAATATCGTGACTGGCAACCCCACAAATAGTCCAGGATCTCACTTGCGATCCGTCTTTTGTACACGTTTGTTGCCTCAAACCAACGATGCTCTTTGCTCTCAACAAGGCCTATTCTACCGACTACACGACTCGGAGAGTACTCCCTTCCGTGCCTACTGAGACACTGATTGTCCAGGGATGAGATCATTGCTCGAAACTTGGTCTCCTCGACTGGTGGTGAGTAATCCTGACGCATCCTGTACAATAGCAAGTCAAGAGTACTGTATGCTGTGAGTGAAACAAACAGAACGCTATCTTGATCACGGGTCACAATTAAATTGTACCTGCATCATTTAAATACCTCACTTGTCCATAGTATCCCAACTACTATTGCATTATATTATCTTGTCCAATGGTGAACAACCCGTTGGATGATAGCTTGTTGTAGGATAACCTATTGTATCAAATTGGAATACCCCCGTGCACACGCCTGGCTGACCTAGTGGAAAAGCTGTACTGCACCTGTCTGCCCACATGCTCCAGCCTGACGTCGAAACGCATCACCCTAAGCCCATATGCCCAGATCCGCAGCGCCGACACTATCTTCACAGTGTATAACAGTCCAGAGGAACCAGTCGCGGTGATAGCTCTGCTCGTTTGCAGCTGTCGCCGAGATGCAGCCTTTGACATTGTCATTGATGTTGGTGAAGCGGATGGTCATATGACCCTGAGTCTTCGCGTCATACTGTCCGCCGTTCTTGGAAGCCAGGATGGCTGCGGCACCAGCAGGGGAGTTGACGTCTTTCCAGCGGCCCGCGTCGTTGTTGTGGCTGCAGACGCACTCCCCGAGGACCTCGGAGAGGGAACTGGCCAGAAGGCCGAGGGCAATGGTGGAAGGTGTGATCTGCATGTTGGCTTCTCGAACGACGGTACGATTGCTCACAGACGAAACAATGTTGCACAGCACTGAGTGGATTGTTTCCGCGAGGCTGATAATTTCATCCCGGTGAAGTGGAACGTGGAACTGCACGACTTGCAGGTCGACAGCAGCGAGGAGGCCGGAACCTTTTTTTGTTCTTACATCTCCTACACCGCTTTTTCACGATTGCATGTGTCTCAGGATGTGCTACCATCACGAGTAACGTACATTCTTTAGTGAATAAATCAAGCCATCAGCCTTGTGTGCGTGTCTCATTCGAGCGGGGCTGCCAAAACACGCAGGCATGAGAGACATGTCAGACGCCTCTGTGCCCATATAAAATGTAGCATGTCTCACAATCTCAATACTGTTTTACTATCCTGACCATAGTTTAGCCACAGAGAGACTGCGAAGCAGATGGCGTTATCAATGCTTCAACGCGGCCAAAGGGTCATCTCCAGAAGGGACACAACGAGTCGGGTTCTTACTTACGGCCCTATACCAATTTTGCGCCAATTCCTAGGTTTTCTGGGTTGCTGTACTTCAATTGCCAACCGGGGGCCTTTCAAATTTCTATTGCTAGTATTGCGAACCCGAAGGGATCAGTGTAGCTGGAAGGACCCCTAGCGGCTACCTTTCTTGTGTTGCTTCTAAGCAGCTATAGATTTAATAACAGACTTGCAACGTTCACTGAGGTCAGACAACTCCATATAAGAACCCTTAACGGCACAAGTCTTGCGAACCAGTCCATCAGCCGGGTCACCCCCTGCCGCCTTAGTCATAAAAACTGTCCCCATACTCCCTTTTTAACAACCAAGTGCCGGCGCTGACGACGCCCGTTGTCCAGGTTGAAACCACAATACTCTCGAAATCGAGAGTGTCAAAACAGGGCGAGCCTCGCCACCATCGTGTGCGTATACCCTCGGCAAAGATTAGCAGAAGAAATGCCATGTTAACGCCAAAGATGGCCCACTGGTGTGCGGCTGTCCTAAACGGTAGGCTGCGAACTCGCCGCGGATGCTCGCGGGCCGCTGACCGGTCAAATTGCCGGCGAGAACAATCTGGCTGCCCCCGTATATGCCCAGCACGTCGTCGAGCATGGCAGTGAATGAGTCGGCGGTGGCGTGGAGCGTTTGGGTGGTCAGGTCGTGATTGGCGGTCAGGAGAGAGGATTTAATCGTTTGTAGGTTGTGGTCGAGGGCCTCGCCAAGGACGGAGATGTATAGCGAGGTGCTCATGCGTGAGAGGACATTGATGGAGCGGATGGCGTTGCTGCGGAGGTGGCCTGTGCCTGTCTGGTCGATGTCGTCGATCTGGCTTCGTGCACATCGACGGCGGAGACGGTGATGGTCTGCTCGGAACTGTTCACTCTGACTGTGAAAAGGGTTGGCTCGAAGGTGACTCTGCATTGGACTTTGCTCAAGCTACCGTAAATCTTGCTGGCCACCACTTCGATTATGTGGATTTCGTTGTCGGACACGCCTACCCATGCCAACACCGCAGCGTCGTCAAGGGTGTCGCGGTGCCACGCCATGACAGGATAGAATTCGCCGGCGATGGAGTTGGGCAAGTTGCCCTCGACCTCCCAGATTTTGACGTTGTCGACGCTGCTGCTAAAGGTGAAGTTGAGCGCAGCGCTGGTGTTGAACTCGCACGTCACGCTTGTCTGGTACCCTGTCTCGTTGTAGGTGAAGCTGAGCAGGCTGTAGTCCGCAGGAACCCCTTGCACTGGGGTGAGGCCCTGGCCGGCGCCGATGCCGTACGAGCGGCCACGGTACGTCCAGGCCGGGTTTTCGGGCTTGGAGTGGTTGCGCGAGGTGATGCTACCGCCGGCGCTGGCCTCGCGGGCCGACTCGAGCAACTGTGCCCGGTAGTTTGGGACAGGGCAGTTGGAGATGGAGATGTTGGATGAAAAGTCGCCGCCGCCGCGCGCGCTGGTGCAGTTCTGCACAAAGTTCCAAACACTGCGGTTGTTATCGAGGTGGAACTCGCTGTCCCACAGGTCCACAGTTGCGTTAGAGTATAGGGGCACGGCAACGCTGCCGAGCATGGCTACCGCCGATTTGGGCACGGGGGCTAACGCGCCGGCCCATATGGCCCCAGGCGCCTGTGCAAGGACAACCATGAGCAGTGCGGGAAGAAGACTTGGGAGGGACAGGCTCTTGGGGAGTCGCGGCACGATGATAGCGTTGAGCAGCCCGATGGTTCTTAGTTGAATGGGCTGGGTGGCCAGTCGAAGCCGGAAGCCCGCGCTGATGACGACAGTCAGGGTGGTTACCTGAAGGGCTCCCATAACCGCATAGAGAACCTGGACAGTGACCGAGATGGTCGTCTGATGGCGGTGAATGTCTTCCCGCGTGGATCCGAGAATGCGGAGGCCAGAGGTCGAGATGAGAGCAACGGACGCGAGAAACGGAATAACGAGAGCCGCGATAGGGACAAATCTCTCGAGGAGACTTGTGGTTCCTGTGCCGGAGTGCTGTGGACTCGCAGACATTTTGGTTTCGACGTATATTCAGCAACGAGATAGAGGTGGACTCTCCTTAATAAGAATCCTTTTCCGTGCTTTTAGGAATGACTTTGTGAGACGTTTAGTCTCAGGTATTAGATAGTTATTGTAGGACTTGCTCTGCTCCTCTGCCCGTAAAACACTGTCCACTCTCAGCTTTCTGAGAGAGGTCACCCTCTTGGGCCGCTAGCGCAATAGGCGCTCACCATCGATATACATCCAGAGAGAGCCTTTCCAGCTGAGCCCTATGCCGAGTTGTCGCCACTTGATTGGGCTCAGACGCCCAGCAGAAAAGACCGCAAAGCTCTGAATAATTGATCTGCCGTGGGATCTTAAAGAAGCCTACCCGAATCGGGCTGGAAGCAGGATCCATTAGGCAACTATCTGCCAATTCTATCAGCACATTGGGCTGCACTTCCCCTGGACTCAGCTGAACAATAGTGGTAGGGTAGTGATATGATGCGGTGGCTTTACAGACCACTGTATTTAATACAAAGAGGCTTCATACATGCCTAATGTTAGCTTTCGGGTCACCGACTTGCCGGCATGCAGATATGCTCCTGCCCAAACGACGTGGCATTCCACACGGTACTTATGCTATTACCACGTGCAGCACTGCCTCGTCTTGGAGTAATCATGTCGCGTTCTGAGAAGCTGATATGCCGTTGGCCTCGTCTACCGTCACCTTTGACCCTTTGACTGTTGGAATATTCTAGACATCTAGGCTATTATTAATACGGGATATCCTTTTCCCCATATGTTTGCCACTGTATGGAGGATAATAACTATAAATAAGGGCCTTCCCTCCCGTAGAATAGACGTTAGCTAGCCTAATAGACTAAGCATCCAACGCTATTATTTGAGATTGGCCACCACAACCTCCCCCCTCCCGGATAGCCATTGCTGACTGCTTTTATAGTCACAAAATCGGCGCGGACCGCTACATACCTAGCTAGACGTGATTTTTAACACCCCATCACCTAGCATCGGTATGCCTGACTCTGACGCCTCAGGAGGCGTCAGACTGGGGGCATGTAAGCGGTTTAAAATGGGGAGGGGAAGTTGGACCGTTTAGATTTCTGAACGGTTTAAAATCCCTGAGCGGTTTAAAATCCTTGAGCGGTTTAGAGGGGCTTGAACGTTTAAAAGGAAGGAGCAGTTGAAGGAGGTGAATAGCCCTGGGAAGCCTTGGGATTAAACCTGTCCGAAAAAGAATTGAATTCTAAGCTATATTTTGCCTTTGCCTTTGCCTCTGCCTTTGCTTCTTACTTCTGCTTTTGCTTCTATATCTAAAGCTCCTTTCTGGCATTCCCTTCCCTTTTGCTTTGCTAGTTAAGTTGATGATATGGAAGAAGCGACTTCCTCCTTCTGCCTGGGTGGTAGATAAACCGCGCTCAACCTGGTTGTGTGTGGCTAAACCGTTAACTATGGTTTAAACCGTTTATTCTCTTTAAACTGCTTAGAGATCTAAACGGTCCAACTTCCCATCCCAATCGCCCGCGGTTCACTGGCATTTAAACGGTTCAACCACGTTTCACGGCTTCCCCACATCCCCGGTACAGTCTGCAAAGTCTCCGTAGCAGGGTCTGCCTGGTCCTGAAACATGATCGCAACGCCTACTATGGCCTCAAACACCCACCACCAGCCCGATACCCCAAAATTCAGGTTCGTATGGGAGTCAATGGGGGGATGTTTGTGGCCGCTTTGATGCCGAGGCGGCACTCCCAACCATGTGGATAATTTCGTGGTAGACACCGAGAATCATGTGGAACATGAAGTTCATAGTCGTTGCATTTAGCTCTTGGGCCTTCATCAGTCTGGAAATAATCTGCAATAGAACAATTTCAGCATGAACAGAAGAGTATGTTGCTTTAGACATGTCAGCAGCATCAATGATGTGGGCCTGTGGAAACTATGAATGACTAAGCTACACCCGCTGTTGATGCCTATTTGCCGCTGAGCGTCCTCCAATACTCACACCCACACGTTTAATTTGACGTTATTCTCTTCTCTTTCTTCCTTGGTCGTCAATTCTCCATTATACGTCACCCATCAACCACAGCTCTGCTAGATTGCCCAACCCTCGTTGCCCAACCCTTCACAATGCCATCTGAACCGCAGGCCGCCAAGGCTCTCGATGAGCAACCTCACAAGTTGTCGGCTGAAGCTTTGTCACAGGAGCATCGCCATGTCCTCTTGCAAGCAATTCGCAAAATTCTGTCCACGTCGAGCGCTGAAGTTGCATATGCTCAGATCATCGATGGGGCACCTCTCAGCGAAATTTACAATGATGTCTATGGCCCGGTATACCCCTTGGAGCATCCCGTAAAGACCCAGCATGTCAGATTCTGCCCTGGAATTTTGGAAAGGACCAGGCAGATACGTGACTCATTTGACCTAAACGAATTGAAGTTTGAAACCAAGATGGGAAACCGCCTTGTCTCGTTAACACACCTTGCCCTGAGATTAGTCGCTTACCAGCTATCCCTACAGCTCCTCCAAATTTATCATGCTGCCTCGCCAGGCTCAAGGCCTTTCAAAACTCGCTTGGTTGAGATCGTGGCCGTTTCGATTCATAAAATAGCAGTCATTCTTTACAGACTCAACCTAAACTTGGGCAGGCACCAAGACTGGGCAGCGTGGGTGGCCCCACCAAGTGACACAGTTTTCTACTGGATGCATCCGGATGGAGAGCTGCCAAGCCTTTTCTGCCACGACCAGTATCGAGAACATAATCAATATCCCGAGGGACCTGCCGATATGGTGGGGTATTGGGCTGAGTCGCAGATATTTGGGGGTGTTGTGCTTTTCGATAGACGCCGCCCTGACGAGCGCGAGCCTCACGAGGACGTAGGTTTCTCCCCTTTATATATTCTCATTATTGTGTGAGTGACTAACAGCTCCCAGCCGGACGCAATCCTCTTCCATTCTGATCGTCAAAATGTAACCTACCGGATCTGGCAGCTCCTCGATATACAAAAGAAGCAGTTGCCAGATTTCCTCTTGGCGGAGCCCAACAGCGTTCCTAGCCCCTTTCCTATCCTGGCGGATGACAAAAACTTGACACGGATCGACCCTGAGGAACCAATACGCGAGACCGGGATTTATAGAGATCTCTGGGAACGGAACCCCCTGGGCGAGAATGACGGCGATAGTCGGTCACATTGTTGTTCATACAATGGCCTGGACTACCCTTCCATAGCCGATTACAAGCGGTCCAGGGAACGATGTTGGAATAGAAAGGCGGCGATGGAGGAGAAGGAAGAAGAGGAGAGAGAAGCCATAGAGCGCGAGACAGAGGCTCAAGAAATACTAGAGAAAGCAGCAGAAGAAGAAGATGAAGTGGCCAGGGTGTTGAAAAAAGAACAGGAAGTCAGTAGGAAAGGTCAAATCTGAGTCGCCTGATTAAGGACCTGATATCAAAAGAAATAATATCGTAAACGATGCCGGTAATTGTGACGGCACGGCTACATCAGCTGCACTGGACTACCCAGAGTGTTCTGAACAATTCTAAGCTTTCGGTTCTCTGCTCTATAGTACAGCAAAGTAAGGCGCTGTCTCAGTAAATGCAGACACTGAATAACAGTGATGAATCACCTTTACAGCTTATATATCAACGCTATAATTTTGATGCGCAATATATTGCCGTCCAGATTTCTTTAAGAGATTATGCTTCATTTAAGACAAGTTCTTATCATTATACAGCTGGAATGTAAGCTGCCCTTCTCTAAAGCCCCTGTAATTACTCTATACCGAGCATTCGCACTAAGTTTTATCAATTGGCCTCTCTTTTACCTGGCAATAGCAGTTATTCCATAGGCAATTATACCTATCATATAGATAATTAATGGATACTAGCTGGGTGGCAACAACAGGATTCATAGTGGCTACTTATCAGCCTAGATATTACAAGGACAGCTGTCCTCATCATGTCAGTTTACGATTGACTTTGCTACCATCGTTGGGAAATAGAAAAATCCAGAGGGCCTTCCAGTGCAGCAAATGAACGCCTAGAGACACATTTCCATGATGCTTGCGAACTTGCTTATTGACGGCCGCTGTACCGTACTGACTTTTGAGGCCTCTGAAATCTCTGTTTCCATCCTACAAGTCTGAGCTCGTTAAAACCTCATTTCATACTAGTCAAGGCCACATACAGCGCCGATAATCGGGAACGATGTCGGAAGGCTTGTTTTGAGATCTCATTGATATCTACATTCGCGATATGATTCTATTAATTAGAGCAATCCTAGACCTTCATGCTGGCTATCAGTGCAGACTTAATTTGATCTGCAGTCCAGGGGTCATTGGAGGGCACTAGAACAGGTCCAGCAACAGTAGCCGGTGCATGCTTTTTAAGAGTACTGATCGTAGTGCCGTTGTTGATCTGAACCTGAAGGTTGTATTCCTGAGGATTGCTGCTTGTCATCTACAGGCATGATTAGCTTGAGAAGGCACTAGAAGTATTAGGTCACTTACGCCTTGCATATCCAGTCGGAAGTTGTCGTCCGATGACACTGTCCCTGGTGTCCCTGGAAGGGCTTCAAGCTTGCTGTCGGGTATAGCCAAGATGAAGGCTCGGAGTTGTTTGGATGCTTTTCCCATTGTGACGCTTGCGTGCTTAGGTTATTGAAGATTCGCAGATTTATAGAAACGATTGTATTGTGTCAAAGTCGATCTTCCCAGTGACAGCTTTGGGGATGAAGAACTACATATTAATATACTTACAGCAGCAGTACTTCCTCACCATTTTCCACTGGGCAGTAGCCGCCACAAACCCTCTGATTGGCCCTGTTAACGCCTTGGATTTTCAGGTCTCGAACGACGGCTGCGGTCTCCCAAGGGCGGGCCGCGGACGGCGCGTATACCGTTACATCAACCAAGCATCATTGGAGTTAAAAATGGACGTTTGACTCTAGTAAGTTGCGATGTAGCATCAAGAGCTGATCTAACCCTCAAAACGGTCGTTGGGCGCTTCGACCTTCAGGCATTGCGAAATAGCTGCGGATCATTTGCAACCGGGAAGCGGTAAAGCACATTACCATTCATTTTAAGTTACGCATACCGGGTGCAGTCCTCGCTACACATGTTACATACCGTACAATTACTTGCGAATTTTGCGCTGAAGTTCTTGGCCCCGGAAGCAAGACGAGGCTGGATTGAACAACTGTTGCTCCAAAGTCTATATTTACCGCTTGAATCAGCTCGTGTCTCCAACTTACGCGCAATTGCCTCCCATGCTAACCATACGAGTAATTAAAGTAGTAGCTTTCGTCCTGCAAGGGAGGGGAATGGTTCGACCGCCGACCAGTGTCGAAACAAGTCACTAAGCGCTGGCGGCAGGACAGGGATCCACACTGACCAAGTCCGCTACCGTATTCTAGACATTCTAGACAAGGAAGACAGGCAGCAACCCGTGCCTGCAGGCTGCTGTTGATGTTGCTTACATAATCCGCTTACATAAGGCCGCCGTATCGTAACAACAACACCTCTGAAATCACTGTTCCTCTGGGCTGGCAAAAAATCTCCTTTTCATACTCGTCAAGACTACATATGCCGCCCACAATTGGAAAAAAAATATCGGTTGCTTCCCTTTGTCTTCTCACGCCGACTCTCACAAGGATAATGCTTTCCTGAGCACGTCAACCGATCGGACGCACCTTGACAATCGGCTTACAGTCTTGCTGCCCTTGCCTGCCTGGAGCGCAACTTTCCCTGACGACAACGAGGATGTCGCGAGACAGCCAAGATGGACTGGAGTGGGAAGAGACTTTGTTCAATCTCATACCCCGCTGGAAACGAGAACCGTCGCTGAAGGAGATTGAAAGCGTCTGTCGCCAGCAGCTCAAGGTTCCTGTCGAACACCCCTGCACCGTCTCCTTCTACGCAGCCGGTGCATTCAATAAACTTTACTTGATCGTCTGCGCCGACCAGTCTTCGCTGATGAGAGTTACTTTGCCGGTCAGCCCTCACTACAAGACACGTGGTGAGGTAGCCACTCTGACTTGGGTGCGAGAGCATACCGACATTCCAGTTCCCAAAGTTATTGCGTTCGTGGACAGCAACGACAATGGCATTGGGTTCGAGTGGATTTTGATGGAGCTGATGCCCGGAGCTCCAGCATACCGAAGGTGGCGAACAATGTCTATGGAGCAAAAGTCAGCGATTGCGAAGCGTGTGGCGGAATTTCAAGTGCAACTATCATGTTACGACCAACCCGGTTCTCTGTTCAGGAAGATAGGGACGCTCGACTTGGAAAATGGACAACAAAATGTTGAGACGCAAACAAGAGTAACCCCTAGTAAACTCATTTCCCATGAATTCTTCATGGGAAATCGCCTGAAATACGATGTGCCGCGAGGTCCTTTCCGCTCCAGCCATGACTGGCTGAGCTCAGAAATACGCCTCATCATACTCGAGCAGACAGCAGCTCTCGAGAACGCAGAAGACGACGACGATAGAGAAGATGCCGAGGAAATCCTGGGCGCTGCACAAAGACTCCTTTTGCTTCTTCCCAAGGTGTTTCCCGAAGACGAGGAAGATGACGTTGCGACCGCGCTCTACCACGACGACTTAAGTTTGCACAATATCCTTGTCAACGAAAAGGGCGAGATCACGGCTGTCGTGGACTGGGAATGTGTCTCGGCAATGCCAATGTGGATGGCTACCAAGATCCCCAAGTTTCTTGATGGAGAGAGGCGGGAAGAGGAGCCGATTCGGGATATCTACGCCGATGAGGTACCGACAGAGTCCGCAGAAGCACGAAACGAGGGCGACGTAGATCATTTGGCCAACGAGGGTAAGAACCAACTGTACTGGATTCACCTGATGGAGTACGAGACGACAAGACTGCGGGCAGTGTACGAAACAAGACTGAGGCAGCTCTGGCAGGATTGGTCTCCCGAGGAAAACCACACAAAAGTCGACTTCTTCGAGGCAGTCTTGCAGTGCAGTTCTGGCATCTTTGTGAAGAAGGTCGACAGATGGGTCGACAACATAGAACGTGGGGACTTGATCAGATGGGCAGATGCTTAGGTTGCGGAACAGCTGTGCCCTAGCCGTAGCTAAGCTTCTGATGGTTAACATGTGGAAATACTAGTGTGCAGTTTGAATGGTGTAGGAGTTGTGGTCTTCGTTGGACACTGTCTGGCCGCGTAGGCAGCAATTAGTGGGCATCTTTTATCTAGATATTCCACACGACAGTGTAAATGCAGGAAGGGTATGGGGTTGACCAAGTCCTCAGCAGTTATCGTCACCTTTGTTGACACCTCGGTTGAAAACGCCTCGGCGGGAGCTACCAAGACGATGTTAGAAGTTTCGATTCCCTGCCAGAAAGCTTCCCACGAATGTTGCTTACCACACAATATCCCTCCCTGCCACGACCATCAAAGTCAGGCGGTGGCAAGCTCCACGGCTGGGAAAGAAACTCGTCTTTCTTTGTACATCTCGCCAAGCCATCCATGGCCCATATCCTGTATTCGGGGTCCCCTTCGTCCCATGCTTTTCCGTCTGGATATCCGTGCTCCTGAATGAAAGCGAGAACGGCTCGATTGTTCTCCAAACAGTTGCCTTCGGTCTCCTTGGCGATGTCGTGTTCGACTGTGCGGATAACATTCTGCCATATCGCGTTGTCTCGTTTGGTCCTACCTTTGATGACACCCTCTTGCCCCGAAGATTCTTTGCTCTGAGCGCTCTTTTCATCAGTCGGGGTCGGCTCAGGGCCCTGGACGGAACGTTGGCTGACGGTCATGATGAAATTAGTTGCCAAAGCCGGATACTCTGGCAAGTGGAATACCTGAGAGTAGACATTGAGGTCTGGTTGGCTTCGGGTGGAAAAGAAATTGGAGCGATTTATGCGAATGAAAATGTGGATGTCTCGGTTCGTGGCTGCCTAAGCTTCTCGAGAAAACCCCCCGGGGGTGGGAGATCACAAAGCGAAGCCCGCACCCGCCTCAGCGAGCGCCAGGAAACCAGGGACCACGAGCACGATTTCCATAGGCGGTGATAAAGGTTCTTTGCATCTAGGTGCGAGCCGCGGCAACGGGTTTGGCCTCCCGGATTTTGTAGAAAGTCCCTAGTTCACTTTGTAGATACGCATGGACCTAGCCATAATACTGCGCATGCTTATAATACATGCCCAATTCTTTAGCCGCCCCTACGGCTGCGAGTACGCGCATCGATTTAATGCCATTTACTACATTGCTCAGGTCGCCAACCATACGAGCCAGCTAGACCATTCCATAACCCATCATGGTTAGGATGTAAGATACCTAGGCAATTTAGTTACGATACCCATCTAGAGTGTACATCCGATATTCTCACTTCGATGTCTGTGAAGAAAACCTAGAATGTCGCTTTGAGAGAACAAGAGCCGCTGTGTGCAGGGCCCAGCTCATGCTGTACTCGAGCGCCCATCAACTGCTTACACTCCATTATTTCCTACTGCTGCTCTTGCGCAGATGGCGTCAGACCTCTCCTTTTATACGCATTCACGCGAACCAATCCTGTCCCGGACGATGGGAAACTTCTCCCAAAACGGTTCTAGCCTGACAGACAGACCCAATGCCGGCGTGGTCTTTTGGGCGGCAAGCGATCTTCAGGCTACACAAATCACTGCATGCATGGCTGCCTGCTAGCACTGGGTACAGCCACTTGAGTAACCATGCACAGCCCTTAGCACCGCCTTCCTGCGGCTCGAATCTGACCTTCTCGGGCTCCCATTTGCGTGATATCTGTTACCTGAAATCCTTTCTGACTTACGCACCCCTTCTGAGTACGACTCTTCTATCGCTTTGTCACAATCTTGCAAGTGGAATCCGACATGGCCGAAGGACTTGCTGGAATTTCTCTCGCCTGCAACATTATCCAGCTAATCGAATTCCGCTGCAAGATCCTGGTTGACTCGCGAGAAGTCCACAAGTCTAGCACCGGCCTTGCGTCCCGGCACGTTGCACTTGAAAATATTGCAAAAAGGCCTAAGGACTTAAGCGATAACGTCGCAGCACAGCCAAATGCCTCATCGCGCCTCATATCGCTTGCCGCTGAGTCCAAGAGACTGGTGCAAGAGCTTCTCGATGCTGTTGATAAACTGAAAGCAAAAGCCTCAGATAAGAAATGGGATAGCTTCAAGATTGAGCTGAAGACAGTGCTTAAGGAGAAAGACTTCAAGGAGATTCACGAGAGCTTAGTAAACGTGCAGACTCAATTGGGCCAGCATTTGCAAGAGTCTGTTTTGTATGTTACGAAAGCCTTGTACTCTATGGTTTCAGTGTGACTGACTTTTGTTCCTTCGCGCAACCCAGCGCCGGGCAAACAAGCTTAAGCCTGTCACTGAAAGGGTTAGAGCAGGAATTGGACAAAGTACGGCACAGCACGGCGGAGATCAGATCGCTCACACAGGGTATGGCCGATGCTCTGCAGAAGCTCGATATCGGTCTTAGCGATGGCAAGCGCGTCCTTGAAAGCTTGTACTTCCCACAAATCCCAAAGCGTCTCAGCGGTGTTCCACACGCACACCAGCAAACTTTTACCTGGGTCTTCGACACTGATCACTCGGAGTCGCCATTTGCAAGGTGGGCCAGCGGGGATACTACCCAGACTTTCTGGATCCAGGGTAAACCGGGCTCTGGAAAGTCGACGCTCATGAAGCTTATCTGTGGTCACGAAAAGACGAAGAGGGCCTTGGAGACTTGGGGAGCCGGGAGCAGAATCATCGTTTCCAGTTACTTTTTCTGGAATGCTGGCAACAAGAGGCAGAAGTCTTTGGAAGGACTACTCCGAGCACTTCTCTTCGAGGTTATGACTCAATGCCCGGATGTGATCGAGGTAGCTTGCGGCAAGGCGGACCGGGTTTCGTCCCTGCCGCCATCCGCTGACCCCTGGCCCATGACGGATCTCTTGCCAGCCCTTGAGAAGATGCTAAATGCCCTAGAGGCGGCAAGCTGCAAACTGCGTTTGTTTATCGATGGCCTCGACGAGTTTGACGGGCAACCTGACGCTTTGATCGACATACTGGACAGCTTGTCTAACCGCAGCAACCTGAAGCTTTGCGTTTCAAGCCGGCCGTGGACCAGCTTCCGGGACAGGTATGGCGACGACCCGACACATCACCTGAATCTCGAAGACCTCACCGAGAACGACATATAAGATTACGTACGGGACAAGTTTGAGGGAAACGTGCTTTACAGTGAAAGAGCAAGCAAGAACCCAGGATTCAAATACGTGGTGGATCAGATTCCGAAGAGAGCTCATGGAGTCTTCCTATGGGTCTAGCTTGTCGTTAGGTCCGTTATGGATGGCCTGCGATACCGAGATAGGGCAAGCGACTTTCAGCGACGGCTAGACAGCTTTCCCAAGACCCTGGAGGGCTTCTTCCAGCGCATGCTGGATACAACCGAACCAATGTACAAGCAGCAGACAGCTCGTACTTTCAAGGTCGCCCTGACGGCCGAGGAGCCGCTAGATCTCATCCTATACTCTTTCATGGATGAGATTGAAGATGACCCGTCGTGGGCTCTCAATTGTTCTGCTGTCGAGTGCAGCAAGGATGAGATCTTGGAAGTACACGAGGCCATGAGGCCACGTCTCGACCCCAGGTGTAAAGGGCTACTCGAAATACAGAAACAATCTTACCTCCAAGGGCCAGCGGATATTTCGTTCAAGCAATACAACGCCGAGTTTCTCTACCGTACGGCCAGGGACTTTCTGATTAACTCCCTTGAAGTCAGCGCCATGTTCGAAAGGGAACTGGGTGACGATTTTGACCCCCTGGTCGTGTTGGGCGGATCATTGTTAGCGTCAATGAAGAAAGCCAGGATGGACCCGCCAGAGTGGAAAAGCCAACAGCATCTACTCGAAACGGCAAATCAGCTCATTGTATATGCTACGCGGGTTTTACAGCCTGGGCATGACACTTCTGCGAAGAACAAGTCTGAATGGTTTGCGATCTTGACAAATCTCCATGCTACAATATCGAACAGGAGTACTCATCTTTCATCCGTGAGAGGGATAGAAGAATTGTTCGAGATAGCACCTCTTGACCAATTCTGCCAGGACCAAGCATAGAAATTTGCGGTTCAAGCTTCTCTTGGTCATTCCTGGTCAAATATGAGCATGCTACAGCGCCAGAAGCTACCGGTATCACTGGCAACTCAGGCTAATCACAAATTCGTCGCCGGTGATGCGTACATTCGAGAAGATATAGAGGATGAGATATACCCTTGACAAGAATATTATGGAAGCCACAAGCTTGGTGGTTGGAGAGGATGGCGGTACCAGAAATCCTTTGTTGATCATTATATTATAGAGGTTTGAATTCTCCTGATACTTTTGTATCATGGCGACTAGTGTGGGTGGACTGAGTATTACTTTTAGATCTGTTCCCCCTTCCACTCCCCTGCTGTTTCTTTTATTTTTCTCGCACCGTATGAATCACAATTTTTGTGGATAGTGTGTTCGGCTAATGAGAGGAATGATAGAGTTTGACGGATGAAAAATGTGAAAAAAATATCAAATTGGCTGTATACGATGTATCAATAATGAACTCTCTGTTTTCAGCTCAGAGGAATACTATCATGTGCGTTCTGGTTGGTACTACGGTGAGACTGGTCATTCCCAGTGTAATCCTCCGCCAATGCAATCCCCATATGAGTCTGATCATAGCTTCGTAATACACAGCAGGCACCGGTATTCCAGGCTTCGTGGCCAGCTTACTAGTAGTAATAGAAACCTGTCAGATAAGATGATTATGTGGTACAGACAGACAAGCAATAGCAACATTCATAGGATAAACAAATACAACTCTGCACGACGGACAATAGTTGAATACTCTTTTCTGGGACGCTGGAAACAAGAAAAGCAAGTCTTTGGAAGGATTACTTAAGGCATATTCCTTCAACATCTTGAAGCAATGCGCAGATCTCATTGAGGTGACTTGCAGCAAGGCTAGGCAACAAGGCTAGGCAGGCTTGGAAACGATTGCAACCCACATCAGCCCCTATGTGTTAAATCATATCTCGCTTCTGTACCCTGGCCGCCCCCAATGTGACTTCTCAGTTTCACGGGACTCTCGGGAATATTCAAGTCACCGCTGGCTGTCAATCCAGAGGCGAGGAGTATATTTACTTAAGTGGGTCGCTGCTTACAGCTGACAGACTTTTCTTCATTCTGGCTAAACTTTGTCTCCTCTTTTTACAACTCCTACCGTTGGATTTCAGGGTAACACAAACCTCGCGGCGGTCCATCTGACGGAGAACCAAGCAGTCACGACTCCCCAAAATGTCGGTTGACGCAAGTTTCTTCCGCAGCACAGTCAAGGATCGGTGCATCTACGATGGCGCGTCGATGCAGGCCGGAAACAACACCATGAGCGGAAACCTCTGCGCATACGTAGAAGGCGAGACCAGGGTCTGGGCGTGTTCAGCCTCGGACAGGTGAGAAGCTCATCAGCCTCTGACCCCAAGGTCCACTTCTGATAGCCATCTAGCATGTGCTGGACCTTTTCACAAGAGTGTTCCGGTGATGACACGCAGCGACAGTGTTCAGCCAGTGGCTCCGACTAGTGCTGCAGAGCGTACGAGACGTGCACGGAGATCGTCGGCCAGATCAATATCTGCTAGGGTCCCTGGGATAATCCACTCGAAAATATGTCCGCTCCGGATGCTCACATTTACAACCAGGCGCATTATCCAGTGCTACCGTCGCTAACGACTGCTTCGGCGGCGGGATCTACAGCCACTGGGTCCTCATCATCAGGACTCACAGCCACCGAATCCCCCACGGCCTCGGGTTCTTCGGTGGCAGGATCTACAGCTACTGAGTCTTCGACGGCCTCAGATCCTTCACTTCCACTTGGATCTATCATAGGCATAGGTGTAGGATGCGGCGTGGCTGGCGTTGCACTCACGGTTGGTGTTGGGTTTCTGTTATTGCGCCGAAGAAGTCGCGATGTCTCACTTGGTTCTGCCCAGCGTCTTGGTCGACCAGACGAGAGAAAAGCACAGGGATACGAGTTGAGTGGTGACAGGATGGCAGAGATTGACCACGGGCGGTGGGTGTCCGAGCTGCCAGCTGTCAGAACTTAGGTCGCTGTATTGGCTGAAGCTCAGCATTGTGATGTGTAATTTTACCTGCTAGACTTGGGTTCATGATCTCAAAAGGAATGAAAGAAAACAGAGTCCACCAAGATCATGCACTAATGAGCTCTTAAAGAGTGGTCTACTAAGGCCCACTGTTGCCGTGATCAACGTCTAGACATCTGAGTCCTCGGAGTGTGCCTCGAAGAGTAGCCATGAGGTGCTGGGTGCGTCCACCAAGATCACTGTGGCATGAGACTTTTCTGTGAAATAGTCAGCGTATGCTCTTCCACATGTGAGAGAGTCGATGCGGAGCATCCAAAACAGTTCCTATAATGTGGATAGTCAGGTCCGCTGGTTGATGAGCTCAAATCTATCTTATCTCCATTTTTGACATCTGTACTGTGCAGGCAGTGAGGTAACGCATTGGATACCTTACACTTCCTTTCGCAACATGCTTGACAATTTACTGATGCAATGTCCAATCTGAATCGCCAGGGGAGTTTGGATATCTAGCAAGGGCTTTCTACTCTTCTTCTCAGATATATGTGGCCTACTTCCCGATGCTCGAACTCAAAAGTCCGGTTCTTGTTTCGGTGTTGATGAATCTTTGTTTCAAGAGAGAAATAAATAAGACTCGGAGAAACTGCGAAATGTGTCTGAGAAAGTATCCGTGTCTCGAGAAGGGAACGGGGTCTGCACGCTCCGATGTACCACCCTTATCACCTTCACAATATGGAGACTGTCTATTCCTACACGGCTTCTCTCGACAAAGTCAACATTAGGCTTTTCGATGCCATTGTGCTTTAAAGGCTTACTCGAGTACCTGATATCTCGATCGAGGTGGGCCTGGCATCGGCCCGTTGTGAGACACCATTGAGAATAGAAGAGCCCACGGAAACAAAATGGTCGAGATGACGTCGATATCTATAGAAAACTGCTAGTCTTTTCACCAAAAAGGCGACAACAATTTAGAGGCCAAATTACACATTAGCTCTCATCCGGCGGTGCGCCATGATTAATCCCACGGACCACTCGAGGCTCGGAAGTACCGATACACATGGTTATGAGCTCGTATTACTGGCAATGGCTGCTTCAGAGACCAATCCTCCCTAGGTCTACCTAGCAAGGCTCTATCTGGCCGTACGCCGAGTGAGTCAAATAACTGACATTGAGGCCGCGGCAGCCTGTTTAGGGCTGTTGGTCCGTGCACTATGAATCCTGAGCTCTATAGAATCCTCTACCATTTCGACCACCACTGGGTCCTCGCAGTCTCTGGCACTCGTATTGCTGTTGTAAAGAACAAAAGGGCAAGTGGAGTTGAAAGACTGTTTTCATACCGTGTCACGTCTCTGTGGCTGCGCCGCATGCACTGTTGTGTTGTCAATCTCCATTGACGGTGAGTGGGTCTGTGCTGCCTGGCTGCGTGCTGCCTACCTAGGTAGCGCGTTGCGGAGCTACAGTATGGCCTTACGGCTTCGAAAGATAACAGCATGTATATGGAGGCCAATCATTCACGCTCGAAAGCAGTATTTACATATGCAGCGAGTGATTAACAGTGTGGGTTGCTACATTGGACAGTGGATCCGTACCTGCACTACACTAGTTCAAGGCAGCCTGAGACTTCCAGGCTGGGAGGATGGCACCCTAGGAAGATAGCAGGCAACCATCACCGAATTACTCATGGTCTCTGAGCCTGCCAAGATTCTGACATCTACTCCGTCAATACAAATAAGATCAAATTTGGATCGAGTCCTTGAAAATTATTGTTTCCTTTTCATCGCTTCTCTCATCAAAGACAGCTCGACAGCCTCACCCAAACTCGCCAGTCTGCAGGTCAATCTCGGAATATTTCACAATGGGCTCCGTGGGAACTGATACTGCCAAAACGGCCCCTTCTCTTCCAGATGCGGTAGAGAATGCTGTGACGACTTTGTATCGACATGACTGCGCGAATGAGGACGGCTATGGAGAAAAGTGTCCTCCAAGGTGGTCCAAGTTTGCGAGCCACGAGGATGACCAGGCTCATCTCAACAACTCGATACAAAGCGACCCCATCATTCATCGCCATTTCTTCAACAAGGACGATAAGAAATGTTTGTATTCCAAGTTCTCTCGACCTTTTCCCAAAACAAAGTCTTTGCACGCCAACAGACAGACGTCTTTGTCTAGGCAGCAGGACTCGAGATTTGGTAGATTTGGATCACTAACTGTCATATTGAAGGGGTGACCGAGTCTTTCACGGTCCAGGACCCGTTGATGCGCAGTCATCTTCGTGTTGCATTGGCCAACTATCAGGACTTCGACCTGGAGCTCAAGAACTGGACATTCAAGGAGCCATTCTCCCCAATCGTCCACCGCTGGGACCGTCTCAATGCTCTGTGCGAGAAGACCACAGAGGTCAACGCCAAGAAAGCCATCGACCAGCTGATGAAGTTCCTGGGACCAATCCTGGCTCCCTCAATTGGATCTCTCATCCAGACCAAGGCAACGGGCAAGGTCGACTTCGAAAACGTCTGGCAGATCTTTCCACCTGGCGAGTTCGCTGTCACGTCTTTCTTCGGAATCCAGGCGGTCACTCGTATCCTTCGGTACGAGCTGATTCGACCACGTTGCGATCCGCCGTACTGGCAAGTTGAGTTTGAGTACCTCGACTGGAACGGCGAGCGTTGCGGCTATACTTCGGCGAAGACCAAAATCAAGTATTTCGATGGCATGAAATTTGTCACCAGTCTACCAGTGTAAGCTCCAGTCGACAGTGACGATGCATCCAAGAACAAACACCTGACCACAATTAGATACCCTCTTTCGTTCAGCTCTTCCGCCACGGAGATCAAGGAACGACTCACGGCAAGAGGCCGCAAATTTGAGAGCCTCAGAGGCTACCACTTCAGGACCTGCACCGGAACCAAGATTCTCCTTGAGACCAAGTGTCCTGAGGAGCGGCCCGTCGCTGGAAGGGTCATCATTGACGCGTTCGCCTACTACTCGAGCAATAACATCGTGAAGCCCAACCTTAGGTCCTTGGAAGCTACGGAGGTAGCCGAGGTCGTCACGGATGCATCTGAAAGTGATGATGAGGGCGAGAATGACGACGACGACGACGTACGGTCTGCGACCAGCTCCGAGGACTCCGAGGGTAGCCTCTCTGAGCTGACGGCCGTCAAGCCCTCGGGCGGATCTTTGAAGCGGACTGAAAACATCCAGCCTCTCACCGACGAGCAGTGCCTCCTCGCGTCTCCCTGGCTCAAGGGTCTGGACCTCAAGACCAAGGACTGGGCCCAGTTCAACGTTGATGAGCTTAACGATATTGTCTGGAATGAGGCTGCGTTTGACCATCTCGTCCTCCCTGGGAACGAGAAGGAGCTCGCGTGGGCTTTTGTGGAGAACAAGGCTCTGTCGAACAACCAGTTTGACGACTTCGTGCCCGACAAGGGCCGTGGTATTATCATTCTGTGAGTTATTTTCGCGTACAAAACGTTGCATGTTACTTCTCCCACGTCCACTTCGTCATACTAATGGAGGATTACCTCAGCATGTTCGGACCTCCTGGTGTCGGCAAGACATACACAGCCGAAGCCGTCGCCGAGAAATCGCGCGTGCCGCTGTACGCGATGAGCGCAGGCACGCTGGGTACCAAGCCGAAGCAGATCGAGGCAGCTCTCGAGCGGGCCCTGGAGCTCTGCAGGCTCTGGAATGCGATGCTCCTCCTCGACGAGGCAGACGTCTTCCTCAGCGCCAGGACCGACACGGACCTGGCCCGCAACGAGCTCGTGGCCGTCTTCCTGACCAAGCTCGAATACTACCAGGGAATATGCTTCCTCACCACCAACCGCATCTCCAGCCTCGACCACGCGTTCCAGTCCCGGGTCGACCTGTTCCTCCCGTACCGTGACCTTAAGCCCGAGGCGCGCCGGCAGGTCTGGGACAATTTCATCAAGCGGGCGGGCGACAAGCAGTTCGATGTCGACGCTGCGGGGTTGGATGATTTGGCGAACATCCAGCTGAATGGCAGAGAGATCAAGAACCTGATCAAGAGCGCGCACCTCTTGACGCTCAAGGGTGGCGAGAAGATCACCAAGGACCGGCTCAAGATGCTGGCTGAGAACCGCATCAATGCCCTTGATGCACTGAGCGAATAGGCATGGTGCCTAAGTTGACCAGCTCGAATTTGATATTAGAATTCATCGACCACGGTGAGCTTCACGGAGAATTTACACAAATAGATTGGAAACGGCATTTGGGCTGATTGAATTTCTTAATCCCCTGAAGTCTCTTCTGGCTTATTCCTCTTCATGTGTAGCACAGAAAATGGTCAATCTGTTTGGACGGAGGCAATTCCAAGGCGGAATACGTTGTCAGCTACAAATCACCTCGGAAATTGAGAGGTATGAGGAAAGGGAGTATCATGACCCCTCAATAGCGGTCTGAGAATAAATCACAGATTGTCGCAAATGTTTCCAGAAATCTGTGAGGGTAATTTCCCACGAAACTAAGTAACATCTGAGAGCCACCCCGTGGCCCCTGCCGTGGGAGACTTGCCCACCCGGTCATAACCCGGGTCCAACTCCGTGTGACTTGATGTCCTGGGTTGAGTTGGGGGAAGTATCGGAGCATTATACCTAGTTGAACACTCGGGCATGAATACGCGGCTTGGGTATATCTGCAAGACAGGGTGTATCTGCGTGTATCTGCAAGACAGGCCAATCCAGTTGGAGGCAGTGCCAAGCTTGAAGCAGTCGACCACTCAATCCCACCACACCTCGACCACAACTCCCGATATTACGAGGCGGGGACGTCTCTTGGTAGACTTGCAGATCGGAAGACTTGAAGACACGACGGAACCTCCACACAATAGAAGCGTCTGACTGGTCGGAGGCCGGGTGTATTGGTCAATGGAGTGCCAGGCTTACTCACCGGAATACTGTATACAGAACGAACGTGTGTGCTGCATTTGGAGCACTTGACGAGCCATTGAGGCCTCTCCATCTGATTCGTCGGCTCGAAGTTACACAGTAAGCCCATACATAAGCGACCGCTGCACCTAGGTCCCGCATGGCTTCCGATATGGTTCCGAATATTCGTCAGGGCACAAGTTCTGATGTATAAGTTGGGCGCGAGACCGGTCATGCAATAGCTTTCAGGACAAGTCCTCAAGTCTAAGATTTTTGACATCAGCTACCAAGATGTTTGTGCCTCTCGAAGTGATTCTGTTTGCTACTGCAGCCTCTGCTGTTGGCAGGAGAGCACCTGAGTACGCAAACAATACTTACGACTATGTAAGTGTGACTGAGCACTCTGTGGATGATTTCCCGTACTGTGTAAATGCTCAATATTAACGGTGGACCTTTCTTCTAGATAGTTGTTGGTGGAGGTGGTGAGTCGAATCAACAAGCTAATCAACGCAACCTGTCTACTAACACTTTCAAACCTCAGCCGCTGGCGCTGCTGTCGCAACTCGACTGAGCCAGGCGCTGAAGAACAGCAGCATCTTGTTTGTCGAACCTCCTCAATTCTTGTTCCTGATACACACAAGTTCCTGCAAAAGCGGCGCTCATGATTATCATTCTTCCGTATCGCGCCATTGCTCATATTACCTCTCACTAACATGTGTAGATTGATCGAAGCTGGGCCAGCTGCCCCAGAGGAGCTGAAGATCAATGTTCCCGGTATGTTTGGGTCTACAATCGGCGGGCCATACGATTGGAATTTCACCACCACGCCCCAGTCAGGCCTTGCAGATCGTCAGGTCAACCTCACGCGTGGGAAGGTTCTAGGAGGCAGCTCTGCCCTGAATTATATGCTGTGGAACCGAGCCTCGGCGCCTGAGTATGATGTATGGGAGACGCTCGGGAATCCGGGCTGGAACTGGGACAGCATGCTCGCCGGGATGGCCAAGTCCGAGAACTTTACAGAAATCGACAGCCAAGACTACGGTCACGTTGGGAGGGGCACGCAAGGGCCGATACACAATGTCGTTGCGCGGCAGAGGACCGAGCCAGTCCAGGCCTGGGTCCCGACTCTGGAGAGTCTGGGGCTTTCGCACAACCTCGAGTCTCTCGGCGGCAAACCCATTGGGACCATGCTTCAGCCTAGCAGTATCAATCCGGACAACAGGACACGGTCTTACAGCGCCAACTCATATCTGCCTCGAGTCGGATCGAATCTTGACCTTTTGCTCTCCACTCGTGTAGCAAAGATCAACTTAGAGGCCCCCTACACAAGTCTGTCTGGGAGACGTGCCTCACAGGACGGTGTTGTAGCCACTGGCGTCACCTTGCAGGACGGGTCTGTCATTGCAGCAAGGAAGGAGGTAATCCTCTCAGCTGGATCGCTTCAAAGCCCGGGAATTCTGGAGCTCTCCGGTATCGGACAGAAAGACGTGCTTGACGCAGTGGGTATTGGGCAACTCGTTGACCTTCCCGGTGTTGGCGAGAACTTACAAGGTCAGTACCGATTGTTTTGCATATTTCTCTCCTGAGTGAAGTCTACCAAACATGTGAGGCGTGTTGGCGCTCCCTGTCATCTTGAACAACTCGTCAACAGCAGGTTTTGCAACCTTAATCTCCCACATCTGGTACCCCAACTGCGAACGACTCTTTTGTATCATCACCTAAAGGGGATATCTACAAGCCAACATCTGAGTTGTTGAAGTTATTGTGGCACTATCCTGTTAACACTACATTTAGACCACGTTGGCTTGATAGTTTCGTATCAACTGAAACCTGGCTACAAGTCACTTGATATCTTCAAATATAACGCCACCTACGCAGCCGAGCAACTGACGCTTTGGGAGAACGGACAACCTTCTCGATATGACGACGGTCTTACCACCATTGCATTCCTGAACTGGAAGCAGCTATTGGGAGATGACACCGCACTAGTTGATCTGGCCGTTCAAGATTTCGGCAACTCTACGAACGTTATCGACCAAGCAAAGCTTTCATTTCTGTCGGATTATTCCGTGCCACAGATAGAGCTAACACTGAATGAAAAAACGAACACGGGGAGCTATCCTCCGCCGGATGATCCTCTGTATGGCTCTGATTTCGTCAACATTAACGGAATCGCGAGTAAGTAACTCTGCTATGATTTCGCTTCACCCGCAGTAGCTGATGGAGAGTCGGCCCGATTGTATTTGACTTGATTTCCTCCTACATGGTGCACCACGGTCAAATTGCCAACATCCTCTGGTGAAAATCTAGAGTGACTAACGGTCCGTTTCCCTAGTGCGGCCTTTGACCCGGGGCAGTGTGCACATTCAGTCGCCCAACATCAGCCAGAGCCCAGTAATAGATCCCCGGTACTTGTCCAACGCCTATGACCTGCAGAGTCTGGTTGAGGCAGCCAAGTTCGGGCGCAAGATGGCCCAGACCGAGCCCCTGGCAAGTCTGCTTGTCGGCGAGTACGCGCCAGGGCTTTCGGCGGTTCGCACCGACGAGGAGTGGGCCGCGTACGCGCGGAAAGCGATGCGCACCATATACCACTACTCTGGTACATGTGCTATGTTACCTAGGGAAGACGGTGGGGTTGTCGATCCGCGGCTAAGAGTCTGGGGAACGACAAATCTTAGAGTTGTCGATGCAGTATCGTATGTATAAGCCTCTCTTTTCCATCATTCCATATCCGTCCCAGAGTTTCGAAGCAATAAGAATAGATGCCGTGATGGCTTGCTAATGTTTCACAGATTCCAGTACTTGTGGCATCGCACACGCAGACCGTGACTTATGGGATCGCGGAGAGAGCCGCTGAGATTATCATTGAAGATTATCAAGGACTGTAGTGTATCAGTTCTTCTGGCAGGACCCTGGTGTTTGGATAACATGGCGTGAATGATCTCAAGTGTGTTGGTAAGGCAAATTACTGGGACCAGTCGAGACACACGAGGCAGCTGGTCAGCAGTCTATGTCCGAGGCCCCGCTCTATCTGCCGGTGCTCCGGCGTCCGTATCTGCAGTGCTCATAAGAATTTTGAGGCTCCACGAAATGTTTGCCCCGCTACCTGGCGCGTCCAGTGCTTCAACGAGGCTCTGAACTCCTCACCGGTTGTGATGCATGGTACAGGTTACGAGTCTGGGCACTCATCAATAATATGCAGTAGTAGTGCGGTGTCATGCGCCTAGTTCCCCGTCTCCTCCAATCAGTCTGCAGCTGCACACGAGGAGCTGAATCTTTGCCCCGACGAGCTGAGGTTCGGGCAACCAATTCGGCCCACGTCGGGCGATTCATCTGGCCCATGGGACCAGGATAATGTGAGGGTGTAGACTCTCATTGGTCACTGGTATTTGTGCGTCAGCAGACAAGAGCAGCAGAAGCAGGCAGCAGAAGCATATCTCTCAATTTTGCCAGAGCGCAACACTGCTGTCTGACAATGAGTACAACACCGGCCAAACACGCCCTATGCAGTGAATGAGCACTTGCGTGTGGTTCTTCTCCAACAGCTCCAGCCACACGATTCTGACAGTTCCTACGCCACTATAAGAACCGGCTGTTCCAGAACTCCTGTATTGATTGATTTCAAAGTTACTCTTGTTCTCCCAGACCTATTCAGAACCCTGTCATCACTCCCTTGCCAATGATGAGCGACTCTTCCGCACCTCCCAGTGGGACTCCTGCTAAAGGAAAATCACCACCGGCACCCCAGAAGGCTGTAGCAGACTTCTGGGCTGAATTCTCTATCGAACAGCCCGAAAGTGTTATTCGCATACTCCCACCTGCTGCCCACGTGAAATTGCTCCAAAAGGAGATTTCGAAGGGACCCACACGTGGAAATGTCAAGACATCTGTGGGCTATGAAGCCGCGAGAGATGAATGTAGGAAAAAGGTTAAACGTGTCGCGAATGAGTGCAGGTAAGAATAGGCCACAGGGGGGGAAGTCTTAAGCATGGAACTATTCCCATGTTTAGTGACTCGACTTTCCGGTGAATGAATAGGGGCTCAGAGCTGACAAGTGCTGTTCGTTGTAGGCGAATGAACGAGAAATGGTCAGACCCAGAGTTCAACCTTGAGTCAGACCGAGACAACTGCCTGGAGGGATTGGTCGACGATGATGCTTCTGAAGGGCCCAACATTGATGCGCTCGACTTAAAGCACGCGTTGGGAGTCCTCAGCTCAGTCCCGAATCTTATCAATCCACTCGGGACAATGTCGTTGCCAGCTCTCGGCAAAGTGCTCGAACGGGAGCTTCCGCCGCCCAAATCGTACCCGGAATCTGTGCACAGGGTTGTGAGTACATTCCTGCCTCTGAAACGATCCAAATATCATATCTCCTCTGAGGAGTTGGCTTGAGACACACGGGACCGTTGCCAAAGAGTGTTTCAGTATTCTGTTCTAAAATCGCTAACTCGCACTGCGTAAAGGATTTCATATTCGAAAAGCCTCAGTTCACCATTGACGGCTTCGGGACTTCTGATGCACAACAAGGATGCCTGGGCGATTGTTGGTGGGTGGCGTCTGCTGCTGCCTTGTGCAATGTGTGAGTAGCGTCGGACCCAAAGAGGCCGGGCAGATTTGGTGACTGACAGCTCTATAAGTGACGGCCACATGGACAAGATCTGCGTGGCTCGCGACGAAGAATGCGGCGTGTATGGCTTCGTCTTCTTCCGAGACGGCGAATGGATTTCCACGATTGTGGATGACAATCTGTGTCTCATCGAGTCGGACTTCAACGCATATTCCTCCGTATACGATCCTAGCGGGAAAAAGGCGAAGAAGTGGAAGGATCACAGGCAGACCGGATCCGAGGCACTCTTTTATGCGAAGTGTGAGGATTCGAACGAGACATGGTTGCCATTGCTTGAGAAAGCATACGCAAAGGTCCACGGAGACTATGAGTCGATCGAAGGGGGATGGCCCGGCGAGGGGGTTGAGGACTTGTCTGGTGGAATTGCAACAACCAGTGAGTGGCGCAATGCAACAATAGTGTCTTTTCCTTTGGATCTTGGCCCCCTCCGAGAGCAATCTTCATATTCTCTGAAGGCGATGAAACTTTGCTAACTGTTTGAAGTCAATTTGAACAGGATCTTGAGCAAGGAGAAGCTGTGGCAAGAGCTCCTGAGGGCAAACAAAGATTTCATCTTCACGATCGCGACGCCTGGCGCGCAGGGAGGGGACTCCGATGCACGGAATGGCTTGACTAGCCAACACGCCTACACCGTCCTTGAAGCGGTCGAGCACCAAGATGAGAATGGGAAGAGTGTCAGATTCGTTCGCATCAGGTACGGTCATTCATTCCTGCGCACTATTCTTTGGTTGAAAGCCAGCACGATCACATTTGTATTTCAACGCGTCACACACCGAATGCTAATCCCAGAACAGAAACCCTTGGGGTGTTAGAGATTACAGGGGAAAGGGTGAATGGGACGGCGCTTGGAGCGATGGCTCTAAGGAGTGGACTCAATACTGGATGGAAAAGCTCAAGCACAAGTTCGGTGACGATGGCGTCTTCTGGATTTCCTTCGAGGACATGCTGAAGCGATTCGACTTGCTTGATCGGGTACGCCTGTTCAATGGAGACGATTGGTACAATTCGCAGGTGTGGACCAGTGTCAATGTCCCATGGATGGCCACATACCTTGACGATTTCAAGTTTGTTGTCGACATTACGCAGCCCGGTGTCTTCGTCTTCGCTCTGTCGCAGGTGAGTCTCATATGCCACTTCTTTCCAAACTCCTGTAATAATCACATTTCTAATGAAACGTGGGGAAACCAGCTTGATGAGCGCTACTACAAAGGTCTGGAGGGGCAGTATACTTTTGACCTTCACTTCCTCCTCCGGGAGTCCGGATCCGACGATCACATTGCGCTTGCCGGCACAGAACTCCGCTCACGATCCATTAGCGCCGAGGTTGAACTTGAGCCTGGGAGGTACGAGTTGATTCCCAAGCTTGTGGCCTACAGGCACAAGGACAACAGTCTGGTCGAAGAAGCGGTCAAGAAGGCTGCGGGATCAAACCCCTGGAAGCTCCAGCAGATCGGGTTGAATTACGACAGAGCGCACCTAAAGGCTTCTCAGTGGAAATCTAGCTCGGGAACTGCCAAAGATGAGAAGTCGATACCTATTCGCGAGTCCAAGGCTCCGGAGCAAGTTACAAAGATTCAAGTGGTGGTGAAGCAAGCATCATCAACAGTGCCGCCCTCTACTGAGGGGAACGCTGCCGCGGAGAGTACTGATCCAGCCACGGTTCAACCTGACACCAAGACAAAAGATGAAGCCAAGCAAGAACAACAACCCAGCTCGATAACTGAGGAATCAAGTTCCACCGGAAGAGGTAAGCAACTACTTGATCTGGCTGCAGGTCCTGGAGGCGAGGGTGATAAGGATCCGGATCCCGTTGAGAAGAAACCCAAAGACGAAGAGAAGGAAGATGATGACAAAGCCGAGGCCGGTCCGTGGAACGCCGTTTGTGTGATTGGCCTGAGGGTTTTCTCGAAGGATGCCAATCTTGGACTCCATCTTGAGGAGTCCTAGTCCCACTACTCAGGTGCGGAGAGTTGTGGTATTATTCTCGCCAGCGCCCCAGCACCAGTCCATACAGTATCCTACACTCCAGTCCACTCCATTTCATTACTATTAAATTTCTGCTCCATGGCTTCCGAGTGATCCAAACTCTTCCCTTCGTGAATACCATGCCGCAGTTTCTCTTTTCCCCTTCAGCCGCGTTGCGGTTATGAAGCTGGAGGCGGTATTCCCTGGCATGCTCGACCACAAATACACATCGCGGTCCCCAGGTGTGTGATGGTCGCGATGTTCCAAACGCGTTCTCGATGCGTTGTTGCTTAACAGGCGGCTGGTCTGTACTCTCTATCGCGGCTGCGGAAGAACATCGTTTGTGCATGTCCATGTGGATAGTTCTGCTCTCAACGTGCTGCTCTGACTGTGGTAGTTTTGCAGTGCTTTCCTGGTGGAGTTTTCCCTCTTCTGTGACTGCGAGCTAATATGAAAGAACGGCTGCTCTGGCTGAACCCGAAACCGACGAGACTCAGTGGATCGTGCCAGCTCGTCGCATATGAGGCCAGCTAAATATCAGACGGGCTGCCTACGTGTGCCGGGCTCGGGCCCGCCGGGTCAAACGAGACTCCGTGCAACATGTCGACCCACTCCCGAAAAGTCTATGATATGGGATGATCGAGACCTAGAATCCTGCCAGAATTACATTCGGCAATATTGCCTTAATAAGTGCATTTTTCAAAATGTCTTTGTAATACAGAAGTCAAGTCCATCGGAATCTCGCCACTTATGGTGAAGAGCATCTCGTCGATAAGTGGCTCATTTTCCACAAGACACAACTTCTATTATCTAGAAATACACACCACAGACAGTAATAGCTGTCGAGAAACGTTTCATAAACACATCGCTTCAAATTCATCAGAGTCAAAACCACAGCTCAGCATCTTTCAACCATGTAGCCCTCTCACGAACACAGTCACATCCCAAGAATCCCTGGACCGGAACTCACAGAATGCATTGATACTGATCCCCCTACCAAGGCCCAACACCATAAGCCCCAACAACCCTCCCCTCCTCCCCATCCCTCTCCCCAACGACACAGCCCACAAGGACCTTCGCCCCCTCCTCAGGGCCCTGAATCCCCCTCGACCTCGCCAGCTCAGCCTTGCCCTCCCCCATGAAGTCCGTCGCGTTCGCCCCGGGGTCCGCGCTCCACACCCGCACCTTGGTGCCAACACCAACCCCATCGACGGCAACCCTCGGCTCCGCCCCGTACCGCTTCCAGTACTCGAGCATAAGCATGTTCAGCGCCGCCTTGCTGACCCGGTACTCGAGCGGGCTCGTCCCCAGCACGGAGCGGTAGTACCGCGAGGAAGGGTCAGCAGCCCCCGTTAGGGAGCCCATCGAGCTGGACACGAACACCAGGCGCGGGTCTGCCCCCGCTGCCTTCGGCGCCAGGAGCAGGGGCAGGAACGCCTCCGTCACGGCCGCGGCGCCGAGCACGTTGACCTCGAGGTCCGCCCTGAGCGCCGCGGCCACCCCTGCCGGGTCCTGCGACAGCGTGCCGGCGTTGTTGACCAGCGCGTCGAGGCGCCCGTGGCCAGTCCTGACCTTTCCCGCCGCCGCGGCGATCGAGGACGCGTCCGTGACGTCCAGCTGGATCGCCTCCGCGGAGCCGCCGGTGCCGGCGCCGATGGCGTTGATGGCGGCCGCGGCTGTCTCGCCCTTTGCGAGGTCGCGGCTGCCCACCAGGACGTGGTAGGCCTCCCCGTTGGGCCCGCGGCGGGACGTCGCCAGGGCCTTGGCTGCTTCGAAACCTAGGCCTTGGTTTGCGCCTGTTGTATAGGAATGTAAGTTAGAGTGGTGCGGAGAGCCACAATGCTATCTTGTGTTGTTCACTTACCTGTTATCAGACAGATGAGCTTCGCGGTGGAGGTGGCCATGGTGTATATCACGTCCTGGACTTTCGGGCTGGCAGTAAATTCTCTTTGACTTCGAGGTGGTAGGGTACTAAATTGGAAATACCTGCAGCTTCCTAAAAGCTTGTCCGTTCGAAAGCAAGGAACATCGATCCCAATGTGAAGAGCGATGGCATATAAGTGTAAGTCGACCCAGGAGCTAGGCGGACTTAGCACTAATCGCCGGCAATGGGCACTACACACCTACGAAAGGATCGATCCTAAGTAAGATCGGTTAACTCCCAGGGTGATGAGAGCTTCTTCATTCCCGATCTCCTAGTCCATCATCGGCCTTTACCAGTGGTTAATGGGGCTTACTTTGGCATCTCCTGAGCAGCTTGTTGGTATCTCCGAAGTTGCTGACGGGCTTATGGCGACGCGGATGTCTCCAAAATACCACCGCCCACATCCCAGACAGATACCTAAGACCAAAATTGGAAGCTCACATGGTCCGAAATAGAATGCCGGACTGCGAAATTGGTATGAGATCCGGGGATGCTCACCTTGTGAGTGATCATGGGGTCTGTGCCAACGTTTTGTGATACAACGCTGCAAGAGTCCTGCCCGGTCCTGCTTTATGTATGGCTGGATAGTATGATTGGATTGAATCACTTATGCGGGAACACATCTAGAACATTCTCAGGTAGAGACAAGAAGGTTGTTCAGACAAGTCGATTCTATCAGACTCGCCATGCACTTCTATTCTCCCAGGCGAGCGACGCACAGCAGTCGCGCCGATGCTTCTCCCCACACGCCAGCCAGCAATGGGCTTATGCACGCACAGAAGGGTGCCAACAAAACAAAACAAAAGGGGGTATTTCCATGACAGGTCCCAAGTCCCACCCAAACAAAACAAATGAACAAAGCCAACTTGCCCGAGAAGGGATCCCTCCCGAGTCAAAACAAGGCAAAAAGCAAGTGGTATCTTCGTGGCCGTGACACATTTGACCATGCTCGGTGAATGACGCTCAACACCTTCCCGCTCAAAAACAAAACACCATTTTGTCCATGAGAAGCAATCCGGGCCGAAAACAGAGGCCCTTCCTGATGCCTTTCCGGGTGTGTCCCACCCTACTTATCTCCTTTCCCAGGCCGATACCCCATCCGGCCCTCACGTGGGCTTCCTGAACAGCCGTTTAGTCCCTCCTACCCTGCCCAATTCGCCGAATTTGCCGTTTCCGTTGCCCTGGTCCCTTGGTGGTGCAGCCGAGCCGCCACTAACGGCCCGCACCTTCTCCTTGATGCTTTCGACCCAGTCCAGACTCTCCTGGGGAATGTCTTTCCTCATACCCCTGGGCCCCGCCATGCCAAGCGAGCTGTCCTCCTCGTCCCAGCTAAGACGCGAGCTCGATCGCGAGCGGCCGGTGCTTCCTGACCCCGAGGAAGGCGGCTCCGAGGCACGTTGGCTGCCATATGCAAGAGGTGTTGCAGGCAGTCTTGGGCCCAGGAGGTCTTCGCCCCCGCTGGGCTGTCGCTTCTTTTTGACGTAGATAGGACTGGTTGAGTCTAGGGCCGAGCCGGGGCGGCTAGGAGGGCTGGGGCGAATGGAGGGGCTGGCGGATGGCCGTCGAGTGCTGAGGGCGCTGGTGGATCGAGGAATGTCCTTCACCTCCACCTTGCTTTCGCTACCTCGGTTAGACCGTCGACCGTGGTGGATCGCATATTCCTTGAGGTTCTCCCAGGTCGGCCCAGCCGCCTCCTACACGAACCATAACTCTTTCGCCGTTCTCGCCAACACAGCGAATGAAAAGCTTGATGGGAGCCTCCCCAGTCGCTCTGGACAGATGATACAGTTTGATGTCTTGGTTACCCCGCTGATGGCGTGGTCGAGGAGCCGGGGCAAGCATGAACGATGGTGTGCTGGCTCGAGATGACATGCTAGCCCGAGAGGACATGCTGGATTTGCTGCGAACAGTCCTATCTGCCGTAGGTCTCGGCTTGGAGTATGGCAGCTGTAGATCGGGAGGGTTGAGGTGGTTGATGGTTGGGCGGGAGGAAAGCTGAATTTTGGCCGGAATGTTTTCCAAGATCTGGCTGATCTGCTTACGCATGTGATCATCCTCGCCATTTGCCTGGCTGAGGACAATAGGACTTCCGAGCTCCTCTGCGTTACTGTTAAAGGAAGAGCCCAACGAGTTGTCCTCTGAGCTCTCCTCGTCCTCTGGATACTCAAGAACTGGCGGCATGTCTCCCACCGGCATCGATGTCGATCGTGTTTCCCTCGGCGGAGTATGTGGAGAAGTGCGGCTGCTGTTCACTGGTAAAGGGTCCGGAGTCATTGATGGGTCTCGAGGTTGTGCGCGAACGACGGTCGAAGCATCTGACACAGCGGTACCTGGCCGGTGGTTCTCGGAGCCGGGCGCGTGAGCGCCAGTGTCCAACGACAGGTGGTCAGCGTCCAGGTCGTCGATGCTTAATGCTGACTCGTCAGCCGCAGGACTGGTGGTGCTTCGCGTCGATCCTCGGTCATTGGTGATAGAATTGACCGGAGACCTGCTTAATGCATCATAGTTTTCCACGCTAGGCCTCGGCCGATCAGGGTCGTCAAGGCCATCGTCTCCGAAATCTTGAGACTCAGACCCATCGGGATGGTCAACACGGATAATCGGCCCTGGCGTAGCAGGCTCCTCGGGCTCGGCGTCTGTTGCTGCATTTTCAGCTCTATCGGCTTCCGCCTGCTTCTGCAAAGCGGCCATTTCATCGTCTCGGAGCCTTTTCTCGTACGCGGCAGTCCATTCCGCGCATTCGCGCTCGACGGCCTCCATGCGGTCAAGCCATTCGTCCGGCAGGGTGTCATCCCGGCCCTCGAGATTGTCGAGCATGTAGTCGAGTGAGCGCGCAGCTATCGCAACTTTCTTCTCTAATGACAGCTTCGTGACTTCGTAATTGTGCTGTGAGGGCTTCTCTGCCTCAGGGCTCTGCTCTGGAAGTGGTTCTTGTGCATGAGACTTTGATCCCTGCTCAATGGTGGCCCAGGCTGATTTGAGCGCAGTCTCAGCATTAGCAAGAAAAGATATCCACAAAGGAACGCGTCGAAGAACCGTCAAGCGAGCGCTCCACGCGTTCATGAGTCTTAACAGCCTGGAAAGATTCGGCAACGCCTGCACAACCGTCGCTGTGATCACGGCTGTCAAGTCGTCCATTTTCACATAAGAGGAAAGTGAGGGCATTCCGAAGTGGCGATCGAAGCTAGGGCTTGCCGGAGTTCCTGGTCTCGAGAGCGGCATGATGTGGTTGTGCAGCACATGCCTCTTGATGTCCTCGATTTCCAGCTTGTCTAGCTCTTGCTGTATCTCAGTAATACGCGTTTCGTACCGCGTCATCTCTGATTCCAGCAGGCTTCCGTTGTACACCTGCTTTGACGTCGCGGCTCCGTCTTCCGAGGCGAGATCGACAGTCGAGCCGGCTCTGCCGCGCGACTGAAGCTCGCCCTGTGTGGAACTCGGCGCCTGGAAGCCGAGGCCCCCCTCGGTGGGCCAGGGCCAGTCTCGCAGCTCATCAAGCCATTCGTAAATATTTTTTGAGGCCACGGCGGCCCGCAGCGCAAAGCTCTGTTCACTGGGTGTCGCCGCGTCCATGCAGGACTTCAGCGGGCCGCTAGGCGCGCGCAAAGTGTCGATCGCGTTCATGGGGGAAAGGCGGGTTATGAGGTCGTCGGAGTTTTGGCGCTGGTGCTTGGGAGACTGAGGCGTTGAGTGATACTGTCGACTCAACGGCAGCAGGCGGCCCCCCGGCGGAGGATATATCGAAGGTTCGGTCATGTTTTGGGTCTCGTCAGAGGGTGTGGTTAATGGTGTGGTCGTTGCAGTGGTCGGTCACAGGAGACATGGCCCTGTGTCGAGGTGCTCCAGCTTTTATGACCCGGTAAATAAAGGATTGACAGCGAAAGGCCGAGTAAAGCCCATAGTTGAAGCTCAAAGGAGTGTTTGAGAGAGGCCAACAGAACCTGTTGGTGAGCTGAAGGGCCGTTGCCTGTTCCAGCTTGCTGTCAGAATGTGCGGCTCGGCCTGTTTTGGTCGTCCACAAGGCAGGCGGTGGATGGCGCGCAGTGGATGACAGAAGGATGACCGGGCGGCTCGGGGGCCAGGGGCGAGACCGACGGCGGAGACGGACGGACAGTTGCAGGAGCTGCTGCGGCCACACGGAGCAAAGCACGGCGAGAGTCGGTTCGTTGTACAGCGGGGCAAGATGAGGGTTCGGCCGTGGTGGTTGATAGGGTCGTGAGGCACGAGAGGCCGCAGGGTCTGGAAGCTGGATGCAGGGGGATGGGCCAGAGTCCGGTAGAGAGAGGGGCGTGTGGATGTTGGACGTAATACCATGCAATGCGATGCGATGCGATGCAGATGCAGATGCAGTCGGTGCAAGCAGTCAGCGATGAAGTGGCTTGCTTGGGCCTTTGGGCGTGTTGTTTGTGAAAACAGGGCGGTCCAAGGGAGAGATGAGGGCCAGTAGGTCCAGAGATGAGGTGTTCTGCTTGACGAACAATGCCAGGCAGGAGAGTGAGTGGGGGCTGGTCGGTCTGGATGTGAGACACGGGCGCAGATCAGAAACGAGCGGCAACCAGCTGAAGGTGTGTTGTAAGACACGCGTGAGAGGAGAAAGGAGCGACTGCAGCGACTGGATGAGTGGCAGACAGACAGGTCAAGAGAGACAAGAGAGGGCTGAGAGGTGGGCGATGTGCAAGATGATTCGTCTCTGGCGGCGATGCGGGATTCGCGCCCATCCCGGTAGAATTATGCAAGCCCACGCCCGGCTCTCTCCCCAGCTCCCCCTGCCAGCAGCTGCCAGCTGCCAGCGCAAAGCAAGCAGGCAAGCTCCATAGAGAGAGAGAGAACACGCGGGCGGGCTGGCAGGGCAGGGCAGGGCAGGGAAGGTCAGGCCCAGAAGTCGCGACGGGGTGGGCTTTCTGGAACAGGCAAGCTCAAGCAGCAGGGGAAGGCGCCGTGCAGGGATGGCACGTGTCACCATTGCGACCTCGCGACCTGGACGCGGATCCACCTGGTGGCTCGCCTCAGTGCCGTTTATTGAATGAGCGGGCCACAGTGGGAGATTTGATGGACCCTGAAATGGTAGTCGTTATTAAAAATAAGTACGCCTTGCCGAGGTGACCGACACCACGGCTATCTGCGCACAATAATTGTGTATCTCACACAAAATAAGTCGACCCTCAGCTGTGTCCACGATGCCTCTCATCACCCACCATCGACGACGATGACATACGTGGAGGGAGGCTGGGTCATGTCACCATGACGGTGTATTGGTGGCTCGGCCGACGTGCCCGTTGCGCTCATTCATGCAGGACACACTGTGGGATGATGCAGCCTGGACCGTGCACAGCGTCGCCTGGCCGAGTGAGAGGGCCGGGAAAGTAAGCTATGAGTGGGTACGCCCCGCGGGTGCCTTGGCTCGCCTCGCCTGCTCATCAGTCAGGCACCGTACCTGAAGCAGTGGGGTTGGGAGGGCCAGCGCACACGATCAGAGGCAAATTGGAGGCGGCCGGATCCAGAGGTGGTCGGGTGAGTGGGCCAGCACACTACGGTCAAACGGTGTCATGAGCAACAGAGAGAAGGAAAGGGTGCCCACTTGTTCCCAAACACGCCCTCCGGGACGCAATTAGCAACATAACCACGCGAGAGAACACGAACAAACGGTAGACAGAGACAGATTGGGAGGTAGCCTCCCCGGCTGTGCACCCACGCAACCCGGATCGTCGACTCATAATCAAGCGAACCACCAGAGCAGTACCCTGACAACCCGCACCGGGCAATGTCATGGGCATGGCTTTTCCGATCAGATCGAGACCCACTTTCATGGGAGGCCGTTTCGGCACACATCGCTGCACCGCTTTCTGCCCGATCAAACTGTCACGCTGAACGTGTGCACTCAAGTCAAACAAAGTTTTGGTTTGGGGCTGGTGTACAGTAGTAGTCTTGTATGATGAGGTATCTTTGTTTTGTTTCTCGACTAATCAATCATATATCCTCCAAATATCTGCCGGAATGCGCTCGCGCACAGCTATCTTTGCTGATTCTTCTCTGCGTCCCTGTCTATAATAGGCCCAAAATATATGTGGCCCCTGTCATATAGCAGTCATGCTTCTGCTTCTGGGGATCAAATCGATCCTCATGTAGATAACGTGTCACGTCTCTCTTATGCGCTCCCCCGCCCTCCAGTCTAAGGGGACAATTGGCCTGAACGGCTCGGTCGCCGGCGGAATCTCACCATTCTCTGTTGAAGAGGAGGTTGCTGATCCTGTGGCGTGTCTTCGCTGCAATGACTTGACACGGCATCGCGCGTGCTCTATCCTCCAGGCCGAGCCTTTCTGGGCTGAGCTTTGTCGTTTCCGTCTCCGCGAAGAAACAGCGACTGCCATGGACCATGTCCACGTAAAGCCATCGTCGTCGTTGTCGTCACTAGGGACTAGCCCGGAGTGCAGTCTGAGTATAGACTTGCAGCGCGGACTGTGCGCAGCGGCAGCTGGCCCAATGGGCCCTGTAGAACTGCCATCAACAAGCTCTAAACGTCCCGTTCAAGTCTGTGTAAACATATCCGGAAGACTCGTGTCGAACGCCGCGCCAGTGTCAAACAGCCCCATGTTGAAGTTATCCGTGTTATTCATACCCTCGGCTGGGAACTGCAGCCACTGGTCAAAGTCGAGGTTCAGGCTGTTCATGCCGGGGCCGGCGCCGCCGACGTTCGACCAGTCCATTGCACTGATGTCAGTCATCTCCACGTCAGCGTGTGCGTGCTCAGATCCGCTCGACGGCGTCAACCCGCTTGGCTCCGAGTGCGGCGGCGAGTCGCCCATGATGACTGACTGCGGCGGTAGCTGCTGCGGTAGTCCGTCGATGGTCGGCGACGTCGACGCCGCTGCCGCAAGGAACGCGAACTTGGATGCCTCCATCTCCGCGGCCGTGACCACGGGGCCAGTCTGATCCGGCGGCGGCGTGGCTGGGCGCGCGAATGGTGTGGCGACGCTGATCTCACCCGACGACACCGTTGTCGCAGCGTTGGCAGCTGCGGCCGCCACGGCGCCGTTCAGCTCGATGGCCGCCTTCTTGAGCGCCTGCTCCAGGAACCCGGCCGCAAAATCCGCTGCCGCGTAGATGTCGCGCAGCTTCACCATGACCTCCATACACTGGGCGAAGCCCCTCTGGGCGTCCTCACGCCGCTCACGGTCATGGTGCTTGTACTCAACCAGATGGATAATCATGGCTGGCAGCACGACCGTCACGCCCGTGGTCGGCAGGTACTTGTCCAGGTGGTACTTGTGCATCTCGGCAGCCATGCGCGTGATCTGTGTCGCCGCGTTCTTGACCTTTGCGCGCGAGTTCTCCTGGACGGCCCGGGACGCCTGCGGCGGCTGCAGGGGCCCCGTCGGCAGGAACAGCGGGCGGTGAAGCGCGGAGGTTGTCGTCTGGTATACCATGTGCAGGAGGTTGCGTTGCACCGCAATGGTGGACCGCCCGCCTTCGACGTCTGCCCGCACCAGCGGCCGGTACTGGCACGACGGTGGGAGCGCAGTGGACCAGGCAGCGAGCTCTCTGTCGACCTGCTGCACAGACTCCAGGTTGTCAAGCGATTTGTTCGGGAAGAGCATCATGGTGGTGTTGGTGCGTTCGGGCTGAAGCCGGTCACGGATGAGAACCGAGTACTGAGCCTTGAGCATGTGGCTAATGAGCACACAGAGCTTGGCCTTCTGGACGCACATCTCGGCAAGTTCTCGCTGCATGTCTGTATTACGTATCAAGGTACACTCAGGCGGCAGGAGTTTGTTGTCGTCGGGCAGAGTCTCGATTTCGAAGTCACTCTCCGTGAGCATGGGCACGTCGAAGTCCTCATCCTTTATCCTGGTGGGACGGCGCATGCCAAGTGCGATGAGGCGGTCACGCATGAAACACGACCACCACATTCTCTTCCACAGCTTCTGCTTGCGCACGGGCATGGTGCCGTTGTCCGGGTTCCGGTGAAGCCCAATTGTGTGGGCCAGCGAGATGGCGACGCCCATCCAGTGCCAGGTGTCCTTCTGGTCGTCGGGGGTCTCGTACCAGTACGTCATGAGAAGCAGCGCCTGGACGAGGACAAGCCTGTCGGAGTCGTAGTCGAAGTCATAGAGAAGCTACATCAGGGGTCAGCACCAGTCATCACAGCCCAGATATCGTGGCACGAGCGAGGCAAGGCAGAGAGACTCACCCTGGCCCTCTGGAAGAATATCTTCCGGGCAGCCTTCCGGTTGGGGTACCCATGCTCGGCCAAGGCCTTCCTCTTGACGAAAGCCGACCCTGCAAACAGGACGGCGTGGTACAGGAGCAGGCTAATCTGGCCACCCTGGCCGTCGCCGGCGTTTATCACATTCAGGAAGTCGTAGAGCTCTAGGAGAGGCATGTAGGGGTGGACATATTCGACGTAGGCCTGCAGAAGAGCGTTCTGCAGCGGACGGTCGGGTATGCTCAGGGCGCCCTTGCGCTGGAGGTAGCTGATCTCGTCCTGGCCGATCCTGTCGGGCAATGGCTTGACCCAGGGCGGCAGGAGCGACAGAGGGTCGACCTCATTGGGCTCATCCAGGTAGCTCAAGCGGTTGCCAAAGAGCTGCACGGGGTTCCAGGGGATCTGGCTGGGGTTCGCGTTTGGGCCGAAGCCAGGCCTCTGGACTGTTTCGGTGTAAGCTTATGGGCATTGCGAAGGGTCTCGTGGACAGAAAATCATGTTGTGGTCTGTGTATGCGTGTGCTTGGCATTTGCATGTGAAGATGACGGACAGGACTGTGCAGGTTGGCTGGGTGGGGGCAAGCTTGGGGGAAGGTGCGACCAAGGCAAGGCTAGCGTGGGCAGGTGGGATGTGATCAGACACCAACGGGTGAGTGGGTAAGTGAGTAAGTGAGAGAATGATTTGAGTGAGCAACGCACACACACACACCAAAGACTTACAGAGCAGTGGCGGAACCTGGCCGTCGACACTCCCAAACATGCCCCCGACACTCTCGAGGCCAGGCATTGAGGCTGCAGAGACATTACTCGGCCTCCTGAGATCTGCACTGGCGATGTTGATCGGACCAGCAGCGCCGTTTGCGCTCCCTCCTTGCAAGTGCTGCAGGGCCTCGGCACCAGGCATTGCGCCCACCGAAGCCCCTGTCGAGCTCGCCGTTGCGTTGAAGAGTTTCTTCCTGCAGGCACACGCTCAGTTAGCATGGTCCCGTGTCAAGCCATCTCATCTTGCAGCTCCCAAACCTGTCAAGAATGCAACCCTGAGACATTTTTTTCCTTCGACTTCCTCATCCTCTCACCCTTCCCCGGAGCTTCCATGTGACCACAATTTCACATGTGAATATGACGCACCCCCAGCTGCTGCCATATTCTTCTCGCTCAGGGAAAAGTCAAGGGGGGGAAATAATACAGAGTGCCACAGCATGTGCTAGAATGGGCAGTTTGTACTTTGGGAGGTGCAAGAAATGCTGCGCGCGCGAGAAAGGGGTTGTCACTCACTTCCGCCGGCGGCTCTCGTGGACAATGCAGTCGACATTGTCCCAGCGGCAGTTCCCGCAGGGGAACTGCTCGACCACGTCGCATCGCACCTTGCGTGCCCTGCAGGACGCACACGCCCGCGGCGCCCGCCGCTTGGTGACCTTGTTGGCCTTGTCGGCCTTGTCGTTCGTATCCGCCGTCGAGCCCGTCCGCTTCTTGGCCTGCGCGTCCGCCGTGGACGAAATGGAGGGCTTCTTCGCGTTTGCCGTGGTCTCGTTCACGTCCGCCAGGTTGTCTGCCGGCCCGTCTCCCGGCGTCGAGACCGACTCGGAGCGGGAGTGGAACCCGGCCTCGCTGTTCGCCATTGTGTATGGTGGTTTTTTTTTTTTGTCGTCGAGTAGGGCACCTTTTACAAGTGCATCGGTTCGCAGAAGTGGTGGCCTATAGTAGGGTCCGCAATTCGTATGTACAAAGAAGTCCCAGTAGCGAGTGGTCTCGGACCTCTTTCTAATTGTCTTCTTCTTTTTCTTTCTCAGTGTGTAGACCGCACGGGCTGGTGTTGATGAGCAAGTCGACTCGTGTGGTTGATGCCAGGGTCCCTCTTAGCCAGCATTGAAGCGTCTTTGTTCAGCCTCGGAGCCGATGACGACGGTATAAGCATTGGTGGGAAGGCGGGGCGGGCCACGGACAACCAAAGGCAGGATGTGAAGCAATCGAGAACGAGGAAGAGATTGGTCGCGCACGATGCGCGGGAGGAGTCGCCCTTGTTATTATAATTTCGAGCCCAAACCCGGGATCGTTCTTCTCGTAACTCTCGTTGGACTTGGCCCGTCGCCAAAGTATCGGTACATTGGTCCACCCCTGCACGTCTAAGCTGCCCGGTAGTGTACGTACCAATCTACGCTACGTACAGCATTGCACAGTAAACTGTTGCAGCTCCGCCTGTCCGCTCGTCCAGCGGAGAGTGCCCGAATATTTTTTTGTCTTTTTTGGTCCTCTTGGTGCCATGCGCTCGCTCACTTGACCCTTTCGCCCATCCATCCCTCTCAATGCAGGTCGACCGACTGGGCTGTCATGCTGTGCGGCAAGGGCAGAGAGAGAGAGAGAGAGAGAAGGTTGCGAGTTGGATCTTGCCGCGTGGATCTACCGCGACTCTCCCTCAGGGTTCTTATTCGATTCCGGGCACGGCGCCCTGATCACATTCCACGGAATCTGGTTGCTATTACGAAGCCGGTGGGCTGCGGGAAGCGGGCTTCTGGACGGACCCATCTCCTCTTCCCCACGGGCGACGGAGCCCACACACATACGGCCACGACCAGCCTGCAAGCCTGCGGGTGGGGGCCCTCGTCGTGGCCAAGACAATGGGGTTGTGGGGAGGCGCGAGCCCACCTGTTTGAGGCCAGTATTCCAAAAAACGCCCACAAAATTGCTCACCGAACAGGCTTTTGTTGCCGCTTCGTTGGTCTTCTGCCGGTGTCTACTCCCAGGAAATCTACTGTGGCATGCACAGTATGTATGTATCTGTCTTCACAGGCTTCAGAGCAAACTCGTGCTGCTCCTGCTCCACCCGCGTGCGTCCGTCCTTGACATGCTAAACTCTAGGCCGGCCAATGGTTCTTCCAAGAATTGGGATGGGCTAAGGATTTCCCACGATGTATTCGACTCGTCAGCTGTCTTGCGCCCTGAGAAATTGGACCCCATTGATGATGATGCTCTCCTGCCCTAGTCTCAAAGCATCTGGGTAGGGGCCTTGACTCGAGTCGACCCTAGCGCCTAGTCATCTAGTCAAGGTCCAGGTGTCGAAGTCAGCTGGCCGGGGCTGGGGCGTCCTGAGGCTTGACAGAACGGGTTGATTGGGCTTTGACTCGAAAAACAAGTGCATGGCGTCTGGCTTGTGATTGTGTCTGAGGGCTGTGCGCTGTGCGGCTCTCTGAGGTAAGACTCCAGCATGCATCGCTTCCCTCGCCTCGCTCGACGACACACCACGGCCGAGGACGAGTCTGCTGCTACCACACTGTAGCTTCGACATGACTGACCGACAATCCCGGCTTGTCAGCGAGCAATAAGGCGCGCGGGTCTCGAGTCGGCAGGTGACGTTGCGCTTGACTTCATCACTGACGACACAGCAGCGACAATGCAGCGCAGAGGCCCATCAAACTTCACAGCTAGAGGGAGCGTGAACAATGCGTGTATGTGCAGTACAGGTACATGGCAGGTTTGCCTACTTGTAATCGCTCTTGACGGGGTCCCAAGACGCGGGGCCGAAGGGGCGCCCAAGGATCGCCGTCAAAATGAAGTCAAGGGTCGATCTGAAATCCACGAAAAAGTTCCAATAAGAAGCTTCCGCCTCCAAAACCACAACGTCGCATCTCGTCGCATTCCTGAACGGCGAGGATGCACCCCAATCCCGAAACGGCTGTCTGGTCCATGCAAGTCGGCAACTGTCGGGTTCTTGACGACCGCTCGACGCTCTGTCCTGGGTTGATTGATAGGCCACGGCTACAGTACCAATCGTAACAATGCTTATCCAGGACGGACACGACGACTTGTTCTCCTGGATCTACCTTTTCGCACGATCGTCGACGGCGCATTTCGCACGCTAGGCTTGAAACAGGGTTGACCGCACGCCAGGTTAGACGTGTTGTCTATTCAGGAAATGGGGACCGGCACTACCGAGCAGACCCATCGTGCGCCCGCTCTGTTGCATACCTTGTGGGCAATACTGTACAAGAAAATTCCCCTAGCAACAGGAGAGCCCCCATGTAGATGCTGTGAGATCCTCACCGCTGACATCTCCATCCTGCCCGTCCCCCCCCCCCCTTCGTGTGCACCGCCGACAATTGCCATTTCACGCTCACTGCAGTGACCAGCGCCTCGGGCCTGTCACGCGCTCACCAGTTGGTGTCTCTGGTGTGACCACATTTCGAGCCTCTTGGGAGCTGGTGGGTTTGCCAAGAGGCGTGCCCAGGTCCCAGCCACTTGGGACAAGGCGCTTCCAGAAACAAAAACTCTTGGGGATTCAATCTTCGAATTTCTGTTCCTCCTGCCCTGGCACGGCCGGGCCAGGCAGGAGGTCACGATACAAATGCACCAAGATAGTGACAATGCAATGCTGCTCCTCGCGTGCCGACCAGGTGGCTCAGCAAGCAAGAAGCTCAATCTGGCCTCTCTCTCGCGTCCTTCGGCCCTTTACATCTACCTCCTAAACGCCCAGCAGCTCCACTTTCCGCCCAGATCAAGTCGCATCACGATTACGCAAGCAGCGAGCGAGACGCGAGGGAATGAGCCGCAAGGTTGTCCGCTCCTTTTTTCCTTTACGCTGTCCGTGTTATCCATGGTGTTGCTGTATGGATGAGGCGTCTTCCGGATCCGAGATATATTCGTGCCCTCCAACCATCACATCGGACAAGCTTTCGAATCCTGGACAGGTTCGAGCCCGCTCGCCCGCCTTCCCCCAGCCTGTCCAGGTGAGCCCATCTCCCCCTCCGGCCACCAAAAACCCCTCCCCCAAACGAGTCTGCTCCACATCTCCGCAAAAAGGTCACCCGTAAACCCCAGGAATCGGGGGCGGGAGGGGAGGAGGGCCTATCTCCTTTGCTCCGTTGGACTTTCCCATTTTCCGGGGTCGCCCGACGGCGCCCTTCATTGGCCCCAGGGGGAAGGTGCCCAGGCACGAGAGTCGACCTCGAGTGGGTGGGTTGCAGCCACACCAAAAAACTTTCCCCCTTCGGAACTTGACCGAGCGTGTCGCGGCTACTACAGGCATTGTATGATGCTGGGTTACAGAATTTTCCCATATTGTTTTGACATGCCACATCTGATCATCTGCGCGGCGCGGGAGCGCTGCTGGGGGTCTGTCCAAGAGCGATCGCTGCTAAGTATCTTGACATCCTTCCTTACCCCGGATTTCTTTTCTGACACCTGCGGGTTGGAATCCGGGGGGGTCTGTCTGTCTGGGGAATAGGCTATTGGTCTCCCTCCCTGCTCCACAACTCCTCACGCGATGACAGCGTCGTCAGGCCACCCAGATCGACGACGGGGGGCTAGATCTTTCACACCCATGCTCGTGTGTTGTGTTTGGCCCTCATGTTTTCATCATCAGGCTGGTCCTGTGTGTCAAGGGTTCATCCCATTTGGGAATACCATCGCATGTTGACATGGGGTCACAGCTGCGTCCTAGAATGAGGTGGTCATCAACGTGCAGCCAGCAGCAAGTAGCCGAGTGCAGGCACGTTGTCCACGGTACTGTGCTGTCGCATTGGACTCTTTGTACCTGGGGCGCTGCATTCTATCCTCCCCTCTTCGGCATCGCCGGGGAATACCGCTGTGCTAAAGACCACCGTACCTTGATGGCAGCGACGGCGCCGAGGCTAGATTTCTTCGGCGGGGAGCGCACTAGCTTGGTCAGGCCGGCCGTCTCAGGAATCTCTTACTAGCCTACTCTCTGCCTCAGTGACGTTCGATACAGGAACATTCGCGCCGGTCAGAACTTTGGTCGCCTGTCCTATGGCTGGCCTTCCCGCTTGCTTTGTCCACCTTTCCCCTGGCGGCAGCTATCCTTGAGCCACGCGAACATAGCAATCCTGCCTCGCACGTCCGCTCTCTCACAGGCCGTGGGGGCCACCTCAGAGCCTGTCGGGGCTGCTTCCGCCTACCGCGCAGACGGATGATCCGCCGCGCCAAGTCTCAAACAGGCCGGCCGGGTCGGCGCTGGAGACAACTGCTGCTGGCCTCAAGCCGCCTAGCCGTTTCCGGAGCATCACTCACACCGAATTGGACGCAACTGGCTACCTAGGTGCGTAGTCAAAACACGAACGTGTTGGGTCCTGTTGGGAATAAGGGCTTTCAGCAAAGGCCTCAACAAGCTTGACACCTCGTGCTCCTGGACTTGGGCAGACAAGCCCATAGCTTGCAAGCTTCGAGCTCATGGTCACAGCTGATAGCTCCGGCCACAGACTGGCTTCCAAAATATCAATGACACCAACGAACAATGCTCACGGGCAGCGCTCGAGGTTTTTGGCCGCAAACGACAAAACCCATCTCGCACATGACCTAGCAGGGCGCGCGGACTGAGACAGCCGGCGTGGATCCACCATACTCTATGGAGACGGCCACCTCAAACTGACAGGATCAGCGGGATAGTCCGAGAGTGACAGGTAACAGCTAGCTCCATGTGTTCAAGCTGTTCGAGCTTGTCAGGTTCACGATCCTCTCTCAACCTCTAGATCTCGCTATGTCGCCGCCCGGAACCATCTCCCAACACGAACTTTGATTTGCCCCCAAACAACACAGATCGCTCCTGGCAACACAAAACCTCAGCCTTGGGCCAAGGATGGATGTTTGTATAACACAGGGGTATCCTGAATGCCCTGTCGTATATAGATGCTATGATCGTGTAGTTCGACCTCTGCCTCTGTGCGAAACCCAAGACATATCTTAGGCGCATTCTTACTCTGGACGTCCAAAGATGTACCCTTACTGACGTGAGGCCGCACAGTCACCTCGGGCTCGGTCTGATGGATCTGCATCGTGCAAGCAAGGAACATGACTTGCAGCTTTGCGAGGCCAGTGGCAACGTTCTGGACGTGTTGGGTTGCGTGGCCGCCCTGCGCTTCTTGATAGCGCTGCCTAGGCTGGCAATCAAGGTCGGTGCTGGGTAATGGCAGGCAGGACCGGGCCCGTGGCTTTCTTGGGCACACCGGGCGTCCCAAAAGAGATTGATGTTTACTGGCCGCTGCGCTACCGTGAAAATAGCTTCTTTCTGTTTGTCAAGTTTCAACAGTGTCAGATACTGTTAACCATTTTATGGCACCTGTTCTTGAGTTATACTGTATCGAGCTTACCTGGTCCTCTGCATCTTCGAGTGTGGCATGTGACTCCGACGCACACGGCGACAGTGAGTCAACATCGCGAAGGCGGGGTGGTCCTGCCATGGCATGACGAGGAGGTGTGTGTCCTGGAGGCTCGGGACCATAGCGTTCATGCTCAAATTCAGTACCAGTACCTCCATAGAGGTTTAGAGAGGGAGATGGTAAAGGAGCGACTGAGTGTTGGCTGGTGACTGAACGCGAGTGCATGGCAGATCTGCAGTATCGAAGAGCTCATAGAGGGCAGTGGGAAGGAAGGAGGTTCTAGGGACTGCCACTCAGCCTTTGTTGGGACTGCTCAAGTATGGTGGGCTTCGATATGCACGCACCCAACATTAATACAACACTCGTAGAAACACTTTGGCCATCTCCACTCAAGACTATGGACAAGCACAAATATCACAAAGTTAAACAGTACTGTGATTGCTCTGACGGGCGCCGGTGGGTGTCTCTGGTGCGTCTCTAGATGTCTCTCTGTGTCTTTCAGGGAGGTTGGGTAGTCGTGTCGTATGTCTGTGGCGGACAGTAATGCATTGAAGTGCAAGAAGGCCGACGGCAACGGCGGTGGGTATGGTTATGCTGGAGCCACACCATTGCCTTGAACGCTCAACATCGCAATGCCACGCCATATGAAAGCGTCCATGATATCAAGTTGTCGCGATATGTCTTTGAGACTACGAGCTACGGGGCATAAGAAACGCCTCTTGTGCCTTTTCACTGTATTTCTATCTATCTTGTGTCTGTTTCTCCTAAAGTATGGTTCCATGGAAGCCAAAATTGGTTGTCAAATGTCGGCATACACTTTACTTTCTCCGGCGGTCCTTGCCAATCAATACTATCCTCTGCCGAGTGAGGCTTCAACGCCGCCGTGACGGAGGTATATCCCCTCTCATCTTTGATCCGCTGACCCTTCTCCGTTGAATACTCCAGGTTGATATACGGCACCACGGCAATCCTCCCATAGCCATGCGCCCACAAGTCCTTGCAAAAGATCTCCGGCTCCCCATTATGGCACTCGCCCAATTCTGCCCGCGCCGCCCGAAACTCCACCTCCCGGGTTGCAATCGGCCAAGCAGGAAAGGCGACCGCGCCGTTCCAGCAAGCAAACACCTGTAGCGGCCGTTTGGCCTCGAAGCGCGCCTTGGATTGAGGATCGTTCCAGAACAGGTTCGTGGCCTTGGCGAAACTGCCGGTGCCGGGTGGGATCTCAAAAAACAAATCGCCGTTGATGCCGCGCGCAATATACGAGTCGTAAAACAAGGTCTCATCGCCGGCCCCGAAGATCCAGTCCATAGCACAGGTCATGTCGGCGGACAAGACTTTGCGCTGGTAGACGAGCTCGAGCAGGTCGTCCGGGCAGGCGGCGACGTCGTTGATGAAAAGGACCGTAGCGTCACGGTAGCGCTCTGGTTCGTCGACAAGGGGTCGCAAGGCCATGTTGCGCAACGTGGCGAGTCTGGCGAAGCGGGCGTCGGTGCTGGGGTCGATGTCGTCGACCGAGAGCACGAAATGGGTCCGGACCTTGAGGGATTTCAGGTGGGCCTCGAGGGCGGCCAGGACGTCGGCGGTGCCATCTGGGGAGTTGCCTTCTACGATGGATAAGGCACAATGTTCGGGGCCCAAGAAGTTGATTGCTGCTACCACGCTGCTGAGGAGGGTGGGCAGGATATGCAGGCTCTCCCGGAGGTTCAAAACAAAAAAGTAAGGGGTCTGAGATCGGGAGGTAAAGAAGGAGGGCTTCAGGTCCTTGTAACGAGACAAGTCCGGGTTATGGCAGTCGACTTTGGGCAGGTGCTCGCTGTTAGAATCCACAATCGCCCGCATGTATGCAGCAATAGTGGTCTCAGACAGTATGCCCTTGGCTATAGAAGAATTAGACAAGTGTTCATGAGTTCAAGTTCGGATGCAAAACTTACCACCGGGCCTCACGGTATCAGCTACCGAGGGGGATATCTTCTCAAGTGGTACTCGCGCAGTCTGAGCCAGTCTGTGACTCTGTAAATACAGAAAGAGACCGACCAGGAAGGTCGTTGCTACAAGGGGCCAGCGGCCAAGAGGCTGGAGCAGCCGACGATGTGAAGCCATCGCCACACCTGTAGATGAGCATGTGTTTTCTTTGTGAGAGTGAATCTCATTGTTGGAACCCTGAATCCTCGGGGACAAGTTGGTTCTGTTCTTAAAGTTTCACACGTGCCTAGGCGAACTCTTGGCGCGTACGGAGGTTGGTTCAACCAAGGACCTGTTGGTTCACTCTCAGCAGAATCTGCAGCAACCAGACCCGCCCGTTGGTACGATAATTTGACCCACAGCGGCTAAACGACCAAAGGAATGTAGGGGTCAGGCGCTTTTACGCAGATCGTTGCATTCTTATCTTGTTGACGGCTTGACTTCGCGTCATGCCTTTCCACTTCACGCACAAGCGAGCATTACTTAGGCAATTGTGTTGTCCATCACGATACGCGTATTTTTGCGCGAGAGGAAGAGATCTGTGTCCACATGCAGTTATATAAAGTAACCAAACGAAGCATACCGTCCTACCTCCCTGCCAGGTGCATACGTACTACTCAAGTAGGTTTGATTCTGGTCTTCACCAAGAGAAGTTACAGATTGTCATTCTATTGACTTGGAGGATTTCTACGCGTGCACATTCCGAAAATGATGGCGGCAAGTAGTAAGGCGTTCGGGTTGCCCAGGCATTTCTGGAGATGGCCCCCTTAATTCGCTCGTAACAGTTGTTTTATCCGCACTGTCTGCTGCATGTTGGTTCTAGGTGGTATTCGGCTGGAAGGTCGTTGGTTGTCTTTAAAATAGATACATGTGATCCCGGTCTGGGAGCCTTGCCGTCCCGTGAAATTTCTCCCTGGTCCTCCACAACTAGGTATATTTCAGCTTCTCCTACTTCTGCTCACCGGTTCTCTCCTTTAGACGGCCATCAAAACGTGAATCTGGTCCTTGCGAGGCCGAAACTCTAATCGGAGATGCCCGGACTTTCAAGTGTTGCATTATTGGGATTTTTGCGATGCTTTGTGCACGCTCTCGCTATTCTTGAACCCCCGACCATTACTCCCGCACCCAATCTCCACCACGCTCGAGCCCCAGTCAGAGCCTACGAGTTGATGAATGGCGTATCTACCTGTGGATACGAGGACGGAGATGTCTCCAAGAGCTGGGGGGCACCAGCTGGTTACGATTGTCGCGTGGATACGGTCAATGGTCTATGGGGATTCTGTCCGACAACAGTCTTTGTCGCAACAGATTGTGGATTGGGAGGATATTGCTTTGACCAGAGCAGCTGCACAAGTGGCTGTGGTGTGTTGAGCGGCAAATCATCCATCACTACTTGGACATGGCACGTATACCCCCGAGCCTTTTTGAGGTTCCATATTGAGGGACATGGTCTGTTCTCAAGAGAGTAATTCTAACATCTCGTTCTCGTAGCACACAAAGTGACCCGTCCTCACGATACTGCCAGATGATCTCGCTCTCCTTCGCTGACGAAGACGAGAATTATACCTACTTCCACTGTGGCCCCGATGCGAACAGAGATCAGTTCTACGCCACACCGATATCATCCACGACAAGCACATCCTCCTCTTCTTCTGTGACTGCAGAGACAATCTCTACATCGTCTTCTGTATCGGCTACAGCAAGTTCCACGCCGTCGTCGCCGACAGTCACTCCCACGAGTAATGCTGCATCATCGTCATCCACTGCTCCAAGCTCAACCGAAAACCAAAGTTCAAACAACAATAATAATAATAACAATAATCTCGGCGCGATCATTGGTGGTGTCATTGGAGGGCTGGCTTTGATCTGCGGTAGCGTCGTGGCGGTGGTGTACCTCCTGAGAAGAGATAAGTCCCGCCGCCAGCCAACTCCCACACCTGATCAGTCACCACCTCCTGATCAGCCATGGTCGGGCGCTGCGCAGACATCCGCTCAAAGCGATAACATGAGCCAGTATGGCGGTTGGTATCCTTCCGAACTACAAGATACCGCCATGAAACGTACTCCTTCTGAGTTACCAGGGATGCACATGGCCACGGACGCCCGCTCACCTGTCGAGCTCCCCGTGTACTCCATTCGATGAGGATAGAGGGAGCATTTAGACAGCTTATACAATGTTAAAAAGGCACAAGAATATTTCAGCCAGATGACATCAAGGACCGGAACTACCAAAGACCCCGGCTCCTCTATTCGAGATTCATCAAGAGAACACTCGCGGCAAAAGTGTGAAAAAGCGTTCCGTCTCTATGCGGCTGAAATCTCGTCCATATTCACCTCTCGAGGGGTGGAATTAGCGGTGAGGCGGCTGCTGATCGATTCCCAACATTGATTCAGTTCTTCTCGTCTTTGTTTTGACATTAACAGATCACTTCAGCAAGGCGCAGAGCTCGTCCAAGTTTGTAGCGATGGAGCTCATCTCGACAACGTCGGCATCGCAAGCTCGTAATGTCACAAGAGGGGGTCAGAGTCAGAAGCAGAGGGCCCCAATACGTTCATTGAAGCTACGTCGGTGTTGGATTGTTAACAAAAAATCAATAAAGAAGCCATTCAGAGGGCTAGCTAGGCAATGGATATAGATGCCCAGATGGGCGCGTGGGAGCTTAGTGGCCGCTTGTATAAGGCGGCTGGCACTTGATCTATTGACAATGTATACAGTAAAGTAGTCCTGATGTTACATTATTTATATGAGATTGGAGATTCGCACCCTTAAAACCGGAGGGTACACCCATACCTACCAGGGGGAGGGTGGGTTTCTGACAAGGTCACGCAATGCAGTCATTTTCTGCATTAATGTTGACATTATGTTGCCCTGTTTTGCGTCTTACATAGATCACTGGCGCTCGCAATTTTCACTTGCTCTACACCCTGTTGCATCACTTCAACCATAGAAGTAGAAGACTCCTCAAAGCACAACGTCACCGCTCGCTTTAGTATCTATGTATTGAAATCTATAAATGTCTGGTGTTTAAGAATCGTTCTGTCTCGCTATACTGGAAAAAATGAGCCAGTGTTGGCTTTTTCTTCTTCCTTCCCTTTCACATACGCACTTCTTCATCAGAATCATGCATCAACCCCAGCCTCGCCCATGTATGGAAACCTTATAATCTCCTTTCTCTCTGTCATGGCCTCCAAGTAGCCAGTAATCAACGGATCAATGCCGTTCTCCAGGGCGCGATCCACCCACTCGGCGACAGACAGCTCGTCAAACTCGGTCCCATGGCGGCTTGCCATGTGCCGGGCAAAGTGCGTGAACGGGATCTTTTGGCCGCTCGAGTAGTGCACAAAACGAGGCGGCGCGGCGCCGTCCGCCTCGGGCTCATCCTCCAGCAGCCGGCCCAGCGCGCTGCTGACGATGGCGGCCGCCACGTCGCGCACGTCGCGGAAGTCGAGGTACCCCTCGAAGTTGTCGAAGCGCGGCACGGCACGCGCGATGCGCGAGTATTTGAGCAGCGCGTTCAGGGCGTCCTCGCTGGGGGCCTCGCCGCCCGTCACGGCGCAGGGGCGGTGGATGCACACGTCGAGGCTTGCGTGGCGGAGCGCCAGGTTCTCGAGGAAGCGCTCGCTGGCCCACTTGGAGGCGGTGAAGCCCTCGGAGCCGTCTGCGGGTGGGAAGTAGGCCGAGACGGACGACGGCGGGAATGCCGCGCCCGGGGCTGAGGCCGAGGGTGGGGGGAGCAGGGTGACGCGGTTGGAGGAGATGTAGTGCATGGGCACGGCGCGGGGGAGGGCCAGGGAGGCTAGGAACCGTGTCGAGTGCACGTTGGGCGTGCGGAGGGACGAGTAGTTGTTGAGGCAGTGCCCATGAGCGCCGGCGTGGATGATCAGGTCGACGCTGGACTGCAGCCGGCTGCACTCTTCACGGCTCAGGCCGAGATTTGGCGCTGTTAGGCTCCCTGTGTATACTATGATCTTGTCTCCAACTGCGTGCGAGGACTTCTTGTCCACAGGAACGGCAACGCAGTGGACCTTTCGCACACGGGGGTCTCCGGCAAGACTGGCCACGATCACATTGCCCAAGAACCCCCAAGATCCAGTCAAGAGGATCTCGAGCTGCAGGTTGTTGCCTTGCGTTTGCCTCGGTCGGTGCCTCTTCGGCAATTTTGCGGAGAGAAATGACTGAGAAAGGGCTGTTTCGGCTGCCCAGTCAATGCTTTCGGCTGAATGGGTGGTTCGCTGCTTTGTCCTGGTGGAACTGACATAATCGGCCATCTTCCCAAGAGTACTGGCATGGTAGAGGTCTCGGATGGGAATAGACACCTCCATAGTCTCCTTGATAACTCCTTGCAGTCGCATGAGAAGCATAGAGTTGCCACCACGCATGAAGAAGTCCGACTCGGCCTCCAAAGGGGAGGCGGATGGAGAATCCGGGAGGACCTTTTCCCACAGCAACCGGAGCTCTCCCTCGGCGAGTGTGAGGCGTTTCGTTGGTAGGGGTATTGTGTCAGTCGTGGTGTTTTTCTCCAGGGGTAATGGCATGGCTGCTAGTGCCTTTCTATCCACTTTGCCGTTAGAGTTCATGGGCAAACGATCCAAGGGGACGATCATGGAAGGGATCATGTACTGTGGCAAGGGAAGGTCTGACAGCAGCTGCTGCATGAAACTGCTGTCGGCGGTTAAGCCTTCACCCAACACAACATGGGCAACCAGGAAGCGTGCGTCCGTGTCTGTGTCTTGGTCCTGGCCGCGGACAGTGACCACAGCGTCGGCGATCATGCCAGGTCCAGACTTGATGATAGTCCCGGCAACGTCGTCTAGTTCAATGCGAAGTCCTCGTAGCTTGACCTGACTGTCGCCGTCGATGCGGCCCAGAAACACCAGTCTTCCATCAGCCATCAGACGGCCTCTATCACCAGTTCGGTACATCTTTGACCAGCCTTTCTCAAGATCCTCAGTGCTGGCATATGGATCGTGGAGAAACTTGCCCGTCCTGGTCTGTTCAGAAAGACCCAGTCCCAAATCCAGGTATCCTTCTGCAACACCAGCACCACCAATACATACTTCTCCAGCGACGCCGACGGGTAACAAAGCCTGGTTGCACTCATCCAGGATGTAGATGGAGTAATTTGGCAGAGCTCTTCCCACAACGTTGGGCTCGTACACTCCATCCAGAGGCAATGTCTCAAATGTTGCTGCTGCTGTAATCTCGGTGGGACCGTAACAATTGGTCAGCCTCATGTCGGGCCGCTGTAGGCTCTGGAAAGCGCGGATGAGGTTATCGGTGACGCTTTCTCCGCCCATACAGGCCTGGCGCCAGGCATGCGCCAGCTTCAGAGAATCGAATCCATATCTGAGCATCATGAGATATTCTGATGGCGTGGCGATGGTGAAGGTGACCCGAGTCCTGAATATGAGGCTGGCAAGCTCCACAGGGTCGCCTCGATTGTCTTTCTCCGCCACGACAAGGCTTCCGCCGTTTGCCAGTGCACAAAACGTCTGGATTATGGACATATCGAATCCGAGAGAGCTCTGTTGGAGTACAACTTCTTTGTCTATGGCCAGCTGCGCTGTTTTCAGGGATAGGTGGTTCACCAAGTTGGCATGCGACAGAACTATTGCTTTGGGCACGCCCGTGGTGCCACTCGTGAAGAGGATCACGCCTGGAGCTCCTGGGGATGCAAAGCAGGGAATAGAGTCCTTGCAATGGGCTGCCTCTTCTTCCTCTATGGTATCGACGTCGACGACTTCCATGCTCGCGTACTCGTGCTTGAGCTCGAAGGAAGCGGACCGTGTCCTGCGGTGACACAGAACCATGGCAGGCTTGCAAGTCTGGATCATTGAAAGGTGGCGGCCATGCGGCATCCGTGTATCCAGTGGGATGTACGTATGGCCGGCTGTCATGATGGCCAGCATGGACGCGACAGCGTCGCAAGAAGGCTCGCACAAGGCCGCCACGCGACTGCCACAGACATTCCTACGCAGGAATCGAGCAATATTGTGGACTCTAGCCGCCAACTCAGAGTAGGTCAAGCTTTCTCCACCACAGAGAATGGCAGTATCGTCGGGGTGCGACTGTGCGATCCTCGCGAATCTCTCCGGCAGTGTCGATGGCCAGTCGGGGTACTGTAACCTGGGACCTTTTCCCAGGGCAATGGCCTGCTGAGCCATGTGCGTGTCTGTAATTGGGATATCCTTGACAGGGGTGGACTCGTCCATGCCCGACACAGTCCTGACGAGTCCCACGTAGACATCCAGCAGCTGATCAGAGGCTTCCTTGGTGTACAGTTTTGCCTGCGTCGTCAGTTCAAGCATGCATGTACCTTTGGCCGTCTCCGTAATACCAAAGCTGATGTCATATGGGTTCTTGGCGTCGTCTGCTGAAGCAAGCTCCAGCATGGCCTCGCCAAGCGGTCTCTGCAGCAGGGCACCCATCCGATAGTTCACAGCGACTTGGAAGAGAGGGCTGTGGTCAGTGAAGCGCGGAACCCTGAGGGCGTCCAGGATCAGATCAAACGGGACTTTGGAGTTGGAAATGGCCGCAAACATCTTGCGGCATGTGTTCTGGACCAAGGTTTGCAGGCTGTCCTCCTGTTGGACGCTGAAACGCACTGGCAGCAAGTTGAGGAAGAACCCTACGGTATCGGCATATTGTTCGTCAGTGCGGTTGGCGTCGGCAACTCCGATGCAGATATCTTCGAGGTTCAGGAGACGTGAAAAGACCATTTGAATCACTGCGAGGTGAATATGGAAAGGTGTGGCCCGGAGTCGTCTGCTCGTCAGCTTGATAGATGACACAAGTTCCTCACTGAGCTCTCGACACGAGACAAAGCTTTCGTACGTCTGGAGAGACTCTCGGACATTTTTCCTGCCTGTAGTCTGTGCAATCGGCAGCAGCGGCATCACGCTGGGCAGCGGAGTGTGCTGGTCATTCCAAAATCGAAGCTCACTGTCGAACCGCCCTAGCTCGGCGTCGTGTATTTGCCGCTGAGTGAACTCGATATATCCGGCGGGGCCGGATCCCGAGTTACCACCCAGAGGTCGCATCTGGTAGGCCGTGTCAAGATCTCGGAGGAAAATGTGCCAGCTGACACCATCCATAATGATATGGTGGTATCCGAAAATGACGGTCGAATGGTGCAATCCGGATACGATAGAAACGCCAAAGACTGGGCCATGTTCAAGGTCCCAGACATGCTTTTTAAACCGCTCGTACTCGGCCTGGACGGTAGCCTGGTAATCATCGCTAGAGTCTAGATGCGTGAATCCGTACGAAGGCATGGCCAAGACTTGCTGCATGAGCATGCTAACACCGGTGACAGACTGCTCGAAGAAACACGTCTGGAGTGATTCGTGGCGTGCAACGGTAGCCGCCAGGGCACGTTTGATGCGCGGAATGCTCAAGTGGCCCGTAGTAGTGTAGGAGACGGTTACGTTGTACGTTGTGGGATCGTCCAGGTACTTAGTCAGGAACCACCTATACCAACCATGATTAGCGGCTGACTATGAATATCTGAAGAATTAGATTCAGATAATACTTACAATCTAGACTGGGAATAGGAAGCTTGCGCAGTGCGTTTGACATGGGATTCTGGTACGTGACCCGGTGATTCCAAGACTTCGTCAATGGGATGAGGCTCCTTGTCGATGCCGTCAGTGCCCAAGGGAAGCTCAGAAAAGAAGGGGTCTACTTTTGCCTCCAGCCCTGTGACAGGTGTCTCCAGACTGCCATCTACGCTCAACGAGCTTTCCTCATCTCCACTCGACGACGACGACGACGACGACGTGCCATAGACAATCAAGGATGGTTCGCTGCTTGTGAGCTGCGTGAGAGACCCGGCGTCTTGAAGCTGGAGCCTCGAAGCGAGAAACTTCTTGGTCGCTTCGTCACACAGTTGCGCCGCAGTATCTCCGGAAAGGACCTTCAGAACAGGGACGTCCAGTCCCACCTCTTTCAAGAACCAGCCCCGGATCTCAATAGCCAGCAACGAGTCGCAGCCCAGGTCGATGAGTGGGATGTTGACGTTTACGCTATCGGGTCGCATCTGCATCATGTTCTCGAGTTTCCTCGAGAAGGCCTTTCGGACTAGCTCTAGGATGGCCAGCCCTTCTGAACCTGACAGAGACTGGGCATCTCGTTCTCTCAGCGCTTGCTTGATGTTGGTGACGTCTAGGTCGGTACCAGCTTCCATCGACCTCTTCTCCTTGGCCGGAGCCTTACTGACAAAATGTGCGAACCGCGGGTTGTGCTCCCATGGCGGGCGCTCCGTGGCCTCTCCAGAGTCGACAAAAGGCTGGAGCCCCAAGATGAGCTCGTGTTGGCGGCCCGAGTCTGGCTTTCCAGCCACAATGGCCTCAGCGAAGGCATGGTGGACATCCGCCTCGGTGAGAGGCATAAACAGCTTGCGCAGTCTTTCTTCGACGGTGCGGGCCTGTCTGGTGACATAGCCCAGATCCGAGACAAGGCCAATGTGCATCACAGACGCAGCTTGACCTCTCACCAGCCTTCTCTGAGAGGCGAGGCCGGACATAAAGAGGTTTGCAGCGTGGTAATTGGATTGTCCAGCGTTTCCAATTATACTGGCCAGCGACGATAGCAGAATGAAAAAGTCCAGCGGGCTGTCTGTGTCCTGGAATGCCTCGTCCAGGTTGAGGGTGGCCTCCACTTTGGGTCCCAGAACAGTTGCCAGTGACTTCGGATCCAAGTCCATGAAGAGACGGTCAGATAAGACCATGCAACCGTTGCAGACTCCGCCAACGGGAGGCATCGTACTGCGAATCTCATCGACAACAGATCGCACAGAGTGTCTGTCTGTCATGTCGGCTCGGAGGACCCGTATGTGGATGCCTTGTCGAGACATGTCGTCCAGCCATCTCTGGTCCACGATGGCGTTGCGACTGACAAGTGCAATGTGGCGAGCGCCATTTCGAGTCAGCCATCCGCTCAAGGACAGGCCCAGCTCTCCTGTCATGCCGGCCAGAAGATATGTCTTGCATTCCGACAGCAGGCCCGCTGTGCTCAGGGGCTGCACATCAACTTGTATTGAGTTGTTCTTGCTCCAGTCCGTAAGATGCGAGTCAGTGTCTGATACTACTTTGAGATCGAGATCGAGATCGCTGGTGTGGTCGCTGCCCATCAAGGCGAGGGAGACGGCTTGCAGCATATCGAAGTTGAAGTCGGATGCCGCGATGTGGCGCACCTCGCACCCCGCTGGCAATGAGGATTCGATATGTGATGGCACGGCACCGGAGATGTCCACAAAAACGAAGCGGGCTGGGAGGCGGGCCTGGATAGCTCGCTTCGTCGCCATGGGGTGGATTTGAATCCACCTTCCATCCTGAGGATTGAAACAGTCTCCCGACGCAAGGAAGATATAATTTGAGCGATCCGAAAGGCACCGGACGACACTCCGCTGATGTTCGTAAAAAGCAAATGTCTCTGCCTCGTAAAACTTGGACTTGATGCATGTTGCAAGGAGGTGGCCGGCCACTTGTGTTGAAGGAGTTCGGAGATAAAAGGCTCGTCGGCGCGGTCCACAGTCACAGCCTTGTCCTCCGGCACGTCCACCATTGACGCATTGATAGAGCACATAAACAAGACGGACCTTTCTGTGCCAATGACCCTGCCCACCGCGAGGAAAAGAGGGTCAGTTTTATGCCCAGCAGTCTCCAGCTGGTATGTCAACTGCACGCGGACTCGGATGTGGCCCAGCGGCGCCTCTTGCTTGGGATAGTCCACCACTCTCTTGACCGGCCGGGAGGATCCTTCGACTGTGGCTAGCTCGACACAGGAATCATCTAGAGACACTTCCTTCTGGATCTTTCGTCGACCCGCAATGTAGGTGTTGTTCATGCCCTCATTGAGCACAATTCTGGGAATGTAGCGATGCTCACCGTCGAACTTGACCTCGGGCTCAAGCGTCCAAAGGCAGTCATTTTCCAGCTCAGACGCGATGATGAGCCTCAGGAACATTTCGACGATTACTATAGAGCTCACTGCGGGCGACCGAACGGCATCCATATCGACGAATTGCGAGACAAGGTCAGGCACTTCGTTCAACAAGGCACGGCCCACGCCGATGCTCATGTGGGAGTAGGGACTCGCATCGTCGTTTCCACCGTGGTTGACCCACAGAAGATGCCTGGCACTAGCGACGATTTCTTGCAATGACGAGAGTCGAGCTTCTGTGACTGCCTCAGAAAAGATGGGCTTGTCGAGCTCTTGCAGGCAGATCACAGAAGTCAGGGGGGCCAGGTCCGCCACTGCTACCTCCTCGAGGGAGCTGGCGACGGTGACTCGTCGTCTGGATAACGAGAGGTGCTTTTTTATGTCGCGGATCAATCTCGTGACGGGAAGCGTGCTGCCGCCAATGATCAAGATGTCGCGCAGAGAAACAAGACTGCCGATGGATGAAAGAGGATTGCGCAGCATGTCCACCTTCTCATCCACTGCCTGGCTTACAATGAGGGAGAAGGAATGCCTCTTGGCATCCGCCATGTCGCAAAGAGAGTGGTCTACCCCAGAAAACCCCGTGTCTTGGAGTAAGTCGTCCCACTCAAGCAGCGAGATGGCCGGGGATAGGACACGCCCATCGTCGACGCCGTACCACCAACCAGGAAGGCCGCCCATGATGAACTGGACTCTCAGAACCTCAAGGCCTGTGATCTCCATCATGACCAGATAGCCGCCTGGTTTGAGTAGAGAACGGGCATTGCCCATGGTCTGCTTGAGATCTCGAGTAGCGTGCAAGACGTTCGCTGCAATGACAACATCAAATGAATGCTCCTTGAAACCCTGTTGAACGACATCCTTTTCGACGTCAAGAAGCCGAAAGTCAATCTTGCTCCGGTGGTCTTTGAATTTCTCGTCCGCATTTTTGAAGAAACCAGGGGAGATGTCCGTGTACGTGTACGATGCAAAACTGGTACCAATAGCATCGAGGATGCTGCGAGTAGTACCACCAGTGCCGGCTCCGATCTCGAGAATGCTGATCCCAGGGTGCTTGAAGGTGATTTGTTGGAGGGTGGAGGCGATTGCATCGTTTACAACTGAAAAGCCGAGGCCCTCCATGTAGAAACGGTTCAGCATATCATTCTGGACCATGACCTCGAGTTGCTGTGTCTGGCCCCGGACAACAGAGGCCAGACTCTGCCCTACGGCGTGGATCAATTGCAGGTCTACGCGATCGCCGTAGGGCTGGTTCACGGACGTGATGGTCGCCTCGTCGTCACTGAACCAGTCTGCATGTGCAATGGGGTGGCGGGAGCTTCTAACCAAGTCCAGCATGGCATGCACAGCATCAAACATGCGCTGGTGGTACCACGCGAAGTCCTTAACCTCGACCGACGACACTTGCTGGACCAAAGTCTTCCAGTAAAAGAGTGCGGTTCTGTCTAGCGCTTCCGTAAGAGGAATGTTGTCGGTAACCTGCTCCGACTTTGTGTCTTGCTGTTGCTGCAGAGCCGTCAAGCTGGAAGAGATGTCTAGACGCCAAGCTGTTTCGGAGAAGATGAGCTTGTCGTTGTCTGGCCCAGGCTCCGAAACCGCCTGCATGGAAATCCCTTCAACTTGAAGACCAGTGAAGCTGCTTCCGGGGGCGGACAGATGGATGTCACCTTCTAGCAGTGTCGAAGTGCCAACGGCGAGGAATGCCTGGGCTTCCATTTCGCCGAGAACAAGATCCTTTCCAAGATCGGGCCGCACCGCAAGCCTGCGAATACGGACTGGAAGATAGGGCGCCCAGATGCCGCCACTGCCAGGGGAGGAGAATGCGACATAGATGGACTGGAAAGCTACGTCGAGGACGGCCGGGTGTATGAGATAGTGTTTGCTGGTCTCGGACGCAGGCCATGATGCCCTGACGGAGGAAATCCCCAGGGACCTATCACCACCAACCATTGTGTTGAAGAGTCCTGTATAATCCAAACCCACGTTATGCATGGCAGCGTAGAAGCGGTCCATGTCAACAGAGACGAGGCCCGATGCCTGCTGGAGCCTGGGCGGAAGCACGTCAGAGGACGGGGGGCCAAAATGTGTGACGAATCGACCCTCGCACGCCTTGACCAGATCACCCGTGGCTTCATCCGAGCAAAAGTAGCAAGCGAATTCGGCCGTCAGGTGGTCTTGGCCATCCACTCTCTTGGCTGTAAACGCCGTTTCCACCCCGGGAGAGCCTTCTGGGATCACAATGGCACGACTCAAAGTTACATCATGTAACTCAAAGAGCTGGACAGTGCGGCCGTGGACATTTGCGGCCATGGCTCGAGCGGCCTCCAGCGCCATGGCGACATATCCGGCTCCGGGGAAAAGAACTTGGCCTTGGAACACATGCCCTCTGACCCAGGGGATTTCGTCCAAGCGCAAGACATTCCTCCATCGCATGTTGTCGTCGGAATCATCCGGAACCCGGCGCCCCAGCAATTCGTGGCCTTGGTCATTGCGGAGGCGGTAGTTGCGCGAGATGCGAGACTCCCTCCAATGGACCCTGCCGTGATCCCAGCAGTAACTAGGTAGGTCCGGTAACATTTGAGGCTCCCGCGATCTCAAGTGTTGGAACGCTCGGCGATATCCATCCAAATCAACGGACCCCGATCCCAGATGGGACCAGACATAGCCCATCGCGCCAGAGAAAGCTTCCACCTCCGGGTCACCTCTGCGAACGAGGCCGGCGTACGCGGGCGCGTGCCCAAATGATGCCTTGAATGTCTGTTCCACCGGACCCTTCAGCGCCGGATGAGGTCCAAATTCCAGGGCCACATCGAAGGGCCCCCCATTCCAGATCGAGGCTTCCACAGCGTGAGAGAAGAGGACGGGCTTGCACATGTTGTCCACCCAGTACTGGCCCTTGAGCTCAGACAGATCACCGTCCAGCAGATCGGCATCTCCCCGTACACTTGAGATCCACACACAGTCTGGGCGCGGCTGGTGAATCTCTATGTTGCACTTTCGAAGGGACTCCAGGTACGGCTCGGCGCAGGGCAACATGTGGTGGCTATGATAGGCCGTATCGGTCTTGAGCACTCTGGCAAACGTCTTCTCGGAGTCGAGATGCTCCTTTGCTGCCTCGATGGCGGCCATGTCCCCAGAGAGTGTGGTACTCATCGGTGAATTACTGGCTGCAACAGAGACGCGGCCGACGAATTCGGGGCGGTCGCAAAGGGCTTCTGCATCGTCGTAGGATAAGCCCACAGCCATCATGCGGCCATTCTGGCCCTCCCTGCCTTTTGCTAATCTCGCGTGGTATCCACGGTAGTATGCGATCTCCATGGCTGCCTTGGAGTCGATGATGCCAGCATAATAGACAGCAGCAATCTCTCCCGAAGAATGGCCAACCTGTGGGCATTCGAGTAAGTGGTTAGTGCCATGTCTAAAAACTCGAACTGGATTTTTTTCGAAGGGAAGATTTCAACGTACCACCGCGTCCAGCTGGATTCCGCAATGTCTCATCAGGTCCACAAGAGCTATCTGCAACGCCGTGCAGAGAGGCTGGGAGAGAAGCGCCTCGGAAATGTGGGAGGATGCTGCGTCAGCAACCAACTCCTCCATGAGGGACCACCTGGGTGCGTCCTCAGCAACGGGGAGTTCAGCAAGGTGCTGCTCGCATCTCTCAATAGATTCCCTGAAGGCGTGAGACGACTCGATGAGGCCTCTGCCCATCGAGGCCCATTGCGCACCCTGCCCTGTGAAGACACCCAGTATCCCGGGCTTCTCAGTCGGGTCGATCAGCTGGGCACGAGTGCCAACCGCTGAGCCTGGGCTGGACTCGCAATCTGACACAAAGGAGTCCATGAATCCGAGAAGACGCTGGCGTGTAGCTCCCGAGAAGAACTTATTGACCGAGAAAGAAGTTCGCTTGGCCTGCAGCACCCAGGCTATGTCCTCCAAGTTGATGTTAGGGTGGGATTTGATGTGCTCGGAGAATGCCTTTATAGTGCCGAGGAGGGAGGAATCGGTGTGAGCTGAGAACACCAGAGGGCCGACAAAGAGGTCGTCCGGAGCGCTGATCGGAGCGGGAACGCCAGCTTTTGGCCCACACTCATAGCTCTCGAGGATGATGTGGGCGTTTGTGCCCCCAAAGCCAAAACTGTTAACGCTGGCGCGAAGGGGGCTTGATGACCCTGTTTCAGGCCATGGAACCAGCGCCGTGGGGACGTCCAGGTGCTCGTAGAACGGGGCAATCTTCGGGTTGAGCTCGTCGAAAAGGAGGTTGGGCGGGATACTGCGGTTCTGTATAGCGAGCACCGCCTTCAGCACACCGGCCAAGCCGGCGCAGCCTTCCAGATGGCCAACCACTGTCTTGATCGATCCAACGAAAAGACGACCCGATCCGGTGCCCGCAGTGTTTGCCGTTGAAGTCGCCAGTGGGAAGAAGGCATCTCGGATGGCTTCAGCCTCGATGGGGTCACCCGCAAGTGTACCAGTACCGTGGCACTCGAAGTACTGGCAGCGATCTCTGGCGCTCAAGGGGTCAAGACCCGCATTGCGGTAGGTCTGCTGAATCAACGCTGTCTGTGCTTGTGCACTCGGCATCGTGATACCGCGAGTGCGACCATCCGAGTTGACCCCTGTTCCGCGGACCACGGCCTGGATGTGGTCCCCATCCTTGATGGCAACGCTCAAAGGCTTGAGGACCAAAGCAGCAAAGCCCTCGCCACGCGCGTAGCCATTGGCCGACTTGTCCCACATTCGTGAGCGTGAATCGGGAGAGAGCATGTGAAGACTGGACTCGGCTATGTACACTATTATAGAATTGGCCGAGGATCAGTTTGGGACTTAAATAACGTTATAATTAATGAGTTTGTGTGGGAGAAGGATACTTACTGCCCGGATCCAGGATGAGATTTGCGCCAGCAACAACAGCTGTTGTAGCATCTCCAGACCGAAGTCCCTGGACAGCCTGATGTAATGCCACAAGCGAGCTGGAACAGGCCGTGTCGATAGTGACAGAAGGACCGTGGAGATCAAAAACGTAAGAAACTCTGTTGGCTAAAATACTTCGTGCAGTTGCCGTCGCGTTGTACGTGGGAAGCGTTTCCGGGTCCCGCGCCTGAATATCAGAAAAGTCTCCGGTCATAACGCCCACATGTACGGATGTTAAGGAGCCGCGTATACGGTCCAGTCTCACCAGCCGACTCTAACGCCTCGTAGACAGTTTCAAGAGTAATGCGCTGTTGTGGGTCCATTCCGTCCGCTTCGGCCGGATTGATGTTGAAAAAGGCTGCATCAAAGAGTCGGTAGTCTTCGGACAACAAGTAGGATGCGCCGTCCTTGACATCAGTGCTGCCGTGGTGCTCGCCATTGGCTTCGTAGAACCGGCGTAGGTTCAGTCGATCCGCAGTCAGTTGGCCGAGCACGTCACGCGGTTGTTTAAGGAGCTGCCAGAGTTTCGAGGGAGACGACGCCTCCCCAGGAAATCGGCAGGCCGTTCCAACAATTGCGACGGGTTCGTTGATCATCATGGTCCGAAAGCCTGAGAAATTACTGAACAATACAAGACTAAATGTTATGCGAGACTGGTATCGACACGAAAGGGGAAAAAAATTGCAGTTCGGTGAGGACAACTGTTTGAGGACGTTGAAGTCGGCTAGATCATGCTCACTCAATTAATGGAATTGGCTTCTACTACGGCCAGGGCTGTAAACAGAATTTAAACCGCTACAAAGAATGTCCATCTCGAAACACTGCTCCTGCCTGGATCTGGCGCTACGCGAATGGGAAATCTGTAGTGTCTAAGGCGGCGTGTGAATCCTACGGAGACCAGTTGACCAGGGTCCGCTTCCTTCCGCAGGCATATAACTGGGGACTTACCATCCTACCTAAGTAAGGGCACGTTTGTCATTTCCGGCCAATCGACGGAGATTTCGGGCTGTCAGACCACTGATCCTCTATATCCGGATAGTCGGCCGGACTGTCATCTCAGGGTCCGCAAAACTACGACAGAACCTATGTGGGTACCTAGACCATGACCACAAGATTGAGAAAGATGGAAGAGAGCCAGCAATGAGAAAGGGGACCGAATCTTGCAGAAAAACTTCGGATGTCTACTTAAGTACACATTGCTCATGTGTGGTTTCCCCCAAGGGTATCCAAGGCGCCCTTCTCTTCCCATCATCGCCAACGAGCAACATGGCCTCTTTACATGCGCTAGTACACTCTATCAACTCTGCCAATGCGACTGATTGGCCATCTATGGTGCATATCGGAGTCCAGCATGAGACGCTGACGACGAAGCAGTTGGTCTCGTACGCAGCCCTTGCCGTGGCAATTCTTTGCATTCTAAGATCAATATGCCTATCCACTCTGGACTCGCTCAGGTACGAGAAAAAGCGGAAGTCATGGGCTGCGGGAACATCGCCAATTACCCGCACCGAGATCCTTTCTTCGGCCTCGACGTGGTCCTGGGAATGGCCAGCGCACTACGGCAAAACCGCTACCTTGTGTGGCTCAACAAGATCCATGAGAACAAGCCCAAGACCTTCCTCGTCAACTTTGTGCGCTCCCGCTTCATCTGGACCATTGAGCCGGAGAACGTCAAAGCCATGTCTGCCGTCGTCTGGAAGGACTTTGCTGTGTCCCCCACCCGCCGCAACAACAAGGCCACCTACCCATTTGCCGATAAGGGCGTCAGCACTGTTGACGGTGCAGAGTGGGAGCACGCCCGCTTTTTGATCAAGCCTTTCTTCCAGCGCGAGGTCTATACCAACACCGAACGGCTCCGCGCGCACACCGATCAGTTCTTGGATATCTTGCCAGGGGACGGTGAAACCTTCGACATACAGCCCCTGCTTCAGCGATGGGTGGGCTCACTATCCTTCCTACGTACATGTCGTCTCTTCCCCTTGACCCTCTGACTAACTTGAAACAGTTCCTCGATGTGAACTCCGACTCTCTCTTTGGAGAGTCGATTGGGAGTCTTGGCCACCCCGAGCGGGCCAGCATCATCTGGGCCATGAGAGACGTGCTCAGGTTCCTGAGGCTGCGACTGCAGTGGTACAAGTATCTTTTTCTTTTCCGGAATCAGGCGTGGCTGGACTGCGTCGGCGAGGTTCACGCTTTCATCAACAAGCAGATGGAGCGCACTTACGCCGAGTTGGAACAGTTTGAGCGCATGGGCAAAGACCCTCACGACGGCGAGCGCAAGGACTTGATCTGGTACATTGCGTCATACGTCAAGAATCCGGACGAGCTCCGCTCTCACCTAAGCCTCATGTTCGTTCCAAACAACGACACTACCTCTATTTTCATTAGTCACGTTCTATGGAACCTGGCACGACGGCCAGATATTTGGGAAAGGCTGCGCAAGGAAGTCTTGGCTCATGGAGAAAACGGGCTAAACTTCGAGGTGCTTCGAAACATGAAGTACTTGAACGGCGTGCTGAACGAGACCCACCGACTCTATCCTAATGGTGTCACGCAAGTAAGTGAACGAGCTTTTTCAACAGGCACAACTTGACCCAGGCATCATACTCATGCGGTGCCGCACCCCTAGGTTCGAAGGTGCATCAAGGATACAACCTTGCCTGTCGGGGGTGGACCGGATGGCACAGAGCCCATATTTGTGCGCAAAGGCGACGTTGTCCAGGCCAACAAAAATGTCATGCACAGAGACCCAGATATCTGGGGGCCCGACGCTCTGGAGTTCAAGCCCGAGCGGTGGGACGGCATGCGCCCGTACTGGAACTTTGTGCCTTTTGGCGGCGGCGCTCGCAGGTGCCCCGCCCAGTTTCTGGTCATGACCGAAGCTGCATACATGCTGGCACGCCTGCTGCGTATATACAAGCGCATCGAGGCTCGAGACCCTGCGCCTTATGTTGGAGTGATGCGTGTTGGTCCTTCGAACCTTACTGGTGTTCAGGTAGCGCTGTATAAGGATTGAAGATGTCCAGGCCACTTGAGCCGAGGCAGGTACACGAGGAGATAGAGTCTGATAAATCAGTTTGTGGTACCTGTGACAGCACGAATGAGGTGCCTAGCAACTAGCGTGATATTCATAGGCCATTGGCACCGCTGCTTTGAATCAATGTTGCTTTAGAAAACCTTCCTAATACATGCTTTACATTTTCAGTCACTCTTGAAGTCCCACCGTTGCGATCTAAAAGTTTCTTCGTTCTCAGATAAAGATAAGGATTTCGTAATTGTAGAGTCCCGATGGTTTATGTATAAGAACCTGCTTCTCGTCATTGGAGAATATCAACTTGAAGTTCGCACTGGGAGCAGCGGAGGATGCACAGATATCTCCAATGTACATCTCTGCTAATTTGCGCACTAGGGCCTGAATGTATCTGTGTAATCTCTGTTCTATTCTTTGCGAATATCGGTTTTCTAATTTAATACTTCCTCACCTACCTCTTGGGACAGGGGAAAAAAGGATACACTTGACCAGGTTAAGTTTGTTAAACGGTACTAGTACCTGAGTAAGCACACATGGGAATTTGGAAATTGCACGGGTGGGCTCCCAGACTCCGGAAAACACACAACTTTACAAAAGTGGCAATAGTTGCACATTTGAGATACAGTTACAGATGTAAGGGGTCCAAAAAAAAAGGGGGGGGGTTGGGTTCCTAACCTACCTAAGTATATCTCTGTAGACTATACGCTAATGAGGACATGGGAATTCTTTGACTACAGGCTATGTACTGTCACCTGCATTAGACGCTGAATCCTATGGCTCGGAGAAGGGTGTATTCCACCGCTTCCTGGTCATCCACTTCATTTCCATGCCACGACACAAACTCATCGGGCCGTACCAGCACAATGCGAGCATCCCAAACGCTCGCAGCGTGCGCTTCTCCATACAACACAACTACCGATAGTGGTACTCTGTGTTTCCTCGCCGCTGCGCCGAAACACTCGACGGCCTTCTTTGCCCACGGGGATGGCTGGGCACGTGCATCCGGTCCATCGAAAACAACCAGCGTGAAAGCTTTGCCAAAATGGTCGTAGATTGGCTCGCCCCCTTTCAGCACGACGTGCGGGGCCCTGTACCCAGGGTATGTTGTCGGAGTGCACTTCCTGGCGTCAAACACGGGCGCGGCCCTGTCGTCATCTAGCGGGCTGTGTATGCAAATCCCGGACTGGTAGCCATATCCCATCTCGACACCGATACTCTGGTTATGCCCATCGTGGGTCTGAAGGAAATCGTGCACGGCAGCGCGCATGTCCCGGCCTTTGGGGCTGTCCGAATTGATGTGCTCGTCGATGCTGGTGGCGATGGGCAAGCGCGAGAGATTTCCCATGTGCGTCTTGGACCAATGGGCGACCAGCTCAGCAACTGGGCGACGCTCCTCCTCATATGAGGCGAGCAGCCTTGGACCCGCCCAGCCGTTAACCGAAGCAGCCAGCTTCCACCCCAGGTCGTACGCATCCGCTACACCAGAGTTCATGCCGTAGCCTCCTGTCGGCAGAACTTGGTGACAAGCGTCACCGGCGAGGAGGATGCGCTGTTTAGGCCCTGCGTATGACTGTGCCACTGCGATACTGGGACTCCATGTCGACCTGACGAGTACCTCGTCAATTTTGATGGGAAACGGATCCCCAATCCCGCCCAAGACGCTGGCGACAGCATCATCTGAGGAGATTCGGGCAGGGTCGTCGCCGGCATGTAAAAATAAATGGACCGTCCATGTATCGATCTCGTCCTGTGCAATCACCGCCCCCTTAACGCCACCGCCGTCTGCAGCTTTATTGGGGAAGAACAAGTGCCAGAACTGGCCTTGTTTCTGAATGCGTGATAGGTCCTTGGATTTGAAATGGACAAGAAGAGCCTGGGCTGGACTATAATGGTCGAATTAAATTAGTCAATCTTCGTCTGAACAGGAAATGGGTTCCATATGAATCTAACTAGAACCACAAGATCACTTACAGTGGGCCCCCATCCAGCTTGATACCCAAGCCTTCTCGCAGCACACTGCGAGCGCCGTCACACCCCACCACAAAATCAGCTTGAATGGAACGCTCGTCTCCTGTGGAGACCTGGCGACAGGTGACCTCAGCTCTTTCATCGTATTCTTTGGATGCTGTTACCTGCCATCCTGCGCGGAACTCGATCAAGGGGTTCGAGTCGCTCAGAGATTTAAGCCAAGCCTCAAATATCTCCTGCGAGATGCGAAGCCACGGCTCCATGGGCATGGTCCCATCGTTGCGGGCAGCAATCTCCCCGCGGTACTTGTCGACGCTGGGCAGCTGCCACGACGTGATGGCCTTGTCGGCGGCGAGGCCGCTGGAGAAAAGACAGGTGAAGGGGTGATGAGACGGGACGGCTCGCTCCCGTAGTCGCTGAGCGATGCCGAGCCTCTTGAGAATCTCCATGGACCTAGCTGTGGTCAGATCCATCTTGGGCCATCGCGTGGTCGTAAAGTTGCGCTCCAGTATCACGCTTCGAACACCATGGTGGGCAAGCGTCGTGGCGAGCACAAGCCCCACTGGGCCTCCCCCAACGATCAGGATCACGCCTGGCGCAAGGTGTTCGGTCTGAACCTTGGGCTGCATCTTGTCGAATCCTGGGTTGCTTCTCAACCGTAGCTAGGTACGAGACTGACTGCTACGTATTTTAGCATTTCTTTCAGTGTTCCAGTGTTGTAATCTCCAGCACACTTCAGTATACCTCGTTAGGTACCTAACTTTCGGACTTAACGGCACCCTTGTCTGGCAACGGACAATTGCGGACAATTACGGATGGCTGGTCCACGGTCTTGCGGACAATTGTGGGTCCAAACATTGAAGGAATGGCTTCTACCTACTAGACTAGTATCTACTTAGGGACAGTACCGAGGGCAGGTAACGTCAGCGCACCACATCCAGACAACTGCCAATTCAGATCACCCTTTCACGTACTAAACATATACTCCTTGTCAGCTCCACCAAATTAATTCTAAGCAAATTTCAAAAATAATACTCAAAAACAGGGTGATAAACAACAGGCCGAGCTGAATTGAAAAAGTGTGTTATGTGGGGGGGGGGGGTGCGTGACTAGGTACATGCTAAGCAGAATAAGTGCAGTGTAGAAGGAAAAGCATACACACCCGGGCATGCTGTGTGATTATATTCTGGGCTTTTTTGTTCCAAGTTCACAGTCAGATTGTTGGTTGCCAGTGGAGCTCCCGCGAAAACTACATGTCAAGAATTAATGCGTTTAATGCACTGAGCCTCAATGAATAGTGTTTGAATAGCCTTTCAAACGCCGTTATCTAGTACTCATTTCGGTTTCCTAACCTCATTAACATCCAGTAGCGTGGCTCAAATCTCAGCATCCCACACGGTAAACCAGTTTCTTCCCTCGAACCTCCCCCTGGCGCACCGCCTTAATACCCTCTGACACCTTGTTCAGCCCACCAGTGCGAACCTGGATAGGATGTGGCTTTATTTCCCTGGCATCCAGCAACTTTTGGGCGGTCTGGAACCAAGCCACGGCGAAGTCTCGGTCCTGAGGCTGGGCATCGCGTCGAAAAGGGCGCTTCCAGTTCACTGGCTGGTCAAAGATGGTCAAGGTGAGAATCCAGCTCGGGCGCACACTACGCCGCGTGTGACTGCGGAGGGGAAACGGGTCGAGGCTCAAGTACTGCCCGCCCGCCCGGCCCAGGGCCTCGTAACAGATGCGCATCGAGGCCGTGTCGCTGACGCAGTCGAGGGCATGCGCTAGCTTGTTGTCGCTGTACTCGCGGATTTCGTCACCGCACGTGGGGGAGTGGTAGTCGAACACGGCAGATGCCCCGAGCGACTTGAGCAGGTCGGCTTTGTCGGGCGAACAAGTCGCAACGGGAACGAGTCCGGAGCTGGTTTGCAGGGTATGTACGTCAGTAGCTATCCTAAAATGGCATCTCTCTGCGCCAACGTATGATGGCGATTCAAGCACGTACAGTCTGATCATCTGGATAGCCAGTGTGCCTGTTGCTGTGGAGCCACCATACACCAGGACATGGCGCGCGCCTGAGCCTGAGGTGGGTTTCTGCGTGGCATTCGAGGGCGACGGCAGGGGTAGTTTCAGAGACCGGTAGAGAGCCAGGCCTACAGTTGCCAATCCCACACCAAGCGTAGCCGCTTCCTCGAATGACATGTGTGAGGGTATCAGCAGCACAAGGCTCGCCGGTGCCGCCACCATTTGGGCGAAAGCGCCGTTGTTGTGCCTATCGGGGTTGTTGCCAAACACACAGCCGCAGACGCGGTCTCCGATGGCCAGGGGCCGCGTGGCCCGCTCGCCTGCGTGGTCGGCCCCCAGGGCGATGATCTCGCCGGAATAATCGAACCCCAATGTTGCCCCGGTCGTTGGCGAGAAATCTGCGGATTTCCCATCCACGGGGTTGATGGCGACGCAGGCGACACGAACGAGCACCTCGTCTTCCCTAAGCTGTGGAACTTCGCTGGTGACGGCCTCGATGGATCCGTTTTCACCGATCTTGACAGCGGTGTGAGTATTGATTGATCTTGCCATGTTGATGCTGAATAGTGGTTCGAATTTTGGGGATGATGCTCTGGGTCTCTTGTTCTCACAGAAGAGTCGAGATTGGCCTTGTCAAATCACAAAGTTGGGAAATTTTTAGGCAAAGAATGACACTGAGCATTCTCTTTCAGAGGATTCCCGAGGTATGCCCGTTCCGCCCCGTTGTGCGCCGCGAAGGTCCGAAATGCCCGTTGCAGGATCACGGTCTGACTGTGCCTCGCCGCGAGACAAGGGCGCACGGAATCATGCCACTGGGCAGGTAGGGACTTCTTAGGCACCATGATTGACTTCGGCAGGCCTCTCAAACAGATTTGTAACTACAGATAGTACATAATACAAATATACAGGTTGATGTCAAAATCCGTTGATGTGCTTCGTCTTGACTCATTCAGTGAACTCGTATCAGAACCGGTGCATAATGGATTTCGTCAACACAACGAACGGCCCGCGGGCCTCTGCCAACAGCCTCGGGCAGGTCGTTTTCCCGTACGAACAGATCATCCTCGCGTCGCTCACTGGTTTCCTCATCATACTCTTGTCTTTCCGCCTGATTCCCTCATCCTCGGTCACCATCAAAGACGATACAGGCCGCGCAATCAAAACAATTCAGTCCGATTCTCGAGTGGCCAAGTTTATTGACAGGTGAGCAAACCATAAGCCTCTATCGAGAATACAAATTCCTGTGATAGAGTTCAATTGTTTATATCTCGACAGCCTGCGATTGTCCGCCCAGGGCAGATCAATGGCTGGCAATGAACCGTACTTGACATATAACGGCCGGCAACAAGAGTTGGTCATCTCAAGGCCGAACCATATCAAAGACTTTTATAAAGATGATACCAAGGGTAAAAGATGACTTGCGGCTTCATTTCATGTATATATTCTTGCAGTCAATTAGAGCTGACAGACGGTGAGCAGAGCACACAAAGCCCCATAACTTGAACATGGGCGCGTACTTTGGAAGGTAATATATCTATACTATGCACGTATAGGTCGCCCGCAAATAACGAATTGCTAATCAATTCCTGGAAATAGAATCCTTGGGGATGCCGTCGGGGTCTTAGCCGGAGAGAGATGGGGTATTATCCGCAAGTACTTTGATCCCGAGTTTTCGTTTAAGAAAAGCAGACAAAGTATTCCCACGTTTATCAACAGGATTTCCAAATGGGCCGATCAGTTGCATGCGTCTTCTCCAGTGCCAGATCACGATCGCGGCCCTGCTAGGTTCGTTCTGGACGCCAGTAAGCCCAGCAAATTTGTGACTTTCGAGCTGGTGGCATATCAGTTGTATGGTGAACCATTCAACGACGAGGTAAGAATGGAGGGACGTTCTGCCCAGTCAAAATAAAATGCTAAAAACAACAACAGCTATACAAGGAGCTGCTTGAGATCAACAGTCTGCACGAGGTTGTGTTACACGATGTCATTCTGAACAATGGTTTGACCACCAAGGTTGGGAGTTGGCTCAACAGGGCTGCGGCCAGACGAATGACAGAGTACAACATGGTGTGGAAGGCATACAACATGAAGATCATAAATCGAGCACGCAAGGTAGGTTTTATCATAATCCGGATGGACGCAGCCCGCCAGCCACTCACTTACAACTTGTCAACTCAGACGAACTGTTCTTGCCCCGTGGAGAGGATGTTCCGCGGCGTCGAGCATGGGGAGCTAAAATTAACCGAGTTTTTACATACACTCGATGAAGTCCTTTTCGCCAATGTTGAGGTCAGCGCCGCTGTACTCAACACACTCCTGACCAACCTTGCAGCCAATCAGGACTTCCAGTCACGGTTGCGAGACGAAGTCACTTCGTGGGCCGCCGAGGAATCTGGCAACTTGGAAACTTTCCTCAGCAAGCAGGACACCCTCCTCAATTTCGCTGTCATGGAGAGCATGCGTCTTTCTCCCGCATTTTGTGAGTCGACTCGTATCCCGGCTGAAGGCCAGCGAGGCTGACGCGCGATTTTCCCCGCATGGATCAGCCTTCTCTCTCCCAGAGTGCACCTCCACCGACAAGAATATCGGCGGCTACAAAGTGCCTGGAAACACGGCAGTCGTGATTGATGCACGCAGGCTGAACACGGATCCCGATAGCTGGGGTACAGACAGCGGCGAATTCAGGCCCGAGAGGTTTCGGCAGGTGCCACTGAGCAGGTGCCGCTATAGTTACATGCGGTTCGGCACCGGCGGCGCCAGCGGTCGGTGTCTGGGCAAGAACGTGGCTGACATTGTCTTCAAACTCACCGTCATGGAGGTCTTGAAGCGCTTCTCTCTTTGCAGGCCGCACGCACTAGCCGTTAATGATGTTGAGTTTGCTGCTCTGGAGGACTAGATGCACTGGAAGGAACAGCACTTGAGAGACTTGATCCTTGGAGAAACAGAGAAAGACGAAATTTAGTCTATTATACACACTCAACCTCCCTCACTCCCTCCCTCTCTCTTCGTGTCTGTGTCTTAAAGTGATACATGAATGTTTTGGTCATCCCACATGGAAAGAAGCCTGGACGGATCAAACTCCAAGTTGAACGCAGGATCGCCGATCTAGCAGATGCCTATTAGCAGGAGTCAATGAACAAGTATCCTCAGGTGCGTAACATACCAATGAATTGAACAATTCATCATTAGATAAGACTTGATTGTTCTCCACGTCGAAGAGGCCGCTAGTAAGTGGCGAATATTCCGGGAGTTGAGCCGTGTGGATATACTGCTCCAGCATATTCCGGCAGGCCTGTAGACTATCCTTCAGCGCCTCACGAGCCGTGGCTTCAGGGGGGTTTCCAGTCCCCAGGGCACGGATCTGTGCGAGGGTGGTGTTGAGAAAGACATAACGCTTTAGGCTGGGGTCACCCCGTGCGACAAGACGCTCTAGTTGCTTCTGCACATGCTCCAAGGTCTGGACCATTAGAGCGCGGGAGGCACGGGCCATGTCCACGACCACGGAACGAGAAGCATGCTCAGGCCCCGTCTTTCCTCCCTCCTCGTATAACTGTGATAGTACTTCGAGACAGACTGTTGTGATGGCATCTAAAGAGATGGCGCCCTTGAAGGTGCCTGTGGACATCATTGTCAACCGGGCAAACTCATCTACAGTTCCAGATGAGGCATCCAGGTCCCCGAGATGCGAGAGTAGCACCATGGCAGACTCCAAGCCGACCTTGCGTGAGAAGTGGAAGCGTGGGTCTCCGGCACCCCTGAGCACGAACGGCCTGTGTAGCAGAAGGATGGCACGGTGCAGTATCATATCTGTCAGCTTCTTGTGACTACCAGATACGGAACTGATTAGTTTACGTAGGGCACGATCAGATGGGGGAGTCCTGTGATTTGGGTGCTGCGTACAAGATGTTGTTTTTCTGGCCCGCCCGCGAGTGAAAAAGAACCTCACTCTTCTGAGAGAAAGACTGTAGCTCCGTGCCAAGCCGGAGTGCGGTGTCATAACACTGCTCCGTTCCTCTGCTTTTATTCAGAAATTTCATAGTGTCGAGGCGGCAGCGGATCGATTGGTGCAGGAGCACCTGGATGGAAGTCTGGGTGAATTCGGCTTCTGGCCGCGGGGGCGGGGGCACTGATGTGTGTTGATCAAACTCTGCGTCATTCAAGTTCGATGGAGGCTCAGTGTCGAAGTCGTCCAGGCAGAACATGGGAGACATGTAGGCGTCTATGGACGTCTGCAGCAGCAACTCCAGGACGGTCGCCCACAACCGTCTGCGCGTCTCGGCGTCCACGAACGAGAGTTCGGGGAAATGCTTGGGATCTCGGTGCAAGCCTTGCATACAGGCAAAATGGAGAAGGGATCCTGAAAGAGTCCAGTTTGAGCCGCTGTTGCCAATGGAATGAGCCTGGCGGGCCAGAATCAACAGACAGTGGACCTGTAAGCCCTCCTGGCCAGCAGTCGATCTCTCAGCAGGGCCCGTCAACCACCACTGTGCGGCGAAGACCCACTGTGATACATAAGGGCACACCGACATGAAGACCTCTTCCTCGCGTTCAACACTGCAGCCAAGGGCGAGGATCAGAAGAATCTTGATCCTGAAGCCGGCGGAAGCAGCCTGGGGTCGTTCCCAGTACTCAGTGTACTGCTTCCTGAAGGAGGGTATGTGTACCACTCGGTACATCAACTCAAAGGTCCTCAAGTACGATTCAACAAGCCGGTCGCATTTCTCTCGTGGGGGCAGGCTGTTCATCACAGCGGGAAACGGATCCTCGGCCTTGACTCGCTGATGCTCCTTGACACGCTTCCTCAGCGCTCGACAAGTGTCCACAGAGGCGATGACTTCGGCAGCAACTGCTGTATCACTCGGAGGACTGGATTTGGTGCTTGCCATCATGCGGTGGAAAAGATGGAAATCCTGTAGGAATTATTAGGGCATATATATCGACCAGGTTGCAGCTATTCGTTTGCTTTTATATAGGCTTTGGAGATAATCAGCACCCACCTGCTCCAGAGAATTACGGTAGTGACTTGGTCCCAAGAACCTTGTCTTTCTCTTGCCAACACGGACCCGAGGTGCAGCCGTCGGAACAGAGAGAGAGCTCGGTCGTAACGGATCTGAGAGACGTTGCTCGATGTGGCTTAATCGAGTATTTAGGGTGCCAATGTTCTGCTGAAGGGATGTAGAGCTGTTGGTCTTTGGGTCCTTCTTGAGCTGATGTTGGGCTGGATGGTGATTGGGAGCGCCCCCGGATGATAAGAGGCGTTCTATGCTGGCGACACGGTTCTGGAGGTTGTGCAGTGTCTGGTCGATCATGGAACTCGCGGGGCCAGGAGGATCAGCAGGCTGAACAGGATGAGCAGGTGACTCTGCGGGTCCTTCAGCAGAACTAATTGAAGGCTGTCCCTGCAGCGATGGCTCGGGCGCAGGTTGTACCGGTCGAAGGGCTGTGGGAGGTGGGGTTTCATGGGCATGAAGAGGCCCGTAACGACATGAGCTGGCGGCGCCGCCCTTTGTACAGGGACCGCAAGGTTCCTCGCGGTCGCATTTGACCTTCCGCCGGTGACATCGCTCACAAGAAAGCATCGGACGCCTTCTCTTGCGAGACGATAGGTGGCGTGGTGGCCTTCTGCCATTGGCAGCAGTGGCAGCAGCAGTGGCAGGGGGATCCGGGCTCAAGGCTGCCTCTGGCGCTGGGGCGAGTGTCCCCAGCGCTGGTGATCTTGCCCCGAACATTCCTAGGTACTGTACAGTACCGGGTAGCTAGAGTTAGCTAGGTGGTTGTCCTCCGATGCATTGATAGCTCGCTTGACGCTCAAACACCACAATAGCGCTGTGCAACGCATATGATGTGTAGTGATGACTTTGTTGTCTGGAGAATAGGCCGTAGGAACACCGAGCACGTCGGTGTTTTAGGGCATGCTCCACCGTCAGCTTCAGGTGGGGGCTGCAAATTGCCCACGGCAGGTCCCGGTTTTAATCATGCTAGCTATTAATACTGCAGACTACCTGTCAGATATGACGGGCCTGGCGACTGCCTAAGGCATCCATAGATTGACGATGCCAGAAACAAGTTTTATCACACATCGAATCGAGCACGGTAGAATCATAGTTGATTATCAAAGGGAGAAACGAGCCCTCAGAAGCGGGCTCGGAAGCGCTATCTACATAAATATTAGCTGAAATAATTATAATAATTAAAGAAATTATTTATAAAACTGAGCCTGTAATTATTATATATTAAATCAAGTGTAGTGGAATTATAATTAATTATTAAAGGAGAAATAAGCCCTTAAAAGAGGGCTTAGAAGCGCTATATATACGGGTTTATAGTGGAGCCCTTGACTCATCACAAGTTTGCCCTGGCTAACTCAGAGATAGCACACCAACTAATATCTTCTGGCCCGCTTGCCGCTGCACCGTATATTACATTACTAGCGATTAATTCAACATCATCAGCTTTCACAGGAACACAAACACATGACATCGCGGCCCACGCGGGCTCTACCCAGCCAAAGAAACAGACGGCGCTCTTTTCACCGCAGCACGCCGACCCGAGAACCACAGCGCCTGGCTGCTCAGCGCGCAGACCACAGACGGCACACGCCGCCAAAACAGGACCATGCAACTAGGGCCTTGGGGGACGCGCGCGGCGCCGGTGGAGGATCTTGTGCTACACGAACACCCCGAGAAAGGTGTTGTCGACCGAGGAGCTGCAGGCCGGGCCGGCGCAGCGGCAGAGGTTTACTGCCGGGGCGTTGGTGCAAATTACAAATATCGGATCGCTGAGAATCGTTGAGGTGCATCGGGTTTACAGTTCACAATTGCACTTTGCAGGGAACCGTAAAGTCATAGACCGCATCTGAATTGCCCATGCTACATCAATTGAAATGGCGTCTTGTCTGAATCTATCAGCGGCTCCTCCGTAGTCCTACTTTGTAACAGATGGTAGCAGTACCTCAGGCTCTCTCTCGCCGCCCTGAAAATGCTCTCGTTCTCGTTTTGCCCGGCCTTGATAGCTGTGATTTGGCCCAGGACTGAGCGAAACAGGACGTACGCACGGATATCCGTTTCCCCGGCGTTGATGCGGTGTTGGCACAAAACAATGGACCGTTCGATGGCCCGCCACCAGTCTTTTAACATCGCCTGCTTGGATTCGACAGTCGGCGCTGTGGACAGGGCGAGCGGGTCGTCCGCCAGCTCGTGGAAGACTTCGAGACAGACGGACGTTGTCGCATGGATCAGAACAGACTTGAAGACGCCGCCGGCAGTACCCACAAAAAAACATCCGTGGTCGTAGTCTGGCAATGCGGTATCATGTGACACAGGAGACAACAAACGGAGCAAAAGGAGGGACGTTTCGCGGCAGACGTGGCGCGAGAAGAAGTAGGTCGGATTGGCCCCGGCTTTGCTGGCGAATGGATGATGTAGTGCCAGCCGGAACCGGCGCGTGAGAATATTGCACAGACGCCACGGGATGGCCATATTGCTGCTGCCAATATCTGACTCAGGAAACACTCGCAGATGATGCGAGTCGGAACGGGAGGACTCGACGAGCTGTCTGTCCAGCCGTATGACTTCCTCGTAGGAAATACTGTTGACATCAGGACTGTTGAGGAGTTTGGCTATCTTCAGCCGCACGGGTAATGACCGCATGAGGGCAGTCTGGATGGGGCTCTGGGATTGAGCTTGTATCTGCTCGGATGCGGTCACGGCCGTGTGTAGAAGATGGTTGTCGGCTAGATGTTCTGGAAGGAGCAGTGGATGCTCTCCCAGATCAAGGCTGGATTGTATCGAAAGCTCCGTGACGGTGCACCAGAGAGAATGTCGCAGTTGGACTTGGGCAACGTCGGATTGACAGCCAGAGGCCGGCTTGCGCTGCTGTAGACCCATACGGTTGGCCAGCCTCAAGGCGTAGTCGGCGGAGAGGGAGGACTCCTCATCATCCAGGCCACACGGGAAGAGCTGACGCGCCAGAAGGAAGAGACACAACGTCTGCAGCTTGGGGATGCCCAGTGCCTCTCTTGGAAACTCCGTCTTGAACCAGGAGCGGGCAGTCAGCATCCACTTGCGGGCACGCGAGTGCAGCTGGCTCTGAAGCGAGGCCGGCAGGCCGCCGCTGTAGACAGAAGATCCGATAGCCAGGACAAGGCACACTATCGTCGACATCGCTGAGCTGCGTTGAGCATCCTGACCAGAGAGCTCCAGCCAATAGTTATCATACTCGTCCTGGAATGAAGGTCGGTGCAGCGTAGGGAAGACTGGACCAAATGTTTCAAAATACATCTCCACAAGCTTGTTGGACAAATCCCGTGAAGGGAGCATGCACCGACTGTCAGAGTCCGGCATGGCCCCTGCAGCAGATGACAGGGACTTGTTTCTTATGCCTTCTGCCAAATGCTTGCATTCACCGTACAAGTACTGGAGATCTGAATCTGCTAATCTGTCGCTGGCCTGGTTGGACAAGAATGTGATCTTGTCAAACTGCAAGTTCCATTGTTAGTGAGAGTAACTGATATGCGACCAAGAAACAGTTTCGTTTGCATACCTGGTCAAAAGCAGTTTCCCAGTGACTTCCTCCCCAAGTTCTAGTCTGCGCGAATGTCACGGCAGGTCCATCGTGTTGTGCAGAGTCCGGCGTTCCAGTTCGAATTGAGCCTTGAATGCTGCAGGGACCAAAAGGACTAGAGAGCTCTACTTGTCCCAAAACGTCAATCGGGAAGAAGCTGCAATCATCTTCGCTTCCGGATGTTCCATTCGAAAATGCGTGAATGTGGTCAAGCAGACTGGACTCATTGCTGATAGCATCTAGATTCAAGTCTAGATCATCGTAGAAGGGCTTGCAGAACTCGGAGTCAGGTGTGATGCTGGCGGGCGGGCCGGGGGACGGCAACGAACTGAGTGAGGGCGTCTGTAAAGAGCTGGTCGTCGTCGCCGTCGCCGTCGCCGGGAAGTAGGATCGCCGCGTTCGGTTTTTTTCGTGGTTAGGGTGGCCGTAGTTGCACACGATATCGGACTTCATGCAGGGACCGCAGGGTGAGACGCGATCACACTTGATCTTGCGTCGACGGCACTCATCACAAGCCAGAGCCGGCCGACGACGTTTTCGACCATAGTCGGAGAGATATGAAAATGGCTGGCTGTCCATGATTTGGTGCTGGGCAAGTTTACAGATGCAATCAATTAATTACTGGCGGGTGTAGTCCACGCAGGTACGAAGAACTCAGAAGGGTTGATGGGCCTTTTAATACGAAGTCGATATCACTCAGCCCACTCCGGTTTTGCATATCCCCACCTGGAATTGGTGTTGGTAATCCTTCATTAGAAAGGATGGGTGGTTGCCTTCTACACAAAACGTCGAGCAACGGCGACTGGCCGTAGGGCGGAAAAGCGCCCCATCAGACTGCAAGGCACCACTGTAAGCGAATGAAAAGCACTGTTCACAGCGCTGCATGTTGGTACGCATCTTTCCAAATATAGGTGTCGTTCTTTATCATCGTATCTCACAATTACCACCGCTGTTCACGTCACACCGTCACGCTTCACACTTGCAAAAGTTCGCAACATTACTATGGAACCCCTTTGGCTTGCCTCCCTCGCGCGGCGACGTGTGGCTTCGCAGGACTTTCCACATCCAAGAACTTCAATTCCTCATATATAAAAAAACACGCCGGTTGGATATCATAGCTGCCGTGGGGCGTACGGTACGACGGCTATAATGGTTCGTTACACAGCCTGATTGCGTGGCAGGGCAGTAGGCATCATTAACTTCTCGGGTACCTCGATGCCACCGATTTCGACAGCTCCTGACTGAAAATGATAAGGATTGCGATCCTTGCACCAATCTGTGTGGGTCTCTTTGTCTTGCCTTGCGACAAGCTTTCATGCCGCCGCTGGCATCATCTGACTGTACTATGTGGGTCCTCCCTGTCCTTGCCGCAAGTGCACGTTGGGCTTCGGGGCTGTGAACCGCGGCCCGGAGCCAGGGGAGGATTATGATTGTTATTGCCGTTGGTCCCATTGAAGGATGGATTGTGGGTGCTGCAAGTAACGTTAGCACTTATGTGGGTACTGGACGTCCAGTCACCTCAGCCACCCTGGGGCAGATACGTACGCTTTCCTTGCCACGACGTAGACGAATGTGCCGAGAGCAGTCACCTTGAGGGCTGTTCCGAGAGGCATCGTGATTGCTGGATGGCTTTTGTCCTTTGGCTGAAGTCTTGGAGGAGAGGCAGGTTCATAAGTGAGGATGAAAAAGGCAGCAGAATCCCCGGCCGTTCCAGGCTGTACTTTATAGGTGCAAGATATAGATGGCTTGAAAGAATGGCATCTGGGAGGATTCATGCCCTGGACTCTTATCCTCCGAAGCGACCGAGTAGGCAGCAAGGGGGCTGCGGCTCGGACATAAGGTCGAGGGTTTCTCGGCCATAACTACGGCTGTGATTGGTCTATATGTTGTCACGTCCGAGAGGACGGGAATAAGATGGTGGATTCAGCAGCCGCCTCGGGGCGGCCACAAACCACACGCAGGTTGAAGCCGACGACCTCGGTTTGACAATCGCCGACCGAAGACAAGAGAAGCAACCGGAGATATCGACTGGCAGAGCTCCAGAGCACCTAGATGTACAGGCCGAGCAACACCACTTATAAACCTGAATGTTGACACAGACTAAGAGATGGCTGAAGTGTTCCCAGCTAGAGTGTTGCCCATTCATTTCGCCTGCTTCTTCACGCTACACTGCAGTCAATTTGCTCACAACACTGTTCCGCTCGCTGCCTCTCATGGACCCCAACAATGCCTTCAAGCCGCCCCATGGTGGTGCGAACCATGCGTCCGCGTACGCCACGGCAGGAAATTCGAACAGTGATGCCAGTGCCAACCCGACAGCTAGCCTCTCAGATGGCTCGGCCCAGGGGGAGAGTGAGAAGGCAGTGGCACCGGCGCCCACGACGTTTCCGGACGGTGGCCTTCGCGCCTGGTCGGTGGCAGCCGGTCACGCAGGCGCCATGTTCTGCACATTTGGCTACATCAACTCATTTGGGTTTGTCACTCTGTTCCGTATTGAGAACCTTTTATTAGAAGCCCTTCTAAAGTCGGTCGCTAATCTTTGTTCCGCATAGAATCTACGAGGAATACTACGCATCTCACCAGCTCAAGGACTCCAGCAGCTCTGCCATCTCGTGGATTGGCTCGCTCAACCTCTTCTTCGTCTTCGTCGGCAGCTTGTTTGGCGGGCCAATGTTTGACAGGTACGGGGGCAAGGTGATCTTACCTGCTGCGTTGGTCTACGTCTTTTCCATCATGATGACGAGTCTCTGCCATGAGCTGTGGCAGTTCATCCTGGCCCAGGGCCTGCTCGGAGGCATTTCTCTCGGCATGACCATGGGCCCAGCCAATGCAGCCACGCCCCAGTACTTCCAGAAGCGTGGTGCTGCCGTGGGCCTTGCTGTCGCGGGCTCTTCAGTCGGCGGCGTGGTTTTCCCCATCGCCCTTGGCAAGATGTTTGCTAGTCCCAACGTCGGCTTCGCCTGGGCCGTCCGCATCTGCGGCTTTATCATCCTCGCCGTGTTGGGGCCTTCGTCCCTCCTGATCCGTCCCCGCCTGCCGCCTCGCAAGAGCAACCTGTTCCTGCCGTCAGCCTTCAAGGACGTGCAGTTCCTGTCTCTTACCGCAGCCCTGTTCTGTCTCTTCATCGGCATGTTCGTGCCCATTTTTTACATCCCGACGTACGCCATCAGCCAGGGCATGAGCAGTGGCCTAGCCTTTTACCTGGTGGCCATCTTGAACGCTGCCTCGTTGCCCGGTCGCATCCTGCCCGGCATCTTGTCGGACAAGCTCGGCCGTCTCAACTGCCTCATCCTCGCAGCCGCCTCCACCGGTATCGTCATTCTGTGCTGGAGCCGCGTCCACAGCAATGCCGCCATCATCGTTTTCACTGCCGTCTTTGGCTTTACCTCGGGGGCGATCTTCTCCGCGGGGTCTGTCTCCTTCGCCAGCGTCCCCAAGGATCCCCGCAACATCGGCACATACATGGGCATGGGTCTCGGAACGTCCAGCGTTGCCGCCTTGATTGGCCCGCCCGTCAACGGTGTCCTCGTGTCGACATATGGCGGCTACAACCAGGTTGCCATCTTTAGCGGCGTCTTCTGCCTGGCAGGTGGTGCTTTTACATTGATTGCCAAGTGGAGTGGAGGAAAAGGATTATTGTCCAAGAACTGATGCATCTTCAGGTCTGAAGGTCATCTTACAGTCTACGCAGACTTTGCAGGACTCTGCGTGATACTGGTGAAAGTTGACCAAACTTGCTAAGGGGCAGCACGTAGGGATGGTAAGCGCATGCCGCCTTTGCAGCACTGGCACGGCCCTGGAGGAGTGAAAACATGGGCGGGAAACGGGACACGGGATCGGGCCGCGCGGGGAACGATGATGATTATTCGGGATAGGTGAACAAAAGGCGTATCTGTGGACATCTAGATCGGATCTGGAACCATGCCAGCTTCACGCCTGATAGTAACACCAGAAGCCCTTGTATGACTTTGCTCAACGCCATGTGCTCGCAGCTCAACCGTCGTCAATTCAGCCCAGGTATATCAGCCTGCCGCCTACCATCAGACAGCCAACCTCGGTGGTTGCGGCCTCAACCATGCTCGTCCGCTTCATGTGGTCGAGTGTGGGCTTAAAGCGGTATAAAAACGTGGTTTGTCTCTTAGATCAACTCAGATAGCAGCAGTTGCAGCTATATAATGGTTTTAAGGCTATATACCAGGACCATCTACAGTAGTAGTTAAGGTAGCTAAGGCAGCAGCTATTTAAAATATATTGATACCCTTCTGGTACTATATAGATCCCCTTTCTTCACCCTAACGGAAGAACTCTTTTGTAGTCTTGTATGGCGGCATCATTAGGGTTATAACTAAAGGTTTGCCAAGGAAGGCGAGGGAGTAAATAATAGGGTCTTAAAAGAGCAGACAGATATAGTTGTTGAAAGTAGTTAATAGAAGGTAACTAGGAGAAGAAGAACGGTAAGCAACCACAATTATAACCGCCTTAATCATAGGATTCTAATAGCTGGGTGATAGGGCAGCTACTTATTGGGCTAGAGGCTACTAGGAACTGGGCTTCTTACCCCGCCTGCGTGTAGTTGTTGTTTTGGCGGCGGTAGCCAGAATCCCGGCGTATGGTGTGTGGTATAAAGTTGATTAATTTTAAATGGGAATAAGCTGGGGCCAGAGCGGTGGTTAGTTAAGGTGATTATATACTGAGCAACATAGAGCGTAGGTGAGGTGTGGGCGGATTACAGGCGCGTCGCTGACTAACTTAGCTGGCTAGGTGGAAATTTGCGGAAGACTACCTAGGTAAGTATTGGGCATGGGTATTGGTTTAGTGCTGGCGATGTACGGGTGTACCCTCCGTTTTTGCGGGTGCGAATCTCTCCTCTCATTTTTATTAGACCCGAGTTCATGAGTCTTGTGTGCTATCTTCACGTAGGCCATCATCCCTACCCGTCAAGATGAGTCGCATGCCTACTAAATCCGTCATGGTCGCCTGCCTCCGCAGCACTCCCAGTGTTCCATGTCTAATCCCTTCTCTGTCAAGAAAGCTTGAGTCACGGTCAAAAACACCAATGACGCCCTATGAGTTACACTAATCGAGCTCGCGATTCAAATCAACCACGGCCGGGTTCCGGTCATACTTCAGAAGCAAAGATATGCACCTTGCACTGATTTCTTCCTGCACCGCCAACTGTAGCGGAGTGTGTCCTGAATGAGTTGTGGCAGTGACATCAGCCCCAGTGTCAAGAAGCTCTCGAAGAACTTCTTCTAGGCCATGCTCAGCTGCCAGATGCAACGGTGTCTTGCCCTGATTGTTTTGCGCGTCAATATCAGCACCATGGTCGAGGCAGATGCGGATGAATTGCCGGATGTCCACTGCATCTTGACTTCTTTCTGCGGCCGTTGTCATGCTCCACGTGAGATGAAGCGGCGTATTTCCCTCATTGTCTTTGAGCGAGACGTCCGCCCCGTGTTGCAATAGGGTTTGACTCTGATAAATGGAACCGCATTGTGCAGCACGATGGAGAAGACCGTGTCCCGAGCCAGGCGAATCGCAGGCGTTCATGTCAACGATTTCGTCATCCAATAGCCTCAATAGAGGGCACTCGAGTATAGTCCACATCGTTGCCGGCGTTACTACAACGTGATCGGGTGTACTCCACTTCGTTCTCACAGTGGAAAGCTTCCAAGTACTCGACCACCAAATCAAATTGTGGGCAGGAAGCCACTGACGTTTGGTCCCAAGCACGCGTTTGGAGACCGTAAGGCAAGTATCTACGATCTGATTGGACACCTCGAAGTCAACACATCTTACTTTCCAGTGAATGTGACTTGACCAAAATTCCGAGGCATATCTGACGAAATTTGATAGTTCCTCCGACATCCCAAGGTCAGTGGAGTGAACAGTATTAGGTTTTGCCTCCAATGAAATAAGCAAGAGGCTCGAAATGCAGCTCTTCATAAGCACCTGATTGCTGTTTTTGATGGTAATTTGGTGGCGCCAGAGACTTGCGGTTGTCAGCTGCTGTTGTATCAGAAACTCCCGGGCAGTCTGGTGAACCAGAGAACTGTTTGAACGGATGATCCGGATGAAATTGCCGCACCGGTGCTTGACATACTTCTCCATCCCAGACTTCAGGGCTGTGTTGAGGTCCTTGATGCTACTGTGCTTTGGATCGGCGGCAACGGCCACATTCAGTTGGTCGAGAGATAGGGGTACGGCTGCTGCAAGTATCACTTGCAGCAGCTTTCGCGTTCCTCCCTCTTCGTGCTCCGTGCCGCCGCGGGAAAGAAGTTTGAAGTATATCCCGTCGATGTCCCGGGCGCCCAGTAGGTTCTCCAGGTCTTTCCTTGAGAAGCCAGCTCTGGCTGCGTCCAGCAAGAGACCAATCATCAACGCCGTCCACAAGAATGTCCGGTCCGCTTTCTCAATCAGAGCTTCTTGCAGCCAAGACAGGTCCTCTGCTGGAAGACCTGTGGAAGCAAGATCTCCAATCTGGTTGCGGATTACCAGCTCCACGTCGTTGCTGATGCTTGCAGGCTCGTCTTCTCTACGCAATCGGATGGTTGCTACCGCGGTGAAAGTGTCCTCGATGGCGTTGTTGGGTCGGCTGAGAACAACGATCTTGAAGAAACGTTGGGCATTGTTGTCGTTGCTAAACAACCTCCGCAGGCCTTGAAGCAGTCGCCGCTGAGAATCGGCCTCACACTCGTCGAGGGCGTCCAGGATCAGTATCAGGTCCTTTGCCGCAGGGTCGACTGCAACCTGCAAGAGTATTGCCCACAAATTGTCGAAATCATCCACCATCGCAGCGCCTTTGGATTCATAATCGTGGAACGCATGCTGCAGAAGCTTCCTGTCTTGGCTGAAAATCTGGTGGAGCACAGCTCGCAGTGCAAACACGGCACTTCGCTGCTCCTCGTTGTCGTCTTTGAAGAAGAAGTAACCACACAATCTGGGTCCCTCGTCTCCAGGAACTTGTTCTCGTAGGTGCGTTACAAGGAATTTTGCCAATACTGACTTGCCGCAGCCGGGGTCTGCCGATACCCAGAGCAGTGATCCGGATTCAACTGTGATCCAGTTGAGATATTTCTCATGGCGCAGAAGCCAGGTCACAAGTGCCGGGAACCCGGGGAGAGTTCCGGTCCATATAACTTTCGTAGTTCTTGTGATAGAAGGCCCGTAAACATTTTTTTTTGTTCTTCGGGCTTGAGAGCTACGTCTTACTTTAGTTACAAACTGCTTTGACTCGTAATTCTAGTTCTCAAGGGAAGAGTGTCCCCAATTGTGTCAAGACTCACTTGTGGCGGGTTCTTCGACATCAGCCAATAACATAGTATTCGCCATTTCCTTAAGGCAAGATGAAACCACTCGAAACTCCCTCTCATTTTTCTTCAAGTCGAGAAATTTGCAGATAGTTTGATGATTTGCGTTGAGGCCAATGGGAGTTTCGTTATGCACTTCCATCACAGCAGATTTCCTTTCAACCACCTGTTTTTTAGGTGTCCCCTAACAGTTAATCTCTAGTTACTGGGACCTATAAGTCCGCAAACAGCCGTGGAGCATTAAGACTGACCAGTTTCTTCATTTAGTCCATCTCCTCCAGCTCGCAGAAGCTGGTGATGACCAAATTCTTACTGCGATCCACCAAGGAGGAATTGATGGCGAACAACGTTTCCGAGTTCTCTTTCAGCTGCGACACGAGCTTGGAGTTCGTATTGGTTCCGAACGTAGAAACCTTCAAGATGGAGGCCAATATTGCTCCAAAGATTGCAGCTGATGATCCGCGACGAGGCGTACCGAAAAACGCGACACCTCGAATACTTTCCAGCAGCCCTGTAAAACGGTCACGCTCTCGGGCTCTCACGACGGCCTACAAACCTTCAGTCTCTCGTTCGGTTTGACTTTGATTTGCGAGATCTCGAGGGCCGTATAAATTCAAGTAGTACCTGCTTGAAGACGATTCCCCCTAGGCTGTGGCAGATGAAAATTACCGGCCGCCTTTTCTCCTCTGGTGGCGTCCGCCATGCCATCACCGCTTCCAGCAGCTGCTCAGTGAATCCGCTGATACCAGCTGTTCCTTTACTGAATTGAACGATGGAGTTGTACCTGAAGGACATTACTCGCGCATTGGGAAGAACTCCGGGCAGGAGATCATTGAGCCAATTCACCTGTCTTCCATCCACGGGGCTAGTCGCGGTCCACGTGTTACTGTAATGGCCATTCAGGCCATGTAAGGCAACAAGATCGATAACCCCAGATTCGTTGGCAGGCTTGTCGACAAAAACATGCATCCCAAAGCCTTCGTCGTCATCGTCGGTGGAGTCTCTTTGACCGGGACTTTGGATGCTAGGGCTGCTTTCGTTACTTGTGGCATCCTCGTCGTTGCTGGTGCCAGACTCGTTTCGGAAGAAACGAAAAATTCGGCGTATCCAGGACGGAGGCATATTGACAGCAAGTTCAGTGGCCTCGGGAAAGCTCGAAATCTTCCTCAAAGCGACGAAGAGCAGAAAACCCCGCACTTCAAAATCCTCTCGACAGTCCTGTACAAATGTATATAGTTCCTGATTGTGGGTTGCACAGCCCTCAGCCGCTTCCATACAGGTCTAGACCAGTTACATGGGTCTGGCGGAGTCCTGCTTTGAAGGATGCCCGCCACAGCGCTACCCAACCTCAGTCAGGACAAAGAAGAGTGCACACACATAACGTCACTGTAATGATCACTGAGTTAGCTTGGCTCTAGCTGCCAGATCCGTTGACAGGGAGCTGCAGGCTATCGGGTTATGCGGGGGCCGGCGCTGAGTGTGCTCTTTTTTGTCCTGGCCGAGCCAACGTAGGCCAGCTGACGCCGATGATGGGCCTGCATTGGCAGTGTCCGCCTCTTAGGCGAGGCAGTGTATAGACAGGTACGCCAGTACCTAGGTAGTTTAGGAACTGCCACTAGCACTACCAGCAGGGTCCATTGTCCACATTTCTGGTATGGGAATGAATTCAGTGTGTAGGACGCGGAACAGAATAACACGGCAGTCTGAAGTTCTCTCCTCCGGTACATCAGCCATAACTAGATTATACATTCCCCCCCCCCCTTTAGAAAGTTTATTTTATTCTTTCGTTATAATCCTCATGTGATGAATAACAGTCCTAGAAGTATGAATTAGGCCTCTAGTGAATAGTAGAGGGTTAAGCAATCCTATCTCCTTTAGCTTTTGTATGAAAAATAGCATTAGGCATTACCATAATTGTGAGCTTGGTGTCTCTTCCACTTAATGCTGATGCACCTGATATTGGTTCAAGAAGCTGTAGAGCGCTTCAAGTTTGTAGCGATAGAGCTCGTCTCTATGTGGGCATGGAAAGCACTCGTTCTCACGAGAGGGGGCCAAGGTTACTGGAAGCAGCTGACCTCCATATGTCAATGGAAGTTAACTTGGCGCCATCTATCCACCCCCCCCCCTCCAGCAAGAAAGCAGCAATTCAGGGAAACAAACGCCTAGACGGGGCGTGCGGGGGGCTGAGTTACCTCTAATCATCCATACATTTAGATGATATCGCGGTCTTTCCCCGCGCAGGACTTTGACTTGCATTCTGTAATTCGTCCAGTAGTAAGTGCCATTCCTCCACCCTGTGCAGCCGATAGATTTTCTGATGCCAGTTGGCATACATCCGTCAGCTGCGTCTCAGCTGGTTTCCCACTTCTATTTTTGTCCACATTCATGGCAGAACAACGATTTGACCTTCATACAAAATTTTGTACTTGACCCAGATATACACACCATCCTCGGCTGCATTGAATTTCCTGCATTACATCCAGATTGCGGCGATAATTGGACCTCCTTACGCATGAGACTGTTTGTGAGACCAAAGTTCAAGAGGGGTCAAAATGCTGATTGCTGCATTTCTTGTTAATTTACCCCCGTCTAAAAGGAATGACGAAAAGAGGATGCTTTGATTTGTCTAGAAAAAGCCTCGGCCTCGGACTGAGTTTCAGCTCCCAGAAAGTGTGAAAGAACCCACGGATCGATCAGCCTATCTTCTAGTTGATTCCTATCAAGTGGCTTGTATTCATGGCATTCGTTGATTATAGAGTTGCACGGCAGGGCTTAGCATCAGCCGAGCGGCCGCCGTAAAGTACTACTAGTACAGCATTCTCATGGCAGACTTAATGGTAAAAGTTCCACCTTCTCAACCCCACTAGGGTCGTGCTTCTGTTGACCATTCCTTCACCTTTTCCGGAAACAATGAGCACAACTTTTGACATATTCAATGCAAAGGTACCTCAACAACATGGAATCTACGGCACAAGGTATCAGAAATGATCCTGAACGTGTTGATGCTGGAGATTCCGGCGGGTTTCTCGGCCTTCCTAACCTCGGATACCAGCGATCCTTGCGGGATTTGATTGAAGACGATTTGCACTCCCGGGACGATGAGTCGATCGAGATGGCAAATTTGCTTCTTCAAACAGATGAACGCGCAGGCTCAGATCGCAACACCGCCGCAACACCATTCCCACAGGCACTGGATGGAGGGGATGGGCTGGGAGACAGGCCAGGGACGCTCCTCAACCCAGCAAATGATGACAGTAATAGTCGGAGTACCGAGGTGAAAAGTTCAAAGAGTATCAATACCTCTCCGCGGAGGACGTTCTGGCAGAGGCTTTCCGGAAGGTATTGTTGCCCTCTATAACCAAATCCGGTCGGTTGACAGAGCTCACACTCATCACAGGCAGCGTACCACATTTGAACAACCAAAGATTGTATACAGCTACAAGCGACGCAACACACTTAGAGAATTCCTTTTATTCCACTTCCTACCGGTTTCCATCATCTTCGCACTCTTGGGGCTTTATACACAGCAGGTCCTCTGGATCCCGCCTCAGCCAACAACCAACAGTCTCAATGCCCTCCAATTCGCTGCCAAGGTTCATGAAACCCTGATGGTTGTATCTCTTGCCAACATATTATTACATCACATCAGATATAGACTACTCTCTTCAACGATACCACTGGGCCTAGCGACGTCACCATTCCGACTACTAGATTTGACTTATCTCTGGAGTCAGGAATTCTCGGCAGCTTGGTGGGGTGAGAAGGGGATCTCCAGTTCAGACGTTACATCTATCTTCATTCACGTCTTTTTATTCATTCTAGCCGCAATTCTGGGCCCTACCTCCGCTATCAGCATGTTACCCAGGCTTAGAGAGTGGAAGATTGCTGCGGGGATCGCCGACGCTCCTTTCAACAGCACAGCCCTCCAGATTTACATAGGTGCAGAGCTATCAGACATCTACCCATCAAGAATCACGGGAAGCCTTGCCCCCAAAGCTTGCGACTATGGCGATTTCTCACAACCTCAGAGTAATGAATGTCCCCGCTACGGCTTAGAGGATATTCTTCAAGGCTGGTTGCCCAAAAACGACTACGATAATTGGTTCACGTGGAATTTCAACAACATCACCGTCCAAACGAATATAAACTCGGAAGTTCAACCCCGCACCATTACTGTATCGAGGACGATGCACTCAAGCCACGCCGACAGTGTCCAGACTAGTGTGGATGTGACAACGGCTGCCGACGTTATATTGCGCTTTGCGGACTCACTAGTCAATCATTACTTAACTGGGAAGACTCGGTGGGTGATGGGAGATGATAGCTCTGGAACCGTCCAAGGTTACGTCGCGCCTGTTACTTTCAAATTGTGTCCCGGACAATCACAAGTCAGGCAATTACCATCTTCCTGGAAACAGCCCTTCGTGTCATCATTCTGTTCTCAGCGAAGGAATACACCGAGTCTTTCAGGTCCCACATCCTTCAACTTTTCCAGGGGATGGTATGGTTCTACAAAGGCCGAAATGAACGACCTGGAATACACAATCACTCTAGACTCGGGTCTCCTCCCCCGAATATCGGAGAACACAGAAATGGACTTTATCAACATCTCAAACTTGGATATCAAGCCAAATTTGACACCTTCAGCGGCATTCATATATACTCATCAGTCAAACGTAACTTTGTGTCTAGTCAACGCAGCGTGGGTCGATTTGGCGCTTTCTATCACTCAAAACCGGAAAGAGGACCTTTTTCAAGGCATTGGTTGGGCATGGGGGTTGCCTGCATCATATAATGGTTCACGTTCCGGGACATCCAACTTGTTCAACGAGACGAACGCTACTGATACCATCCATCTGGGCTTAGATTGGTTAGATATTCTCGACTATGGCACTGCCAAGGACCGCAAATCCGACCGTAGGTTTTTCAAGAGATTAAGCCAAGCCTGCCTAGACAGATCGGCTGCCAACGGCAGCATCCCCAGCCAGGTTGGGTCGTATCTCGATGTCACTTGCATGGCGTGTGGACTCGCATTAGGGATCACCGAGGTGCTTTCGAAAGTAGCAAATCACTTCGACCTTCATGCCTTGGGATCAGCAGAGCATTTTGACGGCAAACAGTACAAACACTACGGTCCCTCCATGACGTTAAGCCCTTGGACAAACGCGGACATTCAACCCACGTCCAATGGGTTTGTCGAGGGGCTACTCGATGCAAACTGGACCCCATCCAACCTCTCACCATATGAGATAAAGGACACCGGCACACGGCTCGATTTCGTGATCACCGAGACAGTATACGGCTACAGCTTCCACGACGTCACAATAGTAATGGCATTCGTCGTACTGTTCATGTACGTGGGCACTGTCTTTTTCCACATCATTGTCATGAGTCTCGGGACCAGCTGGAGCAGCAGAGCTTGGATGAGTCTCGGGGAATACTTTGTTCTGGCAATGCAGTCACCCATTCCCACCTCTGTGCTAGACAACACTGGAGGGGGTGTGAAGAAGCTCTCGACATGGAAATCACGAGTTTCTGTGCAAGAGTTGCATGGCGGAAAGGAGGTAGGATTCATAGTGAAAGAGCCGGGCCGGCCAGATACTGAAAATGCCTCGGAACAAGTATCAAAGGTGCGACCAGACTGCGAGTACTAGTCGAAGGTTCTGTCTCTTCTCATCATCGCCTTCCTTCCACAGAGCATGCAGTCACTTGGAAGGGATTACGGAGCACATGAGTAGATACACGTGGCACGCGGCCGGCCGGCGATTTCCATTCATGGATGAGTCTTGTTTGACTCCTGCGTGCTGCTTCTTGAGAATTGCTGTTATAGCCTAAGGTTCCTCGTTTACCAGAGATTATGTTGAGACTTATTATACTTTCCTGTATAATTGCACGCTTTTGATTTGTGGTTTCAGTCATATACATTGATTCAATGCTTTTCAATTGAGAACAGATATTCGCACCCGTGAAAACGGAGGGAACACCCGTATATCACGGCGTGGGACTTTGTTCGACAGCTTACATAAGGTGGCTGGCACTTCATCCGTTGGCACCAGACAGCTAAACCGGGGCGTCAGCAGGCGCAGGCACCTGCTTTTACGACACTACTAACAAATGGTCGAGTGTTTTACGAGATAGGTCATTTCTCCTTCAACCTGGACCAGCTCAGCTTATCAAGATCATGATGCATCACCGGCAAGATGATGGTATGTTGCCGTGGGAAGACGAACTTGCCCAGCACGTCGTTTCTCAGGACCACGGATACAGTGGATCAACTTTTTCAGACGATGGCTCTATCGATCCAGACGAGTCCCTTTCCATTGCTTCCGGCGGCTGGAGATCCTCTGACGAGAACGTTGGAGCAGGAACGCGAGAGGTTGACCACAACACCATCCACGGCACGCGACTTGACTGTTGAAAAGCAAATCCGACTCCTAGACATCTTACCGCGGTCTGAAAAAGAACACGACGTCATATGCTGTCGGGTATTTAAGGCATACCTTTCTCTCGATAATCTAGATTCGGTTCCAGACCCGCAGCGTTACAACGCACTGTCCTATGTTTGGGGAGATACATTTCCAACAGCGGATATTGTCCTGAACGGTTCGGTTGTGGCTGTCACAAGGAACTTGGAGAGTGCCCTGAGACATCTCCGCGACTCGCCCATCCCGGAGGACCAAGACCTTCCGGTCTGGGTGGACGCCATCTGCATCAACCAGGAAGACTTGAAGGGGCGCAACGAGCAGGTCAGGATCATGCGTGATGTCTACAGGAAGGCAAACCTGGTCATTTCATACCTCGGAGATGGTGATGTCAACACCGACTGGGCACTTGAGAAGTTCAGGCGAGACGACTTCTGGCTAGATCTGCAGCGTGCGGCGGATTTGGGCTCGTCCTCGGACCACCGCGTCGAGGTGATCAGAGCGTCGGTCATCATGGCCAGAGACCTCGCGGAACGGGTATACTGGAGCCGGGTTTGGATCATACAAGAGATCATGCTGGCAACGCAGGATCCCGTTCTCGTCTGCGGCAGCCAGACACTCGTGTGGTCCGAACACATTTTCTATGCCGATTCAATCTATCAATGGGCCAAGACCAATGTTACAACTCGAGAACACATGGACGCCTACGCCAATTTCTACGTTTTCACGCATCCTCATCTATCATTCCTCCCCAAACAGGGCAAGCCAGCTCAGACAGGGGCGACTGAAGAGTACTGGTCGCGCACGCGCAAACTCATCAAAGAAAACGGCCACGCTCCTTTATCTTATCTGTTTTACAGTCGCTTCTTAGAGAAAGAAGCGTCTTGCAAGTCCGACTACGTTTATGGACTCCATGGGCTCTTGCCACAGGGGAAGAGGGACATGATCGAGATCGATGACTCGAGGCCGCCAACAAAGGTCTTTCACGCACCTATCGGAGTATCCAAAGACCATTGCAGTGACGGTGGATTAGTCATGCCTCTGGCACTGGCCTGCACTGGGTTATGAGCAATTTACGAAATAGATGACTTTCTGGCTGAACTCGGTGTGGTGCAAATGCGGTGATTACTTCATGTTCGGTTATGGCAACACGTTTCCTACATCGACATGACTAGCTTTGACCCACTTGGTCTAGAAGAAAAAGAGAGGATGCTGTTTAAAGAGTTGGTGGTAACGACCTTCATTAGAAATAACTGTCGAGTTTGATTGCCTTTTGAGCATCTCTGACCTAGTGGGTGGCCTCAACTAAGGCGAAGAAGACACTAGTGCTTTTTACTCGGTAAATACCGTCTCTTGATGTCATTTCATGCACTATTATCGTGTTGCGGGTGAAACCGCAGTGAAAACTGGCTGTACACGCAGATGTGTCACATCACCTTGGCAACGATGCGTTATTGGGGGGGGGGGGAGGGGTGCCTTCTGGCACAGGTTCCTCACCGCCGACTTACACACAGCAACAACAGCAGGCTAAGAAGGCTCTGCATTGGGAAGATGGCTCGGTCGGGAAAATGAAGGGGAGCGTACAGATGCAGAAGAAATAGATGGCCAAGACACTGAGCACATATGGCCGTGGCCAGACCAAGGCAATGAATCAGTGATCATTGACGTAATTAGAGACACGATAATCTCTTTGGCGATTGTAGAACTCTGGCGCAGGCAACTCATCATGTGGTACGACTAGGACCAGTATTTCGAAACCACATACGCAGGTGGGCTTGCAATAGTAGATGTTGTGGACTGCCGACGCCTTTTAGTCATGGGGCTCAGATGGGATCCAGGAGAAGCTGCTCTGTTGCGATCGAATGTTTTATTCATTTATTTAATCAACCTTAGATGCACCTTCGGTGACAGCGGCTCGCACTCGAATGTTTCACATCGCCCTTCTGGCCTGTCTTCTCGCCCCTAGTCCAGATGGACTCTTCTACCAGCCTGACGCGCCTGCGTCTCCCGTCGGCGCCGAGCGCAGTGGCACTCTGTTACTCGGCCTTCATTGTTGTTGTTGCTTACTTCCTCTTCAAATGCATCTACAACCCCTTCTTCCATCCCTTAGCTAAATTTCCTGGGCCATGGCCCTGTGCAATGTCAGAGTGGTTTCTCGGTTTGTTTATTCGTGCTGTGCCGACCTACGGTTTGAAACTTCACAAGAGATACGTTGAGTTTGGATTGAACCCTGTGCGCCTGACCATGTGACCTAATGTATCTGACAGGTCCGATTGTTCGCCTAGCACCAAACATACTTTCTTTCAGCGACGCCACGCTCATGCCGCGCGTATTTCATAACGCTGCTGATAAGCCCGCGTTCTATGGATCCTTGATGTTTGGCAAGACAGCTGCCATACTCCAGTCCCTCCCTCACCAAGACCACCACGCGAAAAAGCGGTTGGTAGCACCATGCGTACGTATGCACCCACCCACTAAGAAGATGCAGCATCAGTTTAATCCGCCACGTCCGAGCAGTGCTCGATGTTTTCCATGAAGACCCACCACGAGACAAAAATCAACGAACGCATTGAAGAGTTTTGTGATAAACTTTTGGAGCGATCCTCCATGCCGAACAGGCCTTTAGATTTCTCCGAAAATCTTCGGTAAGCCACATCCCCCCAATTCCTGTTCTACAGTTGTCTGATGCTTGTATCAAGTTATTTTCTTGACGATGCATGGAGCCATATAGTCTACGGCAGACCCAGAGGCCACATTGCGGAAGGCCCAGATGTCTCCGGGTACTTGGCTGCCTTTGCAAGGCATCTATAGCATGTCAGGCTTTGCCGCTGTGATGCCTTGGCTCATGCCTCTGCTACGGCACCCTCTTTGGAGGAGGTGCCTCTGGCGCTGGACCAGAACATTCACCTGCATTGATCAACTGTTTTCTGTATGAGCTTCCAAGCCCGAGAAAACTCTGTGGCGCATACTGACCCTACTAGGACTTTGACACAATGGTCTATTTAAGGAACAGGATCTGAAAAATCAACGCCTTTTCTTTGACGGGTCTGTGGCACCATTGGTTGTATAATGTTTAAGACCTAGTCCACTAACCGACAATGTTCTCAGACTGTCTAGAAATGACCTCAAAGCCGAGGTCATAATATTTACAGCGGCCAGTATTGACGGTGTAGCGGCATTCATCTCCGCCTTCTTTGACAACTTGCTCACCAATCCCGAGGTCTATGCTCGCATCGTGGACGAGATTCAAGCAGCAGATCGCGCCTGCAGACTATCACAAGGCGTCGTCATGTACGAGGAGACGACTCGGCTGCCCTTCTTCATGGCCTGCATCAAGGAGACGCTACGCCGCGACTCCCCAGCGCAGACCATCCTTCCGCGCCTGGTCAGCCATCCGGGCTAATGACCTCTATGGTGGTCAGGTGCACGTCCCTCCGGGTACGCTGATGGGGGCGAGCCCCTACATTGTCCACCGCGACGAGGCCGTATTTGGGGCCGAGCCCGAGAAGTGGAGGCCTGAGCGCTGGATCCAGGAGGAATCTGGCATGGGACCAAGAGAGCACCAAGAGTACGTGAAGGGGATGGAGAGGTACGGCCTCTGGTGGGGTTATGGTGCCCGAGAGTGTGCTGGCAAGTACCATGCGCAGATGGAAATGCAGAAGCTGTGCGTTGAGTTGCTCAGGCGCTTCGATATACGCATTCCGACGACTGGCCGGCGGCTATCACAAGCAAAGTGGGCAGTCGCGATGTTCTGGAACCAGCAGCTCATATTCCGGGCTCGACAAGCGTCAGTCTCCTGAGTGTTTTCCATGAGATGGAGGAAGTAGGGTGACCAAGTCAGGTTTCACTTTCAGAACTGGCAATCAATTTGAGTCGGTGTGCATGATCGAGCTGCACGGCAGAGCGGACCGGAAACTTGAGATAGCAATGATCAACTGTGAACAAAACCCAGCCATATGATCACTAGCAAATCACAACGATGGACACGGAATTGGATGGTTAGAATTCAGTGTTCAGTGTTGGTGGGAGTCGGAACAAGTAAATGCTGATCAAGGCCAGCGATCTTGAACTGCAGGTGGAGGCAGGGGGTGACATCTACCGGAGTGCTGTGGCTTAGGTATTTTTAGCAAACGCAGGGGCCCTTGCAGCTGGACGAGTCGGCTTCATCAGCTCCAATGCAGAGCTACAGGGAGCACGCTTATCTCATGGCTCAGATGGTCTTCACATGTGTACAGGGGCACGCCCATATTGGGTGCGGAGGCTGCGCTAATGCAGGTGTGACGGACGAGGTCTGCGAGTCAGAGATAATGCAGGGCCGCGCGAGCCCGTGGGTTGTGTTGCGTAAGCCTTCAGGAGAAACCTTAACCTCCACGACCCGGCTGGCTGGATCGTTCCGAGCTTCTTGCTTTCGCGGACGACATCCCTTCTCTTCACTTCACATGCTGCTTTCGCCTCGTCTGACATGTGGTGACAAGAGCAGTTGGAGAAGCACCGAGGCCGCCCTGCACGAGATCCGCTCTTTGTCTCTCATTTCAGATTACGTTGTCTCAACGAGTAAGGTCACCTCCCTTACCCGGCAGTCCGTAAAAGGGTCGGCCCTCCCTCCATCGGCCCCTGATCACCTGGAGACTTGTGCTTAGGCCTGCACGTTCCTTCCTCAGCTCGGCAGCGAATGGTGGCGTTCACAGAGACGACATGGCTAAGACGTCTTGCTCCCCATTGATGGGCTGGAACAAATCGCTGGCACTCGGCATACTCATCGTCATATGGGTTGTCTGGAGCCTGAGCTCCGGCACAACAGCCGACGTGATCTCTCGGCTCCCTTCTTTCCCTGCTGGCGGTGTCTCGCCATCACCAACAGATCCGAGCCTGCGACCTCTGGTCTTGTACACGTATGCCGAGTCGGACAACGCACGGGAGAACCTCGCCTTTTTCGTCAAGAATGGACTGCACGGCAATGCTGATTTCGTCTTCATTTTCAACGGCGAGACGAGCGCGGTCGACCTGTTGCCCCAGGCGCCAAACGTCCAGATAGTCAAGCGAGACAACAAGTGTTTCGATATCGGCGCTATGGGCGAGGTTCTGCGCAAGGACGACCTGTGGAAGGGATACAAGCGGTTCATCACCATGAACGCGAGCATCCGGGGGCCTTTCTTCCCGGTGCATGCCCCCAGCTGCTGGACCGATACTTTCCTCAACCGGATCACCGACAAAGTCAAGGTAGGAACCTATATATCTCGAAACTCGGGCCATCTGGTGACTAAAGAGAGAATGCTGACAAGACTGGAATGAATAACAGCTCGTGGGCACGTCGCTCAACTGCCACCCGCGGGTGCACCTGCAGTCGATGCTCCTCGCGACCGACGACGTCGGCATGTCCGTCCTCCTCGACCCGGCCCTCGCGCTCAGCGCGTCCGTGGACGACTTCTACGGCACCTCGCAGGACCCCGTGGGCTTCTCCCCTTGCTTCAGCACCCTGCACAAGGCGGTCCACGCCGAGATCGGCATCACGTCGCTCCTCCGGTCCCAGGGGTACGAGGTCGACGTCGTCATGACGGCGCCCCACTCGGCCGCGAGCTTCGAGGCCTTCTGCGACGGGGTCGGCAGGCCCGACGACTTCCTGTACAAGGACAGCTACCTCGGCACCAACGTCCACCCGTACGAGACCGTCTTCATGAAGGCGAACCGCGAGATCGACCCCGTGCTGCTGGAGAGGCTTACCGAGTGGCACTTGGCTGGGAACATGACAAGCTGGGAGAGCTGCGGCCGGTGAGGCAGGCTTGAGAGGCGACAGGCAAGGAACTGAAAGAGGGGCGCCAGCGCGGTTCGGTGCTTGGTACCGCGGCGAACTGGCTAGCTGCCGTTACATCGGCGTGTCGCCAGATCGACTTTGGTTTGGATGCCAGTATTATACGCACCATTTCCGACATTCGACAATCTCATCGTCCGTCGTGCCAGCTGAACCAGGCTCTGAATTCCCCCCAAGCCAACCTCGAGACTAGACCACCAGGGCAAAGGTGTTGGCCGCGCTGCCCAGGTGGGGTCGTAGTATGGAATAATGAGGGATGCCTCCTCATTTTGCTCGTGGGCGCTCGAAACCTGGTCGCGATACTGAGAATCAGCCGTCCATGTTGATCGACCAGACGATGAGAGAGAAATTGCCGTTTCTTAATACAAGAGCCAGCCCCTCGAGGAACGCTCTGTACATGTGTCAAAGAAGGAGCATGGTAAAGGTCGATGGTTTTTGAAAGAGTGTTAGGGGACGGACGCCGCTGGTGCAACCTTTATTCTGGTATATACATCCTCGTATCTCAAGGCTAGGATTTCAACCTTCAAGTTCAACCCTACGAGCCGAATTAGACACAGAGGTCCATGGAATCTATTACTGTATTCAAGGCAAACTATGTATACACACATGTAGGTACAGGCAGTTACCAATGATCCAAGCCTGTCAGTCTCGCAAGACAACGACAGGCTTTTCCCCGTCAACATCAACCACATCCACGACACAGCTGTAATTTTTGAAGTCCCTGGTCGGTATTTTCTTTTGGAACATCTCCTCCAGCTCCAAGTAACTGCGGCCCTTCATCTCCGGGAAGCAGAAGTACAAGTAGGCTGAGGAGAGTAGTGATGGGCCAAAGAACACGAACGCCACCTTTGCACCGAGGTTTGCATTCCCCGGGTTGATGAGAATCGGTACTATTTGGCCGACCAAGCATGCCGCCGCCGTGTTGCTCATGACGTTGATCGAGTATGTCTTTTGGCGCAGTCGGGGGGTGGCAGTCTCGCCGCCGACAGCGTAGGCCGCAGCTCTGAGGGTCAGTTGAAACTATGAAGAAACGGATTAGCGGGCGCTTCGGGGCAGAGAACATCTCTCCCTCCGCACGACGTACCAAGAAGGCCCAAATAGCCATCAGGGCCACCACGGCGGACAACGCTTGCTTGTTGTCGCGTGCAATGCTCAAGCAGCCGATGACGAGAAGCAATGTGGTCATGGCGACGCAGCCCCAGACAATGAGAGGGCGTCGTCCCGTGCGGTCAATGAGGAACCATGAGCAGATCTTACCGAATAGTTGAACCGTATAGCAAGCTTGAGCGACGCCGACGGCGTTCTGAACCCCTGCCAGAGTGAAAAAGTATCTACGATCCAGTTGGTCAAGACATGGTAACATGTCATCTGCGATGAGAAAGGGAAGAGAGGAGTAAGGTCTCCACTGAGCAGGCGACCCCAGGACTTACGGCAGATAACCAGCAACAAAATTGGCACCCATAAGTTCTTGTCGCGTGTATAAGGACCCGGGTATATTGTGCATTAGTGGCGTCACTTTTGTCCTTATAGTATAGCGGCCTAAAAACGTGACAGCTCTGCCGATTCCCCGCGGCGATTTGTCCCCTTTCCTGTTCTTCTTGTTGCGCCACCCCGTATTACACCACGGACGGACTTTCAGTCCCTCTTGGACAGCGACCGAAGTCTCTGCCATCCGTGATGGCCAAAAGAGCTTGTGATGGATGTAGGCAGAGGAAAGTGAAGGCTGGTCATCAGCCCCGAGGCCTTGGAAGTTCCCATTCTAGATGATCCGGGGGCTGAGCTTCTGTAGTGCAACGCGCATTTGCCTCGCTGTTGCGCTTGCGAGACGGCCGATATACCTTGTCTCTACAAAATTCCTCCAAGGAAACGAGGCCCGAGGTTCAAAAGCCAACGCGTCAGCCGTCAAGAGCCACCCGTGGAAGACACGATCACGGGTGTGTCGGAGCCTACCTCAACATCTGGCGAAGGTGTTTCTCCAAGCCCATCAGGTACTGCCAACTCGGCCCACAGGGCCAGCGCGAGGCAAAGCATAGACACATATCCAGAGGGCTTGCACAATTCTTTGTCGAGCTATGAAAACATCCCGAGGCAGCCCAGCGCCGGGCGGGGATTTTCTGCAGCGCCATCTAGTCGCTGCCGGGCGATCTACGACGAATTGGTCCACTTCGTCGAAAGGAGTGGGCCGACATGCTCGCTGGGTATGGTAATGCAAGAGTGCATTGATCTGTACATGGAGTGGATATTTCCGCTCTCGCCCCTCGCATGCGAGACTCACATCCGAGCCGGCGTTACCACGATCATACACGTCACCCAAAATTCTGAAGCCTTAGATCCGAGCCTCTCTGGAATTAGGGATCACACCTCAGCGTCCACGGATTTGAGTCTTCTGGAGATGCGTACATTTCCTTTGCTGACAGCTTTGTGCTCCATCACGTGCTGTGTTGTCCCCGCCAGTGTCTGGGCTGCTGGGAACTCGCTCGCACGGCCATTCCTGCAGGCATCACGGAACATGCTGGCCTGCTACCAAGATGGTGACATCCAGACACCTGACTCTAGCTCGATCGTTGTCCGATACTACCAGGCGAATGCACTTCATGCGCTCGGTAAGACCAGGACGTCATGGCATGTTATGGGGGAAGCCCTCCGGCTCGCACAGGAAATGCGCTTGTTCGACGAAGGCGCCTATCAAAATGTAGATGCCGTGGAAGGCCAGATCTTGAGGAACTTGTTTTGGTACATGCATAGTGGAGACAAGTCAGCGTCCATTCTCAATAATGTGCCCATCACTCTCCATCAAATCTTGCTCGGCTCTACCATAAACACGAGGTTCTATGGACAGCAGCAGACGGAACTCATCGACGCACGAAGATATGCAGATGCACCAGACTTTGAGCAAGGGCTATGCGAAGGCTTCAATTTATGCCAGAGAATGTGGTCGACAGCCTCGAACGTCCTCGTTGACATCCAGGTTCTCGTTCACGTCCACTTGAGATTCAACCTCGACATCCCTACTGGCGACTTGACAAAGGCGGCCATCACAGACTCATACTTGTCATTCAGCCACGTCATAGATGACTTACCAACGTGGTTGAGGGACCCCATGTCGGTAAAATCATCTGACGAGCGGTGTGAACGGTCGCAGAGACGAGCATTCTGGGCTCAGAGAGCCAATCTGTTGGTAACGTTCCATTGCCTACGTTTGATACTTTTGCTGAAATGTGCCGAGCACGGCCTGTCGTCTCTGCTTGGTCTGTCTGAGCACCAGACAATGTTGGCATTCCGCAAGACCGAAATTGCCAGTGACCTCCTTAATGTCGCGATGGGCGTACCATTCGAGGCCCTTCAAGCAAATGGAGAGCCATGCGTGAGTGTCAGTGTTACTTTCGTTTGGTCCCTGCCGATCCGCCTAGGTCGAAAAACTGCGACAGGTCGGCGTCAGTCTCCTGCAAATACTGAACAACGTAACTAATCCATCCATCGTCGATCGCGCCAAATCCCTCTTCACATGCCTGCTAGACATTCTGGCCAGCCTAAACTCAAGGGTCTCAGCGGAATTGAGCGTGGACTACGCTTCATAAATGCTATACTAATATGGCTCGCCGACTTACCGTGGGATCTAATGGGTCGGCGAATTATTCGGGCAATTATGCACCGGCAAGTTGTCTGAACTTCGGCCCAGCTGAGTACCCTCGTGCTCAACAAGCCGGGAATACCCAGCGGACTGTCGACCTGTCGCCGACGCCTGTATATGAATGAGAACAGCTGTGTATCCTTTTATATGGGTTTGGACTTCAGGGAAGCCTTTGCTCGGGTATTGCTCCCCTACTTCAGGACTAACCGAAGAAGTCACTACATTTGCAACGATTCCCAGCGACTGGGATTGTCTCCAAGGATAGGTAAGCAATTTGTACCTTTTCTTTCTATACCTTAGAGCTCCTTTCGAGCCATTTGCCTTGGTCATGCATACTAAAATCCTCACAAGCCCTTTCTGAAGGCAGATCCAGCCACCGCCTCGTTTTATTCATTCTGGTACCTGTCAACCTCAGCGGAATTGACCTCATCAAAGTAGGATGGGGAGGAACGAGGGACTGGCCATGAAAGGCCAAACAACTTATCACAATCCAATAATCCCAGGCTTCGCACCAGACCCATCGGTAGTACGCGTTGATGGGGTCTTCTACCTTGTCACTTCCAGCTTTCACATCTTCCCAGGTGTAAGAACACCCTGCCAGCACCCAGTCAGCCGAGGCTGCCATCTTCACTTGTCAGCTGGTACTCATTGTATGCACAGTTACCAATCTACTCCTCCGTCAACTTGCAAGATTGGGGAATAATTGGTAAGTCATGGCCAACTCTCAAGGTGCAGTGAGATACAAGCTCATCAATTCAGGCCATGCAATCAATAGACCCGGCCAACTAGATCTCAGCCAGGCAACAGCAAGATCATTTCCTCTTGACACGGGTCACTCAATGGTGGCCAGTGCTGGTCTATTTGCACCAACCATACGCCATCACCAGGGAACATTCTACATCGTTTGTACCAACTGCTTCCACCATAAAGATGCATGGCGGTACGAGAACTTCCTAATCAGCTGCAAGGACATCGCCTCAGGCACCTGGTCCGATCCCTTGTTCTTCCCGTTCCAAGGCATCGACCCGGATCTGTTCTTCGACGACGACGGACGCGCGTGCGTGCAGGGCTCCTGGCAGATGGACCGTCTGACCCAGCCGAGCTGTACCATCAAGCAGTTCGAAATCGACGTGGCATCGGGAAAGCCTCTGAGCGAGCCCCGTGAGATCTGGGGCGGGTTTGCGCGTTATGACACCGAAGGACCTCATATCTACAAGAGGGGAGCGTGGTACTATCTCCTAGCTGCCGAGGGTGGCACATTTGAGCACCATCTGCTTAGCATCGCACGGTCTCGGAACGTGGCTGGGCCGTACGGGTCGTTTTCAGGGAATCCAATCTTGACTGCTGACAGCAAAAACGAATACGTACAAAATACTGGGCACGGTGATCTGTTCCAAGATGAACATGGGAGTCGGTGGGCAGCAGTACTCGGGGTGAGAAACGAGCCAGGTCAGCCTCTCGGTCGCGAGACTTTCCTGGCCGCTGTCGACTGGCCGGAGGGTGGCTGGCCGAGAATATCACAGCCGGCCATGAAGTTCGATCGACATATCGTTTTCGGAAGTGGAATCAAGAAAACAACTGCCCGTGACGAACGGCATGAGTTGTGTTATGTGCGCAACCCCGACCTATCGTGTTATCATCTGAGCGGAGGAACTGAGAACCTGATCACCTTGCGTGCCACATCCAACTCCCTCTCTACACCGACAGGCACAATAAGTTTCAACGGGAAGAGGCAGAGGTCACTCAACAGCGTGACTAAAGTCGTACTGGAAGTTCCAAGTCGGAGCGAACATTCGGAAGATCTTGTCGCTAGATTGGCGTTGTACAAAGACCATCTCCGCCATGCATCCATTGCGTATAACTCAAGTACTTCACAGGTGCAGCTGCATATTTCCAACTCGGCAAGCGGGATTCGACACACCATGGCTCGAAACATTACCTCGGGGGTGGACAGACTAGGCTTTAGTATCGTTGACTCCCCAGGGAAGTACGATTTCTTCTTTCGAGAGGAGTCAGCACTGGGTGGCAGCTGGGTCAAGCTGGGAAGTATAGACCTCCACGCCCTCCACGCCAGAGAGTTTACAGGGCCCATCGTTGGGACTTTTGCTACGGGCGAGAAGAGAGATGTCGTTTTTCGTGACTTCGTTTCAGAATGATCATTCATAGCACTTGGGCTCAGAGCCCCGGCGGAAGAGCTCGGCGACCATGTTGGCGGTCTTTGGAAAGAAGTTTGTACCAACCTGTGGGCTCTGCTACATTTTGTTTCCAGCGAACAAATTGACAACAGGCAGTTGAGTCTGTCCATATAGGCATCTGGTATTCAATTAAACATTTAGCTTATTTCCACGAACTTTGAGAGGCTTCGTGGAAGACGAACTGAAACAAATTTCTTCATGGTAGTTTCACAGTGTCGTCAAGTCATCTGAATTCAAAACCCCGATCTGAGTATAAGAAAGTCCGTGACTTGGACATGTTTTTGGATACACCTAAATTGTGGCCAATACGTGTTTGATCCAACAGCCATAAGTCAGTTACAAGTTCCGGATCTTTCTAAGTTCTTCATTCCCTTCTCCCGAACGGTCTGGACCCAACAAATCGCTACGCTGCCGCTCAGCAATAACATCCCTGACGTATCTCACTAGAAGAGGTCCAATTTGGTTTGCTATCAGCTCGTCTCCTGTCACGTTTGGATGCATTCCGTCCCTGTTCATGTCGAGTGTATAGCCAGCCCCCGTGGAGCAGTCAGCGATTGTGATGGGAGAATCAGCAGAGCTCTTTTCTTCAGCCCATGATGGGATGCGTTTATTGAGTGTGTCAACCCATGATGGGATGCGCTTGTTGAGTGTGTCGAGTGTGTCACTGCCAACAGGGTCGAGAGCGTCAATGCCAACAGGGTCCAGATCGAGAGCTATCGGAATCAAAAGATCAACCTAGGCTTCGTCGTCAGTAGTTTCTTCGCACACTCTAGAATTTCAAAAATGATCACAAACAAGAATCTTTGCTCGAGGGTTGGATGCCCTTATCAGATCAATAATCTTCGTGTAAGAGTCGATGATGTCGCTCGTTGGCCGACCTAGACTAACGTCTTTCGTCCCAAGCATGATTTGTACGATTTCGGGCTTGCTACTGGCCAGCCATCCTTCGAGATAATGATTCGCGACATTGACGGAAAGTACGCCATGGTGGCCCTCATGGTGAAGGTCGAATGTTCCTGATCGAGCCCGGCAGTTGCGTGCGTTGTTGGTCTTAGAGCCGACGAATCGTACATCGTAGCCCAAGTCTTCCTGGACCAACATGTCCCAAACCATGGCTCTCCAGCACGTCAACTCAGTGATGGAGTCACCTAGCAGCACTACACGAACCAAGCTTAGCTGTGTATAATTAAAAGGATGCTCTTCAGTTCAACTGACTAATTTGGATCTTGTTTTCGGCAACGGCGTTAGCCAGCAAGCCGAGGGAAATTAGAACTTTGAAAAGCTGCATCTTGGACGGTATTCACGGCCAATGTAGGGGACCAGGAGAAAATGACAAGATTCCTCATTACAAAGATCAACGAGAATCGATGAAATGCCTGGGAACCAGTCTTTTGTAGTCATGCCGATACAACATTGCGTGGGCATTCCACAGAGCGCCAGACACCCTGCCAATGTCTCTTTACTTTTTCAGGAATCCTCTAGGTTGACTCAAAGGGCGCCAGATTTTCTGTTAACATTGGCCCAGATGGCGCCACTGGCGTTCAGGATAGGTACAATTCTCGGCTACAATTCCGCGCTCACCGTGGCTGTTCGCGGCTTTGGCGCCACTCCCATTCCAGCCATGCCCCCTTGCGTACGGGCACACCTCACCCGCATTGTTCTGCCTGCAGCTATTGTCACCTTCACCCCTATTCGCTGCCAGCGAGGCTGTGCTTTATCTGCGGAGGCTTTTCAAACCCCCAAACTAATTAATGGCCCCTTGCGCAGATCTACTACATGTCCATCCTCCTTCGTTTCCCCCTCTCCCGCCCCCTGCGATGCAGGTGCCAGCTTGGCTGCATGGGGCTGAAGTGCCTGACCAAAACTCTGCCAGATGTTCCCAACCAAGGGTTTCAAAACGCTGAGCAATTGACAGCCATTTTACGCCTCCTACAAGCGCCGAGTTGGAGGGGCAGCTACCCTATTCGTGGGACAGCAGGTCTTTTCTGATCACTGATGATCGTCCTGGTTATCAACTGCCTGTAGAATGGGAACAAGGCGTCGCCAAGGGCTCTCTTTCGCGCATCTGCGATCCATCGCGCAACGAGCCATTGGATTTTAACGAGGTTCTGGCGGATGCGCATTGGTTATCTGATGACGACCTGTTCCGTGATTTCATGTGGGCGACACCCGTTACGGGCAAGTTAAGCCCGTTCACCACGGTTGGGGGGCATGGGAGGCATGTTTAATGAGACTGTTGTCACTTAGTCACGGCCCAGAAGCTTGGTTTGACTGTAAATTGTTGATCCATCTTATGGTGGCCTAGAAAAGAAAACTGAAGGAAGATGACAGCACAGCTACGCGCGAAGTCGGAGCTAATTAAAGGTGCCTTCAGTGCAGGGGCCCAACTGACGCCCAGCCCCAAGCCTCAACGTTGCCACCATCGCCCTAGAGAAACAGCGCAGTGCGGTATAGAACTACCAGGGTATTCATATTCTCTTGGACAGCGACGCGATTGATCCATCTTGAGGATGTTTCGAGTAATCTATCACCAGCTGATAACCTGTTCTGAACACAATGTTGGAACTCAGCTCCACTAGCACTGTTGCAGCGCAGCATACGGAGTAGATCTGATCAATCTGCAAGGTCCTTCTGTTGCACCACGAATTGCTAGATCCTGTGTTTGACGAACGTCGCTGTTTTGACTCAGGCTTAGCAATGCCACATAGTCTTGCGTGGAATCTCAAACGTCTCAGCTGAAGCTGCGATGCTCGCATTGCGGAATGCCTCTCGAGTCGCTAAAACCTCGACAGTGCCTGAAAGGCCAGGAAGACTGCCTGAAAAAGTAACGCATCTTTCTGCATTTGTAGCATTGAGTTCTAGGGATTTCTAAAGTCAATCTGTCCACGTGTGAATGACTGGATTCAGGGATACTGTGCAATCATAATCTCAAGAAAGTTACAACTGCAAGGAACACAAGGGAAGGTTGACACCCGAGCTCTGTGAGGAACTTTCGCCAGGGCTCGGGCGTAGAACGTGGCATGTGAGATCCTCCAGAGGGTGACATCAGCACAAACCAGGGCCGATCAAAGTTGAAAGAGGAGACGGCAGCACAGGTTACGGCAAAGTCCAAGAGCTCAAGTTGCATGCTGCATGCTGCATGCAAGTAAGCTTCTTTCCCAACATTACCATCTCGCTCGAACAACCCGGATGTCTGTTCGGATGAGGAACAATGCAGGTGTATTGACGGGCGCACAGACTGCTATGCAGCGACCAAGGTTCTGTTCTGCAGGTTGGCACAAATCGTGTTTGTTAGTAGCCGGGCAAAGTGAGGAACCAGGTGTCCTATTGCCAACTCAGGCCGTCACCGACCGCGTTGACTGCAGTCCTCAGGGGACGCAAACGGTCGTTTTGGTGAGGAAACTGTTGGGTTGATCTCTCAAGAAGCACTCCAACCGGGGAGGTATCATCAGAATGAGAAGAACACGTAACCAGATGAGAAGCAAGCCCCTCTTTTGCTGCTACCCATGAATTGTTTGTTCACCGACAACACTAAACCGAGGCCCAAAACAAAGTGACGCGTCGGGACCGGACCGCATCGCGATCGAGACAACCCCTTCAAGAGGAACCCCCCCCCCCATGCCCAGGAACGTTTCCCAAAAACAGTAAGTCTGGGTGGTTGTTATGGCGCCACCTTGTGGGCATGTGGCAAACTTCCCGTCTAACACACCGGAGCCACAATTTGGGAGTACTCTGACCTCTCGGTTGTGATATTGTTTGGAATACAAAGGGACTGGATACATACTGCTTAAGAAGCATATGTATACAAATAAAAAACGAGACCACCCAACCACCTCATCAGAATATCGAGCTGTACGATCTATGATTTGGACGCGGAGGGCCAGATGAAAACAATTGGACATGGTCAAGTGCAAGTACTGCTGTTCGTCCCACAAAGTTTTTACACCGTCGTAAAGCCCAAAGACGGCGTCGTGGGTTGTCAAGCAGACCTCGGCGTTTAACCAACTCAACTTCTCATCGTTAGCAAGAGAGGTAAAATTCTTGCGCTGCACAGGCGATGTGCAGGTGTCGGCTGCCGCGACAGCCACAAAGGCGGCGAGCGCCGAGATAGACTTCATGACCAACGAATGGATAGAGGCAGAAAAGACCGTCAGCGATGTGAATGATTTAAAGAGCGGAAAAGAACGACTGAAGGACTGGGTAAGATGGCTGCCTGTTTGGTCTCCCAAACGATACTGTCTACAGCGGACGAGCCATCTTTTTGTGTGTGATCAAACGTCAAGTACGCTATCATGCATCGCTCACTTCTCACTTGAAGCTACCCTTGGGTAGTAGATCAGGGGTTCGCACTTGGCACTCCTCCATTTCTATCGCAGATATGCGCAGCGGTTGCGACTCGATTTCGTCAGCACTGTTCTGCCACAGGTGGCGACTGACCATCCATGGAAAAGCACTTACCCATTGTAAGGAGCGACGTGAAGCAGATTCAACCCCTGACAAGGTAATACGTGTATGAAAATACCTGTAATTTCTTCACTCCTGCCAGCCACTAATGTCACGTACGCCGGCGTGCATGGCATGAAATAAGGGGCTCACAAGCCTCAACCCGGACCACGTTGGTGGGGGCACCGCGCGGCCATCACCCACCCGCCAAAAACTATTATCAGCAGTCCCCAAGAAGTCCTCATCACTTTGAGAATTCCATAGCTTGGTTCACTGGATACGAGCAAAGTCATTATGCCTCACTAGGCCTGACACACCGACCAGAATATTCTCTTGAAGCCCTTCAAGCATTTGATCCGTGAATAATGTCTACTAAATCGTTTGTCACCCTTTACGCGCAAAAGTTCACCAGCCCATACGCGGATCAGCCACATTGCGGTATAGACCGACAAAGGGTACGCATGCGCGTCACGGGCGCGAGTGGGGCTGTTAAGCGGTGGAGGCAGCATGCGCATCACCACCGGGAAAGCCGGATGCATGATAGGTTCTTTGAAATTCATGTTTCAACGGATATTGTTAGCAAACGTTTCAGCTGATCATTATTAGACATTCAACAAATTGACGCGGCCCGCTCCGCTCACTTCGTCGGCCGTTTCCAGATATCCACTCGTCAGCCACGCCAAGAATCTTAGCGAGGACAACGCTACTATTGAGAAATCTTATTTAGAACCTGGGGTATGGTTAAGGATGATGGTTTTATTATTGTTGTTGTGGATCTTCTATCCGTGTGGGAGTTTGGGCGAGGTGTGGCGGCTGAATCTTTTAATTTCCCTGCTGTGTTATGAATACTTCATTATTTCTCTATGCTCTGATAGGCGTGCTGAGTTGTTAGGGATGATTAGTGATTGTTTTATTACTTTACTGGCGGTAAGGTCATTCTTAGTGGAGGAGGCGGAATAGGCATAAGCATACGTGTGATAGAGAAATCATAGGTTAAAGTCGGTGGTTACTTTCGGCTGAGCGCGTCATTGCTTATTGCCGAGGTACTTAGGGAAGTCCATAATCATAAACAGATTGAATCAAGAAAATGATCCAGCCGTCATTTGACCGTCAACACAAGTCTCAGGTGCCTGCTTGGATTGGTCTGGCCGACAGCCCGCAAACGGCATGGATACCGATTAGAGCCTCAAGACCCATCTTTCCCAGAGTATTCAAAGCCTTGACATGATGCCTAGGCCTTTGGCGAAAGCCCAAAGCCAATACGACTTTGTATCTGTTCAGTATCCTCGCAGCGCACGAAGGAAACAGGGGGGGGGGAGGGAACAAAACGTATTCTCACTCTTGTACGGAATTTTCCGTGCAATGTCTGCCATTCTCCAGTCTTGCAGATACCCTCGTGACGCCTCACTGTCACTTGATCCATACTCGTGAGGCGTTGATGGCTGCGCTCGTGGAGCTGCACTGTCCTCAAAGGGTAAAATATTACCCTTGGAAATGCGAGTGGCCGAGACATGCATCCCAACTATGCAGGTCCACACCACCCTGCGCTTTTGGCAGGAGGCTGAAACTAGTGTATACCGACACATTGGTCCACTTGATTTGACAAATATCACATGACCAAAAAAGATCCATCTCTGATTTCTTCAGATGACAGCAGCGATCGAGCGGATAGGAGCGATCCGAGATCAGCGCTCGAGAGGGTAGGATCGGTCCGAGGGGTGTAGAAATCGAGTAGGAAATGTCGTTCCGCGGAGAGCAGAACTCGGGTAAGTCGGATCGATGAGGTTTTCGATGCGGCACAGTATTTCTAATACACGTATGAATGGCATCCCAGAATCCCATTCAGTCATACTTATATCTATCGAGTTTCTCGCAACATTGTGAAAGCAGAACTTCGATCTTGCATACGAACATTAGATCTTGTCACTTAGCTTCCTGACGACCTTTGCTGTGATCATGGATAGCCTCAGAAATTGTCTATTATCATCAGCCATATGTCTCCTCTCGGCCACGGAAGCCTATGCTGCGGCACAGAACACCACCGCACTTCCTCATAACACCACCCTGCCGCAGAACACTACCGCAGAAGAGGCTCTTGTTGGCTGGGACGCCGGTCCTGCCCGACGCGGCACTCTCCGGCTCCTTTGGAGTTGTATCGCGACAATGTTCACCTGCACATGGACTGTGCTGCACATGAACGTGCCCGGCTACAATGACAGTCCCATGCGCAGATTGACGCGGAAGATGAAGTGGCTCGCCATCAACGTGCTCTTTCCCGAGTTCATATTCTCAAAAGCAGTCTGCGATCTTCGGCTAGCTCTTGACGAGCTCCGTAGGTTCGACGAAGGCCTTCGCATACATGGGCCAATAGAATGGAAGCGCGGTCACTGCAAAGGAAGCTGGGAAATCAAATATCCGGCGTTTTCTAGCATCATATTTCGCCTACTGTTGCTTAAGTGGCCGCCGGCACACAGTTCCGAGCTCTCGTCGGCCAGTGGTCCATTCTCGACAATCCGACGATCCCATTCAGACATTCAACCCACGAGTTCTGTCTTGCTGGACCAAAATTCAGACGAAAGCGGAAAGCAGACAGTACCTAACGAAGATAAGGAGGAGTCTGGGCCGAACAATGAAAAATTAGCTACGGGCAGTACCCCAGACACAGAGCTCAAGAACCCGGAATGGACGGTGGTGCATTCGTATTATGCCCAGATGGGAGGGATCTTGTGCCTGCATAAATATGCAGGGTGCGCCGGCTTGACTGGATGCTTCCCCTTTGCTTCTCCGGCGATGATTTGGGCTTTCGACTGGGATGATAACCAACACCCTCTGCAAGATTTCGCGCTGAGGGCAGAAGACATCCAGGACAGGAGCAAAGCAGACTGGCTCGCGAAGGGCGTCTCTATGCTACAAATCACATGGCTCATCATCAATGTCCTTGTCCGCGGTGTCACTGGCCTCCCTGTCACACAACTGGAGATTTCCGCATTCGCGTTTGCTGTCATGGCCATCGGGATATACGTGGCAAATTGGTGGAAGCCTAAGGACGTCTTGCGCCCAACCGTCCAGTCGGCGTCGTTCAAATCCTACGGGATGAACGACATGGGGACAGTTCCTTTTGTGCAGTCGTTCACTGACGGCTTGCACTGGCTTCGGACAACTCGGAACGTTAACTCGGCACCTAAAAGCTTTTGGGAGTGGAACTTTGCAACTGCAAGACGGGTTGAGAACGATCTAGTTTGGATGGATGGCGAGCCGCCTTACTTTTTCGTCATGGTGGGCTTATCATCCCTGGCCTTCGGCGGTATGCATTGCATCGCATGGAATTCCAAGTTTCCCACCACGACCGAGCTCGTATGTTGGAGAGTTGCTAGTCTCATATCAGCAATCCTGCCGGCAACAGTGCTTGGTATCAATCTCGTTCTCGACTATATATCCAACAATTATGGAAAATGCCGATGGAACAACGCACCGATTGACGAGCTTTGTGAGGACACTGCAAGGGTTTTGGCCAACTGCAGCAGCATGGTTTATATGACCGCCCGTCTGACGGTCATCACCCTCATGTTCACTTGTCTCCGTGCCGCACCGGTGGGCGTCTACCAAATGACCCCGTGGACTCGGTTTCTACCGAGAATCTCGTAGTAATGAAGAGCAGCTCTAACAACCCATGGTTCTCTGTATTTTCCATGGTCCTCCGTCTTTTTCAACACCAGGCTGATGAACGCAGTGGACTATAGGGACGTTAGAGGAACTCGTGGAAAGGTTTGGTAGGGGGTTATCGTATTGTTCAGGGCTGCTTCCTGAGGAAGGCCCGTATGATTACTTGCATTCTTTTCTTGAAAGTTCATTCTCTTGTAAACCAGCAATGCATAAACCATTGAAAAGTATGAGGTATAGCAATGTTCCATCAATATGTGGCTGAATGCATTGGTGACCTCAATGTTGGAGAGCAAATTTGCACACTTCTCGACATGCAAGACCGATCATTTCCAACATTCTCCCAGCAAAATAACAATGATATTTTTATTGGGAGATCTGATGAATCTTGCAGAATTTTGTTACTATTGACTTGAGATATTCATGTATATAATAAACAGATTCTGACCGTTTTATTTAATCCTGATGGCAAGATGACCGGGCAGTCTGAGGTGTTGCGTACAGGGGAGATAACGTATCTTCCCTACAAACCAGGACATTGCAATATCGTACATCTGGGCAGCGGAGGATGACTGCTCACTTGCTCCGGCGGAGGTACGACGTTGTCACCTGTCGCACACGGAGTTAAGAGAATGAATGGTCAGTCGCCGGCTGTTGACTGCTCTCGGTATATCACGAGGCCTCCCTTACAGAATTGAGTCAACATTGATCACATGAACGCTGACCTGCACGAATGCAGCCGGAAGACGTCTCCAATTGTAACTCTGGCTCTAGTCTCGCTCTCCGCGCCCAACTAAGCAAGAGCACATAGTACCAGAGCGCAAAAGATAATCTTCGCCAAAACCGCATGCCCAAAGCCCGGGGGGTTCTTGTCTTACCCCACAAGCCGTCACCCCTGCCCGCTCAGCCCAGCGGCGAGGCAGACCGCCACTTTGCCAGGCCATGCATGGAGACATAGACAATAGCCCCATCTACTTAGGGTATTCTAGCTTTTCCATACACGCGTTTCAGAACTTGTAACCGCAATCCTTCTGGCATACCCAGAAATAATCAGTGTTTGCCTGGTCACAGCCGTCGCACTGCACATGTCCCAGAATCGGATAGGTGAGTTTCTTCTCGAAGCTGCGGTTCTCGCAGTTGCAACGGGACCCTGTTGGCGCATCCTTCGCATCGATCTGCACCGCCTTCTCCATTGTGGCCGTTCAGAACGTTGTGGATGACGTGTGACCTCTGAGAGTTCTGCGCACTCTTCGTCTCCAGACGGTGTTCTTCAGCGCTTGTGTTGTCAGGGATCACGCGTGTAGTTTGAGCAAGATGTTTGAACAGCTTCTTGTGTAATTTGAACTTAATCCTTGACTCGTTGTCGCAATTTGTGTAGGATAAGGGATAGACAGTCGTTGAGCTGAAGTTCGCGTCTTTTTATATTTCTCGGCATATACGTGAATCACCTGGGAGGACTGATCAGTCTGGTGAGTGTATGGGTTGCCAATGATTTCGAAGTCGAAAGCATCTACCTGTGGGTTGAAGAAGCTGTCCACAATACAGCAACGGCAGCGGGTAGCTCATGACCAAAGGGAGTCAGAGACCACCGTGTATGGGTCGTCAGTTGATGAGGAAGAGATTTGACACAGCCTGTGACAAGTCCAGAAACTAAATGCTACACATACCGTCACTGAAATCTGTTACTCCCGAAAGACAGTCAGTCTTTGATGTGCGTCTCTTGAATCTGATGGTCAGACCCCTCACTTATATGATCTGATTGAAGATCATATAAGTCAGTCACGGGCTCATAAAAGCGCATGGACACAACCTATTGCTGAAGTTCGGTTGTGATTTCGGAAGGAGAACTCCATCATTTCCGTCGAACTAAGTATGATGGGTTATGATGCGTTCTGTGTGACTCTATTCTCTTACCTAAAGACATGACAATTTGGTGGGACCTTGCCTTGGCCGAGACTGCACCCAACGCTGTCCGACTTTGGGCGTCTACTTACAAATAATGCACGGGAAAAAGATCATTGCTGAGTAGAAGAGCGATTTCTGTTGGGTTCAGCTCGATGAAGCGTCTCCGCTGCCAAGGTCTGGCAGTAGTGCCGTGCTGTTGAATTAATTGAGTGGCCAATTTGCTGCTCATTGAGATTCAAATAATCCAAACTCTGCCATCTCTCACTAGACAGAAATTTTTATAATCGAGGTCTCAATCCGGACGGACATTGAAAGAACTTGAAAGTCTCCTGATAGGAGTCCACGTTAACTATTTGACCTTACGATCCTCACTTTGAACATATAGCTGTTATTTCAACTTGTATCGGGAATGATGCGTCTTCAGATACGCTAAATACGTCGGAAGCGATCTTTAATCACACTCTTGATGCCTCCACAGGTTTCCTGGGCTCCCAGCTATCTGATTCTGTCAGTTCCCAGACCTGCTCTTGCAGACTATCATGTGACAGCCGATTGACCCAGTGAGCATATTCGTTGTTCATCAATGTCCCAGTGCCATATCCTGTTACCCATTTCTTCTGTGATGTTTTCCATGTTGTCCATGCAAGTAACTTGAGGGACATGCGGCCATCAGACGCTTGACTGGAGGATTGTCGCTTTGCTTGTGTGTAAAGACTGCGAAACGAGGCTATACATGCCACGACGATTGCTAGCGATTTTCAGGTTAACACAACATTGAGCTTCCTTGAAATGGATCAAATTCCACGGAAATGTTTGGAATAATGGACAGGCCACAATGCCCGGGGGGGGGATACGGACGAGGAGGGGAGTCGGGTCTTTGCAACATTAGCAAATTTTGAGAAATGTAGAAGACGTACCGAGAGTCATTTCCACCGAGTTCCATAACAGAAACCAGGATAAATCGGTCAACTTCCCCTTTAAACCCACTCCAATACGTATGATGGCACATATCATCATGAAAACAGTCATAGAGCAGACGGCGACCAAGACCAGCTTCTTGCGTAATGGTAGCATGGACTTCCAAACGACATGACTAGGTACAGCCAAGACTATAGTTGTGTTGTTTAGTCAGTATATTCCGGCACTTGTTTCAATTTTATTGCCTCTTGATTCAAGAGAGTGCTGCAGCCGAGGCTGAGAACGTAAAGCAAGTCAAGTGAGACTCACCCAAAGCATCCGTGACGACGTCCAGAGTGGTTGATACCCGTGCTGTAGCGAATTCATAGTCTCGGGTTTTTTGGCTATTGCACTTTTCTAAAATTTGAATCCATCAATTCTAGTTCATCATTCGTCACCTGTCCGAGGACAAAGATCAGAGGGGAAATACTTTTAGCTACCGGGAGCCACAATGAGAGACACGTACCAATTATGTGTTCCCAATCTGACGTCAAGCAGTAGTAGTCGAACATTCCGACTGAAACGGCGTAGGAAACAATGATGAGGCCGAGCACGCTCCACCACAGGACCTTTTGCGCACGGAGGTTGTTGCCTAACCCACGAAAGAACACCATGAATGACAATTTGATGATGTACAAAGACGTCCATGTACAGTAGTATGTACCTAAAATTGCGTTGAGGGCGTGCGCGTACTGTTTCAAGTAGGCGCTCACCGCAGTGTAGAAACTCCCGGCGTTACCGGAGTCCAGCGTAACATAAAGAATGTTTCCGAGGACAGTCCACGTGATTGTGGTAGCCAGATACAAGGCCCATGAGGCGACGACAAGGTAGTCATCTGCTTTGAAATGTCCGATGACTTTGCGGCGGATGTACAGACGGGCGAGGATGAAGAACAGGGACAGAATCGTGCCAGCCCAGTAGACACCCTGTTGCGTTGATTGAAATCAGTCAGTCAGACGTAATCCTGCTATGAGCCTCGCGGTGGAAGCAGGCCGGAAGATTGCACGCACCAACAGAACTGGTTGTGAGACACTGGGTGCTGCCAAGGTAGATTCGGGTGAAGACATGTTGATATTGCAGACAACTTTCAGAATTATCCATCAGGCGGCTGTACTTGTAAGATTACTATCCAGCCGTCTTCGGGAAATTAATCTATGTTCACTTTGTGCTGGCGGACTTAAAACCATTTATGCTAGGGTCCTTTCATCCTCTGAACGGTTGTCACTGGGCACAGCCATGACCGTGTGGAGAAAATAGTCAGGAAATATATGGGGTAAGTATTCGTCACCTGACCCCGTTGGTAAATATATTATCTAAAATTGAATGCCTCAGTAACATCACGAAAAGGCGGAATCAGGTTCAAGATTGCAATAGCCGCCAGAATGGTTGCGGCTGATGTTTTTTAGGTTTATTCCTGTCGATCAAACCCCACTGTGAGCTACCAACAGGTAGCGAATATCCAGTTGGGCCTGGACGATTAATTGAAAGGATGCGGTGGATACACAAAAAGACCTGGTAGCAATTGGCCATAAATGGCAATCGTTGTTGGTGAAGCCCTCGTGCGCCGCATTGAAGGCCCAGTTTGAATACTACCAACAGGAAAGGGTACTTGGGTGGGGCTTGAGCAGGTACACCAAAACACGCGTCGGATGGTCAGGTATCTCGCGGCAAGTGGATTCCGTTAGAAGTAGTTGGTGTTGGTACCCACCTGAAGACGGGCCCACTAATTGTCATTTTGTGAACTACATACAACGGATATGTCAAATCTGCCGTTATTCAAAGATTGGACATGACTTCTGGTTCTACGGAAGTCTTCGTATATTGATCTGGCAGGAGGACATTTCCACATATTCTTTGTGCCGTATCCTCTGCGTTTTGTATGTTTCTACAACGTCAATATGTCCTACCATCCTTTGTTTGACTCAGTGGCAGTGGCATTACTGTCCATCGCCAGCCTTGCATTCACAAAACCATCGTCTGGCCAGCGCGTTGGCTGTCTCGCTGTGTTGAGCTTGTTGACGTGGCACTGTGTTGTGACGTGTCCAACATACATCAATAGGAGCTCTTGGGCAGCTTCAGTAGGAGGTTACACCCTCGGACTCCTGTTCCACTATCTCGATGTTGGCGTTCTGAGCAGATGGAACTTCGAGCTGCAAGGGCCTGTCAAGGATCTTGCCAAAGGGCCTCTCACACGACACGCAAAAAATCGTGCTGCAGGCAAACTTGCGACTACAAGACAGAAAGACAGCCGCTTCTCTTTTCTCGCGAGGCTCAAGTTCGGTTTCTTGGTCTTCTGCTCATGGCGCTTCATCGATACACCGTACCAGGTCCGAAACGTTCCCGTTCTGGGAGAGAATATGCGCCGTAGCCGTACTGCCTTTCTCATGCACACCGGCACAACTATAGCGGTGTGCTACCTGCTTCTGGACGGCATGCACTTATCGCAAGATCCCCAGATCGCCGAGAAGTTCTTCTCGGTGGAGAAGGCGGGCTTGTTTTCCCGTCTTCATTCGGTGACGCTGGAGGAATTGTCCATTCGTTTCTTCGCGGCTCTCGCTCTTGGGGTGAGCCTTGTTTCTGTTCAACGCGGCGTGTACTCCATTCTGTCTTTTGTTTGTGTTGGATTAGGGATTAGCGATCCGGAACAGTGGCCTCCTTTTAACGGCAATATATCGGAGGCTTGCTGCCTGAGAAAGTTCTGGAGGTGAGTAGCTGTGAAAAGACCATGCTGTTATGGCCTAACTGACTTACCAGAAAACCTAGTTCATTCTGGCACCAGATGAACACCCACAGGCTGCTCTCAGTTGCCAATTTCTTGCTTTACGAAGTTTTACGTGTCCCTCCAGCTTTCAAAGGCAGCACTGCTGAAAAATTCCTCGGCGCCTGGATGGTCTTCTTTGTCTCCGGCATTTTCCATATCGGACTAGATGTTTCTGCTGGTAATGAATCCCAATCCCCCATCCCTGGGAGGAATAGAAACTCCGTTTTCTCCATATTACTTGGCATGACTGACAAACACACCAGGTATACCCGCTACAGAGTCCGGGGCACTGGCATTCTTCTTGATACAGCCGCTGGGAATTGTTATGGAGGATTTGATTAAATTGGCAACAGAGCCGCTGTTTAAGCGCTTCCCGTTTCCCAATTTCACCAATCGCTGTTTGGGAGCTCTCTGGGTTAGCTTATGGATGGCATGGACCGCGCCATGGTATATGTATCCAATCCTGGGAAAGGGGAGCGGAGATGACGGTGTTATTCCAGTAAGCATAATACTGTACACGAAGCGTCTTCTGAATTGAGCTTTTTAATCAGAGAAGCACGCCAATTGGCAGATCCCAATTCACTGCGGTATTCTGGGCCTTGCAGCCTGTGATGGCTTCTATGGACGGAATGTGTCCCATCTATGTTTTATGATGAAGACAGATGGTACACAGATACTACCTTTTAAATAACATTCCCGCAGCTAATCACTGGCAGAGCATAACACCCACACCCACATCCCAAATCCACAGCTAATTTACATACCTATGCTCAATATATATATTCATATTGATCAGGCTTAGCTGTATGAATTTGGCGTAAGTGTGCTGGTTGTGGGTGTGTTGAGTGTGGGTGTGTTGGGCATAAGTGCATTAGGCGTACAATGTATCTGTGTACCATCTGTTTCTTTCTGTGCGAATATCCGTTTTCTTTATAATATCCAGAATCAATGATAGCGTATCGGCTCCTTTGATAGGACGTAGTTTTTGAGGATGTACTCCAGTATATATCCTCGTTCATTTGAAGTGAAACATGACATAAATCCATCTTAATTTAAATAGTTTGGACTTTTCATTTGATTTGTAGGAGGTTATATTTTATGCATAATAAGTATGCTCAGACATGGTCTGAATTATCTGGGTCTAGCCGTTGTCTACAAGGCAGTTTTAAGACTCCACTGGGCTATGCAGGCCATCATCCTTTGACGTCCTGGTGTTGTCGGCAACCATAGCGGTCTGAGCGGATGTTGTAGGAGCCTGGCATTATTCCGGGGAAAAGTCCTAGGGACAGGAGCAGTCGGTGTCATAGGGGAAGTCCCGATACAGTTCTCTAGTACCACTTACGGTGAACTTGTACAATGCGTCGTTTTTCGGAACACGCGTAGACGGCCTATCCCAGCAACGTGGGTCTACGAACAGGGTCCGTTTTCTTTTTTTCAACCTTATCTCGACGTCTGTGGTGGATAGCTGGCTTACCCTGAGTGTACGCAGCTGCGGAATATTGAAAGCAGGCCCCGTATGAGCGGCCAATATCAGCCCTACCTAGTTACGAAGTGTTGTATGGCCACGGGAAGTGCCAGGGTGCCAATACCCTGCTGGTGAGCGTTGTCTTCATAGGAACGACTTGTCAGTGGGCTGACCATATCCACAATGTATCGGACAACAGAAAAGGAATGGAGGGCCAAGATAACAGCCCCTCATAACAAGTGCAAGGTCTCGACTCGGCCCGTTACGAACGTGGCTCCTGTCACCGCACGCGGGATCCGACCCCCCGGCCCCAACCGAGATGGCGCATCTGCACCCGCGGCCGAGTCCCGGGTGTGGCTCATCCCGTCTCTAATTAACCTTCGTTACCGTACGTGACTTCTCCTGGCTGGTGCATTTGTCTCAGTCGCACAAATAAAAAGAAAACCGACATGACCTGCCCCGTAAGGACGACCACTTTGCAACAACCTGCGAGCATCCGGTACCGACAACCGCACAAAATAGGCAACTTGCAATTCCCACATGTGACGATCAACCCACCGAGACCACCCACGCTAGGCAGCACAGCATGCAGGCTTCGAATAGTCGCGGCGGGCGCGGGCCAATACCGTGCGGCTGATATCCAAACCAGCACCGAGAGAGGCTTGGCGCCCTGATTCCTTCCACCCCTCCAAAAGGGAAAATACGAACGGGAACGGGCAGGGGTCCGCATCCCTGGCGGCTCATCTCATCTCCCCCAATGCTTCGGGTCTAGAATGCCCACGGTGTGGCCCTGCGCCCAAGTGGGCCGATGCCACGATACTATCGTGGCCTGGGCGAGCCTAAGATACGGGCGCGGGATACGGCACGGTGGGTGTGGTGGTCAGCAGTGAGACGGCGACGTGAAGTTTTACTTCTCACAACCCCTCTGCTTCTGTGAACTCCTTCATCTTCTGACTTCTTCGCGTCTTTGCTTGGCGATCGCGTCGTGCCACTGCTGTTCCTCGACTCTCGTTGAGGTCAGGTCTCGAGCTCATTCGTCTCGACACCTCTGCAGCACTCGTTTAGTCCCAACGGTAGTACCCATCTTTAATGTTTAATCTTTAATTGGGTTATCGACATTCCACTGGATTGCCCATCATGCTTCTGAAGACTGCAGTCGCGATATCGCTGTCCCTCGTGGCAGGCGTCCGCTCAGATCCCACATGGCCGGCAGCAACAGACGAGATAGAGGAAATAATGTACCAGCTGTACGGCTCCAGGGCGCGCCTGTTCGCAGACACGATCACACCCTGCTCAAAAGAAGCCCACGGGGTGGGTCGAAAGACTGCCTCGGAGTGGCTCCGGGTTGCATTCCACGATGTGAGCTGGACTTCGTGTGTCCCGAGGGCGTGAAAGTCGCATCGCTTCTGACATGAGATACGCAGATGGCAACAGCAAACGTGTTCTTCGGCACCGGCGGCATCGACGCATCGGTCATGTACGAGCTCAACAACGGGGAGAACCTCGGGCCGGGGCTCAACACGAGCCTGATCACCTACGCGGGCTTCTTCTCCCCGAGGAGCACCATGTCGGACCTGATCGCGCTGGGCGCCTCGCTGTCGACGCGGGTCTGCGGCGGGCCGGCCGTGCCCGTCAGGGGCGGCCGGGTGGACGCTACGTCGGCGGGCAGTATCGGGGTGCCACAGCCGCAGAACGCGATATCGCTCTTCATCAACCAGTTCCAGCGCATGGGGTTCACGCAGTCCGAGATGATCGGCCTGGTCGCCTGCGGGCACACGATCGGCGGCGTCCACACGACCGAGTTCCCGGCGCTGGTGCCCGCGGGGACGGCGGCGAACAACGAGTCGGCGCTGGACTCGACGCCCGATGTCTTCGACAACAAGGTCGTGACCGAGTACCTGGACGGGACGACCAAGAACCCCCTGGTCGTGGGGCCGTCCGTGGCGCTGAAGCAGAACGCCGACTTCGTCGTCTTCAGCTCGGACAGGAACGTGACGATGAACGCCCTCGCGAGCCCGACCAACTTCACCAGCACCTGCGCGAGCCTGCTGCAGCGCATGGTCGAGGTCGTCCCGTCCGGCGTGGCTCTCTCCGACCCGATCCTGCCCTACGCCGTCAAGCCGGTCGACCTCGGACTCACTCTCAACAGCGGCGGCGAGACGCTACTGCTGAGCGGGAGCATCCGCGTGCGGACGACGGGACTGGCACAGGCCGCCAGCAGCGTCACGCTGGCATACAAGGACCGGAGCGGCGCGAGCTGCGCCTCCTGCACCATCTCGGCAACCGTCCAGGCGTCCGGTTCCGGTCTGGACGACACATTCGACTACTTCCCCATCTCAGCCAACATCCCCGTGGCGTCGGGCATCTCCTCCTTCACCGTCACGCTGGAGTTCGCCGACGGGACGACAAAGCTGTACGACAACAACGGCAACGCCTACCCCATCTCGGACGCCGTGATCCTGCAGAAGCCGCAGAGCTGCCTCCTCCAGGGTCCCGGCACCCTGAACGTGTCGGCGCTCGTCCTCAGCGACCGCGCGGCGTCGCCGGTGGCCCTCGGGATCCAGTACCAGACGCCGCAGACAGGGATCGCGGGCCCGCGGCTCCAGAGTGCCAGCGTCGCCATGGCGGCTGGCGCCTGCGTGGGACCGTACACGTTCTACACGGCGTCGTACACCATCCCCGGGGGGATGTCTCACGCGGCGCGGCTCGATGTCACCAGTGGCAGCGGCACTTCCGCGGCGTCCGACACGTTCAATCTCGCGTCCGACCTGGCCGGGACGTGCCTTGAGTTCTCCGGAGCTGCTGCGTGCGGCAGCGCTCCCCCGTCGTCGTCGTCCTCGGCCGTGAGCTCCACGCTGTCTACAGTGTCCGTCCCGTCCAGCGCGGTCAGCACTTCCTCTCTGTCGACCGAGTCCGTCTCGTCTTCGGTCTCGTCTGTGACGACTTCTTCCACTGTTACTGCAAGTTCATCTAGCACCTCAGCGGTTGCGACGTTGGCTCACAAGGCTACAGTAGCCGGGTACGACCTCGTGTCTTGCTGGACCGAGGGCACCGGCGTGCGTGCTCTTGCAGCGTCCACGTACTCAGACGACAGCATGACACTCGAGTCCTGCGCAGCTTTCTGCGCGGGCTACAAATATTTCGGGGCGGAATACGGAAGAGAATGTCAGTTCGCCCGATACCTAGTTTCCCCCTTTGATGCTTTCCCTTCACCTCTCTAAGTTAGCCCGCTGACCTCGCTCGTATAGGCTACTGTGGAAACACGGTTGATGCCTCGGCCGAAGCTGCCCCCTTGGACGACTGCAACATGGTCTGCTCCGGCTCCAGCGTCGAGTACTGTGGATCTGGTAACCGCTTGGAGCTCTACTTCAACAACAGCACCGAGCCAGGCACTGGTGAAGGCGGAGGCGGGAGTGGAGGCGACGGCGGTGAGCCAACACAGCCGGAGGTTGTAGGAGCGTACAAGATCTATGGGTGCGTGACAGAGGCGGACCAGGCCAGGGCGCTGACCGCGCGGAGCTTCGTGGATGCCGGGATGACGCTGGAGCGTTGTGCGAGTTTCTGCTCGGCATATACCTACTTTGGCGTCGAGTACGCCCGCGAATGTGAGTTTCCGTCGTCTTTCCCATCCTGGCCACACGTGAGCGTCGGTGTGTGATGCTAATATGTCCCAGGTTATTGTGGAAACAGCTTCGGGACCGGCTCGGTAGCTGCTCCGGCGGCTGATTGTTCAATGACATGTGCGGGCAACGCAACACAGTTTTGCGGTGGCAGCAATAGGCTCAGCGCCTATCAGAAATCGTGAAATCACCTTCAAGCCCAGTGATTATCATCCATGGATGCTTTGTTCTCGCGTCGGGAGTTGGGACCAAAATCCAAGAGCCGCCTGCGCCAGTCAACAATTGCGAGCGTGTCACTTCGTCCTACTTGCTGTGCCGTGACGTATAGTCGAGCTTATCCTGGACACGTGTACTGTGAAGCCATTGTCCAAACATCGCTGCCCCAAGGTTCGGCAATGCTTTCAGCATAGATCCTATCAAGTCCTTTTACAAGGGTAACTTGAGGCCCAATCGTCTGTGGTTCGCTTCGTCACTTGGGCTCCCGGGCTTTCCTCTCGAACAGCTTGGCAGCTTTCCCATTCGACTTTCAACGAGCAATTGCGCGTCGTATGTGCTTCGATCATGCTTTCGTAAAGTTCCGAAGCCTGCAGATGAAGCCATTGGGCGAGAGATCCACGCGATTTCCAAAACGCTCTTTTGGTAAACGATTGGTCCGATAGCAGAAGTGTCGTAGTTGCCTGGATATCACTGTATGTGAGGGTACACGGCATGACTTTAGATGAAAAGTTTCGATAAGAGGTCTCAACCATAGTCCGGCATATGGTGGTGTTTTCACTGCCACAGAACACCAGATCACGTTGCTCAAGGGCAACCGCGCAGCCGGTGCTGACCAGAGTACAGAGCACACCAGTAGCCCTAGTATGTAGCCAAGTTCGTTTGCCGTTCACAGCATATCAAACTTGTGGGAAATCTAGCCCCCAATGTCATACAGCCTGACATCTCAGGGTGAGGGTGAGGCAGACCACGGGTGTGCCACAGATGGTGCAACCCGGGAGCTAGACCTCGGCACGGATCACCAGTCGGGGCTGGCGTGTCTCGAGTCCACGGCCTGGACCATGAATGTCCTCACCGGCTGACCAGCCGATGGTTTCCAGTCAATGATGTGTGTGGCTGGTTGCTTGGGGCGCATGCGGTAGGCTGTCCTGCCTCTGCTTGCCTTTCCAACCAAGCAGCCCAGACGGTCCAGACGACGCACCATCAAGAGGGGAAGCAGCCAGTCACAGCGGACCACTAGCTCCGGACGCATCAAAACAACAGCACAATCGCAGATCGAGGAAAAGCGGAGACAATCGAGATTGCCCTTCAAGGCTCCGAGGGCGGGCGCAATCGTTGGCCTTTCCGCCTGTCATGTGGCGATCCCCCTTTGGCCCCTTCAGGTCTGCTGTTCCCAGCCTAGCGGCCGAGGTTTGCTGACTCCTGATGGGATTTCCCATCTCACATTTCCCGCTGCCAGGCGGCAGGCTGGCAAACAGAAGCATTGATGGGCTGACGAGTTGAAGGAGGCGGAACGACTTTCCCCATGGCTTGACGTCACGACGGGGTCTGACAGGTGCATTCCAGCGAATTGGAGTAGTCCCCCCGCCAGGGGTGGTCGATGGTGGGGGAACCGCCCGAGCTACGACACAGCAGCAGGGGGGAGCTTATATCCGCTTCTGGTAGGTGGCAAGTGCTCAGCATGCCCACCGTAACGTCATACTTTCTGCTGTGGACAAGGAGATGGAGAATTTGGGATGGGAAAGCGGAGCGTTTGACCAGATCTGATAAAATGCAAATCATATGGGCAGATTAGCTCTCGCTTCTCGGAATCAGCCGCAATGGCACAGCACGGTCATGCTGCAGTGCTATTATGTACTCGTAGGCTGGCTAGTCTGGCCGTGCATCCATATTCTGTACAGTAGTGCCTAGGCAGCAGATGGTATGTGTGGTGAGCTCGAGCAAGTGCCTGAACTGCTTGGAGCCCGTGGTCTATGTGCTTGTCTCTGCTGGATGTATCTAGCTGTAGCTACATCGCCGTGTTTGCGTCACAGAGCCCGCCGATCCAGCCCAGCCAGGTACAACCAGGGATCTACGTGCCTTGTCTGCTTGTGTACGCATTTTGCCTCAGCACGTCAAAGACCGTGTCCGTTCCTGCTTTGTGGGGCTTGAAGCAATGGACCCGCAACCAAACAAACCCGATGAGATCTCACACTACCCACAGTGTACCTACATTTCTAGCTCTATTGGAAAGCTTGTGTATGTCACTGCCAGTCTGCCAATCTGCCAATGTGTCTGACTGTCTGGATGCGTTGCCTTTCTGCGACCCCTCGACGTACTCACTACGTCAGAGGTCATGCCGCCCCACGTCTCACGGATGGATCTCCCCTTGCCTCTCCAGACCAGCGGGCTTTGTGTCGTCGGGAAAGTCAATGGACGACGGTCTGGCCCTCCACGCTAGCCTCATAGTGCTACTCCCTTGGACATAGCTCGGGCCTTTTCGTGCCTCTGGCCTGGCAACCTCCTTCCCGCACAACCAGGGGCTTTCATGACGTAGCTTCGTGATTCACATGATAGCCACTAGCCTGCTTGCAACTGCTTTGCTTGCTTGCCAGCCTCGTTGCCCCGGGCAAGTAAGTGTCACCGGAAGCAAATGTGAGGAAGGCACCTCAGTCACTGCCAGGTGTTAATGTTGACACAAGCGTTGTTGGTCCCGTCCCTACCTTCCCGTTCCCTGCCTCTGAACTACTTAAAGACTCTCAACTCCTCGACTTACGCCCCAGACTTTCTTCCCTCATCATCCACCATCAACCTCAAGCATCAAAGCAAAAGATCTTCATACACACACAATCAACCACCAAACCAAACAACTTCCACAACCACCACCAACCATCACCATGGATACCATCAAGAGCACCGCTAACTACGTCTCCGGTACGACTCGCCCCTCTTCCTTCCCTCATCCACTTCCTCAACTCCGTGACTGACTTTCCACCACAGACAAGATCCAGGGCACCACCCACGAGGCTTCCAAGGAGGCCAACAAGGAGGTCGCCAAGGACCCCAACGTTGGCATTGGCAACCGGTATGCTTCAGTCCCACCATCAGGTCTTCCTTGCACACATCAACTAACAACCTCGCAGTGCCCAGGCTGGTGTCGACGCCCTCAAGGACAAGTCTAAGGAGCACCAGCACGACGCTTCAGCTGAGGCCAACAAGCAGAAGGCTACCCACTAAGGGCCTTCGCCTCACCTCAAACAACATCATCATGACGAACCCGACATGACTCTGGCTTTTTGGCGTCTCGGAAAGACTCTCCGAAGATTATCACGGATGATGGACAGTCTGGCATGATACCGTTGGGCAGGACAGATTTCTTCACATACCCCCTAGGCAGTACTTCAGTTTCCTAGTCGAAGAATCAACACATCTATAAGAACATTCTGACCATTGCCTTGTTTGTGACATGTCTCATCTGCTTGCTCGGATTTGTCTCCTGAAATATGAGTGATACCGTCTCATGTTATGCCGACTACTTGTTCTCATCTGGTAGGAAAACTGGTCTTGAGACATACAGTTTGTGCAATAAGTTCGACCCATTCAGCATATTTGCGTCTGGACATGTTGACATCACTTAATGGATGGTCGAATTAAGTTGAAGTGGTTGGTCGGTTAAAGGATTCAAGGTTGCATTGAACTCCACGCGCACGGCCCCTGCATGCTGTTTCGCAACACCGGCAGAAGCGACCTCTCCTGAGTTCCACCAGGCGACGACTGCTCCCAAGAATTCGACAACAATTCGACTCGACTTACCGATTCTCGCAACTCGACAAAAAAGCTTCAACTCCATCAAGATTCCAGTTCCAACAATCCCTTCCATCAACGCCGTGCCAATCACAATGGCTAGCAACACAACAACCGCCGACCCTGGCCTTCCGCCAGACCTGTTCGACCAGACCACCCTCGTCTCGCTCGCCTCGACCGTCCTGATCTTGGCCGTGGCCTACGGGACCTCGCTCAAGGCCCTCTCGCCGTCGACCCCGGGCAGCTACCGCTTCCTCTTCATCTGGCACGCGTTCGACGCCCTGATCCACTTCTTCCTGGAAGGAAGCTTCCTCTTCCACGCAAGTCACTTGCCCCCGATCGCCCGCCCATCCATTCAAGGCTCCAAACAAGCTTACTGACAGCTTCCCGCTTCCCGCGGCGCGCAGTGCTTCTTCAGCTCGATACCCTACGATGACCTTACCGTCGGCGACCTCCGCTCCGGCCGCTACTACAGGACCCAGACGGGCTACCTCGGCCACGACGACCGCATCTGGGGCTCGCAGGCCGCCTCCGCCGACAACCCCTTCGCGCAGCTGTGGATGGTGTACGCGCGCGCGGACAAGAGATGGGCTGGTGCGGATACGGTACGTTCTCTTGGGGGGCACACATACACACTCGGGATGGCTTGGGCGGAATCGGTTGCCTCCTTTTTGGACGGGACAGGGAACAAAACGCTGACTTTCCCCCGCGGGGCTGCTAGGGCGTCGTGAGCTTGGAGCTCCTGACGGTGGGTATCGTCGCGCCGCTGGCTGTGCTGGTGTGCTACGACATCGCGAAGAAGAACTCGCGGGCCAACCTCCTGATGGTAATCATCGCGACTGCTGAGCTGTACGGAGGTAGGTGTCGTCCCACCGCTGTAACAGGCGTAACTCTTCCCCAGTAATGCATGGAGACGGAAAGCTGAAACTTTGCTCTGTTCTCTCTCTTCTTTTTAGGTTTCATGACGTTCTGCCCCGAGTGGCTCACCGGCAACCAGTTCCTGGACGGCAGCAACTTCATGTACCTCTGGGTGTACCTGGTCTTCTTCAACATGCTGTGGGTCTTCATCCCGTTCTACGCCATCTACGTCAGCTGGAACGCTGTCGACGCCGCCTTCAAGACGCAGACTACGGTCCAGGTGGTCAAGAAGTCCAAGTAGTGGTCCACTGGGGGGGGGGGGGCGGCCAGGCGACTGCCTTTGTGGGTGGGGCTTGCCTGGCAGAACGACGACCAGAATTACGTGGTGGCTTTACTCTCCATTTTAAGGAGAGTGACTAAGATTTTGGAGTGGTTGCTTTTGATTATTCAGAGGTTTACAGAAGGTTCTCTGTCAGCTCGAATCGATCTGACGTGCACCGTCTACGACTCAGTGGTTGAGGTGAACGAAGTCCGTTGATATCCCAGGTGGCTTTGAGGACAGTGAATCAAAGTTACTAAGAATCATGTGCTCTTTTCCCTTGTTTGTGATTGTGAGCTTTCTGTTTCGTTGAACCACGGATGGCATCATTCTGTTCTGTCATCTCGAGGTTTCTGTCTCCGCCCTATGGGTGAGGCTCCATTTGCTACTCAGCTCGAGGTGGCCTGCCGTGTGCACCCGCTTCCTCACATCGCGACGCCAGTGGTGAATCCTCATCGTCACGACAGCAGCGGATCTCACTCTGGTTAACTGTAGAATATTGGGCTGCCTCCAGTCACAAGCAGCGCAGTGCCTAGGACAGCAGCTAACTACGCTGAGTTTGAGCCTTTGGTGGTATGAAACCATAGCCAGAGAGGAAGACCCAACACGTTCGCACGGCAGTTGTAGGGAGCTGCGAATCATGGCCTCTTCGACGATGTTGGGTTCCGTGCTTCTGAAGAGAGGACCAAGAACGGCTCGACTCATCTCATAGATATTACATGTCTGATTCACCCATTGACAAGAAAACTACATATGAAAGTGTGAGATGGGAGCTTTCGAATATCCTTTGAGAGCCCAACTGTTGCTAAACATATTCATGGTGACATGCGAGACCATCACATCAGTCCCATTCAGGCACGACCTGTATATCATCGACGCCCCTGAAGCTGCAAGAGCAACAACTAATCCGCGTACGTGGATCATGTTCAACATGACACCGGATATGCTCTACATTGCTATTTATGGTGAATCAGAAAGGAGTCCAAGTCCTACTGTCAAGCCGAACGGTCATTCAATATTCCCCCGAGAACACACTTGGGGAGAGCGTGATCACGACTCTGACCGCATCATCTATGCCCCATTTCATGATGGCCACTGTCTCACGTGAGAGGCTTCGCGGGTAAAAATGACATTTCCCCAAGCACCCAGGTAATTGTGAATGTTTCTAGTATAGGAACGCGCTCTACAGATGGCAGAAGAGATGTCACATGAGGAAGGCCTCCGACGGGATTCCTTAGACGTGGAGACGGTAAGTATCAAGCATGAGTTGCTTCCCGATATCACCAAAACCACTGGTTCCAGGTTCTTCGAGCATAAAATCAACCCCTATGGCATGTAATCTCCATGACAAATGTTCAGCTTCGTCTTCACATGCTTCAATCAGACCACGCGTGAACCTTTCCCCCAGCATCATCTGTCTCGCGTAGAGTGATCTACTGATACCAGGAGCAGCCCAGGAGCGCAGAAAACTCAAGAGGCCACCCACCAAGCAGCCTCCCCTCATCCAGGAAGTGTAATCGTCTCACCAGATCGAGGCAAGGAGGTGGAGTCACATCGCCCTGGGGGCACACGCGACGACCACTCCGCCCCATAGCCACGATTCACGAAATGAAGGGACGCAATGCCAGGCGGGGGAAACTCCCACAGCCCGGTGATTATCAGAGCACAAGCTCATCAATGCTATGCCCCGTGACGAGGCAAAGGTGCCGCGTACACACACGCACACACAACTCTCTCTATCGCTGGGGCACAAACACTTGCCGCCCGGCGAGCAAACCCTATTTCCCCCTACCGAACCGCATTGCCTCGCACCAACCCCAGCGCGTCGCAAGCCCCCGGGGTCCGGGAGAGAGCCACCGACGAACCATCATCTGGCCTGTGGCAGGATCCGGCACGGACCGACAAATTGAAGGGGAGAGAGAGCGCTGGGTGTTACCCGAGGTGTCTCTGCAGGAAAAGCAAACGAGGCGACCGGGACGGCATCAAGGAGAGACATAAGGGGAGATAGCGAACAAGCACTCGACTGCAGGCTACTTTGAGTTGCCCGGCGAGGCTTGGGCGCCGCGAACTGTGAGGCTGGTTCCGCCGCATGTGTCGCACGCCATGGGGCCTGCCACATAACCTTACTGGTGCCATGGGACAGGTTCTCCTCAGCGTTGAAGCTATCAAGCACCACACCACACCACACAAGAAACCTGTTCTCTTCGCGCGCATTGATGCTGGGCCAACGCTTAGATGGCGCACGGAACCTCCCAGTCTAAGTGAATAATTCTCTTGCCATGAGTCGCAGCTTCAGGCACACTGCAAGCAAGCAAGCAGGAAAGCAATCTGCCCCGCACCGCCCTGCCTCACGATAACGGCGTTGAACCCGGCACTGGCGCGGGCGGCGCACGGCCAAGGTGGTAGTTTGGGCTGAGGCTGTGGTGGTGGTTCAGGCGCTGGGTGCGATCCGGCCCAACGGTCGCTTAGATTGATTCCTGCATGCCTGCCCGCCAGCTCGACTGCCCGAGCTGCTGATTAGCCACAGTGAGGTAGCAGGTCGCATGGCCCACGGCTGCGCGCCCGCGCGTGGGGAAATTAAGGACGTACACTGCCTCCCGCTTCAGAGTTCGAAGGTGAATCCGCAGCTCGTCGGGACTCATTCGTCCCGTCTTCGATAATTCTCCTAAGTCTTGTTTTCTCGCTAGTGAATGGATGAGTTTGTTCAGGTAATCCCGGCTGAGGGGACCTCGTCTGGACACGCAGGTCCCTGTCCAAGAAGCAAGCTCCCGTCTGGTGGTGACGGCCTCGATCCCGCCACAACCCGGCACCCAGTAGCCAAGGGAGAGACTGGCGGCCATTCTAAATGAAACAGGCCTCCGCACCCACACAGACGAGAGATCACAAATGCCTCGCGGGGGATCTCAAACAGAGAGAATTCAATGAGACAGCGTCGAGGTGCTGCGGGAGGACGTAGGCGTTACGGTTTGTACTAAGGCCATGGTAAGAGTCGAAACGAAACGCCCACTCAAACTCTCTTTCCTTCGGCTGTGGCACCCCTGGCCGGGATCAGGTCTCCTGGGACCTTTTTTGCAGGCCCGCCTGGCAAATGAACGATTGTTTGACGGGTGGCTTAGCCTCTGGGGAACCAAGGTTGATTGAAGATGCGGAGAGACACGTGTGTCGTCCGTGAGCGTTGAGGAAGGGCAGGTAAAGACGAAGATGCGCAGATCTGATGGTGACGGGCAGATCACGGTCCCCTACCCCGTCGTCCGCTCCTACGCAGCATTCGTTCTTCAGACGGAGAGACTGGGTGATTTACCCACCCTTTCTCTCTTTTGTTACGATATCTAGCTTTCAACGGGCCGAATTCGAGACGAAATGCTTGTCCCCCCAAGCGGTTGGGCGGCTGATGGGGCCCGCGATCTGCATCAGTGATCATTCAGCCGCCGGGTAGGTTGGATATGACAAGACCGAAATCCAAATATATCAAATGCGGAAACGACGGGTGTCCCCAGATGTTCGCGCAACTGACAGAGTGCCGCGGGTGCGCCTGCGCTCGAGGCACAGCGATTGGCCTCCGCGCTAGGCTGACCCGGCTTTGTGAGACGAACAGATGCTGTGGTGGGCCTAGATAGGCAAGTTATGGCGAATCTCTAACGCTATGTGACTCCTCACTGAAGCCTTACGCAAGACGGAGACACCCTGCAGTCAGGAGAAGGCCGTCTTCAGACGAAGGGATCTTCGGACGGGCGGCCTGCGCGTGGCCTATCGGCCGTGGCTTGGGATGAGGTTAGTTCGGACCACGGCATTGACGTGGAGTTGTCTTGGGAGGGATGAGAGGCAAGGTCTGAACAGTCATCATCCATCCAGGTTGGCAAGAGTTGGGTTCGACCGCAGTCCCCACAGCGAGCCACCTGACATCGAATCCAGCTGCTTGTCAAGCTCGTGCTCGGGGCATTGTTCATGTCGGTTGACGGGCGGATGTGTCTGCAATAGATTAATCTTCGACTCAGCCCACGTTCATGGCTTAAATGCTCCCCCGCTATCAGATCTCTCCGAGGACCCAATGGGCCGGCATGCCGGGTTGACAGCAGCCCCACGAGCGAAAGGATGATGATGCATCGAAATCTGCGCAATGAGAAGCTCGATTGGCGATGAGGCTGGCGTGGGAACGCCTTAGAATCCTCCCAAGGTGCCTAGATCGCGGCCGTGGCGCCTGGATGCTACGGTAGCGAGCCACATCCGCAGCGATGGGCGCAGATCGTGGTTTGCCCCCGTCATTTCGGATGACGAAGGTTCCAGAGCCAGGCCGAGATGTCGTGTGGAAGAATCCTCTCGCTGCTGATGCTACTTGCTGCTGCTTGCCACTGTGGGGCCTCGATGACCACGCCGAGACTGAGGCATTCTAGGGGCTCGATGGCCGGGGAAGAAACAGGGAGGCGAGGTGATGAGACGGTGCTGGGGTGTGGGTATTGGGAGGTGAGTGGAATGTGGGATGTGGGGAGTGACGTTGGCACGGGAGAGGCTTCGATCGGTCACTTGGTCGGGCGGGCGCACTTCGGGAAAGGTGCCGCGGATATTAATTTAGTCGGGCTGCCGTTGGACCCTTCGCACCGGAAGCTAAGCTATGCTTAATTGCTTCCCCAGTTGCGAGCAGCATTCATTCCTGTGAGTCGAGTTTGTTCAACTCAGAAAGGCGCTCTCTACCTGATCTTGGAAGCTGAGGACGGTCCGGCGGCGCGATGGGCAGCTATTCGACTCGGACGGTGCGCCGTCGTGCGCCTTCGCTTCCATCCTGCGATGAATGAAGCTGTGAGGTCTGCTCTCATTCGTCGTTCGTCTCTCCAAGGCTGTGATACAGGGGCCGATTCGACGTCAGAAACGGGAGGAGGGATTGACCCTGCAGGAGGCCCAGGCGTGGGTGGGGCTTGGCTTTAAGGTGAGCGTGTCAAGCTAGGAGGTGTTCCTCAAAACTGCCACCCTAGGCTGCGCTAGGCTGATAGCACCTCTGAGTGGCCCCTACCGAGTGAACGGAGAGTAGGAAAAGTGTTTCTGGGGGCTCGGGGCGCAGACGAGTGTGGCTAGATCATAGGCCCGGCCAGCACCTCGCAAGGTTTCCTTTTGAGACGACGTTGTCGAGAACGGGCACGAGAAACGACTGAAAATAGCCCCATGCAGATGGATCCATTGCTAGGCTCCTGTGTACACGTGCAAAGTCTGGTTGTGCCTCCTGGGCACGTTGCAAAGTTGCTGGTTCCAAGAGCACACGCGCGATGTTCGACTCATGAGCCAATGCCTGGCAGATCTGCACGCTCTCGATATCAAAGGTGACAGATATCTTGTGAGTGTATCCATGCCCATCGGAAGGGCTCTAGAAATTTCTTGCAATTACGTCCTGGGATGGCGAATATTATCCAAGAATCTCTCCATCTGTCAAGTTCTAGTAGGCTTTCGGAGGGTTTCCCCACGTGAACTGAGAAACGAACAGGCCCATGGGGGTGGGCCAGGCGCAGTCGCCACGGTGAAGGCGAGGCCAAGGCATTGTTACTCAGCAAGTGGGCAGGATGAGGTGGTGACGCCGTGGCGGACCTGAGCCTTGAACGGCTGGCCGGCAGGGCTGGGCTGGGCAGGGGATTAGTGGGTAGGTGGACTGGTGGCCGGACGCTGATAGAGGGAATAGAGGGAAGGCTCGGGAGGAGAGAGGAGAGTGAGGCACTGATAGGGAAAGAAGGATGCTGGCCCTTGTCTGGTGGGAGTGGGGAAGGGGTCCAGGGCCAGACGTTCTGACGCCCAGCACGCACGGGTGCGTTCGATCCGCGCCAGAATGGGGCCTAGCGCGTGCAGCCGCAAGCTCAAATTCAACGTCGTCCCAAGATTCCGACAAGTGCGAAACCCCAGGCGTGTATCATGACTGCCTCATCTCTTCCCGTCCTCAATGCTTGACTCACCCTCCCGCGACCCTGATGGGCTCCTCCCCCGGCCTTTACCGGAGCCTCCAGCAGGTTTTCCTTGCCACCCATGACAAAATGCAGTCACAGACGTCCGAAGCGATGCTCCCGCTCGGGCGTGGCACCTTGGTGGCCCCTCGGTGACTCCATGTAGCTTCCTCGCAGCTTCCCGGCGACGAGATACCTCTGGCCACTCCTGGTTTCCCTGGCTCCCTAGTCATGGTCGACGCCAACAGGAACCTCTCGAACCTTATCGGCCCTTGCCACGTCTTGTCCCCTCTTGTCGCCTCGTCCGCTCGCCTACATGCCCTGCATTGGCTGCATGGCATGGCATGGCATGGCATGGCATGGCATGGCTGGACGGGTCGCTGCCCGTGCTCGGCCAGGCTTAGTTCCAGTCCACCCACCCACGGGTGTGTGGGCTCTGCTTCTAGTTCGGCTTCCATTGATCTTCCCCTAGGGCCTGGCCCCCTGTATGTCCAACTCCTCCACCGTCGTCCGCGGTTGCTGAGATCATATGGCCCACGACGGTTGCTGCTAAGTGGCCGCACCACTTCTTCACCCTGGCCCGGCTTCGCAGTCGTCCGCGCCCGGGTGGCCTCGTTAGTCGTCACCAGGACCGGGGTGCGCCCAACTCTGTTCAACTTCTCCTCCTCCCACCACACATGCCGTGCTGTCCCTGTGCGCAATCATTCTTTTTATGGACCACCCATGCGATCTCTATCTTTATGGGTGCAGTCGCCGGCCTCCTGCTCCACTGGCGAATCCTCTCTGTCCCTGCCCTTGCATCCCTCCAACTGCCCACAACAGGTCAGGGTCTGTTTCGTCTGGTTCGCCGTCGTAGGCCCTTGGGAGGTGCGGGAACTATCCCCCCTGTATGGCAAATCCACTCCTCTTTGGCTCGACACCTTAGCATATGTTCATTTTCCTCCCCTACCCTACTCAACTGTTGTTTGATGTGCCATTCCATCTTCTCCATCCAACCCATACCATCGTGTATCCAAACATTCATTATCGTATCGATGACTTGACGAACGCGGGGGAGATTCGCGCGGCTCGACGCCATCAACCTCTCCGAGGTACAACAATCTCTAAATCTCGAGCCAGTTCTGGTACACCGCCACCATGAACGCTACGCCGTATGGCGAGGGTTTCTCCTCGTCCGCCGACGTGAGCGGCGCTTCCGGGGCAGCCTCGAACTACAACGTGTCGAAAGAAGCCTCCCAGGCAATCTCGAATGGCTTCAAGTTTGCGGCATCGAAGTCGATCCGGACGTCGACCATGATCTTGGCTTCCTTCAACGCATTGGCGGCTTTTGCAACGGCTATGGGAATCATCTACGGTTGCTACACATACAAGAGGAGGGCTATCAGGAGATCATCCGATGCGTCAGTCTGGCAGCCTAAGATGAAGAGTCTTCCCGCGCTGACCCCTTCTAGACCATCGGGCCTATTCTTCATTCACACCGTCGAAGTCTATCCTCTCGTGCTGTCTTTCGGCATTACAATTCAGAGCATCATCTTCGCCGCCGCCCAATCGATTGGCCTGAAAGCCCTGTTGAGCAGTGGCTGCACCGTTGTTGCGATCTTCACGTTGCCGGGTAAGCAGTGTTGAGAGTCCGTCATGTACCAGGAAAACGGGAGGGCTAACATTGGAGCCAGCTCTCTTTATCGCACCATATATTCACCTTGTTTTCGGAGTCGAGACGGCAGCGCGGGGCTTGAGGTCGCAATTCTCTCCTCGACGAAGATGGACCGTGGCAATCTGCCTCGGCACTATCTCAACTTTCTTGCTGGCGACCCTCCTCGTGGCGGCCATTAGCCGAGCTCCCGACTTCTGCTTCGCATCTCTGCTGTGGATCGTGAAGCCTTATGCCAAGGGTATTTTCGCAGTCTTTTTGGGTGTGTCCGTCGTGCTGCTGCTCGTCATTATCACAATTTTCGTGAAATTGAGCAAGGGCCGCATGGTCGACCCTACCGAGAGGATGGCAGCTTCGAGGATGATCTACTACCTGATCCTCGGTTTCATCTCCAACGTAAGTGATCGACATATGAATATCGATAAGCCCAATGTCTGACCTCGCCTTCAGGGTTTCATTATCCCATTCTTCTTCAGCCTCACCTTCTTGACCGAGAAAAAGCAAATCTTCCAGGAGCTGAACCTGTCCATGGTCGCTTCTGTCGTGGCGAACGTCAATGGCCTCATGGTCGCTGGTCTCCATCTGTTCCTGCGATCACAGAACAACGCCTCCATCGGACACAATCTGGGAGAATACGAGCATCACAAGACCAAGTTCGAACCGCACGAGGAAGACGCTGGCTCGACTCACGCCCTGCACCCAGTTAACAGCACAAACGACCAGAACAGAGTAAGGTCGGACAGCATAACGACGCTTCTGCGCGCTGTTGATGCGGAAGAGGGACAGAGTCCCAGCAGCCCTACCTTCCGCCCGAAGGTTACCATCCCACAAGCTCCGGAGCCCACTCAGGCACCTTCTGAGACGTCGCCATCCCATCTGCGAAAACAGTCATATTCTCTATTTCCAAACAACCCGTTCGCTCCTGCTGCGGTCCTTCCCGCAACGACATACGCACCTGCGGCATCGAAGCCGCTGAGGGACACCTTCAGACCACCACCCATCGTGAAGCCTTGGCTCGGGCGGGGACACAAGAGGGACTCTTCAATCGTCTCCTCGGCCACTGTCCAAATCGGCATCCGCTTCTCCAATGTGGATGACTTCCAGCCCGCGAGGGCTAGTGATGTACAGGAGAGCGAGAGGCCAGAAACAGTCTTGCGCCCTTCGCCCTTGGCGCAGTCCGAAGTCAGGCCCGAGTCTGAGTACGTGGAACCGGAGGTCCTGCCAGAACCGCTGTTCACCAGGAGAGCATCCCAGGGACGCGAGGATGAAGACTTTGCCGCCGGTGCCGAAGGGCGAGAGCCCGGTCCAGAAGGTTGAGAGCGATGAGGAGCAGTCCGACAGCGAGAGAAGCGAGGGGAGTGACCAGGATGGACTGATCACCTTGAGCTCCTCGGTGTACACTCCACAGGAGACTCCCCAGAGGAACACCTCAACCAAGACCACAAGAATGCCTAGCCCCATGGGCGTGGGCTTCAGCAACCCGGCCGCCCGCAACAACGGCGAGAAGCACGCGCCTCCGCGGCCAAACGCCGGTACAGCGACGACACCGGTGCCGTCGAACAAGTCATGGATCTAGACGCCGCGCAGTCTAGCGTACTTTCGGACTGTGTCCTACTTTCTACCAGTATTTTTTATTACCCCCACAAAAACGAACAAAAGCCACCCTGGGACATTAGACAAAACGGCTGTCTAAAAGTTCCTGGAATTGTGTGACAAGATTCATGAGCATCGGCGTTGCGGATATTTTTTTTCACTTGACGTGAGGCGTACAATTTCTTTCATTGGCATTCGACTGGACGATCTACGAATGACACGGAGCTTGGGGGGTGGGGGGGACACAAATACACTGTACAATGTACAAAGTGAGGGATATATCCTTGGGCAACACTGCATGTTGATGGCGCCGAGAACATCCATTCGTTTTTGCGGACGTCCTGCAGCTGGGAAGGCAGACCAGCAGCAGACACACTTGGAGGATATGCCTCAAGCTCACCTTGGGTAGCTTTGGCCACGTCCTGAAAGAGACCACACCTGGTCGCAAGACACGGCCTGAATTCAAATCAAAAAACTGTGATACCAACCACACTACAGTGAGCACGCAAGACCTGCATTTTGCCGAGTGACATGTGTATGATTTGCAAACTTATATGTGACACGAAGCCTTTCTACTTGATCATGAATGTCACGCCCGCAGCGTTCTCGCCGGCCTCTTACTTTTTCTTCCTCGACGAAGGAGCACTTGCAGGAGTAGCAGCAACAGCGCCACCACTACCACCCTTCCTGTCCTCCCACTTCTCCCAGCCCGCCTGGCAGAGGTCCTCGCTGACGACCAGGTCCCTGACCCGCAGGCCCCTCGCGACGGGCGACTCGAGGGCCCAGGCCAGCAGGCCGTAGCCCCTGGCGGCGGCGGTGGCTGCGTACCACGCGACGGCGCAGACGGCGCCGGCCAGGAAGCCGACCAGGACCTGGTTGACGGTGTGGTAGCCGAGGTAGACCCTGCTCCAGGCGACGAGGGCGGCGACGCCCAGCACGAACACGGCCGCGGCGGCGCGCTCCGCGTACGACCAGGGGCGGTGGGCGTAGCTCTCCACCATGACCCAGTCCTGGCCCCAGCTGCTGGTCCGCCGTGCTGACCTAGTGTCTCTGTTCCCATTCCCAGAACCACCACGAGCACCACCGCCCTGCCCGTCCACCGAAGCCGACCTCGGCCCGTACCCGTGGTCCGTCCAGCTGGGCGTGTGCCTGGCGAGGAGGAACAGCGCCATGGCGACGGCCCAGAAGGCGACGAACTGCGCGTGGCTGCTGGGCATGCCGTAGCCTTTGCCCGTCCTGTGGATGCGGCTGGGCCGCTCCTCCTTGATGAGGCGCTTGAGGACAAAGTTGGCCGCCTCGCAGGCCAGCTGGCCCGCGAACATGAGGGCCACCTCGGCCTCGCGCGTCGACCAGATCAGCGTCACGTAGACGATGCAGAGGGCCTGCGGGACGAGGGCGAGCCAGGCGCAGAGGTACGAGATGTTGTCTTCGGGGTCCTGTGTGCGCGTCGCGAGGCGGCATGGTTAGCTTGGTGTTCGTCTTCGCCTCTTGGGCTGGGTTGGGGGGGGGGAGTGGGGGGTTGGGCCGAGGGTCTTGACGAGGCTGCAGCTACAGCTGCCCGCAGCAGACGATTGACGCGTTGGTCAATCAATTGGACGGCCGGTTGGGTGATTTACTCACATAGTAGACATGTGTCAGAGACAGCGAGGCCAGGGGAGTGTCGTCGGCCATCGCGAAGGTTGAATGTCCGCAGTCAGTCGGTCCGTGACCCAAGGCGAAGGTGGTGGATTTCCCACGCGGCGCGCACCACCCTTGCCGACAAAGGCAGGAGTCGGAGTCGGGATCGGGAATAGAGGAGGCTGCTGTGTGTGACGGCCTTTGCTCTAGTTTGCAGAGCCTCAATGGTTGCACCGAGAACAGGGAGTGAGTCCCGGATGGAAGAGAGGTCTCTGGGAATACGAAACGTCGCCGTCGCATTAGAGCTCAAAGTCTAAACCCGGGGGAGGTGCCACGTGTGGCGGTGCACGGGCCAAGTTGTGGCTTGCGTGCGCCTGGCCGCATCAGATGGGGCCTCAAATCGCCCAAGGCCGCGACGATGTAGAGGCAAGATGAGGGCCAGGTCCAACTCGGAGAGACAGGTACTAGATGCCTCTTGGTGATTTGTGACATTGTAGGGACAACATCACCTACTCCGACCGGGGCGATGAGGGTGCTTCGGACTCGGGCACCTTCTCTCCCGCAGCCAACTTCTTCTCTTTTTCCTTGGCCCTCCGCTTCAGCTTCTTCTCCCGGTTGAGCCTCTTCTTCTTCTCTAGAAGGTGCTCTTCCTTGGAGATCTTCTGCTTCTCCTCCGCCTCCCGCCTCGCCCTCTCAGCCTCCCGCCTCTCCTTCTCAGCCCTGGCCTTGATCCTCACAGCTATCCTCCGTTTCTTGCCCGGCCTCTTCCGCTTGGGCCCATCCTCTGCTGTGTCATCACTGGTTGTTGTGGCCCCAGCGACGAGACCGGCAGTTCTGCTCGGTGGTTTCCTCGAGGAAAGCGAGATCTTGACAACCCGCCATGGCCTCTCCAGGCCCCACGCCCGCTTGCTCGCGCCCGCGGCGACGTCCTCGGCCGTGACCGCGGCCCAGCGGTACCTCTCCTGCTCCTCGGGCGTCGCCTCCCCGGCCAGGTAGTAGCTCTGCGGCCGCACGGGCTGTACGAAAGCGCCGTCCCCCCTGGCGGCGTCCTCGTCGTCGGAGGCACTCAGCACCACCTTTGCCGGCGCCGAGGCCGCCCCGGCCGCGGTGGAGAACAGCCGGAACTCAAACTCCTCCTCGTGGGTGCCCTCCGCCTGGCCTCCTCCCGCGGCGCCGCCCTCGTCGTGCTCATGGGCGTCTTCGGCCGCGTCCGGCCCCTGTCCGGGCACCACCGGCGCTGGCTCCGGGGCGGAGAGGTCCAGGCCCAGCATGCTCGAGAGCCGCTCGTTCAGCCTGGCGCGCTCCTCTGCGTCCTCGACGCCATGCTCGCTTTGGTCATCACCACCGTCCGAGGATGAGCCGTAGAGTTCATCGCGCCTCACCCTGCAGTCGAAAACCGGTCAGTCAAACTATCGATGCGCAATCTCCCGCCGTCGGGCTCAATGCCAAGGGTCTGCCGGCGTACCTACCTCTTCGCGTTGGGAACCTCGAACATGGCCGCGGTGGATGATTTCCGCCCCACGCGATAGTGTGTGTGATGTTATTATTATTGCTGCGATTGCGAGAGGCTAAGATTCCAGGATATCAAGTTTCGTGCGGAAGTAGCACGGATTTGGGCAGTGATATCTCGGAAGTTTGGTCCGTCCTATTGCGCAAGCATTTATCTCGTATGAGCGAGGAGTTGCAATCTCAGTATTTGGGGGTTGTTGAGGCTGAATGCTTGATCCTTGTCGTGCAGGGAATTGCCAGGACGTTAGTGAGGTGCAGAGGGGATCGCGGAGCCGGCCAGGCGGGACTGGGATGTATCTTCCATGTGGTTCGGCGTTATTACATAAGCAGTTTTTCCGCCAGCTGGCGCGGCTGTTTGACAGCTGGGGGGTCGTCGTCGTACCTCGTTGTCACTATACCGCAGGTGACTATCAAAGCACCTCACTCGGTCGAAACCTAGAGGCACCGGACATGCAAGGTTCAGAACAAAACATGGACAGCCTTCCACCGCGGCATCGTAGCATCGCCATCTGCAACCCCTCCCCTGCCCCGCCCACGACAGCTACTGTGTACACTACAGCTTGGTGCGATGTCCTCCCCAGATACCAAGTACCGCGCTCCTGGAAACGGGCGGCCGCTCACGAGCAAGCAGGCAGAGCAGCCCCAGCCAGTCTCCTCCTCCTCCCGCCTCCGCCTGGCGTCGCACCTCGCAACCACCACGGGTCCAGCTCGCTTTGACACCTTGTCGTACGAACCTTATGGTGCCCCTTCAGGTGGCAGTCACACAGTAGTAGCAGCAGCAGGAAACGTTCCAAGACGACGGCCTCCACTCCCCCCCCCCCCGGTCCTTTACCGTCCTCCCTCACTCACTACCCGGCTACCTGATTACCTACCTGCCTTCATTCCAGTGCTCCACCCCCGGTCCCCTCCATCCATGACAGATCAAAGGAAAGAACACAGGCATCTACGCAGATGGGCATGTCACTCCACCCACCACGACCCATCCCCCCTTCCCTTCATCCCATCTCTGACAGTCTCCAAAACAAAACGGTATCGTGCAACCCTCGAGCCCGGTGGCCAACTTACTCGCATCATCATCGTCATCCTGTGCCCCCCCCCTCCTCCTCCCCCGCCCCCCCAGTCCAACCCTGTTATTCTTGTATCGTTGCGTGTGTATGTATGTATGTATGTTATGTACGTGCGTGCGCGCGTGCGCTGCCCATCAGACGAACACAGCCGGATTGGCCGGGCCGCTCGAGCAAAAACCAAAAGAAGAGCGAAGAGAAGAACGAGAACGAAGGGAGATCAATCCTCCCTTCCCTCTGTTTACATGGGGCCCTTCATGCATGCGGGTCATCCGTCCATCACCTGGGGTGAAAATTCTCCGCCTGCTACTGTGCCATGTGTGCCATGTGCCCCGGGATCACGGGAAAGTGTATCATCGCACCCCACATACTGTGTGTAGTCCTTTTGCCTGCCTTGCCTTGCCTTGTCTGTCTGTGTGTCTGTGTCCGTTTGTCCCATCTTGTTGTCCGTCAGGTCCGTCTGTCCGTCAACCCGTCTCGCGGGCGGGAGATATTTTTGGAGTCGGCATCTTGCTCTGGACTGGACTGGACCCCCCGTTTGCCTTTTCCCCACGAAGGGGCGAGGCACTCGTCACATGTAGCAGCTGCACGCATCGCGGCGGACTCGCACACACACCCACCCAGCCCCCGAGGCTTGTCGGGGGCCCTCCTCGATGCTACGGTTCCCTTCCCAGGGCCGACTCGTGCTTGGGATTCTGTGACCGTCGGTGGCCTCACCCGAAGCCTGTGCGGGTGCCTTGCGCGGGATGCGCCTCAGAAGCGTCACAGTAGATGGACATCGCAGCAGATGAAGGGGAGGATGAAGGAGCGAGATCCAAAGCACAACGACGAAGGAGGAGCGAGATTCAAGCGACAGAGAGGGTGCTGGAAGTGGTATTATTCAATTCATTTTTCGGTAAAATTCGCCTCCCTCTCTGCCTGTGCCCTCTGCAGGAGTATGGCAAGAGAGATATGGTTTATCAAGCAGTCTTCAGCCTCCCCGCCAGCCCAGTTACGTCGTACAAACACACACACGCTGTTCCCAGAGACCAAGGCCCGCCGCCCCTTTCACTCGGTGACATCCCCTCTCCCACCTTCTCCTGAGCTCATCCCCCCATCCTCTCTCGCCTTGTGTCTCTCTGCCCGCTTCTGGGTCCAGGTGGGATAAATAAAGAAATGCAAGCGCAGCCAAGCCCCTGCATAGATAAAAGATAACGAAGAAAACCAAATGTTCGGCCCGAGGATGATCAAAACATGTATATGTGTATAAAAGAAGCGAGGCGAGAAATCGGAACAAACCCTCCCACTCCACCTAAATAAATACCAAGGCCTGAATAAATTGTAAAGAAGAGCAAAAAGCCGTCGAACTCTCCTCAGCCCGCCCGCCCCGTTTGCCCTCTCTATCATAGGGTATTTGAACATGCATATGAATCATGCCAGCTGGGCCCACACATGAGGGGGACCATATCGTCCCATACTTGCTCTCGAGGCCGAAGAACAATGCAACTCCATGTGGTTATCTTTTGATGTGTGTGCGCGTGTGCTTGCGTTTTGTGGTTCCGTCCGTCGTCCCCTCTCTCTGGCTCTTTTGGAGGGCCGTGGCTCGGGAGAAAGAGGTATCGTTCGAGTTCGAAGACAGAAAAGTGGTATCGGTATGGGTTATGGAATTGGGAAAGAATAATAAAGAAGCAAAAGATATGCGGGCATCAAAATAAGTGACATGAAAGGTCGCACAACAGTTAGAACTTGAAAAACGCGGAAATGCTTCCCAAACGCCTGCCTCCCCTCGTTCGCGCCTAAAGCTTTCCACAAAGGCATTAAGCCATCCGTAATCATTTTGGACAAGGCCACCCTGGGTGATTATACACAACAAAAGTTCGGTCGGTAGGGACGGGAAGAAGTCGCATCGTGTCGGGGTATATCGCGCTCGTGGTTCGGATCCGGTCAGAAATACTGGTCGCCGGTATTGGGGCTGCTGTCATGCTGTCGGTTCGAGTCGGTGTTCTTGGCGTGCAGCTCACACTCGTCATGAAGCGGCCCCTCGGACCCCAACGGTCCAGAATCAAGCCCAGATCATTCCCAGTAAACCCGCATCCTAACGCCATCAAGACGTGTTCCACGAGTAATGGCTCATCGCCTGTCCAGGATAGACAGGGGTTGGAGGAGCGTGCGGATCACTTTTCACACCTCCTGCGGTCTTGTACTGGTCCGCCGAATATGGGTACGAAGACCGGTGGTCCCCGTTTGTATACGTAGGTGCGTTTGATTCGCCCGCAGTCGTCGTCCAGGATGTCGAAGGCGGGAAATAGTCCCTGGGTGGAGGGATCGTGCTTGAAGACTGGGTATTAGCCCCAGCGCTGGTTTCGTGGCCTCCGCCGCCATGCGATGTGGAATATGAGGCGTGCTGAGAGGTCTGGGGGCTGATTTCGGCAGAGTTGGTGCTCATGGCGCTGTATGGTGGCCCGTATCGGTATTCGCCAGACGACTCCGTGCTTGATATCGATCCCGCGTGGATGGACGGATGTCGAGGGCTCTTCGTTGGTCGCGGATTGCTGTCGTCCACGTACCGAGGCACGCTCAGGCTGCTGTTCGCAGTCGAAGACACAGATAGAGGTGGAGGAGCGTTCGAGCTCTGAACGTAGGAGGCGTACTGTGTCCTAATTGGCGGTACTTGATGAGATGCCGCTGACTGCTGTTGCTGCTGCTGCCCCGGTTGGTCGCTCGAAACCATGGACAACTGCATGGAAGGCATTGAGGTGGGCATGTGAGATTGCATGTCTTGCGGCTCAGCCGAGTATGCTGATGTCCCTGAGAGGGGCATTTTCTGGTAGGGATCGGATGCTATTGTTGTCGCGGGATAGTTTGGTGCTCCTGAAGAAGGCATCGATGGGTTCCAGGTTGTCGGGTAAGAGCTAGACGCAAGTCAGCACACAGCGCTCTTCGAGGTACGAAGCCCGCCGGCCCAGGCCGGGGGCGGTCATCAGAAGTACAGAAAGGCAGTCCTGGAGCAGTCTCAAAACATCACTGAACTTACTTCGATCGCATGCTAGTCATGGGGCTCGCCGGCAACTTGGGCGCGTTGAACGTGAATGCTGTGCGCGGCAGCTCCATGTTGAGGGGCCTCGCCTTCACTTCTTGCGGCTTGATCGCCAGAGGCCCAGCAACAATGCCCAGCCCGGTCTCCACAAGAGCCTGACCTCGGGACCCAGCGCTGGACCCCAGGAGTGGGATCTCCTTTCTCGCTTGGAAATTGCGCGGGCTTCGTCCTCGCACCACGATTGGCGCGGTCGCGGCTTCCGTCAGCACGACCTTGGTTCCATTTGCCAATGTGCCCATGACTTTCAGGTGAACCACGAAATGCTGCTGAAGCTCCTTCCTCCTGCCGTTGTTGGCCGTCGCACTGTCGAGATCCAGGTCAGTAAATTGCCATGAAGGGAGTCGTCGCGCGATCTGTCTACTCACATTCGGAATTGCAGACGCCGCCAACCGATGGGATACACTGCGTATTCCCCGTCTGCGTCGGAACCATCGTCCTGGAACGGAATCAATGGTAGCGAGGCTGGTTCCTGGTCTGGCGCCTGGGTGACTTCTGGCGAGTTTGGCGGTGGTGTTTTCCACGGAATAACTATCAGTCGGACTGGGTGTCCATCCACCGATTCAATCGAGGAGATGGTTACCTCTGTGCTGCTGACTGGCGCTGTCTCTCCCGTCTCTGTTATGACAGAGATTTGCCCCCTCGGGGTGATCAGCGACCCGCTGACCTGGAAAAGGTTTCGCCGGTAGCAAGTGAGCTCCGGCTGCATGACCGAGCCGTCGTTGTTGGTCGTTGGCATCTCGGAGAGGAAGAACATGCCATGTAGTTGAGCGGTCAGCTCCAACTGTTGCATGCGACCATGATGGTCGAGGATTGTGTGCTTGTCCGGGACTTTCCTGAACGAGAGCAGTTTGTGGTCATGCCCCACGCCGAGCTTCGAGCCATCGTCTCGTAGGTCCTGAACGATCTCCTGGTACGGAGGCTGCTCTGTCGCCGAGTAGGGCCGCTTGAGGTTGGGGAAACTCTGATGGCTGGACAAGGAGGGATGCTGGTGTCTGTCGTATGGGTCGTTGGTGTCGTCCTGGGAGTAGCGGCTGTATGAGGGATACTGCTGGTGATGGTCCACGCTGCCCCAGCCGCCTTGTCTCGGTCGTCCTGAATGGGGTGACGCTGAGGTTGGATTCGAAAGCCCTGCATCCACGGCGTGACTGGAACGGCTCGCTGGCATTTGCACCGGGCTGGCGTACCAGAGGCTGTTGTGCGCCGGCTCCTTCAACTCTGCCATGGTGACTGCGTATGTTGCGGTGCACATGGGAACATATCTCGCCCAGAAATTGCTAGATTCTTTCCTTTCTTGACAAGAAATCAACGCTGTGGTTACGGCGGAGGATCAAAGCACGTCGTTCAAGTGCTCGTCGCCCCGGCTGCTGGTGGCCAGTTAAGTTCGAAGAGATGCCAACTCGAGCAATACGGCCAAAACGCCCGGTGTGACCCTTCCAGGCCGTCGGAGTCAATGACTGATGAGTTCCAGATCCGTGACTGCGCTCAGCCAGCTACTGAAACAAGAAGAAGTTGAACGGGCTCAACAGACGAAACGAAGATGAAGTTAGAATCGAGTGAACAATGGTCGTAGGGTTGCAGGGCAAGTGGTACTTGTATGAAATGATACGGTAGATGCGGAGGGGGACGTTTTATGAGAGCCACTGGCACACTATCCTGGGGTTGGATCAGGGTCGATGGGGACTCTCGAAGGGCGACGAACGGCCAAGGTCAGGGGATTGAGGGGCCTCACAGTGGATATCCGGGAGGTGATGAGCCTGTGAGGGTGGACCGTTTAGTGCACAGAATGGAGAGCTGTACCGCAGTACAGTACGTATCTCTATGTACATGCAGCCGGACAGGGAAGGAGATGGAGGCGGCGGCGGCGATCTGGCAGGTAGGCAACAGGGGGGGGGGATGTTAGTCGAGATACGGCATGTGGAATACAACGTGAGCCCACCCACGAAGTATCGCGCCGGACCAGGTACATCACAGCAACTGACTCTCGCTTCCGCGCAGACAAAGTTGTTCCTCACCGGCCAAATCTCAGAATGCCCGACTTCCAGCTGGATCCTCGGCCAAAAGTGCGATGGGGCTGGCATGTTGCCAGATTGGCTTGACGCATAGCTGAGCGGATAGGTGCCCAAGATATTTGACCGAGGATGAGGACAATAGTGGGACTCATCACGTATCGGTCCAGGGGCTCCCACCAGGGTACTAGGGCATCCGAGGATAGAGTTTGTAAAGTATCATCGGACGAGCCAACGGGTGCCGTCCTCCTCGAAATGCTCTGCCGAAGGATCAAGGAACTCCTGGCTAGTGTCGACCATCTTGCACAAGGACTATTGTGGGTCGCAAGAGATGCAAGACACAGCATCCCATGGCTTGGACCACACCAAGGTCATTGAGCAGACCGTCTGAACAGATTGGCACGACCACTGTCGAATTCTCCGACTCGATGGAATCGATCGATCAGGCCCTGCCTCGTTGAAGAAACAGAGTGGAAGCGCAGGAGGACGGTACTTGGGGGACAGAGAGGTGATTGATACCCAGGTTCCCTCCCAGGTTCCTAGTGGTCCTCAGTCCAAGAGGGCTAAAGCTGCTTTTTTACCTCATCAAGCTCGCAGCATACCCGGACCATGTAGGTGGTAGACATCAGCAAGGGTATCTGATTAGAGCAAAATTCTCCGACAAGCTCTGCGAGGCTGCAGACCCGTAAAATGTCGAGGGACCGTTGGACGAGACGGCCGATAAAAGATCGAAGGGGGAATGGTGTGCGGGCATGGGGGCCAGGGCAAAGCAGAAATCGGTTCACGAGATTGCTAGAGACCAGGGGGGGGGCTGATCAAGAGTGTGGGCGGCTGTTTTCTCAAGGGAATAGAGGGCAGGGGTGCCGGTCAGGGGTGCCCCAGGGATGCAGTGTAGGCAAAACACATTGATGCCGTTTTCATTGATCTCAAGGATCCTCTGCCTCGCAAAATCAAGTAATGGGTAAAGCAATAGTCAAACCTTGTTCCATATATCTAGCACTCGGCTCTTAAGACGGTCGTTATAAGGGTGACCTCGACTTTGGGGTTTGTGAAATTGCATTGCCAGCGTCTAAAACAACACCTGTATGAAAGACTTCTCAAACAGTTATATTGCATACTTATGCGCTTGAGCACGTCGACAAGCCAACCCAGATGTCAATGAACAAAAACCGAGACCAGACCAAGGAGCCCATCGGAATCGCTAAATATCACAGCTCCAAATACCACGTTGCCGCTTGGCGCGCAGTGGGTGCACGCCGGTCGGTCGCGAGAGCCCCGATTAAAGACGAGGAAGCTGAGGTGAAGCGATCGATAAAGACGGGCAAATTGATGTCCGTGAGGCCAGTGGATCGATTGACTCCAGATGTAATGGTTCCCCAGCTCTATCAGCACCCACCTCGGCTTAGAGAGGCAGTGAGCGAAGAGGTGTGAGCAATGCAGCCAGCCAATTGCGGGACACGAGCAAGTCGTCATGGGGGACTGACCTCCCCAAATGGGCAACCCAGAGGCCGCTGTCAGGCCTGCGTTCACGGATCTAACCACGACACACATGTGGGCGACATTTGCGAGGTACTTCCGACATCATTGAGTCATCCCAGCCTTCGTGACAAAACCTGCAAGCCTTGAACGGAAGCGCCTCCGGGTAGTAAGTGCCATCTTGCTCCTTGCGTTAATCGATGAATGTCTGGCCAGTGTGCGGCTGGGCTTCCAGGTCGACAAATATCACAGCGCGGGTATTTGACCATTCGCGGTAATTCTCCTGCTTTAACATTTGCCGGCCGAAGTCGCATGCGCGGTGGGTTGTGACGGGTCCGCATCTCGTACAGAGCGGCTATTCTCCACTTGTCGAATGTTGTAAAACCTGGAGCTTGCCGCCTTGGCTGCGATGATCTCCAGAAGCAATAGACGCGTAACGTTGATTTCAGAGGATTATTAGAGTGTGAGGGCCAGGGACAAGGTTCAACTTTACCACTGCGGCAACACGCCGGAATACACTGCAGGCGCATGCCTTCTTGACAGCGTCTCTGTAGACGACATGTCGCAAGTTAGAAAGGTGAACGTCCGAAGACAGGCCTGGACCCACGGGGCCACTTTCCTGGCCTCTGGGCTGCGCGAGAGCGGCCCTTGGAGGGGCCACCCTGGCACACTTCCTGCAGATGGTGGCAGCGGGTTCTGCTTTCGAATGCTCCCCATGTGGACAGACTGCTTTTTGGCCCGTAACACCGCAGAATTGGCGAACAGGTCAAGACGACCTCTGCAGCTGACGGGAATGGAACGTCGTGGTTGCTCTATGCTGATATTGTGCAAGCTATCCCCCAGGGCACAGCGGCGTGCTAAGCAGTGCAATGTACCGGAGACTACTGCACGACCGTGTTGCGCACCACGCCTAATGAAGGGCATGCAGGCACTGGGGAGGTGTTGCTGCGGCACGGTACCATTGAATATGGGTAGATCAGCGAAGTAGGCGCCTTGCCCACCGGGGCGGATGCCGCGGGCGGCACTCGATCGCAGCCCAGTATCAAGACCAACCATCGAAGTGCCGCTTTGAGTATGGGGGAATCCGTCATTTGACTTCTCCTTCTGCCCCGCTTCGGCCATAACAGAAGCACGAGTGCAGGACCAACAATGTCCAATTGTTGGAGCGTACTGGTATCAAGATGAACCGTATGTCGGTGCACCTGCCGATCAAGTGGCTGACATGGACGTGTATCTGCCGGTGGGCCTGGGTAGGTAGGTGGTGATTATGCACATGATGCAGGCATCGTCGATCATCAGAATCCTTTTGAGACGGTATTGGTATCTAACCATGTGCGCTGCATCCATCGCGAGGGACTTGGGGGCCAAATCGTCCAAGACCACGTCCCCTGCAGCCCCAATGTCGTCAGATGGCAGCACCGTTGTTCTGAACTGTCGAGAACGCCTTTCAACCCCTTTTTACTGCAGTCTTGAGGATGCTACAAATAGAAAGGCAACACGCGAGAAAATAGTAAAGTGGCAACTCCTTGAAAGGAGCCAGAGGTTCCAGCTCGTAGGCAAGGATTCAGTCTTCACCGTGTCCATATGTCGCAGACAGGTTTTCCCTTGGGTCAGCAGGCCGTGATCCATGATGGACTTGCCCCTGGTGGCCGCTGCACAGAGACCCTGCCAGGAGATCTTGCCGGTCGTGATGCAATATCTGTATAGAGGACCAGGCTGGAGCGGAAGTTCAGCCCAGCAGTCCGAAGCCACCTTGGCCGCACCAGAATTGCAGGGATGTGGCTTATCAAGTAGCCTGCCTCGCCCTACTTAGGACAAGTGCTAACACTTTTAGTGACATTTGGCAGCCTCTGGAATTCGCTGTGCGCTCACGACGCATAACGACTGCGTCCATGTCATCATCTCCCGAGAACCTCATTTCCCCCTTTTGGTGTCGGACGGGACCAAAAACTTCATGATGGGCAGCTGTGCGCTCGAATTCCATTGAAATCGCTGCTCTCGTGACCAGGTGATGAGGGCGACTATGCTCCAGAGCCTCAAAACGCGCCGAGGGCCAGAGCGCAGTGGATGTTGCAGCCGCGTTCGCCAGGGGTAAGGCCCGGGAAGCAAAGGCTAACTGCTGAGAGATCCGAACATGTGCAACGGCCCACGGGTGCATCGCCAATGTGATTGCAAGTGACCCTGGAACTACTGTTGATCTGGACGGGCCTGGATTCCCCTGAGAGATTGAAGCAGCATTCGACACCATCACGCCGGGGACGTGCGCACGACGTCAGAGCTGGGAGGAGCTGTCTTGAGCTCCTCCGCACCCCTCGATTCAGGGTCCGTCGCACTGGTTTCCCATATTGTTCGCTGCTAGCGATCGTGAAACTTTTGATGTGTGACCAAACGATTGTCAAGCCTATATTTATCAAAGCTTTTTTTGACAGCCAGGAAGTGCTAGCTTAGAAACATCCAACGGTTCTTAGCGTTTCGTTAGCAGGTTCATGAGGCTCACACGAACTCTATCACGGAAGGCGGGCTTGGTTGTTCTTGGCGAGCGACCAGACGAACAGAAGGTTTGTGGCGACGGCGTACTAGCAGGCCACACTCTCTGGAGTTCCGGTGTGACTGCGATTGGACGTGTGATATGGCGTTTTAAAGCGGTCTCCAAACAGGCCCACAAGTTCCTCTTGGTGCGATGCTGAACCTAATCTGCCGTACGTTGAGCTCAACATGACCCAGCAATAGAGAACGCTCGGTGCAGAGAAGCCTCGAGTGGTTGACTCTGGGGTCATGTTTTGTGCTTGTCTCGTCTCGTGCAGGACTGGTGGCCCACGGGTGGCCGGTCAGTCACGAGGCCGAAGACTTGCCTGCGGCGAAGGACAGTGATAATTAAGGTTTCAAGTGTGGCGGATGTGTGTCTTCTCTCGTGTTGGACACAGATGAGATGGTATCGTCAACGAGGGTGTGAGAAGGCCGTCTATCTTGCACACGGAGCGAGCTCTCTCCGGTTTGGCGATCTCGGCCTGTCTGTCCGAAAACTTCGTTCGTGGAATCTAGGAAGGTCGAGCTTCCTCCGCTCTCCGGTGCAAAAACTACACCTGTATTGGGACATTATCTGTGACACTGTGGCGTTGCGGGATTGCCAGTTATGTCGCTACTATGAGGGGGGCGTTGGCAGTTTCACTGCATGGTGCAGTTGGCCTTGACAGTATAGCATCACCAACGACGTCAAAGAGACGTGTGATATCTCCTAGTCGGCTGCACAGCTGCCGTCGCACGCGCAGTGGACAGGTTCCCTGTGGGTGCGACTGCTGGAACAGCATCCGCTCCTCAAAGACCCCTGCTGCGCTATTGCCCCACAATGTTTGGTCGTGAAGTGATTACATCCCAGCAATCTGTGCTGCGGCACGAGGCACGCACCGAGCTCAAGCGCTCGAGTCAATGGAGCGGCGGCGCAAGGAGTGCGCCGTGTTTCCTCCAAGGTGGCACTAGAAATGTCATACCGAGTGATCTTGTGACATTGCGTAATGTGACAACAGTGTGGCTCCGAGGCACGGGGAGATCTCGCAGTGGGAAACCGTTCACTCGCAAGTCGTCACGCCCGGTGGCAGGTTTGGACGGAACTCTATTGTTGTTTGGCGAAGGGCCAGGCCAAGCCAGGTGCAGATTCGCAACGGCCCGGGTAGTGACTCGTCGTGCAAGCCTCCTGTGGTTCCATCACTCGAGGCACCCATCAGAATCCTGTCGCGGGTTCGTCCGCTCTGTGGAGCAAGTCAAGCCGGAGAGACCCTCGCTTTCAGCACTATGTGGTGCTCCAGCGTGGGGACCTCCAGTGCCCTCGCACTGCGGCACTGTACGAATCCGCGAGCGCTGGGTCCGTCGCAGCAGGCCAGATGCACAACATTGTCGGCCATCACAACTCTATTGCAGGGACATAGCCAGGGCTGAGGGATAAACGTCGGGTCCGAGAGGTAGCCCCCCTGCCAGCGCCAGAGTGCTGTGGTGGCTTGGTGGGTGCTGTAGCCTCGAACGTGCTGCTGGAAATACTACAGTAGCGACTCTGTGCTTCGCCGCTGGCGTGCTTGGGGTTGTGGGTGCCACGGTGCCTGGCAGTCGAGGAGTGTTGCAAACCGTGTTTGCCGAAGCGGATGGCTTGCAACCTGAAAAGGCTCAGCCCGCTTTTTTTTCTCCGGAGAAGCTCATCTTAGCAGCGCTGCGAATTTATGATTTGCGCCAGTGTGGGCGTCGCAATTTGGGAACTCTGTCGCAAGAATGGCGACCTCCGCCCCTTTCGATGCAGGGCAGTCGGTGAGGAAGCGAGCCTTGTCTCGATCAAGCAGCAACGCCGACCAGTAGACCCCGTCCCAATGAAGATCACCGACCCCCATCACAGCACCCGCGCGTTCTTGATCGAGAAAGGCGCGGCGCGGCGCGGCCAGTGACGAGAAGAGGCGTTGGAAGGGAGGGATGGAGGGAGCATACACCAGGCTGGATGGCAGTTGGTGGGTTGAATTCCAGCGTCAGGGTGCCCTGCGCCGCACAGAGGTGTGTGGTCGTTGCAGTCGACCGTCGATGGATGGATGGATGGCTGGCTGGCTGGCTGGCCATGATGTCGCGCCTGGTCTGGGTCCGACAAGGGAATCGTCATGGCAGAGACCGACGAAGGGTAGGCCAGGGGAGATCGTGATTGACCCTCAACGGTGAGGGGCGGGCTCGGCCAGGCTCTGTCCCATGTCCAGACAGAGCATCCGTACTGGGCGTACTGTTGTAGTGCGGTACCGTGCTGGACTCCGTACTTGTAGATGCATGCCAGGATCTTGGGTAGTGTCGACGGGAGGGACATGGGGCCGCGATTCGAAAGGCGGCGTTGGGTTGCAAGGTGCAGGGTGCAGAGTGCAGGGGGCAGAGTGCAGGGGGCAGGGTGCAGAAGGTGCGAGTGCAGGCGCGAGGGCCAGGTGCAGGTGGAGCAGGGTAGAGCAGGGTGTGGAAGGTTGTGGCAGGTTGCAGGGATGACCTCGCGAGAGTCCCGGCTTGCGATAATGTTCCTTCCGCTTTGGTCGACCACACCTGCGTTTGGCTGTCCGGATGGAATATCTGAGCCAGGGAACGGTACGCGGGTACAAGGGCGAAGCACGTACGGATGCACAGTAGTCTACCGTACCGCGAACTGCAGACGTGGCTGGCCACGCAGTCTTGATGTCTGTCTGATATTGCTTGGTTGGGTGTGCACCTCCCTCACCTGCACACACACACGCACACGAACGCGAGCACGCACGCACACATGCACAGAGAGAAACACATAAGGAGAGGAAACAGAGAGCATCGCAGTCGCTGCACAAAATGCTTCTCAGAGGCTGTCGGACTCGGTAAAGCAGAACAAGGTTGGGCCAAGGCTGAAACCACCACAGAGGGCTGCTGGAGTGCTGGAGTCGAGGCCCCGAGTCAATCAAGAGATGAGGGATGGGGACCCAGCTCCAGATGCTGTGCTCCGTCCGCAGTAGCCCAGAGCTACGGTGCGTGCCTGCAATGCGTGCGTGCATACCGACTGATTTGATGACAGACTGGCTGGCTGTTAGTAAGTCAGTCGGACTGACAAACCGATAGACACATCAGATCAGCTCCGTCTGCTGCGCTCTGTGCACACCCAGCTCCGCCTGACAGGCGGGGCGAGAGGGGTGCTGCGGTAAACGGGACTGTGATCAAACGGAAACCTGGCGAGACGGCCCACTGCATACGAGTGCACAGCGTGCACAGAGGTCAATGCCTGTGTGCCTGGTGCTTGTGTGTCCGATCAGAAAACGCAACCAACATGGGGTGCAGGGGGGGCCCAGGGAGAGCAGAAAGGGCACGGAGAGCACAGGGAGAGGGCCAGCCAGGGAGGGGGAGACGACCCTTGGGACCCGGGTGGAGCGGGGTGGGGAAGCTACTCCATGCCTGGGCGATACATGACTAGTGATCCCAGTCTGTGCATGCTCAAGTACCTGAGGCGCCGCGATACATGCGGCCGTGCAGCAGTCCAGCCCACCATTGTACCCTTTTTATGTGGAGAGGCGGCCCTGCTGTGCAAATGAGCCTGGACTGTCAAGAATCGTCAACGCGGAGACAAGAGACATGTGAACTGAGCCCATGCCGGCCGCCCATCCGTCGAGCCGTCGCCTGTGCGGCCAGGCACGCCCCGGTAGGGGGCAGTGGGTGACACGGGAGTAGCCATCGCTGCTCTGACCACCATCGACCGGCGTCCAATCCGATCTGGCCCAATTCCTGCATTTTGCTGTGTCCGTCGTCTCCTCGGTTTTCGTTGCGGCCGTAGTCTCGTCAACCTGGCTCTGATTCTGGGTGGAGGGGAGAACACGCAGAACTGTGTGAGCAGGTCCTCATGCTGGATGCATCGCAGGTCTGCCGTCCAAGGGTGGGCAGGACGTCGGGGGGGCTGATGTTCGGTATCGAATCTGGAGTTACATCCCATCGTAGGCTTGTGTTGCATTCAGACGCCCCAAGGTTCACAGTTGCCAACGCCAATCTTCGGCTCCGACGCCAGCAATGCACAGTGCTCCAGGCCGCCTCGGAGAAGGGGCTTTCGAAGGATCTTCGCGTGTCAACGTCAACAACGCTCGAGCAATGTCTCATTTTCACGTGTCCCATTCCATGTGCCTAGTTATTAGTCGCGCGTCTGGATTCCCGTCGGCGTCTGTCTGCCTGCTAGGGCCACCGCCACTCACCTCGCTCGCCGGGCCCGCCAGGCTCACAAGGCTCACCTCTCCGACATCCCATAGATCCAGTCCAGCCCAGTCCAGGCTCCCAGGGGGGGCTCCAGGAGGCAGAGAAAGCGAGCACCCAGTCTGCCTAGACCACCTGCTTAGAACGGACATGGCCCCGAGGGCACGGAGACCGCGCGCAAATCCACTCACTATCGGTCAGCGCAAGCTGCCCCAAGTCTGTCTGTCTGCCTTGTTGGCCGGCATGTAGACTATCCTACTGCCATGGCCTTGGCCACTCGGTATCTTCCTCTCCCCGTGTTGCATACATCGATTCGGGCCTGAGCACAGCACTATCTGTTGTGCGTGCACAAATGCCTCGGTGAGAGATGGCCCGCCCGTCCCTGCTTCAACCAGGAGCCCCTTGGTCGAGCCGGCTTCCGGAACGCGGACGCGATGCCGCTGCCCACCACTCCCTCCCGCCCCCTTCAAGATGCCGAGGCTGTCCTAGCAGTACAGAATTGCTCGTCGATGTCTTATTTGAGATGACGATGCACGTTCTCGAATGCAGTGAGAGAGAGAGATGCGGGAATGGACATGGGACCTTTGACCTTCGGCTGGCCGTCTCATAGGCAAAGTACCGGCAGGGACGCGTCAAGGATTGGGGCAAAGAAATAACCCGCCCGTACTATAACACGGCTCCTGAAGATGAGATGACAATGCAATAGTGCACAATATCAGTAGCCTCTCGACTTGCGCTTCCATCATACGACTCGTCATGGGCAGATGATATCGGTGCCATGCATGCGCCCACCACGAGTCCGACTCGGCCCTTTCAAGACGCACCAAGGTAGGTACCAGGTATGTCAATGGAAAGGCAGGGGGGAGGAGAGGCACCGTCTATTGTAATATACGGCAGCCAGCAGGAGCAGCAGCAGCAGCAGTAGCCAGCACGAATGGATCCGAGGTGTGCTGCTGCCTCTTGGAGCATGGTGTGTGATCGCGGAAGGAAGGACAGCCTACGATTTCCAAGATGGCCCAATCACCGTCAACGATGACCCCTTCTGGGGACCCACACTGCAGATACCTGGGTACAAAGCGTGGTACTTCTCGCCGACAGATGTACCGCACCCCAATTTGGGAGAGCTCCCTGCAACTGGCCGACGCGATGCAGCAGGCAGTCCGTCTAGCGGCTGGTGGTCTGGTCCTCCTCGTCTACGTTGACCGAGGAAGGAGGCACGCAGCTGAAGAGAGCCTAGGGGGAGACCCCATCTTCGCCCGATGTCTGGTATTGCAACAATGCAGCCCTATTCCCAACCGTAACAATCCTGTCTGCCGCTTCCAGGCATTGTTGCGCGGCCTCCAGTGCCATCACGGCAACGCCCGCCTCGAGACGTCATTCCTCGCTCCGGCAGAGCCACACAAGCCATACAACCCAACCCATACAACCCAGACTGCCTGACAGCCCGCCCGCTTCCACACCTACCCAACCGCAGTGATCGCCGCGGCAGTCATCAGACTCGACCACGCCGGGGCCAAGTCCTGCTGACCAGTCACTCCTGGGACCAGGCCGCACAGGACAAGACAAGACACGGCCACGGAAGGCTTCTAGAAGGATGGGACGGGTTGGTCACATCACCAGTCCGTCGTGACCTCGACGGCGATGGAGGTAGACGGCCGCCCCCAGAGAAGCAACCTGCATGCACGGTACAGTGCCGTACACAGAAGAGCTCCCCACCCCTACCAACCAAGCCTTGTGCTCCGTAATCCACATGCAGCTCCAAGCTCCGATGCGCCGCCTCCTCTCCCCCCGGGCTAGTGGCTCGTCGAGCTTGTTCCTGGCCACGATTCGAGTGCTGGGCAATTTCCATCAAGGTCTCGCATAGCGCCCTGCACTACCCAAGGGCCTGCCTGCCTGCGCTTCTCATCGGGCGGTGCAAGTGATCACACTGGAGCTGCCTGGCCCGGTCAAGACACTCAACAAGAATGGGCTAAATCTTACCTTCGCTTCCAACTTTCCGAAGGGCACTCTGTGCAAGAGGCCCAATCATGCCCGTCCGTCGACATCGACCCTTGCACACCCCGGCACCTTGCCTTCTGGAGCTGACCCCCACCAGATGGCAATCACACGGCTGCTTGCTTGCATCGTTACTTCTACCAACGTCCTTGTGCTACCCAGGCATGTCAGACGCCAAAACGCAACACCAACTGCCTACCCCATACCCGGAAACCTCATTCGGCATAGCGGTTAGACACTCTGGGGAACCCATGGTTGCTCGCAACAGAGTCTTACCCGTCCCGTCTAGCACGCCGTTTCCCACGGCCAGACTACCGACTTTAGCCTGGAAGGGCCGGCCTGGACTGGCTTCATTTTACCCGCTCAGTCATCCAGGGGCGGCGGGTGGGCAAAGGAGCCAGCTTGCGGCTGCCCTGGAACGGCGGCAGCGGTATCCTTTCACCAGACCACCAATCTCTGTCTGCAGAATCTCCAGCGTTCACCTAACAATGCGGTTCTGGCTTTGCTGGACAAACTAGAACACGTAACGTGGACAGTCCACATCCGCACATCCGCCCGCTCGGGCTCTCTCACTCACGTACTCTTCTCTTTCCTCCCGCCACTGACAAGTCTGATATGGTGGGTCTATTGCTGCATCTGAGTGGGTGTGCCATCATCGACCATTTCGTCAGCAGCCGCAACTGAGCAGCGAGCAATCACACTGGGCCTAGCCCCGTGCTAAAAGGCAGTCTGTGCTCCGTGACTCCGTCGACATGCTGCAGGCCTTGCTTTTAGCTTGAACTTTATTACCTCTGCTCCTAGACTGTCCTGACTTTCTGGACAGATGCCAAGCCCTAAGCTTACATGTCTTTGGCCATCTGTGGCCAAGTGGCGGCGACTGGACATCAACGTTTCCGCTGAACCATCTCTCGGCCTCTTTCCTTTAGCGCATTACGGCTACCATAGGACCAGGCGAACAATCTACACGTGTGCCACAGGATCTATCCGTGGAATTCGGCTTGTAGTGCGCTCTAGCCTGACCACCAGACATTAGGAGCCGTTGAATTCCTGAGAACTGATCTTGGAAGTGGGCCGTCCATGGTCTCGCAGGCCGGGGAGCACTTGCAGCGCCAGAGTGGTGTGTGAAGCGGGCCAGCAGACCGACTGAGAGCGAGGGGGTTTTTCATCTCAGCATATCTGGTGACACGAGGTCCTCCCAAGGATAGCCTTCGCATCGGTTTCCAGGCCAGGCAAGAAACCACCCCAAGCCTTCTCGGTGAATGAATCTCGGGGAATGAACTGAAAGTTGGACCCGAGAGGCGATGAACGAGACCGTGGCGGTGGAGCTGCAGGACAGGACATCAGATGGACAGGAGAGACAAGCAAGTGCCTGTTGATGTGCATCACCACATAGTTCGGAGCCGGCTCGTCGATGAGCAGCAAGTACGTATAGGACGACAAGCACGGACGCCCACGAGGCTGTCACCCTGCAAGCAAGAGGCAAACTTTCAGTCCGTAATTTGTCCCCACAGGTGACGATCTGTTCATCTCGGGGAAGCTTAGTCGTCCTGACCTGTCCGAATAAGCTCTGCCAGCATGGAGAATGCGGGAAGTTACTCCACACTGGAGGGAGGCAGAGAGATTGACGAAGGAGATTTTGTTTGCTCCCGGAAGATCACTCAGGTCAGTCACCCGCCATCTCCCAAGGACCGCCCCCACCCCTTCACTACTCGACTAGTGGGCAGGGAGGCAGAGATTTTGGCAAGCACGGCGACTGGCTCATCACCATCTGGGCAATCCCCACCTCCAGATCACCATGGGACGGCATTTCTTCAACAGGCGCGCTGTAACGTGTGCGATCACCATCCCTCCAGCACCATGACAACAGGGCATGTCCTTGTCTCCTGATCTAAACATCAGGGTGGCGCCTGGGCCTACCCCCTATACCCCTCCAATCCCCCCCTAAATCTTCCAAGGATAGGGGGATAAAGGAATCACAATTCCCATCGTAAAGCCATTCCGTACCGATCCGTACCCGTCAAGGTATGGGCCGGCGGGGACTTCACGCGACAGCAGCAGCATTAGCAGCAGCAGCAGAACAGCAACAGCAGCGATGGGGCATGATGAGATAGAAATGCTACCTACCTCAAGTGCAACAATGGGCCGACCGGCTTCCCTCCCCTCCTCCGCCGCTGCCCCTCTCTCTCTCCGTTCGGTCTCCTCGGACATTTGATGACGATGGCGAAGTGATTGAGTTCGTGTTGGCACCTCGGTGACATTGTAACGCACATACAAGATCGGTAGCGGCGAGGGTCTACCAGCGGCGCCAACGGTAGTGGTGGGCCCCGAAGACCTTACACCTTGGCTACTCCGTGGCTCGACCGTGGTTCCTGGGGCCTTTTGCCCCCCTCCCACCCTCCTTCCCCAAGGCCACAAGCCCCCGACCCCCAAAGGGCTAGGTCTCAGGCACGACGGCGGCCGCGAAGCAAGCTTCACCGCCGCCGTTGCAGAGGCGGCTACCACAGTAGCTATCAGCGGCCTGTCGACTCCTGAAGGATGGCGTGGGTGGGGAGACGTGGGTGTGCCTGCCTTGTATGCCTTGTCTGCCTCCTTCCCGGCTGACCCAGAATGGTGCTGACCACCAGCGTTGCTTTATTTTCGTCCGCGCATGTATGGATGGATGCATATGGATACAAATATAAACATGTGTTTTCGTTTTCGGAGACTTCTCAAATCTCGGCATAGCATCGGTAGGGAAGAGACAGGCACACGGCACAGGGGCTACAGCACGGGCAATAGGGTTATTCTTGGGGGTACGAAACAAGGAAATTTCACGCCCGTGTGAAAGGAGCAGCTGCCGGCATTGGGGATCACACAGGATCATTTGCTCCCCTTTCCTCAGGGGTTGATAGAACCTCTCACATAAGCCTGCAAGGAACCAAGAGGCCGGTGGCCGGGTCCGAAGGTTACTTAATCAGTATAATTATGATGTTATGGCTTGGACCCGGAGATATCTTCGGGCGGAACGTCAACGGGGAGGCAACGTCAACATGGCCTGATGATAACCAAGGCCGGGGACGAGGGGTGGAGGGTGGTTGGGCCAGTGGGATTGGGACATGGGAGCCCCTCCGAGCATAGTTGGGCAAGTGTATGTACTGTCGAATGTACTAAGTAATGTACGGAATACCGCAAGGTACAGTACTTTACTGTAAGCCATAATCCCTTCCTTTTCCTGTGTCTTTGCTCTCCTCCATCCCCACTTGGTTCGAGGCCTAAAAGTTGCCTTCCCCAGCTCGCAACGCTTGCCAGCCTCCCCCCGTCCACAGGCCCGCTTCCCAAGAGGGACAGCCTTTCCATCCCACGTCGCATCGCCCATTCGATCTGATCTGTCCTCGCCGGCCAAAGAGTGGGATCGCCTGGTAGCCGGAGCTAGCCCACTCGATTGCCTTTTGTCGGCATCTATTACGCGGGTGGGTTCAGGGCACGGGCCACGGGGGAAGGCGGGTTGGCATCGGGTTTGTCTATTGTGTACCCCGGTGAAGGAGAGAGTCTTTTTGTGGTCTTGGTTTTGTGTTTTTATCGTCATGGCACCGTTGTCTGGCGCGAGATCTTTCGCCCCATCCAAGGTCAACGCGGCTGGGCCCTCGGCCGAGCGAGATGAAGAACGGGTGATGATCGGATGGGTTGCGCTCAACCTTTTTTCTCCCCCCTTCGTTCGTGCTCGGGCTGGGTCGGTCCATGGGGCTGGTTGAGTGATTCGGTGTTTCGATGCTACCGTGGTCGGTGAAGGGGGAGCGGCACAGCTAGATTATTATTGCGTAGTGTCGTAGTGTACGTATACCTTGGCACGGGCGCGTTCCGGCGAGTTGCGATGAGGTGTCCTTATCACATCCCCGCCGGGCGGCGCGGTCGCCGAGCGGTTTCTCTCGCTGAAAGGGGAGGAGCGCTACGAGCTGTTGTGTAGGTGCAAGTAGAGGTACGCACGCTCGCTCGCACGTACCAACAGCCTACGCGGCCTAGTCGTCCTGGTCAATTAAATCCTCGTCGTCGTTGAGCGCGAGCTGCACGAAGTGTCGGATCCAGGCTGCGTCTCCGGCCTGGATCTCCTCCTGGTCGGCCTCGTCACGCAGGTGCTGCGCGTCGACGTGATGATCGCGTCGAATAAAGTTATGGTTCGGTCCTTGAAACTGATTCTGCCGTGGACCAACCCCCCTTGCTCGACCCCCTCGTCCCTGAGCTGCTTGCTGTCGTCCCCGTCCCGCAGGATTGCCTCTGCCCCGGTTCTGTGCGCCGCCGCGCTGTTGCGGTGCTGGAGCTGGTTGGCGTCCTCCGCGGGCGCCTGGAGCGGGCGCCGCTCCGGCATCGATCCGGAGGACCAGCGGGCCCTCCCGCTCGACGTCCACCCGCCGGCCATTCTCGTTCAACACCGGTCGTTGCTCAGGCCGGTGGTGGTTGGCCACACCTTCGTCCCCGACGATTGCCTCCTCGAGTGCGATCTCCGCGATCTCCTGCTCGTTCCTAGGAGCCTGCTGCCCGCCGCGACCTCCAGCGAAGAAGTTCTGCCCATCCTCGTCGCCCTCCTCCAGCTCCCACAGTCTCATGTAACAGCTACCAATTTTTCCATTGGGCTGCTGGTTGAAGTGCTGGTATGGATTCGAAGGGTCCAGCCATGCCGAGCACAGGTAGCAAAAGTGTGTCTGGCACCTGTAGCAGATCCTGAGAGACAGTCAGAAAGAGCAGCCTGTGGTGGGGTGATAGAAACACGTACATATGATTACAACCATGCGTCTTTTGAGCAGGGCATGCACAAGTTGGACACGGCGTGGTGTGCAAGCTGATGAAGTCCAGCGAAGCCTTCTCTTCCGCGCTGAGTTCACCGTCGTCGCGGCGGGGAGCACAAATGACGAAGTCGCCGTGCCAACCTTGGTAGCACCTGCTACAGAAGGCAAAGCCGCAGTCCTCGCATACGGCAAGCCTGTCAACGTATGGCCGGGACTTGGCTGTCTTTTCAGAGTCTGCCTTGGGGGCCTCCTCGGTTTCGCTGGCCGAATCGTCCTCGGCCTCGTGCAGCTCGAAACCTTCAGGCTTCTTGCGCTTCTTGGACCGAGCCGCGCCCTGGCACCACGGTCGCGGGCAGTAGACCGTATGCTTGTCTGATTCGAGTTCTGTCTTGTACTTCAGAGTTACGTAGCGTTTCACCATGTCAGACTCAAGGGGGATCTGGAGAAGCTCGCTGGGACTGATAAATGTCTTCCGCTTGCTTCGTTTCTGGCTGTCGGATGCCTGGGCAGCAGTCCTCTCCTTTGCGCAACTAGGCTCTAGACATCGGACGGTAGCGAGATCGCCTTCTTTGATGGCATTATTGTAGAAGCTTTGCAGACACTCGGTACAAAAGACATGACCACAATCTATCATGCGATGGCACTTGGCTCCCTTCTTCGGATCTGAGACAGATATTAGCGACCCAGGTGAGGTTTCCAGGCAGAGGAGCAGAAGGACCTACCGAGGCAGACACCACAATCGAATGTCCCGTTTTCAAATGCAACCCGCTTGGCCTCGATATCGTAGTCCAGAACAGCGATCTTGTGCTCGGGGCTGATTTGCAAAGCACCGACATCACTCACGAGCCCGAAAACATCGTCCGCTGATTGCTGGACGTGATCAAGGTAGGTAAAGGCAACGAGATCGCGACCGAGCTCCTCCCACAAGCGTGCGCAGTCATCTTCCAGCTTCTTGGCCGTTTCTGAGGGAAGCCATGATGGTTGGGTTGACACACTGGCCACCGGGGGTTTCTCTGCCGGGTACGCCGGAGGCAGCGAGATTTGTACGCGGACAGCAGGCAGGTGGGCCAGCTCGTGAGAATCAATCGCGTTTGGATTGGGCCCCGCCACGGCAGCGCCGGGCTCCTGCGCTACCTCTGGGTTCAGACTCTGTGCCTCTTTGGCCGCGGGGAAAAAGACCGTGACAGCCTTTGTTGGGTTCACAGGAACGTCCAGCACAAAGGTGTACGGGTCATCATCGTGAACTCTCTGGATCTCGGGGAAGATGGCCGACAGGGTCGACAGCTCGACGTCCCTCTGGTCCTCGGTGTCCATCTGGTTGCAATGTCAGAGGCCTTGTTTAAGTGCGAGCGGCACGGCCTGTACGGGTAAGAGGGGCTGTAGATCAGCGCTCGCCGGCAACGATGGTGCAATACGCATCCGACCGGCCATCAGCGGTGATTGCGATGTCAAGAAAAGTGTCCAGAGGAAGGGGACGGAGCAAGTCATAAATTGTAGCTGCGGTAAGATGCAGACATGTTTGTCAGGATCTCGGGCAGTGCAATGCCTGATAGTTGCCACGGTGAGGTGAGTAAAAATTGGCGAAAATGTTCCAGGCCGTCAGCAAGGTTCGCGATGGTGTTGCAGTAAATTGTTATCGGACTTAATTTGGCTGATGGTTGATGATGATGACTCTTGCCGAGGGATGGATCCCCTGTGGCAATTCGGCGTGCAGCTGTCGGAAATGTTCCTGGCAGGCATTTTGGGGTCTAGATTGCCGTCCTGCCGCGCCACCCAGCGCCTCACCGCCTTCCATTCTGGCCCGCCGACGTGGGGTTGCCTGGGTGTTTGTATGGGATTCTACGCCGTCCAAGGTACCTAGGTAAGGAGCCCGTGTCAGGGGGGCGAGAGCTGCTGAGCTCTGTCCATCGCGAACACATCCAACAACCGTCCACAGCATAGCTGTTCGAGTTCTCGCACCCAAGCGACCCAGCATGCATTCCTGATCCACCTGAACAGTCACAGCACTCCCATGCCATCAATGGAGCACCCTGCATGATTAGTGGAACCGTTGGCTGCCGACTATGACCACGATTGGGATCCAACCTGTCCGAACCAGAGCACTCAAGTCGCGTCGATCCGGACCCTGAATCACCATGAACTCTCTCTGGCCCTCTCGAGCGTCAGGCGAGGGCAATGCGGCTGCACCCCCTCCCACCACGGACGTGGCAGACACCGGTGTGCCGGATGCTGGGCTCACCAAGGGCGATCAGCAACAACAGGCGCCGCCTGTTCGTCCATTGCTGCAGCGCAACGCTCAGCCACAGACTCCTCCGGCCTTTCCTCCTCCGCCCTCAGACCCTCCGCCGCCACCGAACGCAAGCACGCCCCTCCAACCGCCCACAGACTCGCTGTCTTTGGCCCAGCTGAGGCGTCTTGTTGCCGACTTCCCACACGCTGAGGCAGCTGCCTACGACTTCGAGTATCAAGACACTGCGCCGATCGAGGAAGAGATTGACGAGTGGTTTGTGTACCAATTCTGGCAGTGGGTGCGTCTTAATGGGGTGCAGCGTGCCTTCGAGTGGCAGTGGCTCAACAGCCATGGGCAAGACACATCGTGGGAGGAGGTTGGTGACGGTGCGAGGAAGGCCTTCGTGTCGGATGCATTGTCAGGGCTCTCGTCAGAGACGTCCAAGGAGCGGTCGGCGAACGTCGCGAGACTTGTGTACATCGCGCTCGGGAGATGGACCAGCACCGCTGGTGGGGATCAACCGGCAGCTGGGACGGAGAAGAAGCCCAGATGCGTGGCAACGCCTGCCCAACTCGAGGCGATCAAGGCTGGCGTGCGGCTCATCGCAGATGTCGATGGTGTTCAGATTATTTTTAACGCGCTCAAGAAAGCGTTTGAGCCATTTTGGTAAGTACGGACTAGGAAGCTGGGAGAGATAGCAGCTAACACTTCCAGGCCCGAGGAAGCACAACATACCCAGTCGAATACTATGCAAGAAGCGCTGGATGAGCTCATGAATTTGATGACAATTATGTACATGATGATACAAGAGGTTTTGTCAAACAGTGACGAACTGAGGGACCTCAGAACACAACTCCGTGAGTGCACCGTCTGAGTTCAGCCAGCAGACCAACTGATATGTGCAAAGTCGCCCTGAATCCCAGTCTGGTGGAGTTCTTCGCAGAAGTCACTGGAAAACTTCGGTGGGACGAGGCGCAGATCGTGCCGCAAGCACAGGTGTTTCTACTCCTGTGGAAATCGATACTGCTCGTCTTTGGCGGATCGGAAGAGCTGGCTGAGACGAAACGGGCTACAAGAGAAAACCCGTCAGATGACAAGGATGATAGAGATGTCATCACAGCCTCGCCCTTGGATTACCACGTCTTTCGCCAGGAGATAACGTCCAAGTACCCGGCTTACATCCCACCTCAACCTGCTATTCCCTTGGAAGCCGAGAACACTTCTCTCCTTCCGCCCTTACCGAGTCAACAGGCCCGGAACAACGGCGCTCAGGGCATCCTGCCTCCTCAACCTGGCACACAAGCGGGGGGTGCTTCTATCCTACATCAGCCCGTTCACATTGCGACTCCCGCTCCTTCGCCGCCGCCGTCACCGGGTGTTGGCGGTAAAGGAGTTAAGAAGCAGAATTACCAGACAAACCAAAATTTTCCATTCATGTACCCGCCTCTAGACGAGTCCAGCAATAGCCTGGGTGGTAAGGGCAACACTGCTTTGCAGGATTTGCTTGTCACTCGGAAATGGGAAGGCGGTGATGTCCCGGCTTCAATTCTTGAAGCTGGTGAGCTGTTTTCCAACCGTGTGAGGATGACGCGTGCGGCCAGACAGCTGTGGCAGGAGCGGGAGAGATTCATCAAGTTCGAGCGCGGCTGGGATGAGTCCACAAACGATATAATAGACGAGCTTGACCTCTCGTCTCTGACCCTGGAGGAGAAGGAAGAGTTGGGGTTGGTGAAGCCAAAGGAGCCTGAACCTGAAGAGGTGGAGGTTGATTATGGCCCGGGCAAAGACCTGGACGAAAGGACGAAACAGCGACTAGACGCAGTCGAACGATTCTACGTGAGTTACTGCATCTTCGTTACCTTCTGCTTGGAGCTAACGCCGAACCCAGGCCAACACTCTCCCGATTCTGCAATCAATATCCATGACTTTGATCAAGTCCATCATAGCACACTGGACGGTCGTAATGACACAGCAGCCTCAGGGTTCATTTGGTATGCAGGGCCAAAACAACGGGAGAGTCAACGGGAACGGGCGGGGCCAAGATGGCTCAAACGGCACCAATGGTGCTGGAAGTGGTGATGACATTGACCCCTCGCCCGAGGAGCTGGACGCGGCAAGAACCCGTGAGATCACGCAAAAGGCAGTCAGCGCCATCATGCTACTGCTTTTGAAGTGGTTTAAGCTGTCTCGTGAGTCTCACAGTTGTTGCTTCAGGGTTTATGTTTTGATGCTAATGTGTCCCATGCAGATGTCTTGAAGTTCGAATACCTAGCACAGCTACTTTTGGATTGTAATTACATGCCATTAGTGCTGAAGCTATTCCTACACCAGGATGTTCAACAGGTCATCGAAAGCAAAGCGGACCGCATAGAGAACAGGTAGGTGTACTAAGAATGGCATTGGTCATAATATACACTAACGTCAATCAGCTTCTTTTACTTCTGCAATGTTCGGGCCGGGGCACCAGAGAAGCCTGCGCAGCAGGAAGCAGAAGCACCGCCCGCTCAAGAAGAGGAGAGTGAAGACGATGCGGCGCCACCACCTATCAAGCGGCGGCGCTCGCCCACAGAGGAGGCCGCCTCCGGAGACGCATCCGGAGCAGCGCAGCAGAACGAGAACGGCGCCCCGGTTCGTCCGGAGGTGGACGAGCTCGGGTACCCCGTCAACCCGCTTCCGGCGGAGCCGATCACGGACTTCTCGCGGCGCAACTTCTTCACGCTAATCAACTACCTGCGGGTCATGCAAAAGATCTGCAAGCACAAGGCGCACCGCAACCTGCTGCTTGTCCACTACAAGTCGTCCAACGTGCTGCGCAAGAACCTGCGGATCCCGCAGGACCGGCTCCGGCTGTACACGCTCAAGCTGTTCAAGAACCAGGTGCCCTACTGCAGCCGCAAGTGGCGGCAGTCCAACATGCGGGTCATCACGGCCATCTACCTGTACTGCCGGCCCGAGCTGCGGGATGAGTGGCTGGCGGGGGCGGACATCGACGCCGAGATGGACGAGGCGCTGCCGCTGGAGCAGGCGCTGCGCAGCCTCACGCACTGGTTCAACGTGCGGCGGTACCCGGACCGCATGGCGCCCGAGGTGCGGGACGCGCTGCGCGAGGAGCACGACTTCTTCTCGCGCGAGCTCGAGCGCCTCGAGGTCAGCTGGGACGACATGGGCGCCGCGGAGAGCGTCAACGGCGAGTGGGAGGAGATCCCCGGGTGGAGCTGATTGATTGATCTGCGCCCGTTGGTGGTGGCGGTCGTGGTGGTGTGGCCCCGAACACACTGTTTGTGTTACATACCTGTTTCCTCTCAGTGGGTGGGTAAGCGAGTAGGTGACTGGCGGTGGGGAGTGGGTCCCCGGATGGCGCGGGCGGTGTGGTGTACATCTCTGCTCGCGTGCTCGGTAACGCGCGATCACCCGTAGTAGATATGGTTAATTGATACCCTCTTTAGCGGTGTACTAGTCTGGTTCCTGGTGTTGAAGTGGAACTTGAGTCGAGGCGATGGAGTCCGGCCGATGGGGCTTCAATGCGGGACTTTTTCGTACTTTTACAGATCGTCTTGGCTACCATGTTCTTCTGACGGTGACAGTGGCTCCCACAAGTGGAAAGAGAAGATCAGTAGAAGATGAATGTGGAGGCTGTCGGGAGCAGGAACTCCGATGGTGTTCCCGGGCTAAAGCATTGTTGCGCTGTCGAGACACTGTCGTTGCAGACGCCTGTCGACTGATCGTGACCAGACAAAGTCCATACAATGTTTTCATCTTCGCCACACACCTCAAAGCACACCGCACTATATGAAAGAATAGGGAGCCGTGAGGGCACACGTGAGCTTATTTCATTTGAGATAATCATTCATTAAAGCTATACTGGAGTGATACCGCCGATGCCGAATAAAAACAACGCAGCCCCAAGGCGGGGATGACATCAAGCCAGCGAGTTGGGTGACGAGGTTTTCTCAGCCTCTCTGTTATTCCTGGCAGACAAGACGCCTAGGATTTGGGGGGGGGTATATCCAACGCCGATATTGTAAAGAAAAATAAATCCAATATAGATCCTTCCCCAGCTGTTTTTTTTTTTGGGGGGGGGGGCGGCATCAGGTTCATGTCGTTGGGTGGGGATTGCCAGCCGGCGCCGGCATTTCTTCATGTGCAATGCAATGCACTTTTACGCCGGGTGCCCATTTTGCGCGGCCCAGCCGGTTCCTCCAGAACCGGAATGGCAGGCACCCGGACGCAGCATCTCTTCTCAGATTTCTCATGGCCTCTTCTCTCCTCCTCGGGAACCAGCTCGCCCCTTACACGTTATAGGTGCCATCGCCATAGCGGCCCGGGTGGGACTGTGTGACGGTGCCGTGCTCGTTGTAGCCCGCCTCGCCGTACTTGTTGTAGGGGCTTCCCTCGCCGACGCGGGTGGCCTCGGTGTTGTAGCTGGTGCGGACCTGGTCCGGGCTGGTGTGCATGGGCAGGGCGTTGGGGTCGCCGAGGCCGTCGGTGCCGGTGCCCTTGTTGCGGCGGAGGCCGAAGAGGCCGCGCCGCTTGGAGCCGTACCCGGAGGTGTAGTTGTTGGCGGGCGAGGGCCCGAAGCGCTGCTCCTTCTTGCGGTGGCGGCCCAGGGCGAGCTCCGTCAGGGCCGAGATTATGAAGAAGACGCTGGCTGAGGGTTAGCATCGTGGTTTTTTTTTTTTTTTTTTTTTGAGGTTCGGGTGTGTGTTTTGGATGTGATTATGAGACTTACATTGCAACAATAGATACTGCGAGGATAGCCGACTGCATCCGGCATATCGTCATGTACTTGGCCAGCGGGACGCCACCGTCATTGGGGGACTGGATATCGGCGTTGGCGTCACCCGTCCCGAACACGGTCTTGACGTCGCTTCCGGAGCAGGAGCTGGCGCCGTCCTTGTAGACGGTCGCGACGTAGATGAAGGCGCCGAGGAAGGCGACGTCGAGGACGATGGCGATGAACGAGGTCAGGGTGAAGCCGGCGAGGCAGCAGAGCAGCAGCAGGCCGACGGCGGTGTAGAGGACTGCGGCGCCCGAGATGCCCTCAACGGCCCGCAGGTTCGTCGGGATGGTGATCTTGTGGTTGGACATGGCGGCCATGAAGTACGAGTTGAGGGCGAGGATGAGCCCTGCGCAGCAGAACTGCACGCCCCTGTTGAACCATTGCAGGAGCTTGAGGCAGAGACCCGCGCCGGCTGCCATCTTGGGTGGTTATTGTGTGTGTTGTCTTGTGTTGTTTAACCAGATGTCTCTGTGTGTCCTCTTCCGGTCGAGGAGGAGTTTTACTTCGGTTAAGTGATACTCTTTGAGTTACTGTTACCCGGGCCACGAGGGAAAGTGGGTTAACACTCGAAAGGTACGGGGAATAATTGAAGGTTATATCGGAGCGGGCGGAAAGGACGGAAACAGGCACCGTGGGGGGTGTGACAGAATTTAAGACGGGCCACCGAACGCCCGTTACCTCATCCTGAGCACGGCCACATGCAACAGGAAGAGGAAAAAGGTGGGAACGGCAACCAGAAAACATGACTTCACAGACATCATGTGCATCAGGAGACGTTGGAGAGGACCAGGGGAGGGGGGTGTGGCGCTGTAAACCGGCCAAGAAGAGGCCGCCCCCCCCCCCCAAGCCAAGTACCGAGAGACGATTCGACGACTGGACGACCAGAGCGAGCCCACACCCATCCACCAAGAGATCGGCTTGGCTAAAGCAAGGTAGGGCCGATCGCTGATGGAGTCGTCAAAACGCGACGCTTGAATCAGGGGACGGGCTGGACGGTGCAGGCGGTGGTAGATTGGGAGGAGGGGGCGTTGCTGCAGAGAAAAAAGCTAAGTACTGCTAGTTCATCCAGTCCATGTGGGCAGAGGAAGCTTGCAAAAGTGGACGGATGCAGCCTGTGAGATGACGATGGTCGAGGGCGCCACTCTATCCCAAGCAGCTGTCCTGTCTGCAGTAGACAGACACACCTGGACCTTGGAAGTCAAACCTTGAGCCTTGGACCTTGGAACCTTGTTAGACTGGACCCCTACGTGCCAGCTACCCAAGCTGTCTTCTCTCTTTCTCTGACACAAGATCTCTCTGGTAGCCCCAAATTTGACCCCTCCACAATTGATGCACCCACCCCGGCGCATCCATTACCGGCTAACAACGTCATCGCCCGAACAGGGATGGACTCTGAAGCGAGGCGACTGACGGCAGCAGGATGCAGCTGAAGGTGCAAGGCTGAGCCACACAAAGCCACAGCACCAGCCCGTCCTCACTGCCTGACAACCCCGAGCACCGCCGACAGAGCCGACGGGGGTGTGCACACAGCTCGATTGGGCAATGGGTGTCTTGGCCTGGGGACAACGGGCCACACACCGTGCCCCCAAACTTGGACGGCCAGGCCGATTCGAGCCCTGAGCCACCGCGGCCACGCCTTACGTCCAACACATGTGGTTTCCAACTTCGTCTCGAAACATTGCAATTTTTATCGATCATCTAGGAAGGGACAGCCTTTTGTCTGTATTTCTCTTCACAATGTCTTGGACGTCCAGCACCGCCCAGTTGGGCCGCTGAAAACTGGGCTGCTGCTCAGTTTTTGCACCCAGGCAGGTGCAATCGCACTACCACCAGCGCCACACATTCGCCGCGTGGAAATACACGCCACGGAGCGATGTGCAAAACCAAGGCGGTAGCGCGGACGAAACCCGCGGGAGAGCCCAACGAACGACACCCGGCCGTCCCCATCAGACTAGTCCCGAGTCCGGCCCGGCCTGTGCCAGGTAGCTCCTGGGGCTCTGCGTCATGGCAGCTTGGGCTGGGGAGGGCCATTGTTCGGGTGGTCCCCCCATCTAGACTTCGGACGGTCCTGAGCCTGTTTTCCATCGGCGTGGGACTACTTCTGTGCTCGGGTCCTTACGATGTGCTGGGAACAATGTGGAAACCCCCGAGTTCCGTGCCCGATCTAAGCGTGTGCTTGCTCCCGCAACGGTCGAGGCCCCTAGGCTGCCAAGGGCCGCTGGGTGCTTGCACACTGCCTCGGGAGAGTGAGGACATCTGGAATAATGATGTTGTATTGCTAAGTTGTGCAGAGAAAGAGAAACTTCCCACTCTGGCTGCTAAAAAAACTGACTCCTTAAAAACACTCCCTACTAATTGATACGCTCCTTCCCGGCACCACACAAGGCACTCTTCTCTCCATGCCTGCAGCCCCGAGGGTATTCCCAAACAAACAAACGAGTCTTTGTCTCGGGCAGACACTCTTCTTTGAGCCGTCATCGTAGACCAACAACTCTCCAACTCGGTTCCATAGTCATCCGCCAGGCTACTCTCTTCTACCGGCTTTCCCTAACCCAAGGGTAAAATCACGAAAACATATTCCAGGCAATTAAACTTCCTTTATCCTTTCTATCCTGTATGGGCATCTCGGCAAGCTAGCCCGGCCCCATTTATATGGTTTGGAGAGGGAAGGGATTTTGGGACAATCTTTGGATCGCAACTCAGCAACTCGGTTGGGAGTTTCAAAGTTCTTCTGTTACTGATTTATAGTGGTACCATCATCGAAAGAAAAGAAATTCTGATTCCGGGATTGATAGAAACTCAAGGATAGGTAGACTATTCTAAACGCGAAAGCTGTGTACTTTTCCCATACGCTGCACTATTCGTGCATAGTTCCTAGTTTGAACTGCTCCAAAAAAAAAAAAAAAAAAAAAAAAAATGAGCTGCTCCCGTCTGAGGACTGTTACAAAGCAGCTTCAAGCTGGGTCTAGTTCAACCATAGGTCAGATGTGCCCCTGACGGAAGGTGTTGATGGCCAAGTGACTACACACCACGGCAGCGGTGTGATGCAGTTCCTTTTAGTTGATGTGGCGATCAGAAGTCGTAACTAACATCCTGGGCGCGCAGAATCGGTTTGGTATGTGAAAAGTGTTTTGGGGATTGATTCGGGCGTTTCTTTGATGCAGCCTTTTCCTTATCAGTAGCTCTGTCTATTTTCCTCCTTGCGTTTCATGTTATGGTAACGATAGACTTTTCCTGTCCTGAAACATCCTCTGCCCATGAAGCGCCGTCAACAGCTTCCAGGTACCCAATTCGTTCAGACACTTCCTCATACCCTGCAGACCTACAGAGCACCAGTAATTCCGGCTTCATCTCTCCGTCCCTTTTTGAGTCTGCCATGTGAAGCAGCCAGACGGTGAAGTCCCCGCCCGAGTTAGATTCTTCCCACTCATCCATCCACGGCCCGCACCGCCCCTCCGGCTCTGATTCGGAACCCGACCCAATGTTTGACCCGGGACTCAATCCTCCAGGAGCGCTCTGCCCCATATTGTCTCTGGCGGTGGCAGTTGGTCCACGCCGCCTTTGTAACGATCGGCCTGTGCCGTGCTGGCCCCAGATCGGAGTGTTGGGGGGAATACCCTCGACGTCGCAGTCAATGACAATCTGGCCATGGCCGCTCTGATACATTCCTGCCCTGGGGGACTGGCTAAACATGCACACATCCTCTCTCAGCACCGTCGCGCGAACCCGAAGATATGTGCCTTTGCGCACGACTTGGCCGAACGGGTTGTCCGGATTTGCCAGCGCGCACACGGATTCAAGAATCTCGGCTTGTGGGATGAAATCATTAACGTTCGAGTGATTCATAGCCACTTCGCCTTCGACCGAAGCCCATGACCAAGTCGGCGCGCGGTATTCCTGAACAAAACCCTTGTCATAGTACTTGGAGAGTTGCCAGCACAACTGCCTGTGCATTCTGGTGTCCCACAAGCCCGCAAGGTAGCGTGACGGCGGCATGCCTCCCCTTGCCGTAAGCCCTTCTTTGTTCAGGATCTGGACAAATTCACATGCAATACCTGAAAGTGCCGGTAGCTTGTCTCGCATGTAGCTGAGGTTGCGGCGGCTATATCCCTCGACGACCCTGACCCAGAAGTCAAGGCAGGTTGACATCCTGTCAAGGCGCCCTTCATCCGTGTCTGCCCCCACCTCCCCGTGGCTTTTCGCTTCCAGGCTTCGTTGTAGCTCGTGCGTATGCGGGGGGTCGAGTTTCTCAGGGTTACCACACTCGCAGGCGCGAAGTGTGCGGCATGTCCACTGCACCTCGTCAGTCGAGAAGGAGACAACCCGGGTCGACAACATGTATTCCTGGAGCGTCCAGGCGCGGCACATGCTAGGGTCTAGTATCTCTTTTTCAGGATTTTGGTGGAATCCTGAGGACGGAGTCCTCCGCACAGCCAGCGTATTTACTAAATCGTGGGAGGCGGTGTCGTGGTGCTGGTCGCTAGCAGCTTTTTCCTGTAGTCGAAATAAATCGTCGCTGTTTGGGCGGTTATGGCGTAGGAAGGACAACCTTGAAGAGTCCACAGAGGAGGCTGAGATGGCGAGGAAGGCCTGCGCGTAGACAGTTGACATCTGAGCCGACTCATGTGCCCAATCTTGCGTATCGTCCTGAATGATACATAGTGCATCGACCCAAAGGTATTGCACTCGGAGGTATCTGGCTAGCCCTATGGCGTCTCGGATCGTGGCCGGTAGGTCATCCTCATCTATAGCTCGGAGTAGCTTGGACAAGTTTGATCTGATGGCCGTCAGTCCATCCCCGTCTCCCCAACAGTAGCTCAAGGCGATAGATTTTCCCGGTGTCCCAGACGGCGGCTCAAAGATCTTGACGTGCGGTACAGTCGCCGAGTTACCAAGGTCCAAGACCCGCGTGGGGAGGTGGGGTGAGTCCTGGTTGCATTCTCCATGCTCCCGAGAGCATGTGTCGAGCTGGACTTGCAAAAACTGAAAGGACCGCTGAGAATTCGCAGATTGACTGATTTCTGGTGCCGGAGGTAGGCCTTTCCATGCTGGTGAGTAGCCTAAATGATGACTATGTGTCAGTCACTATTCTGCACCACGGTACGCTTACCTCTTGTTGTCAGCTTGTACTCTCTAAATGGGGAGATTTTGAATACCAAAGGGAGTTAAAAGGATTAATCTGGTAGGGCGGTAGGTGAAGATACCCTCCAATTCCACACTACCATTTTTGAAAACCATCAAGGCGAAGGGGAGTCGGGGTCTTGACCCTCTTGCCAGTATGCAGAAGTGATCGACAATCCGAAGCAGAACGGCACAAAAGATGCATTCGTCTTGCTCTGCACGACATTGGAAATCGGAAGTCGTTCGCCGCCTGAGATGAAAGCCGGGTAGCAGCCCTTTCTGCTCTCTGCCTGGGTACGTCCCGTCCCAAAATCTAGCCCCGTGCTGGGACCATTCAGACTCAAGGTTCTCATAGCTAAGATCGAAGCACACAGGACACCACAGGCCTCTATCACCACGAATGTTCTTCAAGGCACCTCGACTACAGCATGGTTGAAACCCCATGATGTAATAAAATTAGTAAATAATCCTGCCCTTACAGCAGGGGCGAGGTGAATAGCCTCTTTAAGGTGAATAATCTGTTCAAGGTGAACCTTCGGAGGTGGAGTCGAACAAGTTGGACGCGCATCTCTGATTGGAACGCATTTGCAACCAAACAAAGTCCTTGATAGCTACATACCCTGCAATGTTAGCGCACGAGCCATTTTGCTGCAAAGAATCCCTTTCTGTTACCAATTACTTGGTGTAGACAGACCTCATGGGTGTCAATCGGCATCGTACTACCCGCACTCTGTAGAGCAGTCCCTCAGCGACAATGATAGAATAAATGGCCGAGTTTTAATGCATGAAGTTCAATGCTTACATATGACTCCAGGTCCCCGGGTCGCAGCATGGAATAACGCATCTTGGCTTCGTGTCCACGTCAAAATTGGTGTCGTGTCGCCGAAAATGATTGGCTAGTAGAACGGAGTGCTTGTTTGTTACTGGTGAGTTGTGAGCTAGTTAATAATAGAGGACCATCGTTGTCAGCTCACTGTTGCACTTCAGTGTCGAAGTGGTAGAACAAAGGGGCGGCGACGGCGAGGTTATTGAGCTTCTGGCAGACGCATTGCCAGCAGAGCAGTACCGCCGCTGTGAGCCATGCTTGGAAGGTGTATAATGGGAAAATGTATTCAGGTTTCCGGAAACGGACAATCACGCTCAACAATGCTCCCTGCTCCGAGCTGCTTTGTCTCACGTGGGCGATACACCCGGTGAATTAAGCTGTCCATCCACTGGACTCTTCTTGATGGGGTGTTATTTACTCGAAGACCGACTAAATCAGGCCTAACTACTGTCCCGACCCTGACCGTATCAAGGTCAGGCGTGGTGGTGATTGCTCGACTGGTGGGATCTTCAGCCAGCGGTTCAACATGGCCAACCAGCAAGGTCTCGATCACCTCTCGAGATTCGTGCTGCAACAAACAATCGACTACTTCGACAACTTCTGGAAGACCTCCAAGGTATGGGAGCCGTACGAGCGCGTCTCAATATTCGAGAAGCTGCCGATCCCGTACTGGAGCCCCGCGAGGCCGGACCCTGCCCTGGATGAGGACCAGCAGGCAGCGGTGACGGCCGCAAGGCGCCGCGACTTGCCGTTCCACCGGGTGACGAGGTCCGACGCGGCCGGCGGGGACGCGCTGGAGGAGCGGATGAGGGTGTTCTTCGAGGAGAGCGGCTACACGTTCGTCAAGATCCTCGGCGCCGGGTCCCAGGGCGTGGCCGCACTGTTCGAGTTCGCCGGGCAGAGGGTCGTCATCAAGTGGAGCCAGGAGCTGGCGGCCCTGGCCACGGAGATGTGGGCCATGAGGAAGATGGTCGGCGCGAGGCATATCGTCCAAGTGAGTGAGTCTTCCGTCAAGACGGGCTTCTTGGTCCCCAAGATTGAAGCTGGGGTTGGTGAGTTGTGGCTGGGTTCTGATGGTATATACATGCAGCGTAAATGGCGACCGGGAATGATTGAGACTGATTGGGATAAGGATAGTGATATGATGGATTTGATACTCACCCTGGAAAAAACCTACGACCAGGAGCTCCGGGATGAATTAGGTCCCGGAATTCCGTCGATGGTAACCAGCTTTCTGTCACTATTCTGACCCGCCCGAGGAGAGTCCCTTGCCCTATTCCTAGCCTGTTTCACTGCGTGCCTCGATGCCATCTGTTGTGCTACAACTTTGGGACAGGCTATGCACAGGCCATGTCCCTCTTCTGTCCCATTCCCATGTGCTTCCTAATGCTCGGTATCTTGTCGACTGACTCCAATGTTACAGTATGCGATGGAGTTTATGAAATATGGCAACTTGAATGTAATGGCTCTCGCTTCTCCCATCCTCGGTCTCATTACGTTCTTACGCCCTAGAAAGCGTGTCATCAAGTGACTCGAATTTCTATCAAGGTACTCAATCAAACAGTTGTCTTGACCATGCTCGATAAAACTGAAGAAAGCCCTTTCTAAGTTACACAAGCTGCCACAAGGCAACATCACCGATCTCCGATGTACAGTCCGCTAACACGTTCTACACGCAGGGCCTCCTCCGCAAGATATCGCAACAAGAGGCGTACTTGAAGGAATCGGAGATGTGGCGCGTGTTTCTATGCCTCTTCAGAGCCTGCGTGGCCCTGACCTACCCCGACAACTGGGCTCCGGAAGGCTTTGTCCCTACCAACAACGTTGACGCCCCGACAAAGGAGGAGTTGGTCCCCAAAAAACGCAGCCGGCGCTGCCCTGCCCACGGACACGGGCATCATCGACTTCGACATGAACGACCGCAACGTCATGATCGGGGATCTCGGCGCCGACCCGGGCCCGGGCCACCCACATGACCAGGTGCCGGTGGTGAAGGTAGGCGACCTGGGCGTCGTCACGCGCCTCCTGCCGAGGCACCGCGACAACTTCTTCGTGCTGGTCGCTGGAAGGTTGCGAGGGAACATGTGGTACCACTTCCCCGAGCAGTTCACTGAGACGTGGAAGAACATGGACGGTATGGAGTCGCTTGCGGCGGACGAGGTGGCTGGGAAGTACGGCTGGACCTCGAACCTCTGGCAGGTCGGGCGTCTCATGACCATCATGGTGAGAATGTCTCCGTCCCTGACAGGACAGACCCCAGCCCAGCATCAAGTCTCGTTACTAACATGGAACGCACAAAACAAAGATAGCAAGGGTGATCCCCAACGTCCCCCCAACCTGCACCCAGAGCGAAATTACCAAGCCGGACGGGACGACCCAGACTATTTGGACGTACTCGGGCCACCTCCTCGGCGAGCAGTTCGACCACTACGACCCATTACTCCGCTCGACCGTCGCCTGGTGCATGGCGCACCGCCCCGCGGACAGGCCCGGCATCCTCGAGCTCGAGCGCCTCATCACCGACGCGGTCGCCGTCGACCGCTCCGCCGCCGAAGCACAGGGCCGCGTCTCTATCCGCGAGCTGCTGGGGGTGCCGCCCGCAACCGCAACACAGGTGCCTTCTGCGGTCCAGGATCCTCCTGCCGTGCCTCCGGCCCCGGCGGCTGCTGGGACAGCTGGACCCCCTGGGACCGCTGCACCGGGCGGGTCGGGTGGGCGTGGAGAGCGTGGAGGCGGTGGGCGTGGAGCGCCATGACGAAGCGTAAATTGGATGAGGAAAGGTTGCATAGCATTAAGCTTGTAAGGCTGTACGGGGGACCGGATGTAAGTAGGACATGTTTTCATTTTGTTTACCTTCGAAGTCATGGTCTGTTGGTTCAGTTCCACCACGCTGAGGACACGACTGCGAATGTCAAGTGAGTTTGTGGTATTGGAAGAACTCTTGAACGTTGATGTAGAAGGCAGGATTCTGATATTAGTTTCATGGAAATATTTCGTGGAAGTGTACAGTAAGCATTAAATGGGGAATATCAATGAATGATGATTCTTGGTAAATATTCATGTATGTGGAGGGTTGGCCTGATGTGTTCTGCAGACTTTGATGCACAAATGAAAGAGAGTTTGTATGAAACCGACTTTCCTCGTAGATAATTGAACACATCGATTCATCAAAGGTCTGAAGACAAAAGAAACCAAGCAATGGTGAGCTTTGACACACTTTGACAAGTGCGGGTGGCTTGCGGTCATGTTATTTCCAGGGAGGGATGAATATCTACTCCTATGCCCAGAACAATGTCCAATGATCAACTTTAGAGCAAGCTTCATACATAATTTGCTCGCTCTCAACGTTTTAGCAACATGTGAATGGCTAAAAGGAGGGGCTTTAATGGGTGGTCGAGCACACAACCGAACTGTCCTCGCAACTCAGTCGTCCTCAGCTTTCGTCACATTGAGTATGGTCTTCATCAACCCAGACCATAGTTAAATACTGAAATTCCCATATCAGTGAGATGAATCAGCACATGTGGAGTGTGTGTTCGAGTGGGGGGGGGGGTAGCTGGCTGCAAGGAAGTCACCGCCCCAGGTTGTAGCCCCAGCAACAGGGGAACCACCAACAGACGTGAGTTGATAAATTGAACGTTTTGAGGGGCAGCTACCAGTGTAAGTGGCCCAGTGGTTTAATTCTCGAATTAAATTGCTGAGGTCTGGGTTCAATTCCCATGCACTGCTACAGCCACTCTTCCTGATATGGGTCTGTCCGTGAGGACAATTAGTGCCTATACCTGGTAGCATGTTCTACGAGAGTGGCGCGCTCTACTAACATATAAGTTTCTCTCAAGTTGCTGGTGGTCGGGCAACCTTTTTCATGTCTCCTTCTCGAGTTCCTGCGACCAGAAGAAGCCATGGAACGCATGGTAACGAGCGCCTTGTTGGGGCCCAGGTACAGGGCCTTGAAAAGGCCTATCCAGGCCTGATGTGGCTTGCGGTTTTATCCACGGTTTCCATTCAGGTTTTTACGCTTCTCATCTGGCACCTTTCCAGAAACCCACCTTGATCCGTCTCGTGAGAATCTGGAGGCTTGAGATGCAATGTAAGAACAGCAATCATGTGAGACAGATGGTCTGGACGTCAAGATTGAGTAATGGTACAATGACAAGCTGCCGAAGACTCAACGCTTTGCAGATACAATTGGAGACCAACAACGCTCTTTGATAAACGTCACAGGATGGCAAGGCATCATCAACCATTCCACCAACATGATATGCTCACACTGCCGTCTATGCCTTTCCATCGCTTTCCAGCATAATTCTGAGGCTCTCTTTTCCATCCATGACTCGGACTTCCCGCCTGTTTCTTTCACCACAATCATCTTCAGACACCCAACCATCTCAGTCTGGAGTATTGAAGGGCGCCCAAAATAGGCTACTCTACGACAGCCAGGTTCCTCCTAGTCAAGTCGATGTGACTGTCGAAATGGTTGCATGCTGCTAACGAGTGTTCCACAAACTGGAGTGATCAGTACTCTTCCCAGACTTGCAAAGGAGAAAGAGACCTGTGGCCTTGTTGTGGCCAGATTAAGCATCGGACCCAGGCAGGGTTATCATGTGTGCCATGAATCCCACTCATGAATCGATGTCGACAGTACAGGTGTCGGGGAGTTTTAACAGGGTCTGTGCCAGCGGCGCGCTACTGTAACAGGCTTGCTAGGGTGACGTTTGGACCCTGGCTGCCCCGGACCGGCCCGCGGCCCCACAAAACATTCCAACGACACAACAACGTTACAATGTCAGCTCCACACAACTGCTCAACCTCACGGTCGGCTCTGCTTTTCAAGATGTCAGCCACGATGAATAGGACCGTTCATAAACTCATGAACTTGCAGCAAAGCTTATAGCACTGACTTGATCTAGTGTCGGCCTTCGTGCCGTGACTCGCACGACGGATGAAACACGCCGTCGAACTGTGAACCGACGCCATAGAGAACATCATCGGCACTCGATTCGTACTTTGGTTGACATCGATTACTGTGAGAAGCATGAGAATCGTCACTGGCGATGCTAACAAGTACTTCAACAGTATTTCGGAGTTGTTGAAGAATCACAGATCGTTGACGTTCGATCCTCTGTGCGGCAGTCTCGTCGGTGCTGGCCGCACGGTGGACTGCATTTCCTTCGATTGCCTCGGGGCAGGTAGTGTTGCGCTGCTGAATTCTAGTATCGCTCAAACAAACAGGAAGATTCGTTCCACTATATTGTAATCAAGAGTTAGGATAATACGATTGGAAAGTGATATGGAAAATGGTACTTGGCACGTGAACCAAGGCAAGCTTGTCAATGAGCAAGCAGGTCATGTTGGTTCAGGTAAGGCTTCGGTACTCCGCTGGGGTATGTGGAGGAAGTTCCGTGCAGGACCGACTTGTGCCAGATACATACTGCACTCGTGGTTTTGATGACTGAAAATTGTGATGGAAGCGGTGTCGGTGGACCGATGAAAGATTGTCTTGCCTTGAATTATCGGAACCCTGGTGCGCTTTATTCGACATGGCAGTTGACCGACGGACCCAGATTTGGGGATGCTCAAGGATGGATCAAGTGCTATATGGAGCTTTGTGTGAATAGGTACAGGTGTACGGGTTTGTTGGTGCCGAAGAATTCTCAATGAAAGTATTGTCTCAATAATGACCTAATACGGAGGCAAGTCGTCGCAGAAATAACGGACGGTGTTGGGAGAACCAGCAGCCTTATATCAGTTCCTCCATCGCGGAGCATGGATTTGCCTTGAGAACTTTGGTTGCAGACACATTTTCAGCGTATCTCCTCGCCTACTAAAGCTCTCACTCTTGTGGGCTAGGTGTCTGGAAGCGGAAGGGACTCGCATATACATGGGGACATCAACAGTATCAATGGTTGGTCCAAGGAATAAAATTTTCCTCATTTGGGCAGGCGCCGGAAGTCTCCAGTGCCCTTGGACCGTGAGACCAAGGTCGTACAGCACTTGCTACCCGTTTTGGCAGGCAGTTTTAGGCGATGCACCAAATCTAGCTGTGCCACAGCGTCGCTGATGAGCGCTGGTGATGAGTCCCAGTACTTCAGCCTTAAAAGCCATTAAAAGGTCCAACGGCTCATTCCAGACTGGCACACCGGGGTAAACCTTGTCAAAGCTAGTAAACGACCACTCACAAGGTGATGACTAGGATTTCATTCATATATATAAGAAAAGCCAAGTGTCCACCACATCCGCCTTTTCCGAGAGGCTGAGTCGTAAAAGGCACTTCAGACTCAGTACTAACTCTGCTTGTCCTCTAAAATTGAGCAACGAGAGCGAACAGCCGAATCAATGATAGCTTCCACCCACCTTCACGTTAGATCGGACAGTCTGCAAGGCTTTTCACTGGCCGGGCAGATTTTGTTGCTCAAGTTCACAAGTATTGAGATGTGACCAGATTGTAGCAGTATGTAGTATTAGCATTTTCTCTGCTCAAACCGGAGCCTCAAATAATTCCATAAGTTTTCGCGTATTTATTTGCCGTTCCTCCACACACCTCATTCCAAAAAAGCAATGCAATCCCTCCACATCGACTCACACATGCCCGGAAGCGTGTACGAACGTCCTTTACAAACTAGATGCAAAATGAGTCAACGCTCGGCTAAGTGCATACAGGAGGGTCTGTTTATCGCTGCTGCTGGCCTCATCATGCAGCTGGTTGGGAAACAAAACCCGAGCTACTCAGACATTATCCGGGCGCAGCTCCTGCATCTACCAATACACCTGCATGCTGACGTATGGAGAGAGAGGGTAGCACGAGAATGCAGCCCGCGTGGGATGTTGTGCTCATCCACAATTCTTTCGACTTGATTTTGGCACTGTGCATTTGCACCCATCAGAACTGAAACAAAACCCCCAAGCCACGAAACAGGTAAGTCAGCCCGGATACCTAGGTACCTGAGGGCCATCTCGCTTATACTTTATTGTGTATGCCGTCCTGCTGAACTTCTGGTTCGATGCACTGGTCTTCAGTGATGCTGATATCACTTCGCTCGACTGAAAGCGTAGCACAAGAGATTTCGTCATAGCTAGCGGTTGTGCACACATACCATCCTCTTTTGACATGGTCATAATGACTTCTTCACTGTCGTTTTCGACTACGCACAGTGACATGGCAATTTCCGATTTAGTGTAGACGTTGGGTGAAAAGACTAAATTAGTGGTCGCACTGGAGTTAAGCCGCCCATGCTTGCCGACTTAAGGCTACCCTTATCTTTTCAGGAGATGGCAATGCGGCATATTTAACGGGAAGAGATCACTGAGAATCTTGGTCCGTGGAGACCCTCTAGTTTCCATACTCATTTCGCCAACGATGAGCCCTCCATAGGGTGTGTTTCTTATCTGCTTGTTGTTGCAAGGTATTCCTCCTTCCTTCTGAATGCCCGCAGCTAATAGCCCCAGAGGTGATATTTTCGATTCCTGTTCCGCACTCAAGTCCGCTAGAACCTGCCTGAATCTGGTCTGCCTCGAGATGGAACCGATTTTCCGGGACTACTCTCTAAGCTCGCCTGCATCTCACGCCATCGTCTCATTGGCCTGTGTCATCAAGGCGTACAAGGTAACTACAAGGATCATTCCATACGCTCCTGAAGCCATCTATGAGGCAACAGCGCACCTTCGGTGACAACGTCTCCCTTGTAACCGAAAAGGACCAGACCGCGGAGGATGAACCAGGGATGGTTCCGGAGAAATGCTTTTGGACGCCCTCGTCGAAGCTCCTAAATCAACCTCTCGATAGTTCTAATTGGCCGGTGCCTGATGCGTAAGTACCTGCCACCATAAACGACAACCGTGTAAGCAACCCGTCACAAGACAGACGTAGATCGCCTAAGTCGCGCAACACAAACCGCTCGTGTCGTCTTTCCGAAAGTGAATGCTTCACGGAGCGAGCTTTCGATCACCATTGGCGCGCGTGAAAGCGTGCTTGTCAGCAAGATCCCAACACCACAGTCAGATATCCTTGGAAAGAATAGCCTTACCAATGGGAATGCTGTATGCACAGCCTCACGCGGTCGTTGTACACTTCATCAGACTTTGAACGACCCTCACGGACCTACGGGTTGCCGCAGGGCATGGATGCACCTGTTGCACATATCGAGCCCCAAGACTCTCGAACAATGTGCGTGTTCCGAGACATCCAAGATAATGAGCGATCACCTGGGGCGGCCGAGATCTCGAGAGAGTGTAGTCACCGACGGACCGACCGCATCGTGTCTACCCAAGCTACACAGGGAAGCCGGGGTTCGCCCATTCACATCCGAGGAGACGCATCTCAAACGAGACAGGGAAATGGAGGCATGATACGCTCGGTGAGAGATCCGTCACTTGGCCCGCCAGCTCATCCTGATGACAAGATAGTGGCTGATATCATTTTTCGCCCTGGAGCTGGCGGTCCCCATCAGATTTCCAGGAGCAACCCAACTGAAAATGCCGGCACAGCCCCGAAAGCGACGCGACCCGAGCCAAGAAGGTCCCATCTCCGCTTTTGAAAGGTGGAAAAAAAAAAGTCAGCCGCCGGTAAGGAGCACGATTGCCCGCACATATAGACTCCTCTGGCCCACCAAGAGGGTGCAGGAAGCGAGGTGGATACGACCAACCGCCCGAACCTAGTGGGGTCCTCCATCCACACCCTCAACTCGGCCAAGGCGTCCCCGACGACGCCTTCGCCCCATGCCTTCGAGCCGAACACGCCCAAAGCCATGATCCTCGGGCCCGGCTACGGCTCCTTTGTGTCCACTCCGTCGGACCCGCTCTCGAACCTGAGGTTTGAGCCCCTCAGTGATGCACTGGTGGCCGACAAGGCCGCTTCCCAGATCGACAGACCGCGCAGCGCCATATGGTAAAAAGGAAGAACTGCTCCAGAGAGCACATGATGATGCCTTTGATATAATATGAGCGTGGAGTTTGGAAACTAAGATCGAATAATATAATGCGTAGTGATCTACTACAGACAGTTGAATTTCCGGACTGTTGCTTGGTCTATAAGATGCGGATGAGCGGCTGGTGATGTTTTATAAGATTTTCCGTCTTTCTACTTTTCTTTGTCTTATGTGTCCATAGTGGTGTTTTCACTTGGCATTCTTGATACCTCCACATGCGACAATTTCGTATATTTTACCCTTTGAGCCCAGAGCTTTGCATGAAAGCATTTTGTCCAGCAACTCAGAATCAGATCCACAATTACAGAGTATTTCGAGTCCTTGGTATTCACTCAGCTTCCATCCTCCTGGCCAGTGCTGAGGTTATCAACTTGGTTTCACTTCGACCGCTGGATGGTTAACCAATTGTAACCATCAGCGGCTCCACAATCCTGATGTAATGCCCAAAAATGTGCCATCATCCAAGATTTGGAGCGACCGTACAGTAGCACGAAAACTTGTTCCCCGTGCTTGTTGGGTCTCGCACACAACTCTTAACCAGTATTTGTTGTACCATAGTACCCACCGAAGAGTCCACTTCCTCTACGTTCCGACGTCCGCTCTCCATGCTAGGTCTGTAGTCGGGTGGATTTAAGACACAAGCCACCACGTTTCTCGCCAAGCCCGTCGCCCACAGGCAAGTCAGAGTAGCTTCGGCAGCCTTTAGTCTATGTCTTAAATCGTCTCCATCCCCAAGTTCCTAAATCTTTCGTCGACAGATGTTTTTACCTAATAGTCTGCTTCAACTGTCTACTGCGTAGTATCATTCCAGGATCAACAACACCTCACAACCACTAAGCTCCGGCGTCCATTTTGCTTGTCAAGATGTCAGTCAATATGATCAGAGGCTACTGCAGATTCGCGGCAGTTTTCATAAGAAGGGGTTCTCACACGGCCTAGTGATGACCTCCGTGACCATGCTCGGTAGTGAGAGGAGCCGGGTCAGAACCGCTGTCGAACTGCGAGCCGATGCCCAGCAGAATATCGTCACCAGAAACAGTGGTCTGGTCTTTGATGCTACGACCAAGCGAATCGTCGATGCGTTGCAGCTGTGAGTCCATCGCGGCTTGTTGACACTGGATTCTCTGCGCGGCTGTCTCGCTGGAGTTGGCCGCGCGGTGGAGGCAGTTTGCCTCGGCTGCTTCAGAGTAGAAAATGTGGGGCTTTTGAAGCACGGCACGACGTTTCACTTCGAAGCTTCCATTGACACTGTACTGGAATCAGACTCGAGGTACAGACATTTGAAAGGGACAACCTGTTGTGATGTAGCCGGGCTCGCCTGTCCATGAACAACAGGTGCTACATTGAGACTGAAAGTCCCACAGCCTCCCCAGTCGATGCGAAATGCGAGGGGACGTTGCATAGACAACTGAAAGTATCATAGGATGGCTTCAAACTTGGTATGGAAGGTGTGATAGAGGAAAGAGAATGAGAGAACAGAGAAAAGACTGGCTTGCCTTGTGTTTGCTGAGCCTTGATGCGCGTTGCTCGACATGGTCGTTGGCTGACGGATGAAGACCGGCTGTAGAACCAAGATCTACTTATTTGTCTCCTCAGTGCGAAGGTATATTCAATCGCTGGCTGTCGAATGTCTGGAAGCCAGTATCATGCTGGTGCAGAAGGAGAGCAGACATCATGGGAGATCCAAGGAGAGCTCACCCCCCTTTATCAGTTTCCGCATGCACCACTGGCAGCTTCCCTCAAAACTTCCGGTTCTCAGGATGTATTCGCTGTATTTCTATTCCGGGGATAGCTATTGAAGTGTGTGCCGGCTTTAACGTTTTCGGAGCCATGCGTCACGAACAGGGAAAAGAAACTGGTGGCACTGCCATCAGCTTGCATGTTCATGTTACGCAGGCTGTGGCCAGGTAGTTGCACGACTATATGCAGTCAGTGTCTTGGGTCGTACATTCTGCTCTCTGGAGGTGTGATTTTCCAATGGAGAACGATTCCGTCTTGTGTGCTGGGGTGCCGTGCAGCGGCAGCCCCTGTATTTCGAGGTCATCATGCGGGGGGGGCTCTCCTACCTAAGCTTCCGCCACACCAGCCGAGCTGTCAACCCCGTCAGTGATAACACCCAATTAGGGACTATCGGTCATAATCATGGGCACCGGTGAACCTCGAATATCTCCCAGCTTTCTGCTAGGTGGCTGCCTTTCTTTGTGCGATACTGCCCACCGGGCGCACTACATGAGCGCTTTCGGGCTGGCAAATACCATCAATCTCTGCTCCGGGAGCCACACAGCACCGGTTCTCAAGACAGCCAGACCAGAACTTGAAGGTCGACTCGACGAACGTTATCAAGTCAATGTCAGTGAGCAATACACGGTGACAAAAGAGATCAGGTCGTTAATTGGTCCTTCTCACTGTGGCGCGAGACTTTGAAGACTCCAATGATTTTGATTATTCGGTGGTATGTATCTTATAAGACGACGAGCGCTCACGGCCGATGCTCGTTGGAGGACAAAGTATAACGGCATTCTCAGTGGCTCCAATTTGACTGACGAAATCCTCAACGTACACATGCAGGGACTTGACGTGACCTTCGACCTTCTGCATGTCTTCCATCTTCCGAAGCCTGTTCTGTGTAAAGTTTTGTCCCTAGATAGAAATGAGTGACTATTTGATGCCGCGATTGGGTGTACCAGTCCAAAGTACGCTTGCGAGGTTCGAGCGTGTTCTCTCCCTATCAAAAGAACAGCGTGACCACGACCGTGCCGCCACGGATGCATTTGTGTGACGCGAGCCCGGTACGTACCAGATTATGTTCCTGAGGGGCTTCCCACTCTCTGTAGTCGTTGATGCCTGATCGCACACCGAAACGAGGAAATGAGAGCCAGCTCAGCTGTCGATGTGGGACTACACAACATATGCACGTAATCCGGGCGAAGTATGCCCAGCAACTTGGCAACTAACCCACGTGTCCCGGCTTGCTGGAACAACAAGGTCAACGGCCCAGCCCCACCGCTTCGTCCAGTTCCGGCAGGTGGTATCCAGATGCCCTCGACTTTTGTTCGGCTCGCCCGGCCGGTGTTTCACAGTAGACTCGTTCGAGTTGAGCGCGAATACGAGGATCATGTACCGCGAGATGCAGGCTGATGGGTATATTCGATTTGGAACTGCACAGCTTCAAGGTTTTCGAGGGTCAACTCCACATGTTGTTGTGAAGCACTTTATGACCGGAGGCCAGTCTATCATTGCACAATAAAGTCTTTCCCCTTCAACAGGATGCTCGGCTGAACCAAGCTACAATTTTCTAGGGACGTCTGTATCTACTAGGACCGGGGACTACCAGGAACACCTCGTAAGGCTCAGTGAGATTCTCCAACTTGGCCATTCTAGTGATGAAGCCGCATGGTGCCGTTGAGATGGCCCATATACGACAGTGCGTGTGTAAGCGCAAGTGCATCATCAAGCAGGGTCTCCTAGGCTCTGGACGAATGGTCTCTGGGGTGTGTCTGAGTGAGGTGAGTTAGGTGTGTGTGTGTGTGTGGGCCCGCCTGGATCACGATCGTCGGTGTTCCCCGGCCCAGACCACCGGTATCGTCCCGCCACAGCATGTGCAGGCATCCGTGCCGTCACTTGCTGTCTGACACTGCTCTGTCCCTCCTGTCCTACCCACCCTCCCCATCCCCATCGCATCCTGGTCGCCCATCAAAAGGCCATGCGGCTCGGGGATGATGCTTGGTGGGCAGGCGGGAGCATCTGCCAGGCAACGGTACCAGGCCGTCGAAGGGCGTACTTGGTACCCTAGACTGAGTGGCTGACGACTCGCAATCACTGACTTTTGCCGTCCCCAATTTCGGATCAAGAAGCAGCAGGAACCATTTTGTCGGGCCCATAGGCAGCCGACCTGAACCAGGGGTGGGTGGGTATTGGTGTGTTGTCGGATGCCTCGAATTCGTAGACAACGGCGTCCAATGATTCGGGCTAGACAAAAACACAAGGCATTATGAGACCCGCTCACAATTTTAACCTTTGAAGAGAACTAACCACCCTGCTGACATACTTGCAGACAGAAGTTCTCGGCAGGTGATCTTTGCGAATTTGTGCCCTGCTCTTTTGAGTTAATGTTCCAGTCGAGTGCAGAAGCGGAGCTTCGCGATACACTACCAAGCTTCGACGAGGCTCAAGACCCAACATGCAGATCTCGTCCTCGCCTCATACTTTTTTTGCAGATGTCCATGTTCGGCCGCAGAACGGTCACATGGGCTCAAAATCGCTCTCTCCCAGCGCATACTGTCCTTCTCACGCGTTAAACAGGAGAGTTTTAACTGGAAAGACTTCTGGGAATACACTTATTCCTCTGGCGACAATGTATACCTAAGTGTTGAGCGTGCCAGTTCTTTTGCTATTTTGATATCTTTTATCTGCTTTGATTTTACCAAGTCTACTAATATTTGCAGAACTTTCCTCATATCTATGATCATAGACTTGTCTATTGTTGGTACATGGTAGAGCGGGATAGAGTCTGAGGCGAGGGTGCTTCGTGACACGTATGTGCTGAATAAGAGACCGAGGTCACACAATCAGACACAGATAAACGCTGGGTACGATGCTGAAGATGTTATTAATAAAAATACTAAGTAAGTCAAACGCATGGTATCACTCTGTTCCCAGCCTCCCACCAAAGCAGTCATTGCTCCCTTTGAAAAGCAAGATCAGCGTATCTCGGCCGCACCACCATCGCAAGAATATCGTACCAAATTCGAATGGCGATCATGCCCACTTTCCTTTCGTCATGGTCTTCTGCCCCGCTAGTATACCAGGGAAGTTCTGTGTCCCCAGTGTCTGCGCCTTGAACTTCTTCACCATGAAACTGAACAACTTAAACCCCTTGGCTTGACCGATGCCGCCTCCCTTCCCAATAGAAGCCATGAACAGAGGATCAGTGCTGAAGACGTACTCAGTCAAGGCCTCTCCTTTCAGGTGCGCCTGCAGGTTCTTGACGACGTGCAGCACCTGGTTCTCGGTATGTACCGCCTGCGGGGTCTCGAGGCTGCCCACGTCCCCGACCACAAAGATGTTGTGGTGTCCCTCGGCGCGGAGGTGTTTGGTCTGCTTGACATGGCGGCGGTGGTCAAGCAGGTTCGCAGGCACAAACTCCGAGTTCGGCTGAAGCCCGTACGTCGGGATGTACACGTCCGCCTCGATCGACTCCTCCCTGCCCCGGCCCAGCGACAGGCTGATCACCTTGGGCCCGCCCTCGGGCCCCTCGACCTTGCTGACCTTCGCGCCGACCTTGACCTGGGCACCCAGCTTCTCGAGGCCCTTCTTGGCGGCCTGCCGGACGTCCTTCCTGACGGTAGCGTCCAGGGGCAGGTCTGAGGCCGCGATGAGCGTCACCTTCTTCTGCCCCGTCTTCGCGAACGCCTCGGCCAGCTCTCCTGTGAGCTCGGTGCCTGTGATGCCGGCGCCGCCGACGACGATCGACTTTGCCGATTTGATGCGCTGCTGCCAGTCGTGGAGCACGTCCCTCGTCTGCTCGGTGGTGTTTATCGTCTTGAAAGGCATCTCCTCCCTGGCACTCGTCCCAGTAGCAATGACTAGAGTGTGGTATTCGATTTGCCGGACGGCTCCCGCGTTGGTCTGGATCGTCACCGAGTTGGAGGATGGATCCAGCTGCTCGGCCTTGCCCTGGACCAACTCAAACTTTTCGGACGAGTATTTCTTGAAGGCAGGCGCGATCGGTAGCATGATCTTGTCCTCTTCAATACCACCTGGGAGGATTCCACGAACTGTGGCCAACGCCCAGTACATGTGCGTGTTTGGAGACACGAGTATGACCTTGAGATCAGGGACGACGGATGATGTGTGTGCAAGCAGGTAGTGGGCTATGGGGATGCCCGCGAGGGAGGCCCCCAGGATAACCACGGTCTTCGCCATTGCGTTGATGTAGTATGATGGATTTGGGAATATAAAAGCTGACCAGGAAGATGATTTCTGATAATATGGAGGGCAATTATAACGTATAGGGATACTACTCAACTTTCGTTCTGATGATATAGAGAGGGCTTATTTTGGCGTGGACACATTCCGCAACTTAATCATAGGTGGGCTGAAGCCCAGCATATATCCCACAACACTGCAAGCCCGGACTGGATTTCGGAGGTCCGCCATTTGTCAGAAAGCAGATCAAAGCTTACATATCAAAGACGTGCCTGACGGAAATCAAAGCATATTCGAGGCTCATCTCCGATGTGACACTGTTGTCACGCAGAACCGCATTACTCATCTCGGGCACGGGATGAATGAAGACCACGAGAGCTGAATATGTTCAAAGTGTGTTTGTGGAAGGAGGCTGGATTGCCGCGCGGGAGGTAGTATAAGTGCACAGACTTGGTCCGTGCCAGGGGTCAAGGACACAAAGGCAAGGCAAGCGACAAGGCTTAATTCGAGCTAGGGAAGGGCGAGCCGAGGAGGCTTCCAAAGTGGCAGGGCGAGACGATGACTAGTGCTCCGCAAGGGGTTAATCCCAAGTGGAGCTTAAAGGATCGAGAGCCTTAGGCCCCAGGCATTCAATGCCGGCACCTTTAAGTGGGGCCGTTGCTCGACGCTTGGCTTCATCGGTTCTCTTTTCAATTCTATCGTGAACTATTTACATGCCATGACACGGAAGCCTGTGGATCTGACATTCTCGAAGTTCCTTCAATTTTCACCATTTACAATCAGTTTGCAAAGACAGAATGTCGCTCAGCACCGATCCCAACGGATTTGTCAGCCTTTCTATACTCCCAGGCATAGTGTCGCGACAACAAGGAGGACGAAAGCCGTCATGCTCTTGGACTCTTGGACGACAGCTCCGTTTGTGCTGGTCCCAGGTCGCGTTCCGTTGGTTCCCGAATTGGTACCAGAGCCCGTAGCAGCGCCAGTACCGCTGCCACTGCTGCTGCCGCTTCCACTGCCACGACCTGAGGTACTATTCGAACCAGAGCCAGAGCCAGAGCCTGAACCTGAGCTTGAGCCCCCCGAGGAAGACGAGTTCGACGCAGCGGCAGCTGGTCCAGGGTTCGTGACGTTGTAAAAATTCCCAGCGACGACTTTGCTCTGCAAACCGGCCGCGGTAAGCACTTCCTGCGCCTTGAAGCCCTGTCGGTTTTGTGCCGCGGACTTCAGGCTGTCGAGGGCCGTCTGCTGGACGCCAGTGGTGTCGACAAGAATCTGCGTGTACCGATGAGACAGCGGCACTCTTGCTGGCGGGTTGGGCTGCAGGTAGGTCGCAAAGGCTGCCGTCTGGCCAGTCTGCAGGGCAAACGCCTGGGCGTTCCCTGCACTCGTGTTGAGAGCGGTTGCTGCAGTTGCGGGCGTAAGACCAGTCTGCATCCAGTGCAGGAGTGTTGTTGGTGGCGTTGTCGGGATGTCGAGGTCGATCATCAGCACAGCGTACGAGGTGCCATTCAGACGCTGCGTTGTGGCCAGTTTAGGTTCACTTGCGGTGCCTGTGCATTGGGTTCAGTGTTGATCCTTCTCCACGAGAGTGGGTTATTGCGGTAAATCATGCTTACCATCCCTAGCTACTACAGAACCACTTTGCGCTTGAACTCCATTGTACGTGACGATGAGTTCTGTAGTCGAGCCTGGCTGAAATCCCGAAGGCGTCGCAGCAGAAGCCAGGCTAGCCGCAGCCAGCACGGTGAATGACTTGCCCAGCATGTCGAGAAAAATATGGGAGGTTAGTAATGATTAAAGTGACTTCAAGTGCACAGCGCTTGTAGATCTGTGTGGATTAGATATTATCTCCCGGAGACTGTCGTTTTGTGGGAATGTAGTAGAAGAGATGCACAACCCGCTCTTCATAAGAAGAGACGAGCTCGCTTTCGACGGCTTGGCGATCCCCAAGGGATGAAGGCGGGATGAAACGCCGCTTGGATCAGAATAGTTCACGGTAGGTAGCAGAGGCATGACGGGGATCTCAGATCAAACTGCACGACTGACTGACCACGTACTCATGGGTCGGTAGGTTTCATCTTTCGCCAAGACCCGCATGCTACAACTACTCACCAGCCTCGTCCGGGAATACACTTGGTTCCGAAGGCGATTCAGGTCGGATGGACACGCAATCACCTCTTGGGGCATGTTTTGGATCGCGAGCAGACAGCCACGTCCGCCAGGAATTTGTAATGCATCGGCCTGAGAGACCAACAGTCTTTTCGCGTGAGAATGAGATAAGTTTTGCTCGTCACTATCACGGCGAATCTGTCCTGGTCAGATGAAATCAAGGCTGACTTGACGCCGGTTGCGGGTTCGCACTGGCTGCATAATGTGCGTGCCTCGTTCCATTTAGCGATTGGGAAAATCGTGCCGTCTTTGAAACATTCAAACGCGTTGAAATCCACAAACGTCATTCGACGCTGCGTTTAGCACGAGAGTGGGAGGAAAACCATTGACAAGGTGATGGTGAAGCCAAGACGGGAGTTGGCGGTTGCAGACTCCTGCTTTCAGTCTCGATGGCAGCCCTGCAGCACATGGAGGTGGCCCCTGCACCCGCAGCGATAAGATAAGAAGCTTTTCGAGATCGTCATGAGAATTCGAGAGCTTTCTTGGTCACAATCCTCTACGACTATATCCGAATTATACAAGTTTATATCTTCTCGGATACAGGAACTCTCCGGTTGAAGCGTACAGTGGGAATTCCAGCCGACGCACACCCCAAATATCGAGAATCAGCCAAAATGGCGACACAACAACCGCCCTCGGCGCAAACACCCCCTCCACAATCCTCCCAGCCAACAACAGACAACACAGCAGCAGCGCCCAAGACCCAGACCCCACAATGGCTACACAACAGCGCGATCGGCGTCGCAATCCTCGGCCCCATAGCCCTCCTCATGCCCCCGCGGCGGGTGGGCCTGCAGGCGATGCTCCTGTCAGGCGGCACCTTCTGGGCGACCAACGTGCTCGCGTACGACTGGACGGGCGAATCGATGACGCAGCGGTTCGACCGGCGGTGGCAGACCATGTTCGCCAGCGGGCTTCCCGAGAAGGCGAAGCGGAACCAGGAGCTCATGCGCCTGGAGAGGGAGAGGAGGGAGGCCCTGTTGCCCGAGGCAGAGCGGAAAGCGCTGCAGGAGGCGAGGGAGAAGAAGGAGGCGGCGTCCCGGGGCATCGTCTCGAGGTTATGGATGGGCGGTGAGAAGGAGGACTGGAGGGAGGAGAGGGCCAGGAAAGAGAAGGAGACGCTCGAAAATGGCGAGGGATACGGGACGCTTATCATGGATCAGGTCAAGGAGGTCTTCAGCGGTTCCAAGAAGGGAGCCGGCGAGGAGGGAAAGGAAGGCAAGTCTGAGAAGGACGACAGCAAGAAATAAAATAGTGTTTCTATGATGAGGGAATGATCGGTCGAGACATGGCCCAGCACGACTGCATGGGATCACCCAGGGAAGGGGGAAATTGTACCAAAATGTAATTAACGACTACACATCTCCGGCATAGCGAATTTGGATTACCTGGCACCTGGGCATGTTCATTGGATTTTTACGTGAGCTTGGAATGTGCATGGTAGAAGCTATTCTGTCTATGTTAAAATTCCATGACCTATTTGAAAGACAGCGACGACCTCATCGCCCGCGGGATTCGATACCGCCACCTCATCTAAAAGCCCAGAGCTCAGAAAGTGAATAAACTCCCGCACACTTTGATGACATGAAATGAGCAGTTTGCGCCTCTTCATCTTTGGACGCCTAATCACTTTCCTCTCAGCGGTAGCCTTCCCACGACGGCCGGAGGGCCAATGACCCAGCATGTTTCATCTTTGTTCTTGGAGCCTCGTTCGGTCTCGCTTGCTTCGACCTGGTGTGCTCGACACGAGAAGGCGCTCTCTGGCGCATTCAATTGCTTTTGTCCACTGCGGGCTTTTCCAAGTGCCGGCGGACCTGCTGCGAGTGCTTGTGGCCTTTCCCAGATCCAGATCGGGATCCCGTCGGTTGCGACAATTTCTAGTTGCGCGACCCCGGGGCCTTGCCTCTCCTGCAGCGGAGACGTACGGATTCCCTCCGCTTGCGCTCGTTCTTTCTGACCTCTCGCTGCTCGGCCTTTGCGTCGTAAGTCTTGATGAACTCGTTGAGCAGCTGCTGCACCTTCTGTGCATTCTCGGCAGAGCCCTCCTTGGCACCCAGCTTCTTTTGAATCCGTGCCCTCTCCCGGTCGATCAGTTGTGAACGGCGCCTGATCACTCGGTTCTTCCCCGAGGGCGGTGCAGTGTATCCCGGCTGCATCTCAGGCAGGAGAGCACCTCCATCCTCCATGTCCTCGTCCTCGGACTGAGCACGTAATTTCTCCCGGTTGGCCGGCGTGGGTCTGACGTCAACCATGAAGACGTCTTCACCATCGGCCGGCTCGTGGGCTTCCGTCGAAGTCACTCCAGCTTCCTCAGCCTCCTCCGACTGCTGTGCTTGTTGCGCTGACCGTTTGTCGTGTTTCTTCTTGCCCTTTCGCTCCGCGCCAGCCTCTACGTGGAGGCCAGACGCAGTCGGCGAGGGACCCAGCTCCTGGTCCATCAGCTGTTTGAGCGCCTCTTCGCGGAGCCGCTTTTCCTTCTTGCGCCGCTTCTTCTCTTCCTTGGCGAGAGGCTCGTCGCTGGCAGCCTTCTCATCCTCATGCTGGAAGAGAGACACGCCACCTTCCTGCTCAATGGGATCCTGAGATACCAGGCCAAGTCAGTACATATCGATAGAGCATTGCAGAGCCTCATCCACTCGGATTGCAATCTCTGTCACTCCTTGAGTGAGAGTGCGGACGGAGAGCCAGCGCAATTTCTTGCGCCAGTTTAGGGCTTTTGAGGCCAACCTTTGAACTCTCGTCATCGCCATCTTCGTGCTTGACATTGTGCCGCTTGTGTTTCTTGTGCCTGCTCTCGTATTTGGAGACCTTGTCTTCGGAGACTTTCTTCTTGGTCACCCCGAGCAGAGGCCGTTCTTTGCCCATGGTCGTGTCGAAGATTATTGTAGACCGAGTGGAACAGCGCAGCCAAAGTGACCAAGAGATTTCGTTTAACTTCCAATGGGTTGCTCAAGGGAAATTGAATAAGCCTGAAAGCTCTTTGATCGATCCAGTCAAGGATGAGATCGAGTGGAGGGCAGACCTGGAGCTTGGAATGGAGGCTGAAATCTCTTGGTTGTCGGTATGCAGGGGTGCAGCAGAAGCAAGGACCCCTGTCGGCACTTGCCGTCACGCCGTCGCGTCTCCAGGCTGGGACGCGCTTTAATTGAAATCCATCCAGCCAAACACCTTGACAACCAAAGACCACCACCCCCCCTCTTTGCGCCCATCGATCCGACGACAAAATGCCTGCTGCCAGGGTTGAAGAGGTCGGCGAGTCCTCGTCTTCAGCGGCAAAGAAGGCTTTGACAGCAAACACAAACGGCAACCCCAACTACGAACTGCCATGGTGAGCACGCCTTGCACTGCGCACTACATGATCAAGGATATGGTTGACCTGGTAGCACAGGGTTGAGAAATACCGCCCCATCTTCCTCGACGACATCGTCGGAAACGTAGAGACCATCGAGCGCCTCAAGATCATAGCAAAAGATGGCAACATGCCGCACGTCATCATCAGCGGCATGCCAGGCATCGGAAAGACGACTAGCGTGCTCTGCCTGGCGCGCCAGCTGCTCGGCGACGCCTACAAGGAGGCAGTCCTGGAGCTCAACGCCTCGGACGAGCGTGGAATCGACGTGGTGCGGAACCGGATCAAGGGCTTCGCGCAGAAGAAGGTGACGCTCCCCGCGGGCCGCCATAAGATCGTCATCCTGGACGAGGCCGACAGCATGACGTCGGGCGCGCAGCAGGCGCTGAGGCGGACGATGGAGATCTACTCCAACACGACGCGCTTCGCCTTCGCGTGCAACCAGTCCAACAAGATCATCGAGCCGCTGCAGTCGCGGTGCGCGATCCTGCGGTACGCGCGGCTCACGGACGGCCAGGTGGTCAAGCGCCTGATGCAGATCATCGAGGCCGAGAAGGTCGAGTACAACGACGACGGCCTGGCGGCCCTGGTGTTCAGCGCCGAGGGCGACATGCGGCAGGCCATCAACAACCTGCAGTCTACGTGGGCCGGATTTGGCATGGTCTCGGGCGACAACGTCTTCAAGGTGGTGGATTCGCCGCACCCTATCAAGGTACAGGCGATGCTGAAGGCTTGCTTCGAGGGCAACGTCGACTCGGCGCTGGACACGCTGAGGGAGCTGTGGGATCTGGGCTACTCGAGCCATGACATTATCAGCACCATGTTCAAGGTCACCAAGACGATCCCGACGCTCAGCGAGCACGCGAAGCTCGAGTTCATCAGGGAGATCGGCACAACCCACATGAAGATTCTGGAGGGCGTGCAGACACTACTGCAGCTGAGCGGCTGCGTCGTCCGGCTGTGCAAGCTGAATATGGACCCGAAGAAGTTCGAGGTCCCCAAGAAATCGACATGATGAACCGCCCAGCATCTTCGGTGGGCAGTATTGTTTGGCATGGCACGGCGTTGGCTCTGGCTCTGGCTCTGGATTCGGGAAGGTCGGGTGGACCCAGATTACAAAAATGGTTGATGGGCTTGGGGGCACATCTGATAATGTACATGAAGGCTTTGTACAAGGCGTCTATAATGAGACATCATGAACCTTTTTTTCCCTCCGGGCGTTCGCGGCCAGTTCTCACTCATCGTCGTCCTTTCCGTACTCCTCCTCAAACCTCTGCCACATGGCTTTGTCCCTCGCTATCCGCCGCTGCATCCTCACATGGGCCTCATACTGCCGTATCCTGCTGTCGGCCTCGACCATGGACCCAAACGCCATGCCCGACATTTGAATGTACCTGGTGAGATGAGAGGTCAATTGGGCGTGCCGCCACGGAAATACAACGGCCTGAACCCAGCCCGACCGGTCACTTACACTTTGAACTGAATCGTCAGGCTCCGGTACAAGGGCGATGTGAGGTACCCGATCCCACCGAGGATGCCCGCCAAAGCACCCCACTTGACGGCGCCGTAGACGGCCCCGCGCGTCGCCTCCTTCGCGGCATCAATCGCCTCCTCGTCCTTCATTGCTCCGTGGGACCGCATCTTGAGCTCATGGCCTAGGGGCCCGGCCGGAGAGAGAAGGGTGAACACGGTGGTCTTTCAATTGGAAAGATTGGCTCAATGAGAGGCTCAACGGATTGTTTGATTGAACTGGTCGCGTGAGTTATCCGGGGCGCTGCGAGAGCGAAGTGAGTTTGGGGAAGCTTGGGCCCGGCAAAATGCACAAGCTCGCGCGGTGCGTCATACGAGAGCTCGGGGGAAGTGGGGCCGTTTGGGCCGTCCCTGAACCGCCGGCCGAGATGCGGCAGGGTACGGAGCTGGCCCATGAGGGTGGTCACGGAAATGGAACCACACGGTGGTTTGCGTATTGACTTTTGAATTCGATGCGATCTAATGCTTCCTTACACTCCCTATACGTATGTCTATCGTTATACTTCCTATGCGCGTTCCTCACGACCACTTGGAGCACCTGCTACACGTCTTCACGCTCTTGAAAATTTATGCCATGGGCTTACGGGGCGGTTCTGCTGGTCTCTGTTGCTGCCTTGTATGGCCATTATATTGGCCGCTGCCCTGTATGGCCCTTATACTGGCTGCTGCCCTCATGGCCATCATAGTGGCTGCTGCCTGCATCTTGCGACTGGCCCTGAGTTCCTCGCCGCTCGCACCGTTCCGCTACCCCAGCGCGCTCAGCGTCCCCTTGGTGCTCGGCACCTCGCCCTCCCTGCCGGGGATCCTGCTCGTCGCCATGCGTATCGCTACGGCCAGCGCCTTGAAGGCCGACTCGGCCCTGTGGTGGTCGTTCTCGCCCCGCAGGCAGTCGACGTGCAGCGTGACGCGCGCGCCCTGCGCGAAGCTCTGCAGGCAGTGGGGGATCATCTCGCAGCTCAGGTCGCCGATCTTCTCGCGCTTCAGGCCCAGGTCCACGACGCTGTACGGACGGTTCGAGAGGTCCACGACCGCGCGGCTGAGCGCCTCGTCGAGAGGTGCGTATGCGTAGCCGAAGCGCGCGAGCCCCGCCATCGAGGTCAGCGCCGTGCCGAAGGCGCTGCCGAGCGCTATGCAGACGTCTTCGGCGGTGTGGTGGTCGTCGACTGTGGGGAGACGGGTGTCAGCCTCTCTGCAGGGCGCCATATCGGGGCCAATTGGTCTGGCATCGGCTCAGGCTGGACGGTGCAGTGACTCACTGTGCAGGTCGCCCTTGCAGGCGATCGCCAAGCTCCAGCCGGCGTGTTTTGCCAGCGCGTGGAGCATGTGGTCCAAGAAGCCGATTCCTGTGTTGACGCTTATCGTCTGCGATTTGCTTGACTGCGATGCATGCCCTTGCGCCGTGACGAGCCTCGAGTCTGTCTCTGGTGGGAATGCGCCGCCGTCGAGATTCAGGGCCAGCTGGATGCTCGTCTCGTTGGTGTCGCGCGCGAGGGCTGTCCACCGTGGGGCTGAATTCGAGGTGCTCATGGCTGCAGCAATTGCTCCTGTGAACTCGGGATCTGCGGCAAGTAAATCGCGAACTCGTCGAAAAAACAGAAGCGTCTCTGAAGTGTTTGTTGCCGGTCAAAAAATAAATCACTTGCTCTGACGTATCCTTGTCAATCCGCGACTGGCGATAGGTGGGCGGCACAGGGTCAATCTGCAGGGGTCGCGCTAATAAAGTCGGCCGCAGCAAACTGACAGCTTCGGAAAGAGCTGGTGGTATTCAAGGGCATAACGCCTCAACCACGAGCCAGTATGTGGTAGGGTCAACTGCACTCCTGACTCAAAAGGTTGGCCACCTTCAGACTCCCGACTGAGAGTAAATAGTGGTCCGCCGCCTACCTACCCAGGTACCGTACCGCGCAGTGTATGCCGTGTCAAAACGGTCCAGCTAAAAAGAAGCTCTCCCGAAGAAGAGCTGCGTGAAATGGAGCCCTTTCGAATGCAGCGTGGGGCCAGCTCAAGCTTATCGACAAGGGGCCCGCCTGCCAGCCTAGCTTGCTTATGTGTAGCCCCCACGCCCTCACATTATTAGGGTGTAATTGCCGCCTAATGGAACGCTGGAAAGAGGCTGTTTCGCTGCTAGAGGGACTGCAGTATGGCCCGAGGGATGGCCAAGTGAACGTCCGCACCACACCCACACTGCGCGATACGGTACCTAGGTACTTAGGTAGGTAGAGGCTGGGCTAGCATGTAGTGGGTTCTCAGCTCCAAAGCTGCACCACATTTAAACCCCACAGAGTTCAGTAATTTGAACGACTTTCCTACACTCATCATCGTCAAAGACTTATAGCTCTGGGGGGTACTCTTGTACCTAGACATACATACTGATCGCTTGCCCTGCTTGAAGGGCAAGCAAGCACAGAGCAGTGATGAAATTACAAACTGAGCTCACTCACTCATTCATTTCATTTACTTCCCTTGGTGCGCCGGCCGCAACTGGTTGGAATCGTCCATCGCAATCTGCTACGGATTCTACGTGGGCCACTGCATGTTCTCCAAGTGGAGATGGGCATGCTTGACTTGGGAAGTTCAGGCACTTTCCAGCATGCGAACCCTGCTTTTAGCTATGTTTATCTTCTTCGAAGTTCCCAAGATCCCCATAGGCGATTGCTTTGCACAGGGTGGCCCAGACATGAGACTTGCATGCACATCGAAGTTTGGCCGCAGAATATGGCTTCAGACCTCCGGACCCTAATCCTCATGATTACTGGGCAGTGAGGCGTACTTCAGTCACCACTCTTGTGTGTTTGGCTCTGGATCGATCGGGCTGGCCAAATTGAATCATTTCCTCGGATTGGGCGTCATGGAATCACCTTACATTTCTGCCTAGATAGAACAGACGATCCAATTGACATCGACATCCGATCACAGAAGGACATGGAATTTGCGATGGCTCGAAATGCTTGACACTGAGACGGCTCAGCTTGAATTGGCAGGCTACCTGGGAATTTCTAACCCGATACATGACACTTGCGAATGACCAAATACCTTGGTACCCAACGTTGCTATGTAATGTCGGTGCATATTCTTGTGACACTGGCCATGGAGGCAAAGAACCAGAACGTTAAGAATTGCATCGCCAAAAAGGTTGACCTTGTCATAAGTTGACTTATAACTCTGGGAGGGAAACTCTCATTGGGGACTGGTACAGCATATGACGATGCAGACCAGCCATATCCCATCCCTAGAGCACCCAGTCCCAGTCAGGGGAAGAGGGAGTCTTTCTAAGACTTACCTTGAAGAGAAGAGAAGAGAAAGAAGAAGAGGCGAGGATCCGGACCAGGGCGTCTTTAAGTATTGGAGGCTGGACACCAGGGCTGCGCGGTTGCCGGTAATGACAATCTTCCAACAAGGCAGGAGCAGTCCTTCCTCCCTTCAACGCCTGCGCCTGCACCGCTGGAACAGGAAGCAGTGCCAGACTCCAGGAAAGCATGCCAGACATGGGACCTGAATTGGCAAGCATGCACCAAGGAAAGGGACTCGTCATGGTACCGTACTGTAGGATGGCATGCTTCTCGAGAACACGCCGAGATGGCTCTCACGGCCGTGCTAGCTGGTCACCTGGGCATTTATCTATCAGTCGCGTATAACGCGATAATTCGGGACCTGCTCATCGCTTATCCCATCCGCATCATGGACGAGGTCTTCATGCAGGCACGATAACATGTCGCGGAGAGAGCGGTGATCCTGCTGGTAGCCTGTCGGGCAACGGGTAGCCTGGGCATGAGCACAGCTGCTATTTCCTCACACTCGGGGACCACCTTCCTCCCATCCATCCATTCTCTCACTCCTTCTACTCTAGGATAGACCAGGCCAGTGCAGTACCAAGTGACGTATTCAACGTCACCATCATTGTGCACGACGTCGCTGTTATGCCCCGTCTAGTGCATGCGTGTAGCATGCTGTATTATGCAGTCCTTGGAATCCTTAAGAAGTCGGGCGCCTTTCTGAGTATGTAGATGTTTGGATGTAAAAGCTTCGTACACAGATTCCTCAGCAGGACAGAGTAGAAGAAGCCCCTGCAATATGTCTGCCTCCTACTCTCCCTTGGCTCCCAATGTTTCCACGTATTCTGTCGCCAGAGAAGAGTCTGTCACATACTCGCACGCTGTTCTCATGTTGGCGACACTGTGGGAGCTCACTCGCCTCTGCAGACCTTCTGTCACTGTCTGCCAGAAGGTGTGCACCTTTTGGCCCAGTTGGCATCACCACAGATACTCATCAGCAAGGGCCTCTGCGAGGCCGAGAGGCCAAGGCTCTTGTTGTCTTCCTCGGTGCTTTCCCATATGTCTACGAAGCTATGTAATGGAAGGGCTTGGCTGACCTCGGTGTCTACGGTGTGCTGATATGCCGCAGCTCGACAGACTGGAAACCATCCCCGGAACGGAGGCGGCTGTGGCTGCGACCGAGTCCGGCCAGTAATCAAGGTCGTCGGCACAGCAGTAGGACTTACGGCCCGTGAAGCAGCAGCTGCCGTCGCCGTGGTGGGCTGCGTTCGCATGCCCAGCACCCGCTGCGGCAGTTGGTGGTGATGGGACAGAAGGGCGCCGTGCCGCTCCAGTAGCAGTTTGCGGGTCCAGCTTTGGTCATCTCATGGCAAGGCAACTGCATACTAGGTAACTAGGTAAGAATGTAATGCACGTCATTAAGATGCATATTATATCCAACGAACGCCAAGCTAGAGTGGTATCTATCTCCCAGCATCCCAAAATGCAGAAACAATTTGTCCCAATTATTAAGTACACATGTAGCATTACAGACACACACTTCACTTCGTACACACCCCAGCTCCCGAACTACCTCTGCGGCGGCGCAGGGAACGATATTTGTATCTGCTGGGTCTCCACCGGGCTCCCACTGTCCCTCCTCCCCTTCTTGCCCGACCCCCCGGCGCCCTTGCGCCCGTTCCTCGCCGGCAGCGACGACCTGGGGGGCGGGCCAGACGGCGGCGGCGGCGGCGGCGGGAACCAGCACGCGTCCGCGGCCTCGCGGGGGCTGGGCCAGCCGTGCTTCTGCCTCATCAGCGGCGAGGCCGAGGAGGGCGTCGCCATGCTCGGGTAGCCGCTGCCCTGACTGCTCATAGTGGTGGTGCTGGCCTTGGGCCTGACCTTGTTGCCCCCGACGCCGGACGACTGGGGTGAGGTGGTCGACGCGATGCTTCCGTGGCTGGAGGGCACGTAGGGCGTGGTCCGTAGCGGCAGCGATGGGGGGACGGGCTGGGACGAGGCGATCAGCGCGGCGAAGACGTCGTTCCGCGGCGACTGGCGCGCTGGTGGTGGGGCGACGAGCGTGGTGTCGATACTCAGGGGTGCCTTCTCCGAGAAGCCCTTCTTCTCCGGGATTGAAAGTGAGGGTTGCCGGTCAGGCTGCTCCGGTATCATCGCTGGGGCACCAAAGGTGTGGAAAGATGGCGGTGGGCCCTTGGGGCTCCAAGAGGGTTCATATGACGGACGCTGCCTGGACTCGATGAAGTACCTTCCCGCTGGAGCTTCATTAGACGGAGTGACTGCTGATACCTGCGACTGGGTCATCGCATCCAGTGAGCCGTAGGCTTGGTTTTCTTCCACCGGAGTAAGGTCGTCTTTGAAGAACTTTGGAGACATAGGCGAGGCCAGGATCTTGCGGCAGTGGAAGGAGAATGACGAGTTCCGCTTGTGGGACTTGTTGGACCTGCCCCAGCGGGGCTCGATGCCGAGATTTGTGCGGTTCTTGCGTCTTCGGATGCGGATGAAGATGATGGCAGCGACCACGAGAAGGAGGACAGCCGCGCCGATTGCAATGCCTGCGATGGCTGCTGTGCTGAGCTGCACGGAATCGGCGGAGTCGTCCTGCGTGGAAGGATCGACGATTTTAACAATCGTGCGAGAAAACACCGAGTCGCTGAGGCCTAGTTTACTTGTGACATTTGGCCTTTGAAGGCACCCGGCTTGCAAGGCGACGAGGGCTACGGCGGATGAGCATTTGCGCTGCGATGGAGAGAGGTTCATTTGACTCACCATTTGCGACGTAGCGGGTATCGCCACTAGAACCCACGCAGGTGAGGCACGCATTGTAGAACTCCCCAGTCACAGAACCATCGTCGCAATAACCATATTGCGACCCTGTTGTGCTCAAATCCCCGTCCTCGAGTCCAGACCTCAAAGCGCCACAGGCGGTGGAAGTCACGCATGGGTTTGATCCCGAGCCAGTGTCATTAGGGAACCCATATACGCATTGATCAAAGCTAAAACGGAGATTGTCTGTGCAGAGAATCATGTTAGAGATGAGCCGATTGCTTTTCCAAGGCAGACAAGAACTCACAGATGAACCAGTATTGGTCACTCTCTGAACCTTGCTCAAAGGTGCTGGTTTGCAGGCAGGTCATACACTGCTTCCATTTGGAACCCGTGCTCGTGTTGTTCAAGGCCACATCCTCGCATACGACATCCGATGATTCGGTATTAGATGAGTTCGGATCTGACCTGTCCAACGTTGACGAGTCTAAGCACACGGAGGAGCAAGGAGAGTTTGGTGTCACTTGAAGGGCGATAACATTAAAAGAAAGGACGAGAGTGAGCAGTGTATATAAAGAGCGGATTGCCATGATGAAGACTTCAATCACCTAGAACCACAGTGGGAATATTGTCAATGGCGTTCTAGTTGAGATTTCTCCGTGTGAAAGTGGCTGGAATGGTCTGGCGAGAACTGAAAGATCGAACCAGTGTCCTCAACCAGGAGGAACGTTTCGATGTTGTCGATTAAATGAATTAGGTATAGTAAAGGGATGAAGGAAGGACGAACAAAAGACAATAGAGAATCCGAAATTACTTGGTGGTATGCTGACAGGATCAAACAAGTCCAGCTGCAAAGAAACAAATCCATCCGGGGAGACGAGCATAATATCAACGTGGTACAGCCATCTGGACACCGCTCCAAATCGGGAGAGAAAAGAACCTAATGTCGGCAGAGGTCACTATCACACGTTATCCAGCCGCTGGGGGGGCCCAACATCGATGGTGATCCGCCAAATTGGGCCAGTGGGAGAGTTTCTCGCGATGCAGTCCAACGGTGGTGGCTGCCAGTGGACCCCGGACCCCAAGACCAACGGCTCGGGACTCGTCATACATCGGACGAGTGCCTGGCCTTGGATCGGGCCAAGGTGTGTCCCGTGTGGGCAGAGCACGCAGTCCCGCCCATCGTGCGTCGGGGTGCACATGGGCAACGTGTGTCTTGATTGGCCTGGCCACCCGCCGGCGGTTAAGCAATGTAGCCCTCCATGCATCCATAAATATTTGGGGCTGACCCCACAGAAGTGGTAGAGTTGGCGTGATATTAGCACGACCACGGCTGTATTGGGCCTTGAGAGTCTCATTTCTCCTTGAGAGGAATGCCTGTGAGCGTCGATCAGGTCAATAGACTCTCCTGCTGGCTTCGAGCATATTGAGATACTCACAAAAACAGGCGGTGGAGATGGGTCGAGATGCAGTCACCCAGACACTGAGAATGCGTTGTTGTGCCATTCACGCTATTCATACTCTGCAGTAGCGAATCCCAAGACTCATCTTCAAAATCAAATCATTGCGGAATTGGCACGGTTACTGCAGCGCATAGCTAGTCGAGTAGTTGATGCCAGAACGTGACGGCCAAAGGTGAGGGTGCCGAGCTAGCCATAGCCTTCCGCTCACATCATTCTGCTGGCCCGTTACTCGTCAACCCCAGCGCTTAGAGATTGCATGGGGGCCCCCTGGAGGATCGGCAGCTGTCAGTCGGCCGAATCAGGAAGCCTGGCTGCCAGGGACACCTGGACCCCCATGGTCCACGCCTGCCAGCTCTGGCCACAGGCGGCCGTAGGCTATGGGACGTGCCCCCGACTGTAACGCTGGGGCGGGATCTGCAGCAGGGCAGGCACGACCAGACTGGATCGGATCGTTTTGCTGCCGTTTCTGGCTGCTGCAAATCCTCAAACCTTTTCAACGTCACTTTATCCACCTTTCCAACACCTGCGCACTTCCATGCAGAGGAACCCGTGCCGAACTTCACCTCGTCTTCAAGATGCCCCGGTCGTTCTCTAGGGAACACCCTGTCACTCATCTGAAAGGCGACTATCAGGCTCGTCCCTTACTTGCGCTGCTGCCGTCGGCAGGAAATGCACCAACCCAGCAGGAAACACACTGCCTCATCGACCTCATGCTCTGCGTGACGCCAGCTGGAAAAGACTGCTTCCGGATCATCCCTCGTGTTTGAACAAGACTAGGAATATTTCTAATAGTCACTGTGGGTGTTTCTAGGTATCTACTGGTATTTCCAAATGCGTTTCGTCCCAACTCCCAAAGATAAGCTCTCGGCTCGGCCAATTCTGCTCTTTTCCAAACACGTCCGCCGTTCATTATGCCCCATGCCCATGCCCACGCCCTCGACAAGGGCCATGTCCCTGTCCTTGAAACCCGAACGCCACTCATTACAGTCATTACATCTTTACCAGGTTCTTCAGGCCAGCATGATGCTTCCCTCTCCCTTGATACAATAGTGGAAATCTCTTGCAAATGCCAACAAACGCCGACGCCGACGCAAATGCGAGTGCTCAAATGCCCACACTAACTGACTGACGGATCAGTTCACGAGCACGTTCGTGCCAGTCACGGTAAAATTGGCAGTGTACATGCATCGCGCCCCGGTCTCGACGTCGCAGTTGGCGTGGAACACCATTAACCCACCGCCCACGATGCTCGTTGCGCCGCCGGGCGACGTCAGGCCGAAATTGCTGGTCTCGACCAGCGAGGGCGATCTCGTCCGCTTGTATGGGCCCTCTACCGACTTGGAGAGCACATACTTGACGTCGTACCTCGTGTCGGTGTAGCACCAGCTCGAGTAGAAGAGTGCATATGAGCCCTCCTCGGTTTTGATCAAGTTCGGCGCTTCGACCAGCGGGCCGTCGGCGTCTGTCCGGTCCAGGATCTGGGTCGCGTCGCCGATCCGCGTGATGCCGTCCGGGCCGACCTCTTGGAGCATTATGGGCGTGGGAACGATCGGCTCTACGCCGTTGTTGCAGTTGCCCCCGTTGCCGATCGAGTTGCCGTCGATCTTGTACACAACAAACCGCCGCTGCGTCTCATCGTCGTAGAACCCGGACGGGTCGATCGACCCGCCCTGCTCGAGGTCGCACGCCCACGGCTCGTCCTTTGCTGTCCACGGACCCGTGACGTCGTCCGCCGTCGCCGCGCCGATGCAGTGATGGCTGCTGTTAAGCAGCTGTGCTGAGTAGTACATCACGTACGTTCCGTCGGCGACCTGGCGAACATCGGGGGCCCAAACGTTGGCATTATCCTGCCATGCTCCCGCATTAGGGAGGAGGTCGGAGTCGATGTAAGTCCATGGGCCCTCGGGGTCTGCAGCCTTTGCCCACTGGACGTTTCTCTGGCTCCCGTCGATCGGCCTTGTTGCGAAGGCGTACCAGCCATCCCCACCTTGGATGATTGCTGGGTCTGGGAAGTCCCGGGCTATTGACGGGTCCTTGGGCTCTAAGACATCCCACACGAAGAATAGTCCGGCCCTGCTGGGTGCGGCCGCTGCTTGTCCAACCCATAATGTGGATAAGCTGAGGAGCGCGGCACCCAGGGATGCTTTGGATAGAGAGATCATGGTTGTATCAAAATTTTGTGGAGGAGATTAATCGATTAGGAGTTGAGTTCTCATATGCGAGCGAATGTTTATTAAGGAAGGAACGAGAGGTCGCCGAGGGCGAGTATTTATCGATGAGAGTGAGGCAGATATGTGGTGATGAGGCAAGTCTTGGAAGACGGTAGAGCCCCTTGAGACGACGCTCGGTCCTGACCTGGGTGGGAGGGTATGGGTGGTTGTTTGCTTTCCAGAGGCGAGGACGTAACTGTCTGTCTCATCTGCAAGAGCAACCGTCAGAGAAAGACACGCGATACACATACACGACATCTCGCGAACGGTGGGCAGTCGCTCCCCTTCGTTTTATACCACAGCCCAGTCTGGGGGGCACGGACAGAGCCCTTCGGCCAGCGGCCACTTTCCCTCCCTCCTCAGCACCCCCTGCCATCTCGAGGACATCGCCCGCTGTCATTACAGGACGGTCATGCAGATAGGAACCAGCCAGGTATGCAGTCTTGAACTTCTCCCCGTTGGCATGTAACGCTGTTCATCCCGACTTGCCCTGTCTGAGGCGCCCGTACTTGCGACACAGGTGGGGGCATAAAGGTCCCAAGGACGCGAGCTCCTAGTGCCGGGCGCGAACAGGACCTGGGCATATGCGATCCCTTCAACCACAGCCCCGTGCCCTGGCACCCATCGACAAGGCTGGCCTGTCCCAGCAAGCCGGACCGATCTGAGGGCAGACGGGCAGGGTCTGCACTTCTTGCCTTGCTCTCACTCGCCGGGTGCGTTGCACGGGTGGGCACCTCGCCGCCCGGCCCGCCCACCCTGTTGATGCTGGCGGGTCCCGCTCCCCCATGTTTCGACCTCCTGAGGCTCTGCTGAAATGAGGTCTTCAAGCCTTTGCGATGGAATTTTCCCACTTTGCGCGGCCCTGGAGTTCCATTGGTCGGTGGGTTAGATCTCCCTACTATATACTGTGGTCCTTGCACGCCCTCCTCCTTTTCCAGAAGAATTCCAAGGTGGGATGCGGGTCTTTTTTCCTTCCCTTTTTTAATTTTCTTCTTCATTCTTTTCTATTTCTGTTTTCACATTCTCTGGCTGCCTCCCTCCCTGAATTGCTGGCCTGCGACCCGCTTTCCGCCATGGGTGCCGAGACACTTGGTGACGTGTGGCTCGCATGTGCTGTTTTAGGACGCTGCCAGCCTTATCAATCAAGGCGTGCGGTTACTTTTGCGTGCATGGAGCCGAATGGGAATCCACTGCAGATCCGAGTCGGAGAATTTCCAAACTCCACGATGCACATCCCGATCCTCTGGAAACTTTCTTCTCCAACTTGAGCCCACCCCAAATTTTTGACACCACCACCCGTACTCGTTATCAGTCGAGCTCCGTATCAAACGACGTGACAGGCTAGTGTCGCTCCTGTCACCAGACCAGTCGAAACAAAAACCGTCTGATGCAGTGCGACGGTCCTCCGGCCGATCATAGCACACGTAGCACGCGGTCGTTTCTATCGGCCCCTTCCCGGATTCCGAAGTCTGACTACCTCCCCGTGCAGCCGGTCTAGACCACACATCTGTAGACTTCGCAAGCCACTGTCGCTCGCCATCGCGAAACGGAGCCTGTGGTGATCGAACGCGGCTTTGTCGGCCCAGTCTCTGGATGACGGCGATGATGGGGTAGTGGGAACCTTAAGCAGCGGGCTACTCAAGCCAGGCGGCATGGCAACGCAATGCAGGTTCCTCGAGATGACGTCCTGCACAAGTGCACAAGTGCGTAGTGGCGCAGGCCAGGCCAGGCTCATCGATTGTCTCTTTGGCGGCATGCGCCCAGGAGACGAGTGCCGAACCGTAATAAAATTAAAGACATATGCGTCCATCGAGGCAGTGCCGTAGACCCTGGCTCGAGATGCAACCCATGGGGGTAGACTCGTTTCCGGGATGGGCGAGTGAGGCATTTCGCTCAAGGCTGTCTCCGTGCCCAGACTCCCACAGACACCATCAGGAACCGTTCTGACGAAACATGAAGCGCCGCTCGCTCTTCACAGGTCGGTGGGCGGGCAGGCTGGGCACGCGAATGGGTGAGCTATTTCACGATGGGAAGGGTAGGTTGCTGGGGAGGGAGGGTTGGCCCCGCGAAACGGTGGACTCGTAAGTGTCGAGTTTCAGGGGCTCATAGAGAGGCGCGAACGACGTTTCGATCCGGAACATGTTCTGTTCTGTTCCGTTCTGCGCTCGCCTGTTTCCCTGTTTTCTCAACCTCTTTCTTTACGCTCTTGAGCGTGCGATTGGCCTGGGCTTTGGCGACACCGCGACTCTGTTGTTTCCGTCCCAGAAGCGGACCACGCTACTCCCCAGAAACCGCCAGAGAGGATCGGGTAAAACGCGCTCACGCAATCAGGAGCCCCCCGGAGGTCAGAGCACGGTGGAAGCGAGGAAACCAAATGGGTTTTGGAAGGAAAGGGCAGAACGCGCAAGCAATGTGAGGATACCAATATTCGTCCTGTCTTGTCAGCGACTGACTGGAACAAGCCCCTGGCTTCGACGTTCATCCGCGCCACGGCCGGCTGCTTTCAGCGAGTCCGTCGTGAAAGGAAATGTCTCGTAGGTCAACTAATGTTCCTTCAAGGCTTGCTCACAGAATCAGCTCGCAGCGGGCGAGGACGATGGCTTTCATGATGAACGGCGCGTTCCCTTGTGAGGCATACGCATCCGATTGAAACCTCGGCTGAGCATTAATACTGGAGCCTCTTAGGAGCTATGGCCTCGTGCCCCAAGCTCTTCGAGATCTCCTCCGCAAGACAGGCAATGGCCGTCGGCAGCGTGAGCCTTATCGAGCTTCAGCCTCGCCTATCGAGTCATGGATCACCGGCCGCAAAGGCTTGTTCAACTACAAGTCTGAGTCACAATGCTGCAACCCTCCGACACACATATGAAGAATTGATGTTTTTTCCTCTTGCATTTGCCCTCAAGCGCAGGCTGGCCTGCCCCTATCTGCCTCCTCCAAAGAAAGGAACCAATGTCCATGCGAAACTATTAGACCACCCTCCTAAACGCCTTTTTTTGATGAACCCCCCTCCGGTGATACTACAACAGCAAAAACGCCAAGTGGAACGGGTGAGCTGACTCCAGCCATGATGATATAGTGGTATCAAGAATTTTCCTGTTCAGGACAGATGTGCAGCCATAGGTTTAATCACTGTCATCCTCTTCTTTGGACGCCTTCTTGGCCTTCTTCTCGGCCTTCCTGCGCTTGCGCTCTGCCTTCTCCTCTGGGGTCTCGCCGTCGTGCTTCTTCCTCTTCTTGTCCACGGAAGCGCCCTCGTCCTTGGGGGTCTTGGGGGTCTTGGGAGCCTCAGCGGCAACAGCAGCGGGCGCCACGGTCTGGGGTAGGTCGGCAGCAGCGGCCTCTGTGGGCTTAGCAGCGGCCGCCTCGGCACCGGCTGCGCTGTAGTCGGTGTACGAGTCCGTCCACTTGGCAGGGGTGGCCTCGTTGGGTCGTCCGTACTTGTCCAGCTTGCCGTCGGCCTTGAGCTTCTTCTTCTCAGCGGCCGTAGGGCCGAGACCCCATCTACGGGGGTACAGGTCACGCTCCATGATGCAACGCTTGACCTTGGCGACAACACCGTGGTCGCAGGTGGTCATCTCGACGGCGGACATCATGGCGATACCAATGGCAATGGCCTCGCCCTTGGTCGTGATCAGGACGACCTCCTCGTGCTGTTCAATCTCGGACTCGTAACGCAGCAGGCCAGGCAACATCAGCTTGGCACCGTAGGTGATGGCTTCACCGCACTGTCCTTGACTACGAGTCGCTTGTAGCCAAGCAGCAGGGTCTCGAGAGGCTGGATCACTTTGCGCAGGTATGTCTCGTCACGGTTGTTGTCTGTCACCAGTCAGTCTTGCGGTTCAAAACCCACATGCACACCCATGCATCCACTGTAACATACCGTATTGCCACTGGGCATCGAGCACGTCGTGCAGCGTGACCAGATCCTTGTTCTCGTCCATAGCACCGGAACGCACTCGCCGCAGCTCCTGCATGTGCGCGCCAACACCGAGCAGCAGACCCAGGTGCACACAGAGCGTACGGATGTAAGTGCCGGCCTCGCAGCTAACCCAGAAGACACCGAGGTGGCGGTCGTTGTCGAACTCGATGAGCTTGGACTGGTAGATGGTTCGGATACGCAGCTGGCGCTTGACAGCAGAGATCAGGGGAGGGCGCTGGAAGAGCGAGCCGGTGAGCAGCTCAAGGGCGCGGGCGAACTCGGCCTGGCCGCCGGGCACCTTGTCGTGGAATCGTACGACGGCGACGTACTCCTTTCCGGCTCCCTGCTGGGACTTGACCAGGCGCGTGGCGCGGTCCACGCAGACAATCAGACATCCTGTGACTTTGGGATCGAGGGTACCGCTGTGGCCGGTCTTCTCGACGCGGAGCATGCGCTTCACCCAGGCGACGACTTCGTGGGACGAGGGGTTCGAGGGCTTGTCGAGCTGGACGGGGAAATGATGTCAGTACGGAAAGTGGGTTTGGCGGGAGGAAAGGTTCTCACGTTGATGACACCAGAAGAGACTGCCAAGAGTTAGTAAGAGTGCAATTGATGTCGTGTCGGGCGTGCTGGTGGGGAACAACATACTGTAGCTCTTGATGTCTCTCATGTGAGGCTTGCAGCCATGGGGAATGGGTGTGAAGTGCCCGGTCCTCACGAGCACTACGCGCCTGTTAGCAAAGTGTTCTCGCCAGAATCCAGAGCAGGCTGGCAGATCGCGTCCTCACGTTTGTCATAGTTCTTGAGCAGCAACGGCCAGTCGCTGGTGTTAGCAGCAGGTGTCGTTGCCTGCGGCTTGATGATATGCTCTTCCTCTTGGGCCTTGGCCGCAACCTTGTCCGCCATCCTGATTATTCGAGAAACAGGAACGAATCAAGCCAAAGGAGTAAATGTCAGTGTGGGGGGAGGAGCCGGTGTCCTTCTCGGAGTACAGAAGTTGTGTAAGAAGGATGGCGGCCAAGTTTTGTTTGAATCCAGGAAGCTCTCATGGTAGCCCAAATTTTTTTGAGTGTGGAGGAGCACGGGCCATCCGCAAACTCAATTTCGGCGCTAGCCTGATTCGGGCCGCCCGCGTGGGATCCGGCTCCGCCGGGTCCTGCACCGCCACATAATTCTCACGATCCTCCCAAAACAATCAGAAACGGCTCAATGGTCTAGTCGTATGATTCTTGCTTTGGGTAACGCGCACTGCAAGAGGCCTGTTCTTATTGATTTCTGTTTTCAACGTTGTGTTTTGACAATCCAGCGAGACGGAGATGGACGCCCTGGTCTCTGGGTTGGTGGCTGAGAGCCATCAGCCCTGCCTCGCAATCACTTGAGAACACTTAGAGTACTTTGTCGATGGCAGCCCGAATATTGTCAAATTGAAGAGGTCTCCAAAATAGCATATAGTTGACAGCTCCCAGTGTTTCAAACGACTGCCTGTAATTCAGCTGGAGAACTCCCAGTAGATTACCTGAAGTAGGACAACCTCCCAATAGGACAACCTCCCAATAGGACAACCCCCCAATAGGACAACCCCCAATAGGACAACCTCTTATAGGATCATGTCTCAGGATCATGTCTCATAGGATAATCTGCAAAGACTTGTATGTCTGAATGTGGTAAGTTCTGATCTCTTTGCTCAGTTAAGTGAGCACCCGGCAACTGTCTCAGGACTCTGCGAGCTGTACTGGTGAAACCTTGGCGGCCGTGGCAACTTGACAGATTACATTGGTGCAATTTAGCAAGCCAGCAATGTTGAAGTCTAAACGGGAATCATTCCTGTTCTGCTCTTCTACTTTTTGCGGTACGTCATGACAAGTTGATTGACTGTTGTTATCGCAGTGACGTTCGGATCTGGATCCACCAGTATAAGTGCATATGCATGAACGTGGAACTGAATTAGCAGCTACCACGCGTCAACCTGACAGGTGGAGCTCTTCATGATAGGCTGACTGTTGTGTTTCCTAGTCTGTACCTAATGCTATGGGGCTATGGGATCTGGTGCCAGACCATTAGGGCTCTCATACTTCTGTGAACTGGTATGTGGGCTTTCCCTCCTTAGTATCTCAAATTTTACGCAACAGCGAGCGAGCATGGCGGGTATGTGGCCGACTAGCCACGCATCGGTCGAGCTGGCTGCCACACCATGGATGAACCTGTCTTGATGTAAATAAGTATTTCTCCATTCTGGTATTGTGGTTCATGGCTGTCGGCGTGGCTCGATGGTCTTCGATATTTTTGAACCGCCGAACTATCGAGGAAGTTGATCCGGGGCAGCGGCACCCAACTGCATGGAGATAAGTAGTTGGAATGTGTGAGGTGGCTTGTGGTTGAGTAATGCGATGCGGCTTGTCGGTAGGCAACTTTTCGTGAGGTAGCTTGTCCTGAGGTAGCTTGCTGTGAGGCTGCGTGTCGGGAGTCGGCTTGACGACTTGTTGTGGCCGGCTTGCTGTGGCGGTCGTTTATTGATGGGCCGGTTATGACAGTCCTTCGACAGCAAACCGAAAGGATACGGGTCAGCAGGAGCGCCGCACGTCCGCAGTCGCCACGTAGGCTTTGTGTAAAGGGCAGATTACGCGGCCTTCGTAGCCCAAGGAGAGTCCACTTGTGCTCATCAACATCTCTGGTGCTGGTTGTTTTGAAAAAAAAAAAAACTTCGTGGAGAGGTGCGAAGAACTTAGTCGTAGAATTCCCAAGGCGACGATGCTCGCACAATGACGGAGCGACTGAAAACTCGTAATCCTATCCTTGGAAGCCCGTACCACCGCATTACCGGCAAGAGGGTCTCCAACGTGGATGTAGAAGCTGAAGAGGCTGAGAGGCTAGAGTTTCGACTTGAATATTGTCATGAGCGACCGGATTTGTGTGCGATCGGCGCTAGGAAAGCTGTTCCAATAGGTAGACGGAAGTAGGCTCGCTTTGAAACACATAGAGAGGCTGCTCAGTGGCGTCGATAATCGTAGTGCTGCGGCGCCGGAACAGAAGACTTCTCAGTCCAGATGTCAGCGAACTTCCACATGATCGATCGAACGAAATCATCTGAGTACTTACGTACATCAAGACCGAAACACTGCAGTCTCTCGTCAGGCATGAGGAAGGGTGATCAAGTATGAAACTTTGGGTTGGTTCCAGAGATGCCGCTTGGGCATCTTTTCTTCCATCAAGGCCATTGAAGCTGACTGAATCCGCTTGGAAATTTTGCCCGGAACGCAAAGAGGATCTGTAGCAATTGCCCCGCGGGGTAGTGGGAGCCGTTGGAGTGGAGATATTCTGTAGTGATCAGTTCTCCTCCACGTACGCACGAGCCGAGGTGTTCTTGTCTAGCCGCCTCTATTGTGACAGCACATTCATGTCGCGAATCCGTGTCCGTATCCCCGTCGTGGCCATGGGTTTAGTGAATTCTTTCCGCCGACTGCGGTAACGATGCTGGAGTATGTGTTCCCGGTTCTTAGTAAGTAAGGTATGGCGCCAAAAATAGTGTGCTCCCTTGAGAAATGTGAATATTGGCATAGGGCAAGGTGGTTGATGTCATTGTTGGCTCTCTTGTTTCTGCCTATTCGCCACTTAGAGGCTCGACAGAAAGTGCCTCCCTGAAAATCAGAACTGGAAATTAGAGGAGTGTTCTGAACTCCGCCGCCCAGGATGGCGCAAGCTTTGTTTGGTGTCGGCAGGAGCAGAACATGACTGTTGTGGACGATACCGCCGTCTGGTTTCGCGATGCCATACAATATTATTGGAAGTACTTAGCTGTCAGGTATATCGAAGCGCTGTATTCCGTATTCTTGGCGCAGCACGACGAAACGTAGTCGGAGTTCGTGCGGGAATATCAGAGCAATAACTTGCTGGAGGGATAACTTGCTGGAGGGATAACTCGCTGGAGGGATAACTCGCTAGAAGCATGGCATGCTGGAGTCGAAGTGAAAGGTCGAAATCCGACGAGAAGAACATACAGCGCCGAAGAGGGTGATGTTTGAAGTCTGGTGAGGCCAAGATTGGCTTGGAGTGCTTGGAAGGGTATCATCTGTCATCACAGCTGTATTGTTCCTGTGGATGACACATGTGCGACTTTCAACTGGCCTGCTGTGCTTGGCTGCAAAGGTGGCCGGAGAGCTCCTGAGCGATGTCGAGGGAGGGCAGACATCATGGCAGATTGTCCATTGAGTCTTTGAACCTCGAAGATGAGGATGACTGGCAGGGATCCCTTTTCGATGCTTCAACAGCAAGTTGAGACATTTCGAATGGGAAGCATGTTGTGCTTGACTCGTGGGATGTTATCAGGTCCAAGCGAGATCGCGATTTCTTGCTGAGGAGTCCTCATAGCGAGATGCAAGGTGGGCTGCAAAGTGCTCCAAGCACTGTCTGCTAGACCTCCGGATAACCGCTTTTTCAAGAATGCTGTGGAGCGTCGACTGGTGGGAGTGCTGCTTGTGACTGCTGTTGGATGGGGATATTGCAGAGGAGCAAATATTGACCAGGGTAACCAGGCAGCTGTGGGCCAGGAAACTGAGGCTGTCTGCATTCGAGCAAAGCACCTGATGGGCTGGATCAGCAAGGCCTGGTGTGAAATCGGGACGCGACTGTTCGAGCGTCTCTAGTGGATTGTCAGATGTCTCCGGCACAACCGTAATCGAAATGGTCAAGCAAACCACGGCGGCCGGCAGAGACTTGGGCAAAGCCGATTCGTTCTTGGCGGTCTGGAAAGGCAGCCTCCGCATCGTGGTGGCGTCTTATTGTTGGATCTTCCCAGTTCCTCTTGTCATTCGTGTCGTGGCAGTCAAGTCATTCTCAGGACGCCTAGAAAGACAGCCTCCCCATCCTGGTGGCATCGCCTCGTGGTACCAGCTTGTCTTGTTGCGCCGTACCAAGGCAGTCCCATCCCAGCACGCCTAGAAAGACAGCCTCCCCATCGGGTGGCGTCGTCTCATGGTCTCTTGTCAGATTGTCTTTGGGGTGCCTGGGAGTCGCTCTTTCCCAACATGGCAGCCACGCACCCGCGCTCCTTCTAACATCGGGAAGGTAATCTTGCAGTCCATGAAAACTGGGGAGAACACCAATATTTGCATGCAATCACGCTCAACGGGGATTGAGAAATTCTGAGGCTCTAATCTGGCATGATTTCATCCGCGGTAAGTTGTCACTCGCTCTGTTTCCTGCAGCTCCATCGTCACCAGGGTACTGGTCACTCCAAGAAATCATTGAGGCACCTATGTAAGCATTTCAGCTAGGCAGGATCCAGAACGAACATTGAATCTTTTTCATAGAAAATCCATTCTCACCAAACCCAGAGACCAGCATTTGGGCCGAATTTGGGCATATTTGCATCGAATTTCTGCCTTGCTGGTGATGGCATGCGCTGTTCTGTGAAAGTGGTCCGTAAGGAGGGAGCGTGATGGCATTTCTCTGATTGTGGATTCATAATTCGCACCTAGGTCCCATAGATCATAGTTAAATTCAGTGTTGGGTCGGAAATTCTCACAGAAGAGTCCATGGGATACGCCAACATGCCTTTATCTCGAGGGATTCACCCGTGAGATGCCAAAGCATTTGTGGGCTCTGCGAGACGGAGAATAGAGATACCGTCTTCTGCTAACACAAATCTCAGTTCCAAGCAGGTACATACTATAGACTATTTGTACTCTTTGAGTTCCTCTACTAAGCTGGAACGACAATGATTGCCCTGGTGGGACAAGAGACAATGTAGGTTGTACGCAATTGCAGTCAATTTCGCTATGCAGGTAGCAGGTACATACCAATATTGACTATACGGCTTTCGAAATACTCATCAGAACAACAAATATGTCTCTGTAACATACCTTGTGCAATACCTTTCCCAGCGGTCCCTCGAAGGATGAGAGACAACCGCCTAGTGGCTGAACGAGTCTATTGCCTTGGTATGTACGCAAGCCCAGTGTCGAAGGCTGTTGTATGCTATTGTTAGCCTTTAGATGTTTGTCACAGGCATATAAGGGGAAAGCTGAACAATGTAGAGAGAAACTTTTCATTCACAATTTACCATAAAAATATGGTATTGAGGTGTGTGTGCCCAGTATCGTGGTTCTTTTCCGCAGACCATAAAGCAAGACCGTTCTCACGCAATCACCAGACGCCAAACAAAGCCCAAAATCACTACTTCTGTGGCCGGAGCAGGCCAAACAGACTTGCGCAGCTCCCAGGTGGCCTGCCCTCCGATGGCGCCATGACTAAGCTTTGACCCTCCCAATGCTGAACTCGTCGACTTGACATCCAAACACCTACCGAATTACTGCAAAATTGACTGATTGCATAGGATTGGTGAAAAACTACATTATTCAATTATTCAAATCTGTCAGTCACTCTTATTTTCCTACGGAGTCGGTCGAGTTGTGGTCTAATATCATTGCACATGGGTCAGTCTGGCCACCAGCTGTGCCCATCGAGGTACGGGTAGGTACAAGGTGCTTATGCCTAGCTGCTTGGCGCACGTACCACCGGAAGCTCAGTGAGAGGTCACAGATCTCACGGAAAGAAATTTGTAGGCACCAGAGATTGGCATTTCCGACGATGTGCAATCATGACACCAAGGTATCTGCGTGTGTGGTCTACTGGTGCTCTAGCATCGACTGAGGCGTGTGAGTTGATTGGCCACATGAGAGCTCCAAAAATAGCCCGGCCTGCAGCTCCCAGTGGTGCAAACCCTGGGGCAAAATGCAAGATGACCCTGCCTCTGCGAGGAAATGTCACAATGCCGTGGCAATTTGGCTGGAGTCCCTATAAATCCACAAAAGTTCTCGCTGAATCATACTGTTCCCAACAGTGCTATTGACAGGGTAATTCTAAGGAGAAGGACTTGAGCAAAAGACGGGCTCAGCACCGGCCACCGGCCGTGGAACAAGGGAGCTTGGGTGTCTCTTCTCGGACAGTCGGCCCCCTGTCCACCTGCATCTCGAGTACTCCGTAGACCCTGCTGGCGGATCACATGGCCGCCTTCCGATTGCAAAGATAAATTCAGCAATTCTTCCCTTCATCGCACTCTTCGCCCCGACCGCCCCTTCTTGTTTAATTTTTTTCAGACTGGGGAATGGGTGCGGGGTGCGATTGTGTTGCGACGAGACGTCTGTCCACAGGGTTACCATGTTCGTGTGCCAACTTTGGGGCCATCGAGCTGCAAGCGTCTTCCTAGCTCTGCATCGCATGTGTAAGTTTATTCATGTACCTACTCAGATGTAATTTGATCCGGCAGTCCAGTGGGTGGGTGTTTAATCTCTGCTCGCACCCGCATGACAAGCTGTCGTGGCTTTGAAACTCCGAGCTGGCACTGCGGCGTGCCCCACCTCGGCTGCCCTGGCCAGCTGTTTGAGATTGGTAAGCATCCGGCCTTTATGAATCCCGATTATTTGGAGTTTTCAACGAAATTGGCTCAATGGTCTAGTCGTATGATTCTTGCTTTGGGTACCACGCACTGCAAGAGGCCCGTAAGTACACATTGCCACCAATTCGCATCTCCCACTTCTAACACCACGCAGCGGGTTCAAATCCCGGTTGAGCCCAGGTTCCAACCGATTTTTTTCTTCTCCTTTTTTTTACCCTTTTCCCCAACAACACGCGCCTTTTTTTTTTGGGGGGGGGGGACCTTCAGCCTTTCCCATAGATGCATTTCTTTGCCGTGGTCCAGTCTCAATGCAATTGATTGGGCTGGACTGACGTCTGGAGTCGCTTTGTGGTTAAAAAAAAAAAAGTTTTCCTAGTTTCTATTCCCCTTGTGGTCCGATCGGACCATTTCCCTGACCGCGTCTGAGCGGCTCACACGTGCGTATTGTGACAGAAGTCATGGTCGAGTCTAGGCGGTACATGGTGCTTACTGGAACGGAGAGATATTGAACAAGGCCATCCGCATCATGACAGCGTCATCAGTGCTTCTCTTATTGTGTCACACGGCTCCTCGATCCGTCTCCATCTGGTCATGACCGGTTTGGGCCTGACCTGGGCAGGCGCTGGGTTGGCAGGGCAGCGAATCGACACACAAAACGGGCAAGTCGCAGATATACTGCGAAAATAATAACGAAACCAATGAATCCAGATTAACTATGGCCGAAGACTTGTCTATGTTGAATCTCCTTTCACGCTTCGAGATGCACCGGCATAAGCAAGAGGCTTTCACCTTGAACTTGCAACCTGAGTTGGCCCTGACACTGCGATGGAAAGTATCCTACTGATATAGTTACGGTGTCATGTTGGGGTGTCAGACAGCTATATCCACAGCCACACTATCATGCCCGCTCTGCCTACAACATCGTAGCCATTCGGTTCGGAGTGTGGTTCAAGCAACGCGGACTCGGAATCTACGTCTCATTTCGCGGTGCTCGAAGATCATTTTATCAAATGCCTCAAAATTCGAATTCAGTCCTCAAACAACGTAGTCCACAGTGCATTTGACCACTGCATCACCTCATGCTGTAATGGATTGCTTCCACTGTAATCTGTCATTCTCTGCCAACATTACTAGAGCGGAAGCAGCTGCGGTGGTAGCAGTGGCAGAAGCTTTTCCCTTGTCAGCCACATTTCACCTGATGTCTTCAGGCATTTTCCCGATGCTTGTCAAGTTGTGACTTCCAATACATCGAATAATATTAATCGCTTGATTTGGAAGGTCCAATGGATTTGGTGCGTCAATGTCGACGCGAAATTTTGATTCAGCAATATGTTATATACATTCCATGTCAAGTTCGAACACAGAGCCCATGGGAAGCTGCCATCTCTGGGCCAAGTGGACCCTTCCAAAACCTTGCAGACTCCTAACAATGAAACCGGATAGGCTCTAGGTAGCGAGCACAAAGGCAATACAATGGTGCCAAAGATCGAACGGTCATTACTGCGAAGCTCCTGTGCTACAACGATGGGAATTGCTTTCAACAGGACAGCAAGAAAAATCAAGGACATCAGGTCGAGTCTCCGGTACAACACGCTCACCGAGCTCTCTTTTCATCGGCATTCACCGCACGGGTTATATTGAATTCAAAACCGAGTTCAACAGGAGCCAGAGTTACCTGACCGTACAGTCACGCTGCTGGTCTCTGAGTCGATGAAGAGACGCTCAAGCTGCACGTTTCGTAAAACAGTAAATATGGAAACGGTCATCTTCCACCTCGATGTTTGGCAGATTGTCCATAAATCAGGCCCCTTCCCAACCTGAGACATCTCTGCAGGCCACCTAAGCTGCAAGAATCGGGTGGAAAAGTTCTCGAACAAACATTTGGCCAAGAAGTCTAGCCAGGAAGCCTTTCAGACTGCCGCCACTATCCTCAATGTTGTTAAGCTTGTTCGGAAGTGGATGCGAGCCTTCGTGGCGTTTTAAAGCCCATCGTGCTTGGATACCAGATCTTGCAGCTCCAATCCCAGGCAGCTAGAAGCCAAGCTCGACGTCTGCAACGTACAAGAGCGAGACAATTCTGTCCTTTTCCTCTTTTGACAGTATTTCCTGACACTTCTCGCGAAATTTTGACACATCGTAACAATACATCCAAAAGATAGGAGTGAATCGTCGATGGTTCCAGAGCTCGAGAATCGTCAAAGCAGTCTGAGCGGCTAAATAACGGGGTGGTAAAGGCTGCTAGTTCTCTCTCTTGGCCCAAGAACGGACTCAAACATGGTTGATAAAAGTCCATCCCGTCTGCATGCCTGAAATATCATGAAAAGCGCTAGATGAGTCCATTGAGCCTCCACGAGCTTCATCGAGCCCATCATCCGCAACTGTCTAGCACTTACATATCCTTGTCCACGATTTTCTCGAACGCCAGAAAAGTCGTGCGTCGCAGAGCCTGGATTGGGGGGCCTACTTCTTTGCTCTGCATCTTTCGATGATGTGCTAGTAAGTTCTATCTACTTGAAAGAGTCGGTTTCATAGCATCAACTTCACTGGCTCACGCCCAGCATGTTCGAATCCTGCGTGAAACTCCAAGCTGGCTCCAGCATTCAGGAACAAGCCAGGGCCAGGAGCGAACGGTCAGTTCTAAGCCCTTCATTTACCTTTTCTGCCATTCTCTATCCTCATTTAGGCTATTGATTCCCTTGCCATGGTGAGAGTATGGGTTCAGGTATACGATGCATGTTGGAAGGTGCGAGGGTCGTATGCCCATACGCTAGCGCTAGCCTATAAATAGGCTCCTTTTAAGCGTTTAATAGCGGGGAGATTTCTCTTCTTAACACTTAATAATTAACTATTGTTTGCTTAATTACTTTATTAGGTTATAAGCTTGGCATTGCTTAAGATATCTTAAAATATTAGGAAACATTAATACCTTTATTTTTATAATTATTTTTATATTTAAATTATTAGGATTTTAATATCGCTAGTCTTTGCCTATATACCATTATTATACCTTATAATAATTATTATAGCTAATAGTAACTTATAATAATTTAGCACTCCTGCCCTATTTAGTGTTTTAACTATTTACTTTTTTTTATTTATTTACTTATATTAATTAATGCTAATTATTATAAATAAATAAAAATATATAAACATTATTTAAAATATGCCTAAAAATATATAAATATTGTTTAAAAAATATTAAATATATTTAACTTTAAGCTTAATTTATTATTTTTCTTAAAGTTAAACTTAAAAGGGGAGAATTTCTTAAATTAAAGGGCAGTATAAAGTTGCGGCTTTTAGTTTGCTAGCCTTAGCAAATATATTATAAGTATTAAGGAATGATTAAATAAGGGTGCGGCTCTTATAAAATGGGAAAAGCTTAATAATTAAGCCTTTATTATGCTCTTAAGCTTAATATATTTAAGCCTTATAATATTTATTATATTATATAGAAAATCTTTTAATATTTAAAAAATATTAGTTAATTAATTTAATTATAATATTAATAACTTAATTATTTATCTTTTTTATTAATTAATAAACTTATAATATAAGGATGGCTTTAATTTGCAAGGCTATTTAAATGCCTTTTAAAACCTTTAAATAAAACTTTATATTAAAATTTTAATATTAAAATAATTAATTAAGAGGTTAATAAAGTTACTTTTTAAAAGCAATAAAGTTAAAGGTTTTTTTTTCTTAATAATGCTACTAAATATTATAAATAATATTATTAATAACCTAAGTAGCTAAAACCTTATAATATTTTTTAAAATTAAACCTAAAATAATAAATATTATTTTCTATATAAAGGTTAAATAATTTAAAGCTTATTTTATCTTTATTTAAAAAAGGTTGGCATTAAAGGATATAAAAAAGGCTGCAAAGTTTACATTAATGAGTATTAACTTTATATTAAGCAATAAAGAATATATTTAATATTATGCGCGAAACTTTATATTTATTAACTATTTATATATTAATTATGCAAAGCTTGCTAAATATAAAGCTAATTAGGAATAGAAAAAGGGTAAGAAATAAGCTATTATAAATTAAGCTATAAATAAAAAAGTTATTAAAATTTTTAATAATGATAAGGAAGATATAATAGCATTATATGCTAATATTTTAATATACATAGCAAAGTTGTTAGTAATTATAAATACTTTAATATTATAAATTTTTAATTTTAATGCTTTAAAGTATATAATAAAATATATAAAAGACTTTAGCTCCTTATAACTATATTTAAGTATAATTATTATTATAAATAGTAATTAACTTGTTATAAAAGGCATTAGCTTTATAAAGATCTTTTTATAATTATTAAATAAATTAATTATTAAGAGTATCTTTATTAATATTTTATATAATTATGCGTTAAAAAATATTTATTTATTTAGCTAAATTATAATTTAAAAAAGGTTTTAATTAAATGCATAAGGAAATAATATTTTTTTATTATTAAAAGATAATAAATTTCGCAAGATATTATAAGCAAAGTTTTAATATAAATATTTTAAAATTTAAATAATAAAAAATAACTTTATAATATTTATAATATATAGCGAATTTTATAAAGTTTTTAGCTATAATAATTTATTAAAATTAATTACTTAATGCTTATATAAAAATAAAAACATTATATTAAATAAATTAATAGATTTTTATTATAAATTATATTAATTTATAAAGTTTATTAAGAAATACTTATATTTATTATTAAAATGATAATTTATGCAGCTATTTAAGTATATTTAATTTAATTTATTAAGTAAATTCTTAATAAAATTATTAAAAGGTTTTTAATATTTTATTTTATTTATTAATAATTATACTTAATTTTATTGGATTTACTTTATTACTTAAAAGAATAATGTTTTAAACGTTATTAAGGAATTTTTAAATATAATTAAAACTTAATTTAGCATAAAATTTAAGATATTTAGTTTAAATAATAAGGGTAAATATATAAATAAGATAATTATTGTAATATTTTAAAAATGCAGAATTATTTATAAGAAATTACCTCTTTATTATTATAAATTAAATAATATGCTTAAAAGGTTTATGCATATTATTATTATTAATGCTTGCATAATGATTTGTAATAAAGATTACTTATTTTTATAACTTAAAGCAATTTCTTATATAATGTATTTATAGAATTAAAAACTATACTTAGCTTTATTATGTTAAATAACGCTATTTAAGGCGCTTTATAAATAAAAGCTTAATATTAAATATTTTTAATTATATTTTTACCTTATATATCTTTATATTTCTATTAAGGCTTGCAAGCTAGGAATGAAATTATTAAATAAAACTAAAAAGGCATACTTTATAAAATTTAAGGCTAAAGGTAAGATTATCTTTTATTTATTTATATTACTTTAAAAAGTTATTATAATTATAATATTAAGCTATATTACTTAGTTTAATTTAGTAATAAAAATTGCATAAATAATTAGTTAATTAAATAAAAATGTATTATTTAAGATAAAGGTATTATTAACGTTTTAATTAATGGAATTTGCTAATAATGCGGGATTTATAAATAAACTTATAAATAAACCGCTTAAACTTATAAGACCTGTTAATAAACTATTTAAACTTATAAAATCTATATAATTATATAGTTTTTAAAAATAATGGATTTAGCCTTTATAAAAAGTAAAAAAAAATATAAATATTATTATAAAATATTTTAAAGATTTTAATAACTTAATATTAATTAATATAAACTTTATGTTAAATCTTGCTTAATTAGCATTAATTAATGCTAACTACCTTAATTAAATCTTTACTTAAGTATTATTTGTTAATATAGTAAATGTTAATAATATTTTTAATATATATATATAAGCTATAAAGAGTAATGAAAGGGATGCTTAGCGATAAGCTATTAAAAGAAAACTTAAATTACTTTTAAATATAGGTATATGAATTAAAGTACTTATTATTGTAAATTAATATATTATTAATCCTTGCTAAGTATATATAAAGAAGTTTAATGCTTTTAGTAAGCTTATTTATTATAAGGCTTAACTTATTATTTATAAATATATATAAATTCATAGCATAAATTATAATAATACTTATAGCTTTATAATGCGTTATAATAATTTAAAACTAATTATTATTATTATTGCCATAATGGGCTAATGGCTTTAGCAATTCAATATTAAAATAATATACTTGCATAGCTATTTAAAATATAATATTTATATACAATTATTGCAAGAATATTAAATATTATTTAATAATTAATAAGTTATTTTAAAATTTCTTAATACCCTATATAAACTTAAATAATTAAGTTGCAAATAGTTTAGTATTCTTAAAAAGGAATTAATTAAATATTTAATGGAAATAATATTTAACCCTTGCGTTTTTATTAAAGATTAAATTATTATTGCTATTTATATTAATAATATTTTTATTATTAAAAATCCCTTTTAAGTTAATAAATTTTATATTAAGCTTATGTAATATTTTAAGTATAAGGATTTTAGTTTTTATAAATACTTACTTAAATTAAAAATTATATAAACTAATGATAAAATTTATATTTCTTAAAAGGGATATGCTTAATGGATTTTAAAATGTTTTAATATATTTAATTATAATTAAAGATAAACTCTTATAAATTTAAATTTATTTCCATAATAAGAAAAACTTAATGATATTGCGATAAATGCAATGATATATTAATTACTTATTAAATCCGTTAATTTTCTTATTATTAAAATAAGACTTAATTTTATATTTTTATATATAATGCTCTTAATATTTAATATAAAGCTTATAATTTATTATTTAA